GGACCTCAGGACCTCCGGACACGCCTTGCCGTCAGTGCGGCGAACCCGAAGCTCCGGGCCACCTAAGAAGCTGAGTTGTTGACGGGCTCTACCAGGGAAGGCCACACGTGCTCGGAAGAGTGCCGCAAGAGTTCGTCTGTTTATCCTCCGTCACAGATTGGGAGTGGCTCCCAAAAGGACTTCGCATTGTACAAGTGAGCAGCACGCGTATCAATCACACTGCAGGAGGAGAAGCTCTTACCTGCGCGATTACTATGGGAAGCGCTTAACTCACCACAAAAAGTGTGATTGGTGGCCATGCGAGTCAGACAGCTGTGACAGAGGAACTTCCTTCAGGTCTGTCTCGAGTGAGATACCACTCGAGCCTCATGGCGTAAGGTACCGCTCCGGAGAACGGCTTACGACGACCTACCCACCGGAAGGACGTGGCGGGTAACGGGTAACATTTACTCGCCTGGCGGGGAGGAAAGTCTGGGTCCCGCTCCAGAGGTGCATGTGTAAAAGGGGGGTCCGATGCCTCATAAGGCCGTGCCCGTGCCATGTCCGTCGCACCGATGCAGGTCACACAAATCTAGACATTCACAGACTGTCACATCAGCCGCTTGCGACCACATATTACTACGATGAGAAGTCGTTCTATACCCTGCTTCGGGTAACAAACATCATGAGCACTCCTTTCCCCCGGTGAAACATCGGGCCCGACGGCGATGTGCTGATCTGATCTGAGATGGGTTCCATCACCTACACAGTCATATACTCGAGCAGCATATGCCTGCTACATCACAAGACAGACGACCCTACGGATGAAGAGAATAAGGGTACCAACTCAACACTCACGGTGGGGTCCACCCGTCACTCAACGCATTCATGCTGTACCCTGCCTCGATAATAGGTTGACGGGCTGTGGAAGATGAGTACAGACGCTCACCATGCTTCCTCCCTGGTACCTGGTAGACCAGAGAGATGATAAGGTAAGCGTGGGTTCACACGTTTCCGTGATGGAAGACGATGGCAAGAAACAGGATTCTTCTCCGGGTATGCGCCAAAGCGGTATCGACGAGCATGGCAGCCTGGTCTGTCATCCGGCCGTTGTTTTCTGGGGTAGTGCGGCTCTGTCATCTGACCTGCCGGTACTTGTGTGCAGGTAAGGAGCAAATGTGGGGGACGAGACGGCAGTGAGCGAGCAGCAAGCGCCGCCTGCCTCGTCAGAGCACATATGTCCATCCACCCTCGCCGTCTCGTCCGTATCTCAAGGCGCTCATCCGCGAGTATAGGTACTCTACCCTAACCTACTAACTGACCACCGGGCATCATTTACACGTTTTTCTCATGCACATATCCGTATGCAGGCCTCACAGGAATATCGGAACATATCCTGCGGAATCCAGCTATGGACAACATACAAGACCGGCAGGTAAGCAGTGAGTACAACCAGGTTACTGGTAGGTAAACGACTGCCAGAACCCGAGGCGCTTCCTCGTCGTCTGGATTGCGATGGAATCTCGATTCCTATCTCGATCGTCGGGCGCCAGGCCATGGCGAAAACATCCCCGTATCCGCCAGGTACAGTACCCAGACGTCGGAGCCCTATCCGCTCGAGGCACATCACCACCAGCTCCTGGCACCCGATACTGGTCTCGACCTCTGTTCCAATCATCGGAACGGCATTGTCAATGACAGCGAGCGTATAAAGCCCCGGCTTTATACGCGATTGCCGCCGCACCGTCCTCGAGCCTTGCTTCAGCCAAAGACACCAGCCATACCATACACGATACGCTTCCGAGTTCGAGCACAGCCCACCAACACGCCAGCCAGACAATACCCAAAGCCTCACAGACGTGTGCCACACAGGACCATAATACAGCAAGGGTGTAGTAAGGTACTCTCACGTGGCAGCGGGTGAGCGAACTGCGTCGGCCCGCCCTACATGACACATGCGTGTCCCACCGCTCGCTATACATGAGTTTCCCCCACGGCGACTTCCGCTGGCCGCGGCAAGGCAAATGGGTCGGATATGTACCATCGCTCGTAGCGTGCGTATGTGCATGTGTGCCTCGAGGCTACCGACCCGCAGCTTGCATGCATGCACTTCCCTCCGCCTGACGTCTGTACTTGATGGGACTGTGGTGCGGGGGGCACGAATCATGGGGCTGGGCACGGGTGCCCGCAGCATACATGTACGTACGGGGCATACAGCATACAAGGCATACATCACACAGCGGCAGCTGCCAGCCGGGTCACTACGTGCGTGCGTGCCGGCCGGTGTGATACCGCGGGTGGTTGCTTGCGTACGGACGTAAAACGGCTGCCGGGGCCGGCGAGGCTTGCCGTGGCGTGGCGTGTTGGGTTGGGTTGGCTTGGCTATCTGTAGTGAATGTCAAGTAGCGAGTATTAAGTACCGAGTATCATGTCACGATGTTCGGTTGGCTTCTCGAGCCGAGGGTGCATTGTGCAAGGACGGGGGAGCCGATGTATCCACCGTGTTCATGGGATGCATACATGTACTTGAGGTCGGTTTTTCTTGCTCGGCTTGGTAGGTATGGACCAGCCTGGCTATACGGGTGGGATGGGGAATGGGGGATGGGGGGGGGGGAGGGATAGAAGGCCATGACCATGGGAGAGGTGGTCAAGTAAGGGATGGGCGTAGTTACCTGCGGAAAAGCATGGCAACGTAAGGCAGACAGGCAGGCATGCTGTGGGTAACAGCCAGGACACGCACGGGTTGGCGTCTCGCCACAAGGAGCTATGGCAAAGCAGGAAGCCGTAGTGAGCATCTCATAGCTGATGTCTTCAACACGATAAATGTCATTATGTATGTCTTGATGAATCTTCACTTATGCTGTCACGCTGCCTCGCTCGCCTGAAAGGGATATTTTCGTCTCACCGCACAGTCATCCATGCCACAGTTCTTCGACTTGTTGTGCTCGTTACATGCCCGCATCGCGGCTTCAAGGATGCACATATACAACGAGCAGTCCAGCCTTAGAGCCTCGCCCGTATTGTACGAGGCTCCGGGAACAGAGTCGCAGGGTACCTGAGAAACAAGTCCATTATACAGATTGGTAGCCTGGGACTGACTTCCACTGAACAAGGAGTCTGCACCCGTTCGAAAGACGCCTCCCTCAAATAGGAACTCTAATAAGTCAAAAACACTCAAGTCTATATACTCAAAATTGTCCTCAAAGTGCCAGCATGGCAACACCAAACAATGCGGCAGGCGCTTTTCAGTCCTCTCATCCCCTCGCACAAAATAGGGGACGTCGCCACCACTAACCAGGGTTACGAGCAGATGATGAGCAAAATAAAAGACGTGATGAACTACCTACCTACCCAATATTTGGACGCTGAGACTTTTTGTTGGAACTGCTAGACAAGGTAGCTAGCTACCTAGCTGACCTCGAGGCAAAACCAAGAAAGCTCACCTACACACGAAATACGTACGAGTCTTCACTCCAGTATAATAAATGCTCATCATGAGGTAACCGCATTATCAACACGGTCCGAGTCCCTCTTTGCCCTTCACTATCTATGGGAAGATACAATGCCAGGACACGGACCAAAACCAAAACCTTGGACGATGGGATATATATGGTTTGAGCAACTCCATCATCTACCGATACCGATCTATATATATCCCGCCCCCCTAAAACCCGTGCTCGCTCGTTGCACGGCCGTACCGTACCCTACCCGTCTAGGTGCTCATCGTACCGTGCACCCTCAGTGGTGCTCCCAGCGTGCCACGCGGCTGCCCGCTCACTGTGTGTCATGTGTTGTTTGGTGTGTGATCTGTAGTCCGTGGTCCGCGGTCCGTGACTACCTTGATGAGCCACCTTATAGACTCCAACTTTCACTGCTGAAGGAGGGTCGAGCACGCAGTGCCATCTAGTCACTCAATCAATCCAGCCTTCAGCCTGCTCCCCCTCTGCCGGCTCCAGTCATCCCGACCAGCCAGTTAAAAAGTAGTTGTAACAGCCCTGTGAGCTCAAGCAAGGCAGGCAGATGGCGCAGCATCGACTGGGCTGACTACGTAGATACCGAGTGCAATTGGAAGGAGAGGTAGCTGGCATTTCTTTGGGAACGAGGCTCGAGTCGGGTACGTACCTCCTAAGCTACTCAGAACGGGCACGCATCGACCATGTCACTGCTCAGGCAGGTACTGGTACTTGGCGCTAGAGCCGGGCGTCGTCGTTGGTTCCGGGGATGTAAGGGGAAGAGAGAAGACCGATGAAGGGATGCGATGGTGGATCGTGAAGCGGGACTCGGCGCGCGCGTAGCGGTGCAAGAAGTCGGACAGTAGAGACACAGAAGTATGGTTCGTGAAAAACGTATATATTGGCCAAAGGCCACTGCCCCAAGAGATCATAGAAATGGGGCAGTAGATCGAGCGGCAAGAATACATAGCGACAGGAAGAGGTTGTTGACTTGGCCATCATTGGTAGATAGATTGATTGAGTACATGACAGTGAGAGCAGAGTGTAATATATACAGTCCGAATCTGATAGTGTTTCTGCACCAGTAACCCAAACCAACCTGGTATGGCGACTTGAAAATCGATCGCCCGCTTGCTTCTGCTGTTCAGAGAACCTCTCTCCTTCGGCACCATGACATACATACAAAGAATCATCTCGTTCAAAAGCCGCAGACGCCACCGGTTGTTTAGATGGGAATATCCCAGCCCACCGCACCACCGAACACACACTCCGTGGCCCGTCGTGGCAGCCAAGATACGGGGGCGTTTAAATGAGAAAAAAGGTCGGCAGATTGTCATCGTCGTCATCGTCGTCATTGGTAGACGGAGACAGGGAATAGTAATAGAAAGGAAGAAAACCCAGGAGATCTAGTCCAAGAAAACATAGTAACAGATCGAACGCAGCTTGACCCATCATCAGGCTAAAGCAAGCAGATAGTTGAATAGGTGATAAATGAGACGTCCATCCGTTTCCGGCATTCCGTCGTGATTGGTAGCCACGAAGGCATCACTCCAGATTGTCACGTTCGACTCAATCCCGCATGGCGTGTTCGTCGCCGAACGGACTGCGAGTCCCGCTGGCGGCTGATCTTGAGGATAGCCGCCTATGATTGCCGTCGTCAGAACCCGCGGGACGCCTGCCCGACTCCTCCACTGAGGTGCTGAGTGAGCTATTATTCTTGTGATGGCCCTTCATTTTGGCCGGCGGGTCCGAAAACGGGCCCTGGTCCATCGTCGGTGTGTTGTTGATGATGGGAACTGCACCCGAATCTTGCACCTGCAAAACCGGCTCAGGGGTGTTGTCCGAACTTCCAACCATTGTAGGTGACGAAGACTTGGATGAAGCCGATTTCACGTCAACCGTCTTGGGTCCGCTGCCAACACGGACCATTTGCGGCCGTGCTGCGGTCGCGGTCGACGCGCTCGCGTTCTTGAAGAAAGTAGCACCGATACTGAAGGCCGGGGATGGCGGTGGCTTATCGTACTTGTCATAGTCGACAGATGGCACTGGTGGCGTGGTTGAGCCGCTGTCGCTGCTGGGGGCGCGCGACTTGACGCTGACAATAGACGGCTTCAAGAAGTTGCCCCTCTGGGCCGGAAGCGGAGACACGACGGCGTTCTTGCCGTAGATGGTGGAAGCGACGCTGGATCGGGGAGCATACGATGTGCGGGCGAATGAGGTACGGTCGGTGTAGCTGGAGATGCCAGAGTAGGTAGAGTCGCGCAGATCGCCTGGGACGAAGAAGTGCTGCTCCTCGTATGGCGAGGAAGTGGCGCTGTCGGAGTGCGCAAGAGGGATCGGCGGGACAGGCGGGACCAGCAGAGTCGGGGAAGTTGGTGTCGCTCGATTGGTGACGCCGGGGATGTATGCTATTTGGATAATATTGGAGGCGCGAGTGAGCACTGTCGAGGCAACCGAGTGGACCGTATGTGTCGATTGCCGCTGCGAACGTCTCGAAGCGTAGTCGTTCTCCCTGCCCTCCTTGGTGTGTTCCATGCCCTCTTGCCAATTCTCTTGCTCGTACTTTTGCCTCTTGTTCTTGATGCAGAACCTCCAGACCAGGTACGTCAGAAGGGCCATGGCCACGAGACCTCCTATCACACCACCGGCAATCGCTCCAACATTGGGCCCGCTGCTCTTCGTCGTGCTTGTCGTCGTCTTGCTGCTATCCTTCACACAGATGGCCTGGGGGCATTCTTGGCAGTTCTCCACCATGGGGATGGTGACGGTACAGCTTTCGTCTTCGGCACATGTCGGGCAAGTTGGCTTCGCGTCTAAACATTGTACGCATCCGTTCTGTCTCTTCCCAAGTATGGAGGGCACCTCCTCGTCTGAGCCCCAAAGTTAGTTGCCGACTTCTAGAGGGCTGGGAAGTTAGGACCTACCAACTGCAAAGCCAACGAAGCCATGGATACCTGCCATCTTTGACCTTGAGATGCGGTTGAGATGCGAAAGTCAGGAATTGAGGTGAATGTTATCGGGACAAATCCTGAAGGGTGGTCGAGAAGTCGCCTCCTCCTTTGGGATTGACAATCCTGCGAAGAACTCGGTTTGGCAAGATCGGCGTGTCCTATGTATATCTTTCTGATCGACGCAAGTAATCTGTCCACAGGCGATTGAATGCTGACGCGCAATAGGCGACAGGTTGACCAGGGCACGATTGACAATGGACGATTGATGATTCCGTTTATAATAGCGATGTGGCGCGAGAATGTTAGGACAGGGCGATTGATGCGGGCGTTGCCGAGGATATGGGCTTGATGGTAGGAGCAATGTTGGTAATAAGGGTTGAAACGAGTGACAGAGAGACTAGCTCAAAAGGAAGAGAACGATATAGTAACTGCAAGCTATGCGGCTATGAGAAGAGACATCAGGACTATGGAGTACCCAGCTGCGACAGGAGAGATCGAAGCCGTGAGGTCGTCGTCGTCGTCGTCGTCGTCGATATGTTCGAGTTGATACGTCCGAGGATTGAGCGATACTTGGTTGGTGTGTTGAGCAAAGTGCGATCGGGAGAAGGGGGAAACGGGTGGACGGATGGACGGGGCTAGAAGCGTGGCAGACACTGGACGGGTGGACATGGAGTGGACAGTGGACACCTCAGTGGACAGTGCCCCCAGCTGCAGTGGGCTATGGGAAGTGGGCACTGGGAGGTGGGCGTCGGTACAAGAAAGCGGCACAGCACCGAGGAGGAGTGGAGGAGTCAGAGTGTCAGAGAGTGTCCCGCAATCCCCCAGCAATTCCAGCGCGGCATGCCAGGAAAGAGCAGGCGCTCTTGGCCTGTGGGCAATCACAGGGCAATCCAAATTGCGGGTAGCCAACGTTGTACAGCGACATGGGAGGCACTTTGGCGAAACAACGTGGAGGGTCGTCCCGCCAGCTCATTTGCCCGCCGATGGGCTGACGGGCAATAGGGTCACAGTCATCCTGTTGTTGGTGTTGTGTCAGCAAGAGGTAGTGTTCGATGTTGGGAAGAACAGCTCGGGCGGCCAGTCATCTATTGTTTGTCTTTCACATCATCATCAAGCACATTCACGGTACCATTATTGCCCGTCTGGTACGCGATGCGACGAAGTGAATGCATTGCGGAACCGACGCATAGGAAGCAGTTGCAACGGCAGAACGGCAGTAATAACTTGCTCAAGCAGAAGGGCAGAAGGGCCAGACCAACAGATCGACAGGAAAAGGTACCCACATTACAATTCCATCTTTAGAACCCATGGGGTCGTTCCGCTCTGTTCCTCGTCAAGTTGAATCGACATGGACCGCTCAAGGGCCAAGGCAAGGCTCAAGACATCCTCTGTCATGCTTCAGCCTGTTCCCCTGTGAACTTGGTAGAATTGCCTCAGAATCCCGTAAACTCGCAGCCCACCAGAAAGGGATAACGTTGCGAGTATCTTGCTTAATCTGGGCCAATAACGAATCATAGGCCCCGAGGACATGGTCCCCGCATCGTGGCTGGTCGTCGATATTATTCCCGCTTGCCACCTGGGCCTTTGTCAAGACTGATGGAGGAAGCAAATAAATCATTGTTGGTTTGTTTGTTTCAATAAGGTTCAACCAGCTATATGGCATTATTCTCGGAATCTAAATCAGAGGTAAACCAGACCGCCTTTTTGAAGCCTCCGAGTTGGCCTCTGTTGTGCTGCACGATCGGTATTACTCCAGACCGATGACTGGTTGACAAGGTCGCGTGGCGTCCTGTTGAAACCATGTACAAGCTGATCTGGGGAGTCGTTAAGCTTATTTCCTAGGAGCTGCAACGATCTGATTTTGAACACGATGCTCATAAGTGGGCGTCAGAGGCAATCTCAAGCGGTATGGTGACTGCTACACTCCCCGGCCATAAGTCTCCGAGCATCCCTGTTTTACACCAAAACACCCCAACTTTACGCGATCGTGATAAATCGAGTAAAATAGATACAACTTAAGTACTTATAGTACATATAGTCAAATTTACTGGAATATTAAAATGGTTTATTTAAAAACTTTGACATCTTGAAGATAAAGGTCGTAAATGTTACTTAATTAAAGGTTAAATTTTCGATAAAAATAACTTTCTAACATATCTATTTTTAAAAAAATCTATCATATAAGGTTTTTCGTCTTATACGTCTACTACATGTCATTTAAAATTATATAGCTTTATTACGACTTATACGATTTTTTAAACATTTCTTATAGCTTTATTAAGATTTAAGATTTAAGATTTTAAACTTTACTTTTATATATCTATTTCTTAATACTTTAGTCGCTAAGAAAATAAATATTTAGAAATTAGTTACGAAAACTTCAGCATTTTCAAATATTAGTTTCTTATAATACCTCATTTTAAAAAGCTTTAAGTCTTTATAAAAGCGTAAAGGTAGGGCATTTTGGTGTAAATGCGGGGATGCTCGGAGACTTATGGCGGGTCAGTGTACCACTTGGTCGCGGATCTCTTCATCTACGATATCCGCGCTGCGGCATCGACTTTGTTCGATAGCACGAGCCGTGAAGTACGCAGCCCAAGACCATCTCTAATCAGCTCGGAGTGGCGATGGCTTGTCGCCTGCATGTTGATTGACATAATGGATGATAGATCCGTGTAGACGTCAGCTTGGATTTCCGGAAGAACCGTGATCTATGGAATCTGTCAATTCTTTGAGTCTCAGGCCGGCTCACATATCAACCCGGCTGGGTGTTCTGCAAGAGAGCACTTCTCTTTGACGACGGTCGGATAGCGGCCAAATAGAACCTCCAGCTATTGAAGAAGTGGAACGTAACGTGGCGTATAGACGCGGGTTTTGTCCAAGACTGTTGATGAATGAGTCCCCAAAGGCATGCGGTCGGTTGATACCGCGCCGAGGTGCGTTGACAGATGACTTCGCGAAGGCCGACCACTCGTATATCGGACGGCACCCAATACATATATCTCTGCAATGAGCGTTGAATGCGGGCGATCCAGCACATCATATCCCCCCTCTACCCCTCTGATGTCGGCGGATTCCTGGTGAATGATGGCCACATGTGGTCGGATGGCGCTGATGTGAGACAGGCAGGTTGGGGTGTCTTACATTGTACAGGAGGCGACTTGCAATCCATTGGAAGAGAGGAAGAAAGCTGTTGACACGAGGATTTGACGTGCTTCGTACTGCAAGATTGCCCCTGCACCGCCTCATTCGAGAGGCCCATTGTGTAGACAAGGGCCCAAGCGCGGGGCCAGGCTCCAACAGATGTCAGCTCGGCCACCTGCAGCTGCCAGCAGTGGAAGCCCTTCTGACCATGTTCTGGAATGTAGGGGGAATTTCTCCTTTTCCGTGCTGAATCTGACGCCAAGCCATATGTACGTAAGGTGGTGCAGGTGGGATCTATTTTTACCTATGTTTCTTTTCTCCCCTGATTGCCTTGCCGCCTGCCTGTCTGTTTGCTTGTAAGTTGTCAGATATCACCCCAGAAAACGTTCATCCCATCACCTGCGCTCAGCTTGAATCAGTGCCATCCCAAAACGGAATTTACTTCCTGCAACATCCGCCTAACGTCCGCCTAATAACGTCCGCCTACCGTCCGCCTACCGTCCGCCTACCGTAGCTCGGGCACCCGGCACCTCGTTAGTCAGGGCGGCCAGGCTGGGAAAACGGGGCTGTGGGTTTCAAGCTAATCCGTCCCATATGGAAGTTCAAGATCTGGAAAACCCCTGAAGTCTGAAGAGTCACTGTCCTCAAAACTCACAGGCAGCTGGATTCTTGATTTGACGCAGACTGTACGACGGCTTTCTTGCGCTTGTTGGAGAAAGCTAGCCGACCACCTGTCTCACATAATTATGAACAGCAGCTCAGCAGGGATTATGGGTTGTGGGCATTTGCCGAAAAAGACCATCAATGCGCCTACGGATCCACTGGGTACAGGTCGACCCCTGAATATGTGGATCGAATTGCCCTGTGGCTGAAGCTGAAGCTGAAGATGGATCTGACCTGACTACCTGCATAGTAATAAGTTGCTGCGGTGTTGATACGGAGTCCTGACTGCCAGACTGCCTAGATGGAAGGAGATCTTATTCAGATATAGGTATCTCTGTTCAAAGAGTGTGGGAGATGTTCTCCCCAACTTTCGGGCTCCGTCCAACACGGATTGTCACGAGGAGGGGCAACGCAACAATTGTATCATTCGTGACGTACATAGATAGTGCGACGTAGCATTTTCAGGTCACGCAGCTTGCTAGAAACACCTGCATGCAGAGAATACTTGGCGATGGCACTGGTGGACGCTTGTCAACTGCCCTTCACAGCTTTCATTTTGTACACAGTAGATGCGTGCTGCGCGCGGTACTCCATGCCCTGTCGTCTGGTCTCCATCACTGCCACTGCTACAGCCACTCTAGTGCCTCCCCTAACTGCATGCGCCGACCGCTAATAGGCTGCGCGTGGCCCTCCAGCGCTACGCAGCACCCGGCACAGCATAGCATCAGCAGTAACGTACCGTAACGAACCTGCTAAGCCACACTGACCCTGTGCACGAACCCAAGAAGTCCCCCTTTCATTGGTCTCCAGTCTCCTGTTGCTCGTACATAGGTGCTTCCGGTGCAGCATCCCTGACCAGAAGAATACGAATCTGCTGTAAAGCCAGCTAATCTTGACCCTCGACTCTCCCATCATCTCCTCCCCTTCTCCTGAAACCCTTTGATTCACCATCGCGAAGAGCATCTGCTATGCCTCGGAGCGTCGGGTGATTCATCACATTGTTACCCTGTCCTTTCTTTCTTCTACCACCGAGCCGACTTGCAGTTCATTACCCTTTCCTGCAAACAGTCCACTCGCTTTTCCCATTCACGCCAGACTTCTTTGTTTGTTCTGCCGTGGGGGAGCCCTGATTCACGGTTTCCCAGCCGCCCCTGGATCTTCTTTGCCTGCTACCTCCGCCTAATACCTGCCCAACCAAAACACCAGGAGAGAACCTCCCGTCTCTTGGGCACTCCAAAAACAGACACCCGCTCTCGCCAACATTGTTAGACACCTGCTCGCCCATCGCCAACATTGTTTCGCAACACCTGACGAAGGCCCTTCGAGCCGCCCGCAACCATGGCGTACAATCCTCACGGTAACAGCAACGAGTATGATGGCCATAGGCTCCAAGACCTGCCTGCGGGTGGCAGCTCTGTAAGCTTAACCTTAACCACCGCCACGGGTCCATCCGTCCATCCGTCCATCCATAAGGTTTCACAGCTAACGCTCTTTTCTCTTGCAGTACCATCTGCCCGCCGGTGCTGAGCAGGACGACGACGAGTCCCAGCGTCACCTCCTGGGCCACTCTCCCGGCTTGCATCCACAATACGAGCAAGATCGCTTAGGCGCGGGCACACCTCCTGTGCGCCCCGTGTCCGCGTACAGTCTGACCGAATCCTATGCCACCCCTGCGCCTCCGACTACACAAACACCCGTGCCGTACGGAAATGAATACGGCGGCGGTGGACAGTTCGCTGGTCACCAGCTGGAGGACACTGGTTTTGGCTATGGCCGACCCGCCTCGACCATGACCGCCGACACGGACGAGAGCTGGCTGCGTCGTCAGCAGCCGGGCGGTGCACCCGGTGGCTTAAAGCGGTACGCTACTCGTAAGGTCAAGCTTGTTCAGGGTTCCGTTCTGAGCGTCGACTATCCTGTCCCTTCTGCCATCAAAAATGCCGTCCAGCCCAAGTACCGCGACGTCGAGGGTGGCACCGGCGAGTTCATCAACATGCGATACACCGCTGCCACTTGCGATCCCAACGATTTCACCCTGAAGAATGGCTACGATCTACGACCCCGGATGTATAACAGACACACCGAGTTGTTGATTGCCATCACCTACTACAACGAGGACAAAGTGCTCTTTGCCCGAACCCTGCACGGTGTAATGCAGAACATCCGCGACATCGTCAACCTGAAGAAATCTACCTTCTGGAATAAGGGTGGTCCGGCCTGGCAAAAGATTGTTGTGTGCTTCGTCTTCGATGGTATAGATAAGGCGGACAAAGAAACGCTGGATGTACTGGCGACCGTGGGTGCCTTCCAGGACGGTGTCATCAAGAAGGAAGTCAACGGCAAGGAGACGGTGGCTCACGTTTTCGAGTACACCACCCAACTGTCTGTGACGCCCAACCAGCAGCTCATCCGCCCCACGGATGACAGCCCGCAGACCCTGCCTCCCGTCCAGATGATTTTCTGCTTGAAGCAAAAGAACACCAAGAAGATCAACTCCCACCGTTGGTTGTTCAACGCCTTCGGCCGAATCTTGAACCCTGAAGTTTGCATTCTCCTTGATGCCGGTACGAAGCCCGGCGGAAAGTCGCTTCTTGCGCTCTGGGAAGGCTTCTACAACGACAAGGATCTGGGTGGTGCCTGTGGTGAAATCCATGGTACGTATTAAAACATCCCACCCCGAGACCCTAGACCATGTATTCGAGAACAAGCTTTGTTGTTCCCTTTCCTTCTTTATTTAGAAAATGGCCGTACGGGTTTAAAGACTGGATGCTAACATACACGCAGCTATGCTTGGGAAAGGCGGCAAGAAGCTGCTGAACCCCCTCGTCGCTGTCCAAAACTTCGAGTACAAGATTTCCAACATTCTCGACAAGCCCTTGGAAAGTTCTTTCGGTTACGTCTCTGTGTTGCCCGGAGCCTTCTCCGCCTACCGGTTCCGCGCCATCATGGGCCGGCCGCTCGAGCAGTACTTTCACGGTGACCACACACTGTCTAAGATTCTTGGAAAGAAGGGTATCGAGGGCATGAACATTTTCAAGAAGAACATGTTCTTGGCCGAAGATCGAATTCTGTGTTTCGAGTTGGTCGCCAAGGCCGGCTCCAAGTGGCACCTGACGTACATCAAGGCTGCCAAGGGTGAAACCGATGTGCCGGAAGGAGCGCCCGAGTTCATCGGTCAGCGACGACGATGGCTCAACGGTTCCTTCGCTGCCTCGCTGTACTCCCTCATGCACTTCGGGCGGATGTACAAGAGCGGTCATAACATCATCCGCATGTTCTTCTTCCACATCCAGCTTCTCTACAACATCGCAAACGTCTTGTTCACCTGGTTCTCCCTGGCTTCGTATTTCCTGACTACCACGGTCATCATGGATCTGGTCGGTAGTCCGGATGATGCGACGGGGAAGACGGGTTGGCCGTTTGGGGACACCGCTACGCCCATCGTCAACATGATTCTTCAGTACCTCTACATCGCTTTCATCATCCTGCAGTTCGTCCTTGCGCTCGGTAACCGTCCCAAAGGTTCCAAGTGGTCATACATCAGCTCGTTCGGCGTGTTCGGTTTTGTCCAGTTGTACATCCTCCTCTTATCCGGGTATCTCGTCGTCTCTGCCTTCACGAATCCTGTCAATAAGGTGGAAGGCGACGTTGGCGACGCTCTGAAAGACATGTTCACTGGTAAATCCGAAGTTGCCATTATCATTCTAGCGCTCCTAGCCACGTTTGGTCTCTACTTCATCGCCTCGTTCATGTACCTGGATCCCTGGCACATGTTCCACTCTTTCCCGTCCTACTTGATCCTCATGTCAACGTACATCAACATTCTGATGGTCTACGCCTTCAACAACTGGCATGACGTATCTTGGGGTACCAAGGGCTCTGACAAGGCTGAGGCGATACCTGCGGCTCATGTAGTAAAGGACGAGAAGGGTGACGCTGCTATTGAGGAGGTCGAAAAGCCTCAGGAGGATATCGACAGCCAGTTTGAGCAGACGGTGAAGCGGGCTTTGGCTCCCTTCAAGGAGGAGGTTGAAGTCGAAACGAAGGACCTCGACGATTCGTACAAGTCTTTCAGAACTTCGCTGGTCATCACCTGGTTGTTCACCAACATGGCTCTGATCGTCGGTGTGACCAGTGATAGTCTGGCCACATTTGGCATTGGTGTAAGTGCTTACCACCCAGATAATCGATACGCAGACGGACTGACATGCAGTAGGGCAAAACTTCGGACAGAACGGCGGCTTTCTTCAAGTTCCTGCTCATCGCCACGGCACTACTGTCTCTGGTCCGTTTCATCGGCTGCTGCTGGTTCTTGGGCAGGTCCGGCATCATGTGCTGCTTTGCTAGACGGTAGAAAACCAGCGTCTGGACAATGATATAAGGGGTCTGGAAATATACCCCAAGTCTGTATACAAATCTCGATAATCTCCAGGACCTGGCGTCGCACACTGTTTCTGTACTGGATAAGGTAGATAGGAGAAATGAGCTGGTTCGGAAGACCGGTAAGACGAAGCAGAAAAGTTGTGCTTTTGGCATGATGACGACGGATGGCCTCGTCAAATCGACAGACATTGCTTTGGGCGTTTTCGATTTCCCTCTACATACTACTATTAATGTGCCTAAACTAAATGACAAGGTCACCTTCCACATTGCCTCTATTTCTACTGCCGCTTGATGTGACGTTATTTGTATGCCTATGATGACCAGTACTGCGTTCCGTCTGTACAGGAGGTAATAATCTTTGTCCGCCGTCACAGTTCAGTTCTTAGGATTGCCCCACCAATGAATAATACGGCGCTTTACCCCACGTACTTTTTCAGGATGTAGCCTTCACTGTCTTCTCCCAGCGACCAACGAACAAACGACACCGACAATCTTCAAACGCCGGAATCAACACATACTGCCTTACACCGAGCCACAAAAACGAGATACTTGCCCGCCGAGAGAGCAAAGCTATGGAGACATTGGAGACGGTCCAAGCCCGCCACCGCAAAGAGCAGCGGGACCTGCAGTCGCGCGTCACGAACAAGAAAAAGAATGCCACCAAGAAGACGCGCAAGGGCGTCAACGATGAGTGCGCCGAGCTCGAGAGCCAGCTGAAGGAAAGGCAGGAGCAGGAGATCGCCGCACTGAGCGGACACGTCGACGATGCACAAGAGGCAGACAGGACAGATGCAGCAGCCGAGGAAGCGCAAGCAGAGCCCGACGGCGCGAGGAGCCCACAAGCAAACGACGCCGCGGCGACGACGAACGGGATCACACAGCAACTGAAAGACACGCAAATAGCCCCGTCTGGATCAGCAACGCCGTCCATACCATCCCCGTCCGAGTCCGAACCACCTACACAAGGCAAGAAGCGCAACCGCCAGAAAGACCGCCTGGCGCGCCGCGCCGCCGAGCAGGAAGCAGCAGCCGCGGCGGCAGAGCAGGAGGCGACGGGCATGACGGACCACCGCAAGATCGAGAAGAAGTACCTGCACGCCGAGTTCGAGGCCCACGGGCTGGTCGAGAAGGACATCGAGCCCGACGGGCACTGCCTCTTCGCGGCGGTGGCGGACCAGCTCTCGCAGCGCGGGATCCCACTCGTTTCCGCATCTAACATAGACACGAAAGGCGTGCCGCGGTACCGCATCGTGCGCCGCGCCGCCACGGACTACATGCTGGCGCACGCGGACGACTTTGCGCCGTTCCTCGACGGGGGCGAGGACCTCGAGGGGTACACAAGCAAAATCAGGGACACGGCCGAGTGGGGCGGTCACCTGGAGCTGATGGCGCTGGCAAGGCGGTACGCCGTCGAGATCAAGGTCCTGCAGGACGGGCGCACCGAGACCATCGCGCCGGATGAGGGGTCCAAGGGGGACGCGGATGCGAAGAAGAAGATGAAGATGGAGGGCGAGGGCGATGAGAAGAGGATCTGGCTGGCTTATTATCGCCATGGGTATGGGCTGGGCGAGCATTATAACTCGCTAAGGAAGGCGAGGTGAGGCATGGCTGATGTCTAGCCCGTGGCCTGGCCCTGAGAAAGGGGTTTCACAAAACTCCTGGGACGTGGTCACCTGTGGGAGCTGGTGTACGAGTGGGTTGCTCCATGGTAATCCAGGAGCAACCATCTGCTTCCTACAGACATTGGGGCTCGGCGATGTTGACTCCCTGGAGCCAGCGCTTCGAGGTTGCGCGATGAGCGTGCGAGGTACACTGTTCTCTGGGCAAGCGGCTGCCTCTCGAAGGTCCGAGGAGGAATCATTCCTCCTTCAGCTCACACGCCGGACACCACAGGTCGACTTATGCAGTGAGAGGTCCAGTCCTATTCTCTGTACTGGCATCTGCGTTACAGCTATCTGTCGAAATTTGCCGTCTATGTAGCACTCAGTAGCGATACATGTATTGTATAAGAGCAGATCAAGACAGCTGTAGCCAACGAAAGATACGATAAGATATACTCAGTTCTAGTTACATTGGGTTAATGCGGCAATGGGACGCCTGGGTTGGGTGGTGTCATGCTCAGCCCGAGTCGGAAAAGGGCCTCTTCAATGGCTGAAGGGAGGGTTTCTGTGTTAAGTGGTAGGCAGTGGGATCTTGCTTTACTCTGGCCAGTCCTGTTCAGTTGGAACTTGATGGCGAGGTTTGAAAGGGCTTGGAAGCTGGGGGATGTGTGGATGACTTAGGCTGTACCTACTGGGCGGACAACGTTGTCGATTCTGGATTTCATGGCTCCAACCTGTCTGATTGAGGAACATGGCTTATCGAAGATTGTTTATAACTGTCAGAGGTATCGATGGCAGTTTTTGTGGATCGTTGCCTAGTCCCAATGGATTTCTCGGAGCCTGACATCGTGGGCCGGCTCAAAGGTCACGAAGGAAGGCGAGGGTCTTGCTACCCCTTTACGCTCGATGGTGGTAAATATGTGAAGTTACGATCTCTCCAGCCAGATAGAAGCTCCCTACTTAGATATGACTCAGTAGTGTACTAGCTTTGAAACAGTCGTCGCAGATACTGGCGCTCCGTAACAACCCCTCTATCCTAGGCGATACGCCCCCTTTGTAGATCTGCGAGCATGGCCTTGTCCTTGGCCGAGTACCTACAGTCAAAGTCTGCACACTCAATGTCGAGTTTTCGTCATAATATATCCCAGCTGCAGATCTTGAGCCGGATGACACATTTTCGCCCATCGCTACACCGAGTAACATCTTGGGTCAAAGAAGGGGTCGGGTATACCGTATCGTGAATGGTGGCTTTACTTCTCCGCAGTTTTTACAATAGTCTGCGGAGATGGTGGAGTTCCCCCCTTTATGGAAGAAAGGGGGGAACACTAAGGTTACATTGTCGTTGCCAAGAGGTATATATAGGTTTGTTGCGCCGATTGAATCACGTCATACTTCTTGTGACAGACCACAGCTGAGCCGATGATACAAAATGAAGATTTTGAGTCTGTTGTCCTCGCTATTGCCCCTGGCTGCGGCCAAGTACCCTACCAAGCCCGCACAACCCTCGCACAACCATACCGTGTGGTTATGTGGAGACAGCACGATGGCGCCCGGTGGTGGGCACAACGGCACCGAAGGCTTTGGAAAATATCTGCAATACTCTTTTGATAGCAGCCTGATCCGGGTCAACAACTCGGCATATGCTGGGAGGAGCGCGAGGACTTTTACCAGAGAGGGCAGGTTCCAGGCCGTGGCAGACAAGATCGTACCGGGAGACTGGGTAGTCATCGAATTTGGCCACAACGACGGTAGACTATCTCGCGATACTTATTATTGACAGGGAGGTGAAACTAACGTGTTTGGCAGACGACGGGCAGGGAACTGTGCCTGCCAACGATACAAAGTCCCGAGTCGACTGCCCCGGAATGGGCAACGAGACCTGCATCGGCAGCTACAACAACCAAACCGAGATTGTCCAGACATATGTGACATATCTCCGAAACGCGTCCTCCATCTTTCTCTCTCTGGGCGCACGCGTCATCATCTCGCCGCCTACGCCTACCAACCCGTACCTGACCGCCAACGGCTCGTTTGCCTGGGCGCCGACCAAGTATTCCTACTACTCCTGGTACATCGTCTCGTCGCTTGGCGGTCCTAATGCTGGTATCTACTATGTCGACCACAGCAGCTACTGTGCCCAGGCGCTGGAACTCCTTGGCGCCGATGTTGCAGACGCGGGCTTCCCTATGGACAATACGCACACGAGTCCGTATCTGGCGGATGTAGTCGCGAAGGCGTTTGTGTTGGGGGTCAAGTGCGGCACCAGCCCGTTGCAAGACTACGTCGTAAATGCAACCAGTAGGATCCAGGGTCCTGAGTTGGGCTCTTGTTTGAGTATCGATGACACGCTCCCGATTTAAGATGACAGGTAGAAATTGACGGTTATATCTGAACTCGCTCAAGCAGAAAGGGGAGTAGACTACGGGCCAGCCAAGTGTCTCTCATGATCCACTGGGAGACAGTGTGTATCTCAAGTAATGAACCATGTGTTGCCATGGCAGAAAATCAGCCTGCCTCCTCTAATAACGCGACATTGTCCTTAACTCTATACTTTTCGGCAAGCTCCAAGGGCGACATAGGGTGCCTATCCGTCTTCATCGCAGAGCAAGTACTGACCTGCTCCGCGCCTCTATCAAGCAGCAACTTCACCATATCGCTCTTTCCACCCCAGATCGCAAAATGAAGAGCATTCTGTCTTCCCATGAGCATAGCTTCGCACGACTGAATAGCTTTATTGCGATTCTCCATATAGAAGGCGTTGGTAGGGGCACCTTGATCCAAGAGGTATTGGACCAGCTCCAAGCGCCCAGGAACACCAAGAGTGTGGCGATAAGATGCTTGGACGACTAAAGCACCATCCACAACAGAGCCTCCGTGGCCGGCCAGGAGCTTCAGCGTGTCTAGAGAAGCGTAACTAGCAGCTCGCTGCATGACGGTATCTCCTGACAAGCTGGAGGCCTTCGGGTCCGCGCCTCGGGACAAGCTCTCGATCGTCCAACAGCATGCTATTCGAGCAATTAGCCACATAAGGTCCCGCGAGGACTGCAAGATGAATCATGTAGGCCTGAGAGACTGACCTCATCAGTGGGGGAGTGTTGTCGTTGATGGGCTCGTTGATGTCCCAGCCGGAGTCAACAAGGAGTTTGATGAGATAACTATCTCCTGTTTCTTTCCAATTTTTCTTTGCGCATGAGATCGCCAGGGCGTCCGGCTGCAGGCCCTTGTCCAAGAGGAGATGCACTACCTCCCGACTGTCGTTTGTGCAGGCATTCCGTATTGCATTCGAGTCGTTGAACCAGGCCAGTGCATTCGGTTGTATGTTCGCTGCGGAATCTTCCCATTCCGTAAGGAATGTCTGAACATCAGCTAGCGGCGAGTTGCTGGCACTGAGGTAGTTAAGTTTGCTGGCTGCCTCATCCAAGGCTTTTGCCCGCTCGGTGAACTTCCAAGGCTCGTCAGCGTTCGCACGTCCGGCATTGACGTTGGCACTGTGATCGCAGTTGAAGGGCCTGATGATATGCGTTTCGCCCCAGCGAGGCTCCTCCCAAGACGGGTCCGAGGGGTGGAGAGCAAATGTGTCCATTTCCTTGAATGATCATTATCATGCGAAAGCGTAGCGTTGAGGGTTTGCGATCGTAAAACCCGGCAGATTGTTCATGATATTCTCATTTCGTGTCCCCAACCTTTACGAAGGAAGTGGCACAGTGGCCGAGTGACGACATACTGCAGCCAGCACGCTTGGCTCGACTCGGCTGAAACCAGACTTTGCCCCTTTGCTTGTTGCGTCTCCCAGGGGCTACATGTAGTACTGTCAGCAGTGTCTAAAGACCATAGACAGTACACCAAAGGCAGGTAGTTCACATCAGGTATGTAACATCATGCATATATGATTTACCTTGCCGCTTGATTTATAAGCGCGTGAGTTCGCCAGTCGGGTCCCTCGTAAGTTCAAGAAATGGGCAGGAAGGTTGGTTGATGGTTTATTCCTAGATATTACTTCACCCTACAGCCTCACGGTACACCCTGGAAGATACTTCTAACTCTAAGTTGAGCAAAGGACTTGCATCGTTCTCTCTACTTGTATTTGAGGAGCCAGCGATGACTTCTGAGAGATACTTGCTGGCCTTGACGTAGTACCTCTACCCATCCGAAGGAAAGATCGCGACGGTGATCTCATCAGAGCATGTGTTTCCAAGACGCAGAAGCAACATGAGTGGATGATCGTGTTCCTACGGCTGAACTTAGCGGTCGATATGCCAGTTGGCAGACAGAACGCGCACGGGAGTTGAGAACTCCCAGATCTAGTGAACGCCCAGGAGGATCCGTGTGCGTGGGCAGGATCAAGTCGACCGCTGCGCCTGGTATTTGATCAAACCAACATATGGGCTGCTCAAGAAAGCTGATTAGATCAAATTGATACTTCATGGGCTTAGCATAAGAGGTATTGATGTCTCCGGGAGTCTTGTGATCAATGCTTGGACATAGGAACTCCAGTCCCCTCAGTCGCATGTCCCAAGACCGAACTTGTTTCTCTCAGGCCGCCTCAAAGAAACATACCATACAGCCCGACTCTCTCGTCGAGCACTGTCCGCGATGCGGGTTTCTCGAAGCTTAGCGTTGACTGCCGCTGCAGTCGGACAGACCCATGGCCTCGTTCTTCCTGACACAACGTGGGCTTCTCATATCAACCATCGGAAGGATCAATCGCTTACATACCTTAGATAGCTATAGCTCAAAAGCGAGCTCGGCCGTTCCGACCCGCGATGCCGCCTCAGAACTTCACGGCATCGTCGCCCGTGACTTTATCTGTGACATCGCAGACCAGCCACATTGCATCTCTTGCCCCGATCCCGAACTGTAGCTGGGCAAATGTCCCCCGGGAGGCATCTGCGGTCGTTCTCCTGACACGACCGCAGCGGCAGATAGCTTCGCCCTTGATCCTCGCACCAAGATTCCGTTTGATACTATCCTGAGCGGCTCCTGGGGCCCAGGCGAGCTCCTCGAGACAGCAAGATTATCTGTCTGTTCTGTCATGGCTGTCTACGATCAGAACGATGGGGGCCGTATGGCGCAATGGTCAAATGCGCCTGGTTGTGTTCTCGTTTGTGCGGTGGGCGACGAGAACAAGTGGGTTCGAATCCTGCTATGGCCCCCTTCTGACCCGGCTTGTGCGAGTCGACAACCAGCACACGACAATGGAGAGGCCCCTTATCGCAGAGCCCGATAGCCAAACAGCTTGTCTCCACAACACCCACTCCTGCGAGGTTTTTCCCCTTGTGGTTTCCCTTGCCAGCAGATAACAAATACCTACTTTACCCACCAATGCGACATATATCGAACGGCTACTGGAACGATGTGTACACCAGAGGACTGAGGTTCACTGGGTCGCTTAGTCACTGGACAGGAGGGTTTTCTGACGGAATCGTGTTTGGGTATTGACTAAAACCATCTGGTCATTCCAGGTTGGTACCGCTATAGCGAGGATAGGCTCGTGCGCGGATCTGAATGTATCTAGACTGACACCTCTACAACCTTGCGATGCAATGGCTCTGGGAGGCGTGGTTTGCCCTATGGAGGGACTGCACCCACGATAAATACAATCAATCAATCAATCAGATCAGAACGATGGGCGATGGCACACATCCCTCCGGGCCAAGCGAACGGCAAAGACTTGATCGCCACTGGCGAAGAGGTCGTTGATGCATACAAAGAGTCTATGACGGCCAAGTACAACCGAGGCTCAGAAGCATAGTCCACAAGGGTACTTGCTGATCAGCGTTGAGCTGGACCCGGACTTCCGGCAGTCGATGCGCCAATGGTTCCTGGACAATGATGTTGGGTTCACCGAGCAAATATACAGCTTCGACGGCGTGATACCTGGTAGTGGCAAGTTCGTTATCTCTCAACTGATTTAGGTGATTTCATGGGGTCAGTGGCCTGTTCATTCTGACTACTCATGGAACCAACCAGCTTGTGCCAAAAGGAATCATGTGATGAAGGGAGGAGAGCTGGGACTTGATGCTTAACAGGGTACCCTACAAGCAAGTAGCGAGTAGTCATTTCACAATAACAATACTTCATAACCACCTAGCGGTGTCCCAGGTACAATCGCGGCGTCTTATCTCTAGATGAGCATAGGTTGAGCATAGGTTACGGTACCTCAAGCATAAGGTAAACCTTACAGATGGTAAAGCTACAAGCAACCATTCACAAATCGAAACTAGTCCTAGTTCTTCATCCTCTCATCACACGCCTCGGATGAGCTACCCTTGGTTCGCTTCACACCTCTTACCTTGGCTAGGCTTTTGACTGAGGCCCAAGAGTCTGTGCTACTGTGACTGCTGTGGGCCTCCTCCCACTCGGGGTTCACCCTCCAACCTCTTTCTTTTCACAGTATCAAGTTCGTCCTTGGCTTATTGGCTACACAAAAAGCCACAAAGGCTCATCGAGATCAGTCATACTCTAACGAAAGGAGTACGGTGGACTGTTGTCGTCATACTAATGTTACCTTGTATACCTCGGTAGGAAGGGAACTCGGTGAGAGACTGGTATAGAAAACACTGAATCACTGATTGTTCTATAGAGAAGTGCGGCACTGCAATCGGCCCTTTGTGTAGGCCTCCCACCGACATCAAATGTACATTTTGGTCTGTTGGGGTCGGACGGGGGTTTCTGCCCGTTCAAAAGACGCCGTCTCTCAAGTAGGGTCTCTAAGTCAAAACACTCAAAGTTAGATACTCAACATATCGGCGGAGGCCAGTTGGGATGCCACCGGCAGATATGCTCCGCGTTGAGCCCCCTTCCGTTCCCACCCATGACTTACTCGGCAATTGTTATACATAGATTGGCATATCACAATCACTCTCCACTTCCTCGTATGTCATTGTGGTTATGAGGCTTGAGTCTAGTGACAACTATAGTCACATGAGCAGGACTTCGCGCTTGTTTAACTTCAAGCTTGCTCGGGTACCTGACCCTAAGCGCGATGACGGCTCATCGTCGATGCTCTGCCTCGAAAGCTGGGCTGCGGCTCTCCCCGAGGCTAAGGCAAAGAGGAGGGGAGGAAGCCGAACCCTCGTGTGGCTTCCACTAAGCTGACTCTCAAGGTACTCAGGAGCGCGGGTCGTTTGGGACTGCCAAAGACCGTCCGGCGCCTATGACGCTGGGTCGGCTGTTGAGGCAACCCCGTGATCTTGCCATTGCATTCTAAGTACCTACTTTGGCATACTTGCTGACGCGAGAGACCCCATAGGTCCATGTGAAAGGGGGGCATTGGGGTAGTGTAGGCCACATCTATTTGGACTTCATGTTCCCAACGCAGCACATTGAGAGATGTGATCAATCTTGGAATCAGTCCAGGCTGAGCCGCAACGTTGGCGAGTTGTTGGGTTTTTTTTTTTTGGTGGCTCATGGCTGAACCTTATTGATCTTCTCGACCAACCTTAACGCCAATAGGGCTCCAGCGAGTCCTTCGGCTGACACCTTTCTCCGTCATATCCAGTTAGAATATAGGCGCATCTAGAGGTTTGCCGGCATGGTACTCTCGCGAATTCGCCATATGATATTGACCAGTTGTTCATCTTCGTAGGGAAGTGACTTCGAGAGGGGTTGTTGACGGACTCAAACCTATACGCCGCCATCGGCAGTAGTCCCTGGAGGAGGTCGGAACCGCGTTATTCATGTTGTTGTCGGCGTGTTTTGCATCGGTGGTACTCCTGGCCTGTGATACTCCTGGCGTATGATACTCTTGGCCTGTGATACTCCTGGCGTGTGAGTTCTATAAGAGCCGAATCTACCCTCCAATGTGATCTGTCATGTCGAAAACCACAGACTTCTCGGATCTGTCATCTTCAATCATTACTAGCACCACCAACTTCTCAGAACTGTCATCTTCAGTCGCTACCACCACCACCACCAGTTCGGCTACGTGACAATGCTCAAGCTCAATGCGACTTTGGCCGCCTTCGTGGCGTGTGCCAGCGCTATGGATACCGCGCTTCACGGACAGTGGAACTGGACTCTCCTCGAAGATGAGTTCGCCAAAGCCGGCTACGAGAGCACTATCAAAGTCCCGTCAGGAGACTTGATCGCTCCAGTTCTTGACTTCGCCGGTCCCGTCGACTTTGGCAACTATTCCATTAACGCTCCCTTGCTATGTAATGGCGAGATTACCCACCTACAATGTTTTACCTGGTTCGACGCCACCTTCGATCCCAGTCGCTGTGCGGACGCCTGCGAGTCGCAGACTCTGTACTACCAGCAGAACAATCAAGACCTGCGCTGTCGCTTCTTCAATACCTACATGATCACAAAGAATGGTTCCGACTATGCTCAGTATTGTGCACTTGTAAGTGTGCTGTCATGGCAAATACTGGGGGCCGAAGGTATCTAATTCCTTGCTTAGTACGGCGAGAACTGGAACTCCACCTGGGCGACCAACCCGGGGCAATACGACCAGAACGGCACCTTCTATGGTGTCTACGACTCGCAGGGATACTTCAACGCAACTGATTTAGGAGCCTGTCAAGGTAGCTTCGTGACCACGACTCTTACCTCCACGACTACGACTCTGTAAGCATCAACGTCACCCCTCAGTGCCAGCACAATGTATGGTATAAGGCATTCTGACACTCAATAGTTCGACCAGCACCACCCAGCCCACCACTTCCCCATCCACTACCGCCACTACTACGCTCACTACGTCTCCATCCACCGCAAGAACCACCACCTCACCTACCACCACTTCGCCATCCACCACTTCACCATCTACAATCTCAGCTTCTACCAGCTCAGCTACCACCAGCTCAGCTACCACCACCTCATCTTTGACCACCTCATCTTTGACCACCTCATCTTTGACCACCTCATCTTCGGCCACCTCACCTTCCACTACCGTTATTACCGTTACTACTACGCTCACTCCGTCTTCATCCACCACTGCTCCGTCTACTACGTCTCCGTCCACTACCTCACCTTCCACTACTGTTATTACCGTTGCTACTACGCTCACTCCGTCTCCATCCACCACTTCTCCGTCCACTACCTCACGTTCAACTACCTCACCTTCTACTACCGTTATTACCGTTACTACTACGCTCACTCCGTCTCCATTCACCACTTCTCCGTCCACTACGTCTCCGTCCACTACCTCACGTTCCACTACCTCACCTTCTACTACCGTTATTACCGTTACTACTACGCTCACTCCGTCTCTATCCACCACTACTCCGTCTACCACTCAAACGACAACTCAAACTACCACCTCAAGCGTGGCGGCTCCAACCTTCGCGTGTAATTCGAATGCTTACCTCAGTAAGTAGCCGACACCTCTCCCACACAGTCATGGCTAACATCTTACGTACCAGTCCAGAATAACCTAACCATATTCTCGTACGGGCAACTGTATCAGGTCAATGTCAGCACTGGTACGAGCACGCTCATCAAGAATAATGTTGGTGGTGGCCTTTTCCAGGTCAACGCGATGGGCTACAACTCGCTGGACAACTACCTATATGCCGCGCTTTTTACCACCCCAGTCCTACTTATCAAGATCAACTCCACCGGTGATAGCAGCGCGGTCGAGCCTCTTCCAGTGTTCTCCACTGTCAACGCCCCTTACGCGGGTGATGTAGACGAGGTGGGCTACTACTGGGCGTACAGCTACGTCAACAGCCAGTATGTCAAGATCGACGTCACGTCGGGAGCGGGCTACGGGTCAGTCGTGGCGGCCGGAATCGCAATCCCCGACCTCCTCATCAACGTCAATATCCCCGACTTCGCGGTACGTTTTAAGAACATCCCAGCCCAAGACCCCGAGCCTTGTTTTCGAGAATAAGCTTTGCTGTTCCCTTTCCTTCTGCAACTAGAACATGGCCGTACGGGTTTAAAGACAGGATGCTAACGTACACGCAGTACGTGCCGGGCGGCGGGAACTTCTTGTACGGCCTGGGGTACAACACTCTGCCCACTCTCTTCACACCCGTCACGTCGCGGCTGTACAAGTTCGACCGAACGCTCCTCAGGTGGTCCCTGGTCACGGACTTTGGGCACCTCACCGGCGGCGACAGATGGGGCGCCGTCTACGCCGCTCCAGGTGGCATCCTCTACGCCACCGAGAACGTGAGCGGCGAGATCTGGAAGTTCACCTACCCCTTCACCGACAAGACCGGCGCCAACAGACCCGTCAAGGTGAGCACTGGATTGAGCGCCGACTTCAATGACGGTGCGCGATGCATCAATGCGGCCTAGGTTGATTCTGGGGCGTCCGCACAGCCAGGCGGAGACTTAGTCTTGCTGTCGCTTTCTCTGCCGGGCGGCGAAGCCGTCCTGATGGGCCATTGGGGCTCGGAGTCGGGAATGTAATGTGCGTCGGGATGGGATTCAAGCTTGGCATCCAACTATTAGCTTACACTGCTTGGCCAGTTTGGAATACCATGTTCTTGAAGTTACCGAGACTGGGGTTAACGTCAAATAGGGAGCTCGGGAGTGCTTTCAACAGCACTCAGAGCTTCCTTTGTGGGACTTGCGGTGTGCGAGGAGTTATTCCATTTCTCAAGTCCAGGTCTGTTGGACTAGTAATTCATGTATGGCAATGCCCTCAGTAGGGGCTTCAATCGCCTTTAGACTTCTTCTTGTTCTTTTAACATATAACACTTTGAAATCTCACATGGTCCGCATCTCTGCTTCGTTGTTAATGGGTCCCCATCGTGAGGTTACCCACCCCGGAGCTGACGGATGACGAGGTCCCATGCACGCGCCGCGGTCGGGAGAAGAATGTCTCATCATCGCGGGTGTCTGGTGTCACTGAGGTTTAAAAGCCCCTTCTTCAGCCAATTTTTCTTTATCACGAAGCGCTTCGGCAGGAAGGCAAGAGCCAAACCCAAATGCCATAGAATACAACGAAAAGCAGAGCACGAGTGCTGAACGCAAAGCCCAACAGATAAAAACTATACTCCTTGGACGGGAACAAAACGGCCATTTTGAATGCATTTCAAGTCCTTAAGTCTTCCAATTTGGGTTTCCTCCTAAGGGACGACGTAGGTCTCTTGAGCGGCAACAAATCCGGAATGAGTGTGCCCCCCGAAAAGCATGCGAACCGAATCATAGTTCCTTCTCAAAAACGTGCGCTCATAATAAACAAGATCACTAGATTCTTGCCCTGAGTCGCACACACAAATGCAAGTCGAGGCTTTGCCATATATATCACCGCGTTAGCGGCCCGAGTGGGCAATAAAGTTAGCATACATTACTCAAGAAGCTCGGAATGACGTCTCGATGCAGGCGCGCAAGATATCAACCTAGAGCTTAAACGAGTCATGTCAACGGCTGCTTGTGTTGAACGACCCGCAAGCCACCGTGGCGTTCAGGGAGGTGGCAGTGCACTGAACAAGGCTAGTAGGGCATCTTGGGACCACCTGGCACACAACAGATCCTTCCAGATACACACACACACACACATACATCTAATGGAAATCACTGAATACACATCTTTCAACCATATAAACCATATTACGCACTGTTTCACGGCTTGTCTTGCGATGAACTCGTTAGTCCTTTGGCAGGATAGGCGAACGAGGGACCACAGCTGATGAGATCTTGAACAACAAATGTGTGCGGGGAAAGCTTGGGTGAGGAGAACATACCTCATGGATGTCTACTACATACATACCTCCTTACCTGCTCGGGTCTGTCTTGCCGAAGCACGAGGAGGGGACAAGACGTGGGTGACATGCTGGACACCAACTCAACATTACCGGTTACATGTACTCGGTTAGGTACCCGAGAGAGTACACCATGCAGTGTGCACCTACAAACCACGCACCCACGCACACACGCAGGCAAGCATGTTAGCGGCTTGGGTAGGACGTCGGGTGTCACGTGTGATTGCGAAGTGCCCAGTGCCCACGGACCACGGTGCGGGGAAGCCCAGATGCAAGGGTGGAGGTGAATCAAAGCCGGGGACCCGCCTCCCCGCGTTACGTGCAGTCAAGCCCTATCGGCACACTCTCCCCCGGCACTCGTGCCCTCCTGCCCTGCTTCCTCTCAGACTCTTCCCTTGATAGTGGACATGTAAATTGACATTCTCCCGACCGACTGCAGCGCCGAAACGTATCGCCCTATCACAACCGTCAACAACCTAACGTCTTCAACAGCCAGCCCCTCAATATCTTGATGGTGTCTCGGCCCAGCTTCCCCGGGCCCCGTTCTGCTCCAAATCCAACAAGGACAGGGGCCGGCACGCGGGCTGGTGGGGTTTGGTGACATGTTGGCCCATGTGATACTGCTGCTGTGCCTAGGTTTTCCCGTCTAGCCGTCGCTGTTACTCTCGGCTGTCCACCTTCACGTTGCCAACTTGGCAACCAACACAGAGCTAGGTCAGGACGGGCCAGCATTGCGAGCCGCTACATATGACTTGGGAGACTCACCACTTTGCCACCCCTGTCAGCTTCCGGCAACATCGCTGCACGATGGGTCTGATTCATGAAGCTCCCGTCTGGCATTCTGGATCGTGGTAGACCCGAGTCGGGCTTTTCCGAACCCCGCCTACCCCGACCAGCCCCGTCATCCCCGTCCATCCCCTTCCGCTACTTACTGCCGGTCATCGTCATCTTGCTCTTCAAGGGATGGCATGGCTCCCGTCGACAATCGTTGCCACCAGCAAACCTGATGCCACGACCTGCAGAAGGATGAGCCTCACGCTGCGTACTACTTCTGTTTCCCCCATGATAAGTCGGTTCGTGTGACGCCATTGCGTTGCACTGTATCTCTCAGACTCCATTCGTCAGCCAAGAACCCGCACCCAACCACCCGGTTGTTGTTATTGGTGTTGTCCATGCAGTCCGTACACGCCAATGGTACCGTGATAGGTACCGTGATCTCGTGTGCCCTCCGCGTTGGACCTCTATAAATCTCCGATGGTGCCGGGGGGTTGGTCGCCTGTGGTCTCGATGCTGCCCCAGCCATCCCAGATGTCCACGCTGACCGCAGTTTTGCTCGGCTTCAAGGTTACCTAAGAAATGAGATCACGACATTGGACAGAGCTTTTCATGTCAACTGCTTTCGCCTAGACTCACTAGGCCAAGTCTGTCGCCTGCATATGCTCCCTCCTTGGTCCAGGAAACAAACCGAGCAAACACGCCCAATCTCTGGCCTGCTGACCATTGGTACATATTACTTGGCCAACTGTGATCGTCGATATCGTGCGTCAGCCCTCTCACCTTTAGCCAAGTGGCTCCACAAACATGTTCCAGGGAGAAACATGTCGAGCTATCACAAGAATAGGAAGGTAATACGAGGAGGTCGAGGCAAACTGCGGAGAAACTGCCCCAGATGGTGCACGGCAGATAGCTCTTTGCTAAGCCTCACCAACTTAGAAATGTGCTCGACATCTATTTAAACCAAGGCCATCCTGCCAAAGCCACACGCCTTCTTTGAGACAAGTGCCTGTCAAGTCATCCGGCCTCTCCCTTGCTAGTGGATATCCGACTCAGTTGCTCTGTGCTTAACTGCTACCTCGACCCCCTGGCCCACTACCAGTGTCCGGCAGCTCTGTACGGCGAGAGTAGCAAAGATGAAGCTAGGGTTTCTGAAGAGCTGCCTAGCTCTAGTCCCCGTGCTGATCAGCCTAGCACAAGGCTACGAGATCAAGGTATGAGCGTTAAAGCTACCAGTGCGAGGTTTTTGCGCTGACATATAGCAGAACCTTCCACTTGATACTCCTTGGACCCATACATCGGGAACAGACGCTTGGCCAGAATATCCCAGGCCCCAGCTTCAACGCTCACAATGGAAAAGCTTGAACGGTCTGTGGAACTGGAAGGAGGGTGCTGGCGCAGACGAGGTTCTTATGAACATCGTACCGCTGCCCGATACGCTTGCCCATGAAGTCCTCATTCCTTCGTGTCTGGAAAGCGCCCTTTCAGGCATTCAGAAGACTAACATGACCTACTCCTGGTTTGCGAGACGTTTCGAGGTCCCGGAAGGATGGACAGACAACGGTAACAGGGTCATGCTCAACTTTGAAGCTGTCGACTACATCGCAACTGTCTACGTGAACAGCCAACGGGTTGGGGATCAAGTTGGGGGCTACTGGCATTTCAGCCTGGATATAACCGAGTTCCTCCTACATGGAAACAACACTTTACAAGTCAGCGTGTTCGACCCAACTGATGCAGAAGGTTTGTATTCCCCGATTCACAGGCCATCAGTGGTTAACATCGGTCTGCAGGATACCAGATTCCTGTTGGAAAGCAGGCTCTTTCGCCCTCGCATATCTTCTACACGCCTTGTACCGGTATATGGCAGAGTGTAAGTGCATATTGGAGCTTGGGGGTTTATTGGAGACAAGCTTGGATGTAACAGCAGTGACCGTGGCGAAGGTCCCAAGTGGCCGCAATTCCCACGACAAATGTTTTCCATGGTTGCAAGAGGGAAGCAGACAACAAGACTGACATTGGCTTAGGTGTGGATGGAGTCGGTTCCGTCTCAGTATATCACCCAATTGGATGTTGCCGCTGGTATGGATGGTCGAAGTGAGTCTGCCCTTCGCACTGTGTCTTCACCCAACTGATGCAAGTCACTGACACGTTTCCGACACAAGTCAATATGACTGTTGGGACCTCAGGAGGTGCTTCCAACTCATCGTTTCAGGTCACAGTTGCCGATACGCGGGGTAACAGAGTGGCATATGCAAATGGCACTGTCAACAGACCATTTACCTTCGTCGTGGGCTCGCCGCATCTATGGTCGCCGGATGACCCAACACTGTACGCCCTGCGCGGTCCCCTCTTATCTCGTCGGAAAGATACTGATCACCTTGCAGATACAACATCTCAGTCACGATGGGAAGAGATAAGGTAACCTCATATACTGGCTTCAGGACTATATCGGTTGGAGAGATAGACGGGGTGAAGCGCCCCCTTATCAACGGCGAATTCTTCTTCCAGTTCGGCACCCTCGACCAGGGATTCTGGCCCGACGGAATATACACCCCACCCAATCGTGAAGCAATGGTCTACGATCTCCAGCAGTTGAAAGACCTAGGTTTCAATATGTTCAGGAAGCATATCAAAGTGGAAAATGCTCTGTTTTATCAAGCATGCGACCAACTGGGACTCCTCGTTATCCAAGATATGCCGTCCATGCCTGCCAATGGGATGCCGAGTGACTCTCAACAAGCCGAATGGGAGAGACAGCTGGACATCCTCATCACACAACACAGGAACTATCCAAGCATATATACCTGGGTATGCAGCCTCGCAACAGTCTAGCCCCTACTTGAAAGCTAACCTGACCAGATCATCTACAACGAAGGATGGGCTCAGCGCACCGACTATTACCCAGAGGCGGCCCTTACACAGCGTGTCAAACAGCTCGATCCAACCAGGCTCGTCGATGCCACTTCGGGCTGGCATGACCATGGATACGGCGATTGGCATGATAATCACCATTACGCGAACCCGCAATGCGGGACGCCGTTTTACTCCACTCAATCTACCCCGTATGATCCTACCCGTATGGCGATACAAGGCGAATTTGGCGGCATAGGAAACAATGTCTCAATAGAGCACCTGTGGAATGTGAAGGCGGCGATCAGCACAGTCAACCAGACCTACGAGATTGACCTCACCATCCAGGACTGGAACTACCGGGCTCATCTCCTCTTGAGCGAACTACGGGATCAAGTTGAGAAGTTCGCATGCTCGGCAGCCATATGGACGTGAGTACTCCCCTTCTCTCCTTCTCTCGCGCCCAGATTACTACGTCTCTTGTGTGGATTTGTCATCAACTTTTACTGACGTGGTCGAGCAGGCAAACCACTGATGTGGAAGGCGAAGTCAATGGGCTCCTGACGTACGATCGACGTGTCCTTCGTCCGGATGTCGATCAATGGAAGGCGGATATCCAGGCGCTGAAGGATGCCGGGGCGGCCCGTAATGGCAAAGCTAAGAAGCTCAGGACTCAGAAACTGAGGTTGCCTGCATCTTGATATTTGTGTCTTGAGGTATTTGGGTAAGGGATATTTGTTCACTTGGGTAGCCAGTCACGCGTCCTCTATTTATCGAATCATAAACGGTATTATAAGGACTTGAGGAACACGTATGACTGTGATATGTGTCGTTATACTGGACCCTGAGACTGTAGTCGGTGAAAGAGGGCGATCGGACGTCTGCCAATGAGTTGACTTATATTCCATGTGCAGTAGGTATGTTACTATCAGATTCACCAGTTCGATTCAGTGGTCAAACGACTGAGTAGGTACATACATCACATCACCTAGCTCGCGACCGTGCCCTGATACCCGCTGAACGCCTCAAGGTCTCCCTCCTCCTTCAAGATAACCGGAAGCTCATCCCCAACATAGCTGTCCCTCCAGCTCTTCTCCACCGGCCTCCAGCCCAGCTCCCGCAGCCGCACCGCCCGACTCCGGCTATTGAGGCCGATAACGGCGGCCGTGAAGTCTGCTCCAAAAAGATCGCCGTACGTCTCTGGGGGAATGGTCCGCGGCGCCGCGTCGGAGATCAGTCCGGCTTTGTGGAGGCTCTCGCCGATGACGGAAGCGACGTCTTTCCAGCTCGGCTCCGCGTCGCCCGTGGTCTCGCAGAAGTAGTAAGGGTTGTCCCGGACCTGCGGGTCGTCGGCCGGGACGGATTCCAAGTGGTGCAGGAGCACGACGTACGCGCGCGCCAGGTCGAGCACGTGGATGTTGCTCTCGACCGCCAGCCCTTGACCCACGTGGCCCGCGAAGCCGTGCTTCAACGCCCAGCGCGTCAGCGTCGGGATCTGGATCGTCAGGCGGCCGTGGTCCGGGTTGAACCCGTAGATCAGCGGCGGGATCATGATGGCGATCTTGGCTCTGGCGCCCAGCGCCTTCTGCGCCTTGAGGATCGCGAGGTCGATCTCGCGGTGCGGGGCGGAGTCCGCTACCGAGTCGATCTCGGACTTGACGTTGTCGTGGTATACCCTGGACGACTTGGTGCTGCCCTTGCTGCCGTCGTCGAGCACGGATGTGCCCGAGGTGTGGATGTAGATGGTGCTGAGACCCCGCTCCGCGCGCTGCTGGATGGCGTCCAGGACGGCCTCGGCGCTGGGGAGGTGGTCGGCGGTAGCGGTGTGGATCACGATGTCGTGTGCTGCGGCGTGGTGCGTGATCAACGTCTTGTCGTTCAGGTCCCCGAGCACGACGTTGGAGGCTCCCGAGGCCTTGATCTGCTCCGCGTGCTCCTTTCTCCGCACGTATCCGGTCACGGCGTAGCCCTCCTTGGCGAGGAGCTCGAGCACGTTCCAGCCGATGAAGCCGGGGCCGATGATGAAGACCTTCTTTGATGACATACTGGGGCAATCGCAACTTCTTGTTTTTGCGAACACAAACGTTGTTTATAATTGACGAGAGTCTTGAAGCCGCTGGATTGTTGTCGTATGTTGTTGTATTTATGTGATGTCCAGGTTACATCATGCTGGTGCCACACTAGAATAACGGGGCATTTGTCAGCCAGGTAGTCTATGGAACGATATTAATAATAGGGGCAGGCTGTATGGCTAACATCGTGGCTCACATCCAATGAAAGGTTTACTGCGCACATCATATTCCAGGCGCCCCGCGTCGCCGAGTGATCGGGCGAATAATTACCCCAAGAAGACGTGGACGAATATAGTAACCGTCTCACTCTGCAGTGGTCTCGGCCACCAAGGGCCGCATGGCGAGGAACAATATGGCGATTTCGGGCCGTGACGCTCACCACAGTCGTCCGAAGGCTTGGCGCCTATTGTACCCATAGCTTCTTGTACACCCTCCAGGCATTCACAACCTCATCAAAAGTCGCAAAGAACGTGTTGATGGAGACCGCCGCGATGTGAGTGGGGGGAGGAAGATGAGGTAATGAACCCGATGGTTGTCATGGCCTGGCTATCGGCGTTCATCGCCTTGGCGATCTCCACCGAAGCATGAGCATCGTCTTCCGTTACGACATTGAATGTAAGCCTTGTCTCGTTTCCGATCCGATATTTTTAAAACGAATGCTGACAGAGGATGTTGTAGCTATGATGGGCTTGAAAGAAAAGCAGCCCGTGAGCCCGCTGCAGTGCCACCTCTGTACCTCGCTCTTGGGTTGAACCTGGAAAGCGTTAGTGGCACTTCGCGAAGCTGTCGTTGTTCTTGACGTGAAGCTTCAGGATCTCGGCTACTCTCGTGGCACGCCGTGCAGCCTCACATAGCTGTGGATGACAAGAACCCGCGAGTGATGAGCCGACCCCACGTGCTGTAGGACCTACTCGGAGAGTATCGTATTATAAATGTGCAAGTTGTGACCAATTCCGATGAGTCGACTCTCTCCGTCGCTCAGAAACCGCTTGATGAGATCCCTCAACAGTAAGTTCGTTGGGGTGCCCTCGCCATGATCATAACCCGGTCCCAGCCTGCTGCGTTCGTTTATCCCAGTAACCTACCCCAGCCTTATGTACACCCCATCGAGTGTGATCACAATACACGTCCTTGCCTGAGATGTTTCCACCGATCTCGAAAGGCGACCTGGTGTCATTCACTACCATTGGGAAGATGGACTCGAGAAGAGTCTCGACAGCCACGTTGAAGTAGCCGCGCCAGCCAGCGCCTGCGATGTCTTCCTCTTCTTCTTCTTCCGCCATGCGGGCATATTGGTCCGCGTGCGCGGAAACAGCGAGGACATAGGGTATGTCCTTCCTGTACCTGCGGTTGGCGGTTGATGGGAGGGGTGAGTTCAGGATCGAGTCTAGGGATGCGGGTGTGATGTGTAGACATAAGCTGTGGTCAAGCCCCCGGGGTGGAACCATGGAGGTGTATGCGCTGCTTGCGTGATCAGATAATGTGCCAGCGTTTTTCAAGCCTGACTTTAGTAGGCTGGCCATAGACCGACGTAGAGAGTTCGGGCACGAGGTAGGGGGCTGACGTACTGCGAGATGGACGCAACACTGCCGTCGGCATCACCAGCATCCTCCACCCACTGGAACTTCAACCTCGAAAGACACTCGTCCAACCCAGGATATCCGCGATAGAAGTCGGTAGACTCACGAACGATTTCCTCAAACCGCTGCCGGCAAGCGTCCCATTGCGCCTCATCTCGAATTCGCGGACTCTTGAAGACAACGAACCCCCACTGCTCCAGCCGGTGCGCACCACCGAAGCGCTCCTCGCGGAGACGCATGGTCTCCATGAATGCCGGCTCACCAACATCAACGGGGTTGGGCGCAGTCCCTATGCCTCTTGAATTAGAAGCCATGCACAATAGAAGCCGTGATCTCTTCGTACCGACCCTTTGCGACGTTCCGCCGGTTGGACATCTCCGCGAAGAACTGGTCAAATCCTTGGTCGCCTATATCCGCTCTTAGACCCTCGCGGAATACGCTCAGCTGGTCATCGGTCAGAGTACCGATTTCGTCGTTAACACCGGCATTGAGCATGCGCTCGCGATCCCAGCCCTCGGGGTAGTAGGCAGGGGTTTGCTGAGACATGGTGGCTCAGCCGTTTCTGATTCTCTTCCTTGGGTAGTCTGCGTGCGTGCGAACGAATGGCTGCTTAGACGGACTAACGTGACGCGTAAAGTTACAGCTTGTCGCTGTAAATCCCCCTGACAGAAGGCGTTATGGTATAACGAGGTTCAAGACACGGCGAGGTGGCAATAATAAGAGCTGTTCGCCGAAGAATCGTATGATGGAGCTGCTAGGTGCCAATAGTACTATAATAGTACCCGACGTTGTGGGTTAGTGAGGAGTGGCGCGATCCAAGCGCTCGGGACCGGGCCTAGACTTCGTGATAATAATACGTACGGATTCAGGGGTAATAAATAACCGGGTTAAATGAGAGATGGATGGCGGCGCAGCACTAAACAACAAAACTCGCCCAGCTTTTTTTTGTCTTCTTTCTCTTCTCTTTCTCTCCTCCATCCGTTCTCAATTTGTAAAATTCCAAGGCCGCCACGCAAGCAAGCAAGGTTGCCGTCCATTCATTATTCGTTATTACGACCGCCGGGGATTCCGCTCTTTCATCCCCAGAATACCTTAATTCGCACCCACAATATCTCGGAGCGTCCCGAGTCTTTGTTACCACTTCAGTGCAAATCCTTACCTCGTTCATCCATCCGTCGCATCCCAGTCTTCCACTTCAACACCATAACCATGCACGCCATCAACATGAAAGCCCCAACCGCCATCCTCGCCGCAGCCCTGCTGTTCGCCAGCCACGTCGCCGCCAGGACGGACCTAGAGGGCTGCACCTCGTCCAATACCGTCGCCTACGGCGGCGCCAGCGTGCTGTGGTACGTGCCCGACACGGGCGAGATCTGCGCCTTCCTGGACTGCGGTGGTGGCATGGCGCCCCCCAAGACCACCGTACCGGGCTGCGCTGCGTACTCGGGTACGGCCGAGTACTCGCCCAGCTTCCTGCCTGGTTTCGGCGCCGAGGCGACTGCCACTGCCACTGCCACGGCCTCGGCTGCCACCGCGACCGACGAAGTTGTGACGTTGACGGGTTCGTCGGTCTTTGCGTCTAGCACCGAGGGCGGGAGCGCGACCCAGACCGCTGCCTCTGCCTCTGCCACGGGGATGATCACCACTGCGCCTACTACTTTCACGTCGTCCAGCGTTGCGGCTGCGACTGACAGTGCATCGTCGAAGGCCGCCTCGAAGGTTTCTTCAGCTAGTAATGCTGCGCCGTCTGCTGCTTCGTCCGCTGCGGGTAACGGGACTATGAGCGTGGCCACTGGTGCCGCCGCGATGCCGACTGCGGGTGTGAAGGGTGTTCTGGGCCTGGTGGCTGGACTTGTGGCCGGTGTCGCCATGCTCTGAAAGGTACTTACTTTACCTATTGTACCAGTTGGAAGCCATGTGCAATCGCATTGGAAGATCATCGGTAATAGCCATTTAATATTGGATAACAATAATACAACCACATTCGCACTCACAAGCAGTAACGATAATACTGTGTAAATGCTTGATGCACATGCTAATATAGTTTTTGACAGCTTGAAGAGACCTAGGACCATATGAAAGCCGTTTGCAAATTCCGATCGATAATGAAGCCTTCTAGACAGCTAGGCAAGGACAATTAAGAAGCAGAGATCGACAGATCCTCGTGAAGCATTCCTTGCGATGCAAGCCATCGTTTACGGTTACTTCGGAACTCAACTTCTCAAGTCCGAGAGGGCGAAGAGCGCCAAAAATTTCCGCCTGTATGTAGACGTACTATAATGGGGTGAAGCTGTGTTGCTACACCGACTCGAAAAGACCCTATCGTGCGAATTACATAGGAAATAGCGGGCGAAGACACCATGTACGATCTTTTGGGCTATGCGACTGTCTATGTTCGTAAGGTCATCAACTCTTAGTTGATGTCATGTCTATTTCCAAACCATAAACCATAGCGACACCATTGCAAACCCCAAAAGCAGCACCGTCACGATCCCCGCACCCGCCTGGTCGCCCGTCGTGACCTGCTTAAACTCGTCGGTCTCCTTCTTGGGGCCGCTCCCCGCGTCGGGATCGCCCAGACTCGAGCCGCCGGTGCCGTTCGTGAGGGGCGGGGCCGCAGCCTCGATCAGCAGCGACGCCAGCGCGCCCACGACGTTCATCTCCTGGCCGGCGCCCGTGGCGCCGTCGTACATACCCGTGCTCCAGTGGAAGCCGCACTGCCGGCCGTCGGCGCCGCCCGTGCACTGGTCGACGGCGGCCCGCGTCGACGTCTTGAGGAGCCCCATGACCCGGTCGTGGATGAAGGGGGCTACTTGGGAGGACACCGCCATCCACCGGTGCAGGTAGCCCTTGAAGCTGATCGGGTCCGTGAGGCAGATGCGCGCCTCGCAGGTCGGCTCGTAGGCCGTGCCGTTTAGGAAGAAGACGCGCTCGATGCCGTCGAGGAGGCCGCTGACCCGGGCCTCCCAGTCCTTGCTTGCGTTTGTCTTCCGGATAGCGCACGTTAGTTACATTCCACGGCGCTCAGTGAGGTCGGCGAGCCAGTAGGAGAGGCTGCCTCCCAGCGGTAAGGTGCTCACATAATTGTACATGTGCGCCGCTCCGAGCAACAGCACGGCGGCATTGTACGAGAACTGCTGCTTGTTGACCGTCGTGCAGTTGTCCGCGATATGAGCACCGTCGTAAACGTTGAACTTGTCATCGATGTATACATGCTCGATCAGCCAGTTCCACGTATCGGTGGAATGCTGCGCATACGTGTCGTTATTGGTGTATCTCGCCAGGCGGGCACCCATATTAAAGAATATGGCGTTGGGGATAGCTGCGCGGGCATTCGGTCAGCGTTGGACGACATCACTGCTGGCTAATCTATTTAAAGCCTCGCTCGTGGGACGTCCCACGTACTGTTCTTGTAATCGTACCCTCTATTCGTAGGCTGGATCTGCCACCTCAAACCGCCACCGCACTCGGGGCCTCGGCGGTCTGGTGAAGCCTGTTCATTCCACACTGCCTGCGCCAGTGCGAGCCACTGCGGCTCGCCCTGAGGAGGGTCTTGGAAGTTGCTCTCGGCCGCAGACAGAGCCGTCATGCCCCAGAACGACTGGTCGTCGTTCCCCAAAGATAGCGTCCAGTTCTTGTCCATGAAGTCCCGGTCTGGTCCTGCCTGGGCCAGTATGGCTTCGTATACTATGTCGTTGTATGTGTCGTCGCCCGTCCAGTACCAGTAGTCGATCATTCCTCCCCACATGGCACCCGCTTGCCACCTGCACGCCTCTGTTAATAGTCATCTTGTGTCACTTAAGGTTGTGTGTGGCTCGAACCAGTAGTAGTCGCCATCGGGAGGCGGACCGGGCAGGATGCCCAGAGTGTGACCCGGTTCCCGACCTTGATAGTAGCTCAACAGATCCCCGGCCACCAGTTTTGCGGCTGTCTTGATGGAATCTGAAGGCGAGTAGGCATCAGAAAGGTAGCCATGTGGTTGGCGCCAAGGACGGGTGCCGAGACTGGGCGGTCAGTTACTCACCTGGCGATTCCAGGTCAACCTGTAGCGCCGCATGAGCAACGATGGGTGTAAGGGAGATCAGAGAAACGAGCGTCGGTAACATTTTGCGTGCAGATTATGAGGAAATATAGCGAAAAACAGACATGTCATCCGAGATCTAAGCGCAAGGGAGACTTTCGGACGATGTAAATGGTCAAAGGGTAGACAGAGATGACGGAGTCGAAATTGATAGCTTCCTGTTCTGATCTCCCCGTCCCCGGAAACCGTGAGTCGTTACAACGGAAGAGCCGGGCTTGGCAGTAAAATGTTATTATTGCTCTGGTGTATACGGTCATCGCATTAGCTTACCTACAGCCGGCATTGCGCTGTACTATTATACGGCCTGATCCTACGAGTTCCATTGGCACCGCACTTGGCATGTTGGGTGGCTCAGTCGCCGTGCGAATGACAGATGATCAGTGCCTGACCAACTACAGACAGACCCCAGTCAGTGTCGAATCAGCACGAAGCCTTAGTAAAGAAGATGACTACTTGGCGGTAAGCAATCGTCTTGGGCTCTTTGGGGTCATGCAGTAGCATCAGAACTCAGAAGGCTGACACATCCACGGGGGCCGTCGACCTTAGACTGTAAGAGTGAAGTTGATGAGGCATGATAGTGACCATGTCCAACTGGAGTATGTCGCCTAGAGTCAAAAGTGATTGCTCTCTCATGTAAAACAGTCGACAAAGCGTACAGTCCGGGCGCTTGAAGGTATCGTAGTATGTTGGTGGGTGCGGGCATCGCGGCTCTCCATGTGTTACGAACCTCGTACTGAGTCTGATCACTGAGGCTGTGCGTGTCAAGCCCCCGGGTAAGCGGCGAGCGGAATGGCGGCGTGGATGCCTGACTGGGCGATCCATAGGATGCTTGATCAATATCAAGCCATCTCGACGCCTATTTGGAAGAGTTTCTCGTAATCACAGGACGTTTCAGCAGCCCAGTGTGGAAGGTCCCTGAGAAATGAGATGAGACCCGGATGACAGGGGGATGGCACAGCCTCAACTCGGAGGGGTCTTCAGCTCGAGGCCGGGGTCAGCTCGATACAGGGGGGCATCTTCTGGCCTTGGATCTTTATTTGGTTGCCTGATGTCGCCCTCAACGCTGCCGTGGACGCAACGAGCCGACGAGTCGAGCACTTATTAAGTAGAGAAGGACGATTCGGAGCATGTCATTATGTGGCGTGTATTTATAAGGCAGGGAAATGTTCACCTGTTGTGAAACGTGTGTACCGCGAAACCACGCGACTTCAAGCACTTAGGTTTCGTGATAATACCATGACTGACCATAACTCCGTAGAAAGTCAGCACGTACACACTGAGAAGGGGAAGTATCATGAGCGTATAGGTCCTTATGGCACGCCACTTATCCCAGATACATTAACTACATGGACATAGAAAGGCGAGCCTTTGTAGTGTAGCCAGTGCTCATGGATATCACAGCGAGACTGCGAATGATCCGGTTCTGGTTCGGCTAGATGATAACTCTTTGCTCACCAACACATCGACATGGTTTGAAGAAAATTGCAAATGCCACTGGCTTCCGACATATCGCACTATCCGGAAGAGCTATAGTCCACGGGTTCAAGCTCTTCCGACCCAGATGCTCATCGAATCGCGCTGCCAGTAGAGCTTTCGAGCACAGTCACCCTGATTTGCTCTGACAAGCGGAAATGCTGGTGGCATTGTATGTTCGTCGAGTTCATGATCAGGCGGGCTGTATCAAAGTCAGCGGTCGTGTGCTTCACAGATCACACTGCGACTATGTTGCGAATGAACAATATCACAACCTGCGCACGGGTCAGCGATGACACTACGCAAGGGAGTGAAATCGTTTCCAACACTATAAATACTGCTGCTGCATTGCTGCCATCGACATAGCTCTTCTTCAAGACATCCTAAAACGTGCTCTCAACGACTTTAAGCGACTCCCACGCCAGAACTGAGCCTCGAGAAATCTAACCTAGAATAATTAACGCCCCAAGTCCCGGATAGCGACCGCACGACAGGAAGATGTCGAAAAACGCAAATTACGGGAACTGCTTCTCTTCAAGCGGCGGGTTCGACGCGACTGCAGGGGCAGGCCAGGGAGGTAGCAGCAGCGGTGGTGGTGCTGGTAGCAATGGTGGCGGTGGTAATACCGGCGGTGAAAGTACGAGCGGATCGAGTACGGCAGTTGGAAGTACGAGTGGATCGAGTACGGTAGTTGAGAACGACCCGCAGGGCGTTCCGTACCATGTGGACTAGACGCTGTATCTTGGCTCTTGTCTGTAAGGTAGGAAGGAGGTGCTGTCTGTGGGAAGGGAGTTACGTATTTTTGGTATGGGGCTGATGAGAAAATAGGGTAAACGATAGAGAGCGCTGATGGGACAAGCGGAGTAGCTTCTCGTAAACCGAGTGGTGTCGTACGCACGCCCAAAAAAAATATATATATACCGAGTCTTTGGTCTTGGAATCCAGCAACCCTCCATTCAGGACTGTCTCCTATCGACAATGTGTGATGCTGGGCCAGTCAGCCACCATATGACAACCGATCAACGGCCGTTCTCCTTTCACTCAGCAACCGGCAACTCCTCCGGCAACTCCTCCGGCAACTCCTCCGGTAACTTCGACCCAATGACGACCTCTTCCTTGAAGCTAATCCCTAGGCCACCACCCTTCTCCTTCGTCGAGGCGTGCTGCTCAAGTCGATAGGAATCCCACGGACTGGTCCTGTCTCCGAACTCGAAGATGCGGTAATCCGCGTTGAAGAACCAACAGCCGGTAACGGCCAGCCGCATGAAGGCCGAGTGCCCCACGACTATGATGACCTTCTCCGGCCGCTCGTACAGCTTCTTGAGCGATGCTTGCGCTCGGAGCAGGATATGTGTTCTCGTGTAGTGGTAGTGGCTAGCCTCTGGCGATGTCTTGTCCGGCCATACGGGGTCGAGGGTCGAGAAATCCACGACGGGGAACTCTGCGGCCAGTTTGGCGACTGGGCTGCCTGTATCGCAGGGTTTGGCCGAGTTTTCTAACGGAAAATCTCAGATAAGTGTGCTCCAATGGTCATGGTCCGAGGCTCGATGTTCACACCGCTGAGCTGTCCCAGTCAAGGGGGCAGTGAGGCATGGGTGGACCGACCTTGCCAGCCGGCATCAGCTTTAATCTTGACTCCCCGCTCTATCAACCAGTCCACAGACGCCAAAGCTGTTTGTATGGTCCTCCGCATGGGCGAGGTGATGATAACCTCTGCTTTCTGAGCTATGGGGTCTTCCATGAGACCATTTCGCAGATCGACACATTGCTTCCGGCCCAGTTCTGTGATATCAGGGTCTGGTATGCTGTATTCCTCTGCGAGAAATTAGTACCGTACCCAAATAGTTTGTGACGAGATTGGGACTCACTGGTTTCATTATGCAATCCCTGAGCATGTCGTATCAGGATGAGTGTCGGAGGCATGAATGTCGGCTTGACTCTATTCACTCTAGGTGTACGTTTCTGGATAAGTTAGGAAGGTATTGCATCCAGGTGAAATCAAAATCAAGAAATCAAAGCAGCTATCTAGCAAAAAGTCGGAATGGATTAGGTGAGAGGTGTGAAGTCGGGTTTCCAAGACATTGTCTCACGCCGACTCGGGAGCTGGAGATGGCCCGCCAAGCATTCTCGGGCTTATGATGCACTGTGCCAGAGTAGGCCAGTATTTGCGCATGGGACAGTATGGATAGGGATCAGATTACTGTGCACTCGTAGCATGGAAATTTCCATGGACCATGAGCTCCCAATCCGAGAGCTTCAAGCTTCAAGCTTCAAGCTTCATACATCAATCGCATCCCACCATTCTACCTTTGTGATTGGTCTAAATCTCTGCGACACTTGACCTTGCGCTCGACACGCAAGATGACGAGTATAGACGAGCTTTTCAAAGTGAGTTCTACCCATCGCCCACTCCTGTTTCCACCCGCTAAGCAACCTGCCAGTCCTCCGCTGGGAACAAACGGAAGCTTGAGCCGCTTCGAGATCCCAGTAAGTCGTCCAAGCTACGCGCATACCTCACATATCGGCAGTGCAATCTTTAAACTAATGCGCCCCTCACCCAGACCAGATCTACAAATCCGCGCGCCTCACTCCGGACGGCCGCAGTAGCCGCAACGCACGCGTCGAGGACGAACCGCCGACAACAGCAGACGACGACGGAGACGTCGAAGCCGGACCCGCCCCACCACCCGACGACGAGGAGGAGGACTACGGGCCAGGACTGCCGCCCGAAGACGCCGGCGATGACGAGGACGGCCGCTTCTTCGGAGGCGGCATCACAGCGCAGGAGACGGAGGTGCTGGATTACGTAGCGGACGACGACGAGACAGCCGCCAACGCCGCGCCCGAGAAGATCGACAGCGCCTGGCTGCGCAAGACAGCCCTGAACTTCGAGAAGCGCATCTCGCGCAACGCCGAGCAGCGCGCCAAGTACGAGGACGCACCGCAAAAGTTCATTGCGAGCGAGGCCGAGCTCGACGCCGACATCAAGGCGCTGTCGATCCTGTCCGAGCACCCGGACCTGTACGCCGAGTTCGCGCGCCTGGGGTGCGTCGGCAGCCTGGTGGGCCTGCTGGCGCACGAGAACACCGACGTCGCCATCGACGCCGTCGAGATCATCAACGAGCTGACGGAGGAGGACGTCGCGGCCGCGGACGCGCAGTGGGACGCCCTCGTGGACGCGCTGCTTGCGGCCGACCTGCTGGGCCTGCTGGTGTCCAACTTTGAGCGCCTGGACGAGGCGACGCAGGAGGTCGACCGCAGCGGCGTGTACTTCGCACTCAGCATCATCGAGAACCTCTGCGGGCGCACGGCTACCGCGGAGCAGGTCGCGGAGCACGAGAAGTTGCTCCAGTGGCTGTTGCGGCGGATACAGGCCAAGGAAGCGACCGTGAGCCAGAACAAGCAATACGCCGCCGAGGTGCTGGCGATACTGGTGCAGAACTCGCCGAAGAACCGGCAGAAACTGGCCGGTCTGGACGCGGCCGACATCATGCTGCAGTTAGTGGCGGCGTATCGGAAGCGGGATCCCGAGAAGGGCGGCGAGGAGGAGGAGTACATGGAGAACCTGTTCGAGGCCCTCACGTGCCTGGTGGACGAGCCGGATGGCAAGACCAAGTTCATCGAGGCCGAGGGCGTGGAGCTCTGCCTCATCATGCTGAAGGAGGGCAAGCTGAGCAAGGCGGCCGCGCTGCGACTCCTGGACCACGCGACGGGCGGCTCGATGGGAGGCGAGGTCTGCCAGAAGATCGTGGATGCCGGCGGACTGAAGAACATATTCATGCTGTTCATGAAGAAGAACAACGACGGCCAGACGTCGGAGCACCTCATCGGCATCTTTGCGTCGATGCTGCGGCTCCTGCCCGGCGGCTCGGGGGAGCGGATACGCACGCTGGCCAAGTTCGTGGAGAAGGACTACGAGAAGACGGAGAAGCTGGTCAAGCTACGGCGGGACTACGCGGCACGCATCACGGCGGCGGACGAGGCGATCCGGGCGGAGCAGGCGAGGCTGACGGTCGGGGAAAGGGAGGAGATGGCGGACGAGTGGTTCTCGCGGAGGCTGGATGCCGGTCTCTTCTCCCTGCAGACACTAGACGTCGTATTGGCGTGGCTGATAGCCGAGGATGACGGGGCAAGGAAGACGATCACGAAGCTGCTTGCAGACCGGGATGAGACGCTGGGCGTCATTAAGGATACGATACAGGAGCAGATCGAGGGCATGGACGCCGAGGATGCGGAGGGCAAAGATACCAAGGAGATGCTGTCGACACTAGTGCAGTTCCTACAGTAGAAGACGCAACGATGAGTTGAATGGTTGATAGGAATCATGAATAATGCATGCCGGCTTTCTGGCACGGCCTCACAACAGCTTCTTGCCTAATCTATGTGCAGACGAGGCCATGCAACCACCGAGTCTGCGCCTGTCGCCCCCGAGCATCTCTTTTATCGAAACACTCTTATCGCCCGCGTAATATGCATTGCATCCACTCCCTCAACACAGCCGCTCCGGCCTCAGGAGTTGTACGAGAGCTATATCATACTTGACTCATCCCAACAGCAGTCTCCGCTGACGTGCCAACTGCAAACCAGCCTATGCTGCCGAGGGCGCAACAGGCTTGACCTCGAAAACGGCCTTCAGGAGCTCGACGATGACACCGGTCTGGCTCTTCTTGCCGGCTTCCTGGATCTCCTTGATCTTGTCGTCGGCCTCCTTGTCGGCCTCGTCCTCGGCCTGCTTGTTGCCTTGGGTGTGCTGTGTCCAGGTTAACACCTTTGTTCTGCCATTTGTGGTCGACTGTCTGTTTGTTTAGGTAAGGTTTACCTCGGACTCGAACTTCTTGAACTCCTCCTCCTTGGACTTGCGGTAGGCGTCTATCTCGTTCTTGGCCTCGTCGCGCGCCTCTCGTACTCGCTTGGTTCGGACTGCGGATCGGGGATCGGGTTAGTCTGAGACTCGCGGTAGGTATGGTGTGGGAAAGCCTGTCTCTTTCTCGAGCGCACGGGCGCATAGATGATGAGTGGTTTCGAACGTACATTCCCGGGCTGTTGGGGCGAGTCACTTGTTAGTTACCGATGGATATAGGTAGGATGCTTGGTTCGTATGTGCTATGCGACTCGCACCTTTCTGGACAATCTTGGAAGCTTCCCTCTCGGCCTGTGTTTTGACGAGCGTTAGCCTGCTGCGACAGCCGCGGTGGTAAAGGTGTCTTGTATGCGTACATCGAGCAGGGTCTGAATGCCAGCCGAGTTCTGGGCCGCCTGTTATGCCTCGTCAGATCAACACGGTTCATAGATCGGCGGTGCTCCTGCGCATACCATCCTGCTGGTTTTCACGGGGGCTCTGATTCAGGGGAGACGGTAGGTAGATTCAAGATAGCTCTGACGAAGGCGAAGGCGACAATGCTTGCTGTACGAAGTCGGACGTAGGATGTTGGCACAAAGACTTGGTATGGTGAGGTTGACGAGAGCTATCCCCAGATGATCAGATGCAGCCCAGCGAGGGTCACAGCCTACAGGCGGGTCCAGCCTGAGCTCCAGCGTAACAAGCACTGGAGGCACGGGCCATGGGGCGGCTGGTGGTGGATCTGCACCCCCAACGTCATTTGGAGAAGCTGCTAAATTTATCTTTATCGACCCGGGAGCTCGAAGTTATGGAAGCTTCCCTCGTATGATCCCATTCGTCTTCCGGGTGCTGTGTAAGGAGATCGTTGAGCGCCAAAAACAGACACCACGACATGGCTCCGTAGCAGATATTGATCAATCTGCTCGTTCAAATAACTGTCTACCTACGTCTGTCATCATCCAGCTCGACGCATTGCACTCATCACCATGTCGCGCGCCTCGCAGCTCACCCTTGCCGGCACGGGGCTATTCGCCCTGGGCACAGTCGTGGTGGTACACTTCCAGCAAAAATGGGAAAAAGACGTATGCGCATAGCCCCAGCTCCTCATTCATCGCATATAGCACACACGTGCTATAATCATTATACTAATAACCGGCTTTGCAGGCTATGCACCATGGTGTCGTTCGCGACATGGAACAGCAGCGGATCAAGAAGGAACGCCAACTCGACTTCGATATGCAGAAGGTCCTGGAGGCCGAGTACAAGAAGGGCCAGAGCGTTCGCGAATCGCCGGATGATATACCAGCGAAGGGATTGCCGGATCGGTAGCGCTCGTCGAGGATAGGCTTGGTTTATGGTTTATGGAAGAGGCTGTCCGTCCTCCACCTACCTCTACGACCCGACATGTACGAATATGCGGATTGGAATCAGCTACCACCTATGTGTTGCATTGATTCTGTGAAAGAGTCTGCGGAATGGGATCCTAACGAGTTACTACGCATTCTCCGCTCACAAGCTATGCAAAAGTTCGGATGCAATGGTAGACTCGGATTTAGGGGAGTCACAAGGTAGAAAATGGCTGGTTCTACTACGCGATATATACGAGGCCCGGATTGGTATCGCGACAGTTTGCGATATCGGGTATAAGATCTGCCAGGACGATGACAATATGGCAACTCGACGAAAGCCACACGTGGGGTTGACCGAGCTTCAAGTTGCTGAAGCTGTCCCGAACCCCCTTTTGCAGGGAGCATATTTTTGGCTTGAGTATACATCAACTCCACTCCAACAGTGTATCATATATCCTCGCGATCCTAGATGTATCAACAATATTTGATTAACAAGCTATTCGTCATTCATCACCAAACGATGAGAGAGCTGACTCGTTACCTAATACGTGCATCATCTTACGCGGTGAACGGCTTCTCATCAACCTCGACCCCGACGCCACGTCATGCCGCCCTTTCCTTACACAGACAAAGGCTGCTGCATATCAGGCGTCGCCTTATACGAAATCCGTCCCGCCGGCAGAAAGAACAGCGCCACCAGCGGCCCCCTCCTCACCCGCGGATAATGATGCGTGCCCGGGCCAGGCGAAGTCCACCCGGCGCCCTGCCACCCGCTCATGCCCTCCAGCTCCGCCTCCCCGTCCACGGGGTCCACCTGCACGACGCAGTTGATCTCGCCGTAGGGGTGCTGGTGGTACTGGCCCGCAAACACATCCTGCGACTCCATGTAGACGGCGGTAATACTAAAAAAGCGCGTTTCGGCGCTCGGTAGGGCGATCTTGCCACGACGGTACGTACGGCCGTTGATTTCTGTCTCGGCCACCCAGCCCTCGGATAGGCCTCGCCGGACGTAACTGCAGAGGTCCTCGTAGTATGGGTTTCCCGGGCCGTAGTCTTTGTTCAGCCGGGCTTCGAGGTCTTTGCCTGGCGTGCTGGGAACGGTGGATGTTAGTTGTTCTGGGATTTGGATGGGGTGGGTGGGTAGGTGGGTGACTGGCTGGCTTACAGGTCTTCCACCTCCGCGAAGAACTGGCAGCAGCGGTCTACCAGCTTTTGCGCTGTGGGGTGCTTCGCCAGATCGAGCACGGCTCCTTGACCTGCTTTGGGCGGAGCGCTGTCCATGATGAGGGTTTACTGTACTGTATGGTGGTTGGGTTGTACCTGGGGGTGTTGTTCGCCAATATTCAGCCGCGGCACCCAGGTCGATGCCGAGGGACCTCTGACTTGGGACTGTGAGATGCCAGATTGGTGTTTATGGGTTTGCCATTGCGGATTCGGCGGCAGCTTTCTATGCCTGTCGATGTAGGGTGCCACTACAGGTCAAGAGCCCGAGCTATGCTGCACGAATGCAGACCCCGCATTGACTATTGCCTGCTCTGCCGTAACCCCCTATTTCCCTATAGTCTCCGGGATCGTGGATTGGCGCAAATCGCGGCATGTGACGATGTGGTGTCGAGTATGTGAAAGGGTCCTTTGTCTGCGCCCAAAGCTTCCCAAACTTGTGTTTCTACGTGAGGCCCCAAAGCTTGTTCATATCTCAAGAAATCTGGAAGTTGACTAGTTCCCCTCCCCAAAAGCACACAGCTCCCAAAAAGGGACTCTAGATCAGAGACTCGTTGGCAAAACATTCGGGTAGGCCTGACGATACGACAGGGCAAAACGACGTGAATATTGGAATCGCAAAGTGCACTCAAGTCCGCATCGAGCAGGTCTGTCCTGAAATCTACATAGGACCTTGGCTTCTGGTCCTTGCTGGAGAACTGTGCCTGTCTGGCTTGACACGCCGAAGATGACGGAGACCAAGGAGGTGTTCGATCTTCTGATCGTTGGTGCAGGTATGTGAGTTCAAGGTTAGTCCAGTCATTCTTGGGGAGCTGAGTGATCAGAGCAACCAGATAGAGCTACAATGGTTCCAAAAGGGGCAAACCGTCTCTGCTGTCGATCGTCGGGCTTTTAAGTCGGTGGCAGATGGGTTATAGCCATGCCGTTGGATTGGCATCAACATCGTTTGTGAATCTTGATCAGCCCCGGTTACCCAGTTTTCTAGCTTTAACCTCGTTACACCATAAAATACACCCCCTTTTCTACCCCTTACATACATACCAACAGGCTCGTCACCAGAAATGGCAACACATCATTGACCGTATACCACAGGATGGCACGGCCTAGCAATGGCCAAGACGTACCTCGAAGTAGTCACCAACGCCAACATCGTGATCCTGTACTCCGCCGAGTCCGTCGGCGGAACCTGGGCGAGCGAGAGGTTATACCCGGGTCTCATGACCAACAACACGGCGGGCTCGTACGAGTTCAGCGACTTTCCGATGGGACCCGACACGTACGGGCTGGTCCAGGGCCGACATATTCCCGGAGAGGTCGTCCATCGATATCTGAGGGACTTTGCGGACCACTACGGGCTGACGACTAGGATTCGGTTCGGAACGAGGGTGGACACTGCGACTCTACTGAACGACGGAACGTGGCGGGTTGGCTACTACACCATCGAAAATGCCGCCGAAGACAAGTCTCGAAGTCGGAGGACTGGCCAGCTTCTTGCCGCCAAGCTCGTTATGGCTGCCGGCTTGACCTCCGAACCGTTCATCCCCACGTTTCCCGGGCAAGACAGCTTCAGGGGCCGCATATTCCACCCCAAGCACCTGAAAGCGCGAGCCTCCGAGCTGACGAACTCGCGTTCCGTCGTGATGGTCGGCGGCAACAAGTCCGCCTGGGACGTGTGCTACACCGCAGCGCGCACCAGCGGTGCGCAGGTGCACATGGTGATGCGGCCGTCGGGCGGCGGGCCGAGCTGGGTCTGGCGGCCCATCAGCATCCTCGGGGGGCTGTTCACGACGACGCTGTCCCGGCTCTCGATGAGGCGGGTCGCGACATGGTTCGATCCCACTCCGCTCGGCAACAACACCAGAACACACAGCGCTCGACGTTTCCTGCACCACAATACCCTTAGCCGCTGGCTCTGCGCGTGGTTCTGGCATGCTCTCGACCAGCACGTATGCAAAGAGAACGGATACAATGGAGAGAACGAACATGTCACCATGCTCCGGCCCTGGACCTCAACGTTCTGGATGGGCAACTCGCTTAGTGTGCATAACTACGAGACGGACTGGTTCGGTCTAGTCAGGACGGGACGGGTTGTTCCGCACTTTGCTGATGTCGAGGCGCTTTCCGAGACGCGTGTGCGTCTTTCGGACAGGTCGGTTCTGGAGGCCGATACGATCTTTATGTGCATGGGGTGGAAGGCGACGCCGACTGTCGCGTTCTCTCCTGACTGGATTGAGGCTGCGCTTCGACTGCAGTCGTGGACTATAGGTAGTCAGGTGCAGAAACCACCACCGCCTGACGACTCGCCGTTGGTAGCTGAGCTTGATTCCGACGATCTTCAGCTAGACCTTGATATCATCCGAGCGCAGATTCTCGAGCAGTGTCCTGTCTTGAAAGCAAAGCCTGTGCGCACTTTACCTACACAGACCCCAGCCGGCAAGAACGAGAATCAAACAACTGTAAGCAAGGAGCCAGAACCCACAGCACCAATCCGACTCTACCGCTTCATGGTCCCAGCCTCCTCACGCCTCCTCGAACGGCGCAACCACGCCTTCATCGGGGCCCACGTTTCGATCCACGCCGTGATGCTCGCGTAGGCACAGGCACTATGGCTCACCGCGTTCTTGCAGCACAAACTCGCCTCGCAGCCGCTGTCTCCAAAACTATAATCTACGACACGCTCTGGCACACCGAGTACCAGCGAATGCGGCGGCCGCGAGAGGCTGGAGGACAGGGCGCTAGATATCCGGACTTGGTGTTTGATAGTCTGCCCTATATGGATTCGCTGCTTGATGACTTGGGCCTGGGGACTAGGAGGAAGGGCTCGTGGTTTGAGGAGTTGTTATGGCCTTTTGTGTTGAGTGATTACAGGGGCATTGTGGGAGAGTGGCTGGCACAGTCGGAAATCGTGTGATGGTCGGGCGGATGGTCGTTTGGATCGGACGGATAGGTCATAGCTATACGTCGAGGATAGGGCTAGTCGCCATCTTGAAAGTTGTGCAACACTGGAGATGGATTGATTTAGTTCGTAGCTTTGACTATATACGGAGTTACCAGCTCACCTATCCACCAGCAGCCCAATATGGCTATGCTATCCAGAGATCAACTCAGTACTCTAGCAGGAGGGTATAAGGCTCCAAATGCTTAGATCAGCCCGTCCAAAATGCCTCGAACAGATGGTGCCGCAGCAGTCGTCTCCTGTTGCCCTCAGGCCACCCCAAAAGAACCAGACCGATGTGGGGTTTGTCACAGCTTCTTCTTCCCATGCTCCATATGGGAGATAGCAATCTGGTCCTGATACTGCTTCAAGACATCCCCATCGATTGTCTCGGCAAAGACGTCGACATTGGTCGTCGCGAACTTCCGCGCGCTGATCTTCTTCTCAAACAGCAGATCCAACTCGGCAAAGGTACGGCCCGCAGGTTCAGGAACACGGAAATAGGTATAAATCAGGCAGAGGAAGCATGATCCGGCCTGTCATGATGGTTTGGTTAGCAACGCTCGATGGTGAGGCTTGCTTGGGGTACTTGCCCAGAAGAATCCGGCATAGTTGCCCCAATTCCATGAGCTGGGGTTGAGCATGTACGGTGTCAGGACACCGCAAACGATGCCAACGATGTTACTGTGTCCTGTTAGTAACATATTGCTATCGCGTAGGGGTTGATATGAGACATACTAGAGGATCCGCCCAAGTACGACAGTCTTGATCTGCAAGCGCCGTGTCGAGATCTCCGCGACCAAGGAGTAGCAAACAGTGCCGACAGTGAGTTGATAGAAGAGAGCCCACACAAGCATGATACTGCCAGTCGCCAGAGATGCCGCTTCTCGGTCCGGGGCCAGACCGAGGAATCCCAGAATGAGGAGCATGAGGAAGAGCCCGGCAAGACCGTAGAGATACAGAGTCCTGCACTTGCTGTCAGTACCATGACGGACAGCAGGGTGACGATCAAGAGAGATCCTTACCTTCGGCCCACTCCGAGCGTTATCAGAGCCCAGGCACCAAACACTCCGACGCAGTTGATGGCATATTGGCCAAGAGCGAATGAGTAGGCCTTGCTGTCGTCAAGGCCTGCCTGCTGGAGGAAATACGTCGAGTAGTTGGAGAATGTGTTGCCGCTCAGATTCTGGATCGCCCAACATGCACATACGATCTAATGTCGTCAGTCACGCGTAATTCAGCCTCGATCAGAGGGGTCTGGTTTTCGACATACCTCCGTGCGACGCCTGTCGACTCCCTTGAAGCAATCGGCATAGCTGGCGCCCTTGGTAATCTGTGGATAGTCTGTCAGCGCGAGTCAATCATATCCGAGTTTGGCAACTGACCTTCTGCTCCAAGGCTGTGGTATGAACCATCATGGCAATCGTCTCGTTAGCATCAAAGTCGGTTTCCTTGTCCAAGCTCGTCAAGCGGAGGAGAGACTGCTTCGCATCTTCAAGCCTCTGGTTCCGCACAAGCCACCATGGGGACTCGGGGGCGAAGAAGATCCCAACAATGAGAGGCAGGGGCCAGATCCACTGAAGCGCATAGGGCTGAGTCGCAAGTCAGTGACAGTCTCATGGTGGCCATCAGGGCAACTCACGATGCGGTATGCCCACTCGTCTGTTCGCCACAGATTGCCCATAAGCGCACCGATGCCGATCATCTGCCCAATGCCCCAACAGCAGTTGATATAGGTGGTCAAGTACCCACGCAGAGCGACTGGGCAGACCTCAGAGGCGTAAGTGATGGTCAGAGTCTGGAACACACCCCAGGGAATACCGCACAAGATCTCAGCAATCTGCAGGTGCACCACAGTCTGGGCCGTGAAGAAGATGGCAGTGAACCCAATGATCATGGCGAGGCAGCCAATGACGGTGTACCGGTACCCAAAGCGCTCAGAACACCAGCCGTTGATCATCAACCCGATGATCTCGCCCACCACGGCACCATTCCCGAGACCTGCCTGCCAGGCTGCGGGCACCTGATACTCGGTCGAGCCGTCTGCATTAGTGAACAGCTCGCCGTACTTCTTGTTGAACTGCGGGAAGGCGTAGAAGTTGTTGACCAGGGCGATGTCGTAGCCCTCCATGACGATGCAGGTGGAGATGAGGATGCTCCAGCCGATGGCCTTGGGGTACAGCTTGATGCCCTGCAGCAGGGTCATCTTGTGCTCCTTCTCCGTCGCCAGGCGGGCACTGCGGATCACCTCGCTCATGCCGCCCTTCTCCGCCAGTGCTGGAGCTGGAGCGGAAGCTGGAGCAGGCGCGTCGGGGCCCTCAGGGACTGGGGTCGGCACCGCAGCCGCAGCCGGAGACGGCCCCTCCTCGGCCGCCGCAACAACACCACCGTTCTTCTCAGTGTTGGTCGACGCCATCCTCGAATGTCAGGTAGAAGTTACCAGCCGTTCCTGCTTGATTGGTCGTCAAGCGAGCTGGCCTTGTCGTGTCGTGTCTCGCCTGGTTCGAGCTTTCGATGAGAGTTTGGGCTCGTCAAAGACTCAAGGTGAGGAATTCTGGGTCCCTGAAATTCTCGCGAAGCGGCGAAGGTGGAGACATGCACTAACGATGGTCAAGCGCAACTTCATTTGTGAGCCCAGCCTCCCCCCCCCCCCCCCTTCTCTTTCGGACATCGCAACGGTGGAGAAGGAGTTGCGGGGAAGCCGGTCGCACCATGTGCTGCCGGTCCAGGGGGTGGCTTTGTTTCCCTCACCAACTTAAATGACTATTGTCTAAGTCTGACTCTTGACTGGACAGTCCTGCCCTGCCACCCATCTCGCTATGAACTTGCAAAGCCCGAGAGCAGCCCATTCTGTCTACGACCTTGATAGATGCAGGTGGTCTATCTAGATATGTAATACCGGTAGTCCGGGCTGGGCTGGGGACAGTCCAACCTTTGCTAGTCGATTCAGGTGCCCCCGCGCTTACTGCCCGCATGACGCACCAAGACAGAACGAGGGCAGTCTGGGGGCACGGGTTAAGCGTAACCTTAAAGGAAGTACTTTAGGGAGCCCTTGTCGCTCTTTCGGCGGTTTTGTCCATCTTTGGACGATGTCTTTCACACTGGAGCGAGGCCGGTGAGAGTACCGTTCGACGTCCGAAACCCACCGACAGCATTGCGAATGCCCTTACCAGAGCAGACAGAGTTCCTTGCTACACCATGGTACGTCATCTTGATTACCTGTCTGCTTATTGTATCCAAGTGGTTTATGGAGGTCTCATCGACAAGTTGTCTATACTGGCAGGCCTTCAGTCGAAAGATTCGCAGGAGCAAGCCTCGCCGAAATATAGTATGGTATCGCGTAAAAAGAAAAAGAGAAGAAATGTATTGAATTGGTTACATGCGTCAAGCTGTTCATTCTCGCTCGCTTGTGTCATCTTGCCATGACTTCCCTTGATCTGGGACCGCATGACCATCCGGTTGCTTACTGACGTTCAATCCTGACCACAGCGTTACGTGCCGTGAACACCATCTGAAATGCAAGATAACTACCCACCTCGTTCTCTCTTGAGAGACTGTATTGACCAGAAGGATGATCAGGCGATCGCGAAATCCCACGATGTGGGCGATGCGTTCGCGCAGGTCGCGAGTGCAGGCTGGCCTTCAAATTCAAAGCTAGTAAAGGTATGATGACTGTGGACAATGATATCAGACAGAACTCTAATGATATTGCGTAGGAACATTCAAGAAGAACCAGAGATGGCTTCGCCCTCCCAAGAAGCGTGAGTGATGCGGCCTGGGCTGTGACCCACGAAGTTGACGACTGACCGAACTGGGTCAGTCATATACATCGACGAAACTCGGTGTCTGGCCTCTGGGAGTCCCCTCGAGGATGTCTCCCAATACCAGTTTCATCTTGGGGAGCCTTGCCACAACGACGCGGAATCAGTCTTGACAGGTGATGCCCCTCCATCGCCTGGTGTGACGATACAGCATGCGCATGCAGCTCCTTCACTGCGAAAAGTCGATACAGTTCTCGATTCGCCGGTCAATCAGAGAATACGCCCCGACGGGAATACGTCAATAAATACATCACAGTCTCTTGAGGATCACAGTGAGACAGAGCCCGCGATCCCAGCTGGCGTGGAAGCACTGCGTATGGCCGTCAGCCCTCCTGTCCCCTCTCTCGGCAACGTCTTGCCTCCAACATTCCACGGTACCGCGGCATTACCTCTCAAAAGCCGCACAGAGGCGATACTGTTTCGTCATTATATCCAAAAACTAGCTGTTTGTGTAAGCCGACAGGCCATCCACAAGGCTGCAAGAGAACATATTGCTGATCTTATCAGTTGGACTTATGTGACCCGCTCAGACACTTTGAACTTGTCGTCCCTGAGCGGGCTAGCATGTGTCATACCTTGCTGAATGCAGTCTTTGCCCTAGCTGCAAGACACCTCAGCCACACGACTGACTTCGATCCGCTTGCCTCGAACAGGTACCATGACGAGTGCCTCAATCATCTGATACCCATGTTGAACCACGCTTCAGCGGTGTCGGACGAAAACCTCTTTGCCGCGACGGTCATCTTGCGGATGCTTGAGGAAATGGACGGTAAGTAAGCACGTGTGAGGAGGGGGTCTAATGCTAATATGTAGCAACAGGCTCGACTACTGGCCATGACAGCTACAGCCATTTGCTAGGTATCCACGCCTTTGTCAATGTTGGGGACCAATATATGATACCTGGCAGTCTGAGTGCAGCCTCGTTCTGGGTGGGGCTGCGACAAGAGATATATATCGCGGTAATCACGCAGCAGCCCGTCAAAGTCAGCCTGGACCATTTCATTGTGGACAGGTCGTTCGAGCCGGCCGACGACTATACATGGTCAAATCGGGCCATTGTCCTCATTGCTGACGTCCTAAATTTCTGTTTTGGAGATAGTCCGTCCACGGTCAGCCGCTGGAACTCGTTGAACGAGGCATGTGAGAAATGGACCATGACGAGGCCCATGTCCTTCAACCCCTTCTTCTACAGGGAACGCACTAGCTCGGCGGCTTTTCCAGAGATATGGCACGGCTCGAGTTGTCATGGTGGGCCTCTAAACTCGATGTCATCGTATCCGTGGCTTGAATCTAATCTGGCGCAGTCATCGGGATTCAGCACCATCTCCTGGCGCAGCTGTTCCTCACGCAATTCGATCCAACAATCCCCAGAGTGGGGACGATGCGGCGGGCATCCACGAAGCGGTTAACAGTGAGTGCCATGGGACTCGCCTCTGGACCGAGTGGGCAAGGTACTGATAAGCGGCAGCACCGTATCGAGACTATTCTACGAGAGCTTTGCGGCATTGGTATCTGTAACCAGTGGAGCCCGCCGGCTATGTTTACTGCCTGCATGGGGATTGCGATGTGTACGTATATGCGGTCCAATGAGCTCCTACGCACTCTCGCTGACTCGGCTTGCAGTTGGTGACCAGTTCGGCGAACGAAGTGATCAGGAGGCTCTCGCTGACCTCCTGAGGCAAACGGAGGCAGCTCATGCCCGCCCAACGGCAGCCATACAGCAGCAGCTGATGAAAACATGGGGCTGGATTCCAGACCTTGATCATTGACAGATATTCAGAGTCACACCATGTTCTGCTTCATCATGAGTGACATGGACTCGGCAAACGGAAGATCGAATGACCTGGCAGTGCGCGAAACAAGCAGTGGCTCGGTTACTACTCCAGTACATTGCGAGGATAATGGTCGGGCTCGGGCAATGATGCAAGTTGACCGCTGCCAGTCGCGAACCGTCTCCTTTGCACGTTCCAGAGGAGGACGCCGGGGCACCCCTAAGACTCCCCCGTCTCAGGGACTACGATACTCCACGGTATGGTAGAACTCCACAAGATTAGTCCACAAGATCTGATCCTGAATCTGCCGGACGGTTCATGCTTTCCGAACCTGCTGCATGACGTTGATGGATCAGCACGGCCAACGTGGGAACGCAGCATGCGGGTGCCAAAAGCTGGCGTGGGACTGGTGTGAAGTCTACGGCGTCGGAGAACATTGCCTCATTGCAAAGTGGGAGATAGAGGCATGTCACATTTACAGTCGCGAGATCCACAAATATATTGTACCGGCGGAATGGTCCATCGTTTTGTTGCTCGCGCGATTCCAAGCCGCACTAGAAGGGGTCGAGTCGGCGATTTTGACCACTTTCAGCAGCCTCTGCCTTTGGTTGGAGTGGATACCCAGACCACTTACACGCAGTCCGCTTATGTACCGAAGTCTATATATCATGGCGAGGACAGCTTATGCTTCGAATGTTGGACTTTGGACCCTATATTCAACCAAGATTCGAGCGCTTCAAGATACCCAACGACACCCTTCCCATCACAAGAAGCTATTTTGAAATCCAATCGTCCACACAAACACACCATCATCATCCACCATGGCACCAGGCGCTTTGCTCGACGAGAACACCTCAGCCCGCGATGGCCTCCAACTCGAGGAGACCTCCGACAATATCGACGCGGTCAACGTGCTGAAGGACAAGATGAAGTGGGCCACCGCGTCCAACTTCGACGCAGAGAAAGACAAGACGCAATTCCGGCAATACGAGCACGCCTGCGACCGCGTGAAGGACTTCTACCGCGAGCAGCACACCAATCAGACAGTCGCTTACAACCTTCAAGCGCGGCACCACTTCCTCAAGACCCGGAAGCGGGAGGAGATGACCGTCTGGCAGGCCATGGAGAAGCTCGACACGCTGATCGACGAGTCGGACCCGGACACCAGCCTGTCGCAGATCCAGCACCTGCTGCAGTCGGCCGAGGCGATCCGGCGCGACGGCCGGCCGCGGTGGATGCAGCTCACGGGCCTGATCCACGACCTAGGAAAACTCCTATTCTTCCACGGGTCTGCGGGCCAGTGGGACGTCGTCGGCGATACCTTTCCAGTCGGCTGCGCCTTCTCCCCCAAAATCATCTACGGGCCGGGCTCCTTCGCGGATAACCCGGACTCGCGGGCTCCGGTCTATAGCACCGAGTTCGGCATCTACTCGCCGCGGTGCGGCTTGAATAATGTCATGCTGTCCTGGGGCCACGACGAGTACCTGTACCACGTGTGCAGGGACCAGTCGACGCTGCCCGACGAGGCGCTGGCTATGATCCGGTACCACTCGTTCTACCCGTGGCACCAGCAGGACGCCTACCGCGAGCTCATGGACGAGCACGACGAGAGGATGTTGGAGGCTGTGCGGGCGTTCAATCCGTACGACTTGTACAGCAAGAGCGATGGCCTTCCTGATGTGGAGGAGCTCAAGCCGTATTACTTGGAGCTCATCGACGAGTACTTCCCTCAGAAGGTCATCCGGTGGTAGGTAGACTGATGGCTGGCTACCAGGCATATTTCGAAGTTTCACGATTTGACGAGCGCTTTTTGCATTATCACGGGATTGGGATTCTGCCAGGCTACACTGGATCTCCGGAAGTCTCCGTACACCCCTCGTTCACCAAGCGAAGGGCGTATCTATTATGATTGGCATAGGTACTCTGGACTGTTCTAAGCAACAAATACGGCTTCCTCGATCAAAGCTGCTTATCCCGGGTGTTTATTCCATTATACGCATATCATTGATATCCAAGGCTTCATGTTCATGGGGGTATGCCGACGGAGACTTCATGTCATGAGAGGTAACTGTACCACATACATCATGGCACAGCACCCAAATACTTCTAGTCGCGGACTTTTGACACAAGATCGAGCATCGGATTTGTACTAAAAGAGAAAAATGTTCATCTACATCTAAGGAACATATATTTATATACAGGAATTGAATGACCGAAATCTCCCCAGAGCGACATCAGCGCGAGCTGGCAGGTCTTACGAAGCACCCCAACCCCAGCAAGGGGAGGAAAAGGAGGGGAAGAAGAAATCAAAGCAGGATCCAGCTACGCTACTCAGAACAAGTCCGGAACATCCGCATTCGTGCAATCGCCACCAGCGCACTTCGTGTACACGGCGACCTGCGCGCCGCCACCACACAGCTGTGTCGGATCGCCCGAACAGGGGTAGCTGCAGTCGCCCATGGTGCCGTTCGTCGGCATCCTGCTCGCGTCGAGCGTGTCTCCGCAGAAGCACTGCGTGTAGTACTCCAGCCCGGCGTACGTGAAGCCGGCGTCGCCGCATAGTTTGATGCACTTGTCGACCGTCATGTCCTTCGTGTCGGCCGACGTGGCGCCGTCCAGCGTGCGGCTCTGCCCCTGCGGGTCCTTGGCGCAGGCCACGTACTTCCAGCCCTGCTTCGTCATGTCCGTGTAGGGCATGATCGGGTCGCCGATCTCTTTTACGACGTTGGTGCAGGAGCTGTCGAACTGGGCTGTTTCTGGGCCGGTTTGTACCGGGTTGCAGCCAGGGAGGGCGGCTAGTACGCCTGTTATGGGCTCGTCGACGCGCGAGAGCGCCTTGCAGGCTTTCATGTCGTCGTCCTTGCGGAACGTGAAGGCGCCGCACTCCTCTACGACGCCGCTGGCGGAGTTGCATGTGTTGATGGCGGTCTGCAGGACGTCGACGTCCCAGCCGTTGACGAAGTCGCCGTGGTAGCCGGTGCCGGTGGGGTCGCTGTTTGTGTGGTGTTAGCGAGCGAATCGGTCATGAGATGGAGAGGGAGAGGGAGTCAAAGAGCAAGAGTCGACGTACCCATAGGAGAAGACGAAGGGCTGCCCGTCGCCATACCACATGTCCTTGAACGGGTCTACGCTCCATATGACCTCGTAGAAGAGGGTAATGAACCGGTGCGGGTGCGAGTCCGGGCAGTAGCCGGTGTCGAGCCTACTCGGGTACGCCACGTGGCTCTTGTGGTCGGGCGAGTCCTTGTCGACGCCGTTCCAGCAGGACGGGAAGTTGATCTGGGCTCGCAGGCCACCGGGGCAGTTCTGCTTGGGCAGCTCTGGTGTCTTGGGCCCGTCGAGGCCCAGGCAGACGAAGGACGCGGCGGCTTCACCGTTCGGCGCGTCCGCCTCGCTGGTGTTGCGGCGGGTCATGTCGCCGGCGATCATGCGGAAGTCTTTCGGGAAGGCGAGGAGGCCTTCTTCGAGCTTTGGGTCTTTTGGATCGGTTCTCTGGCTGTTCTTGTGTTAGTTTCAAGCGGTTGGGATTGTGCCTTGTCCGTCATGAGACTCACAGGTAGTAAACCAGGGCACCTCCGGATTGCTGGACGGGGATGAAGCTGCCGTTCTCAGCGTGGTAGTACAGGGTGGGAACCCAGTAGCTTGACAGGTCCTCGAACGCCTTGCAGGTCGAACAGGTCGCCGTCTGCGTGGAGGCGTAGTCCATGGTGAAGTTGAAGGCATTGGAACCCAGGATGGTATGCACGTGTCCGGAAATAGCACCGGGATCGATGATGGGGTCTGCGCGCTCAACCACGACGGGCGAGGAGCAGGGCATCTTCCAAAAGGCGTTCACCTGGACAGCGAAAGCTGCGAAGCCCACGAGGGCTTTCGTGTAAGTCATTCCGGGCATGGTGTTGATCAGTAGCCGAATTGCGTGGTGGTGAGTGGAATCCCAAGCCCAGGAATGGGGTTGGCGAGTCTTCTTATATGAAAGTATGAGGAACTTTTTGGGGGATCAGCAGACAGGAATCATGGTGAATACCTTTGTGAATCGCGACCCTTGCCTCGAAAGAGTGTTGCGTCCGAGTTGGGTGGCTGAACGCTTTGGCGCGGTATAGTTGGCAAACAAAGAAAACCACTCGCGTACAAATGCCCTGTCTCATTCCGGAACTTCCACACTTCATAATGAAACATCTTCACTTATTAATTATGACGCACATGAGCAGCCAAACAGGCAAGCACACCGCAGGAGTTAATTGAAAGGGTCGTGAAGGAGGGGGTCTAGATCCCATGGCTGATGAAAGATGCCAAGGTTCACGATGCCATCGCTATCGAACTGAACAACACGCCAATCAGAACCACCGGCAGTGAGACAGGTATAACAGGGCCGACGACTTAGCGCTGTTTCATTCCATACTCAAAGCCTTCGCTGTGGCCCGAACTTTCTTCAGACGAAAAAAAGGAGTTCAACCAGATCCCACGATCCGCCAGAGGATGCCCGATGTGACTGGGCGGATAGGGCGACAGGGGCTGCAACTACCAGACACGTGCGAGAGGATCAGATGATCCGGAGAGACATTGCCGCGTACGGCAGCTCAGTCCAGAGCTTCCTGGTTCAAACCTGGTCACCTTCAGTGCAGCCGTCGACGAGGGGGAGGAGGAGGAGGAGGAGGTTTATAGATCGAGTAGCTAACGACGATGGGCTGCGCAATAGGCAGAGACTGCTTGTTGGGGCAAGTGTGTCCGCAGAGGTAAAGTTCACCCTGAAGGATGAACAGCCAAATGTCATGAGGCGCCGCAATGGCCGCTTTCTGCCAGTAGATGACAAACAACCAGAAATGACCCTTTCAGGTGGGCATGCTCCATTGTGTGCTTCGATACCGGCCCTTGGAATCTTCAAAAGAGAATACCGTAAGGATTTGTGACCGACAGACTCATCCCAGAAGCCTAGCCGAAGACTCACCCAGCCAGACTGCCAACGTCGAGGCGGCTGGCTGCAGGTGTGTTGGTGGGGCCAAATGCCCCACACCTCATCCACAGGTATGGGCATTGCGGCATCCCGAAGTATAGCCAGGAGCAAGACATATATACCATATTAAGAAAACTTCCTTTCAGCAAAGTAGCTCAATTTACACATTAGGATTGAACCTGGCTCGAAAGAGCTGGCTTTGCTTGATTTCCTTTCTTTGCCCTCGTCCCAGGTATACGGTTCGAGTTCTGTTGTTGTTAGGTGGGTACTGTGACATTTACCCCGCCCCCTTCTTTGCCCTTGCCCCTTTTCCTGACTCCTTGTCCTTTGCGCGACAATACGTAGCAGGCCCACACACCCTTCCCAGTCGGACAGTTATAGTCTCAGTGCCGGCATACCTGTTTGCCAGGCTATTGCCGACCAGTGTCTCTACCAGGTGGGCAATGGCCTACGACGGCGAATTGGTTTTGGCTTCGGACCACGCAGGCGGATCCCAAGAAGGACAGAGCAGACGACCTGGTACTTTCTTGCATAGCTCACATTTAGAGTCACATACTTCTTCCGGTTCCTGGACGGCTACCATTACCTGTTAGATAGTTTGAAAGAATTTGTCAGGTGCATGCTGATGCAGCCAATGCAGTCCCACCCAAACACTTGCAGCCAGATTTTTGCCGGCGGGCGTACCAAACCAACAGCCCATACTCTATATGTAGCAGAATTGAACCGAGATCTTCAGCGAAGTAGCTGAGCAACTAATGAAAAATTCGTGTTCCACTCAACCTACACAGGCCAAGGCTGATGGGACAACACAAACAACTTCGCTTCTGCATCCTTTTTTGCCCTTGAATCCTAAAGCCTCGGCATTCGACCCTCAGTGTGGTCCCTGTCTCTTGTCCTTTTCTTCTTTCCCTATCAAGAGATCCAAACTAGTATTTCCGTGATTCAAGCCGTCTCGGCCACCGCGTGCGGTTCGTTTGCAAAGTGACCCATAGCAAAACGTCCCTATTGCTCATTCAATCCTGAACTACGTAGACCAAGTTCGGACGGTATGATCATCCCAGTGCCTGTCTATCAACGGGTAATCAATATGCCATTCGTCGATCGGTTAATCAAGCCTGTTACTGTTTTTGCCCTCCTTCCTTGGGCACCCAACAAGTTCAGTCTTCGGTTTGCGAGGTCGATCGATGGTCCGGGCTGTCCTCTATATCCGGATATCCCAACTTTCTCTATCTACTGTAGCTTGATCCCAGTTATGCAGCCTCGCCGTCTGTATAACTAACCACCAACCAACCAACATCTGTCATCTTTCCCTGGCATGCATCTGAAGCCTGCATCAGGCAACCATGGGTAGTAGCCGGACTTCTTCCGGCCAACGCAGACCAGAGCAGGCCCTATATGTATTGAAATCAGACCAGAATTCTTCAGCGAAGTAGCTGATCGACTTTGAATGACAATTTCAACCCCCCAACTTCGCTTTTACTTTTTGCGTGCGAGGCTCATAGTTCGAACCGCCCACTGGTTCTGATTTTTTATGACAGGACGAACACCCCTTTTCTTTCTTTTCATACTTGATAGCTGATACTAGCGATGACGCTTCTAGCACATATTATGGATGTCCTTATGGAGGCGCATGGGGAAGATTCGGCTCGAACTGCTAACATCTTCGCTTTCTTTTCCCTTTCTATTTTTGACAATATTAAACGTTTCACTTCTTCCCTTATTTCGAGAGATGGGAGAGTCTTGTTGTGCATGAGGTGGGCCTGTCTAGTGGGGACCTTGGTATGGTGGTTGGTTGGTTGGTTGGTTGGTTGCAGTCGTCTAGAGGGGTGCACGGAGACTTTTGAGAGTGTGGCTCACGGGCATCCAATGCACCACCGCCCAAGGGGAACCTCCAGTATCCTTTGCCTCATCCGTTCGAATTTGACAATCGGAAGGGTTGACCTTCTTGTTGCCGATTTACATTTGTTGGCAAGAGCGACAGCAGGTGACTGCGCCACAGTAGTACAGGTGGCCGGCCTGGTCTTCGCTCCGGCGTGAGTCACTACAGCGCACCTTTGCCTTACAAGTCGTTCTTTCCCAGTGGTCTGAACCGATGCAAACGGGCAGACACCTACCTAACCTTGGTGCATATATCATCTCATCAGAGAATCCGTTTGCATTGGTGTACACTTTCGAGTCCCAGCCCTTCTCTGGACATCAACCCCATCGCGTATCATACCTGTTCCTTGCCCCCTTTCCCAAAGCAGCTATCACGTCCGATCATCCACGCATCAGTCATGGCTGCTTCCAGCAATGACAAGGAGCCTTGGTTCCTCCGATACAGCGTGCCTGTGCAGTTTCCAGCCCATGCTGGCTTCGACCTTGCCATCACACAGGCCGACTTTGAAGCCTGGGTACGCAATGAGGCGCTCAACCGGGACGACGACCACGAAGAGAAGGTGAATACGGATGAAGACGAAGATGATACATTCACCATGGTCACGTCGTCGACTTCTCAGGAAGTGCGACATGCTTTGGAAGACTTGGAGATAGATTCTGCAGATGAGACTCCAACCAAGGAGCCTGCCTCCAAGCGCACAGACGAGTCTGACGAGCATCCTTTCATCCAAGGCCTAGTAGCGCATGGCAACTCGACTCCAGTTCCGTCCATAGCCACGGACAACAAAATGCTCACCGAGAATTCCGATGTTGCCTTCCGTTCCACACGACAGGCTCTCCTCGATCTGTTTTTTGAGCTCGAAGATGTCGTTTCCGGCCCACGCCTATTGGAGTTACTCAATGCGGCCTGGATCGACAGCCCCCTGATGACACTCAAGATCATATTCAATGCTCGCTCGATCCATCTGGGCAAGGCATCTCGAGCCACCTTCTACCGCTGTGCCGGTTGGCTAGCACAGAACCACCCTCTCACCCTCGTTTCCAACCTACGCTGGCTCAGTCGTCCTGTCATCGAGAAGAAGGTCGTGAAGAAGGAAACGGGCGAGGAGGATGAAGTCCTCGTCGACCTAAAGCCAGAGGAGAAGGACGAAGACGATGTGACACGGTTCGATGTGAAGAATGGTGTTGCCCATGGTTGTTGGAAAGACCTCCTCAATATCCTGGTTCTTTGCATCAACGGCAAGCTCGACGTTCTGGCCAACCCGAGAGACATCTTGAATGTTGAGAGAGAGGGAAAAGACAAGAACCATAGAGGCAAGGAGCATCTAGACAAGGAGGAGGCCAAGACCAAACGCCACGATGTCCGTAATGCGCGTCACGAACAAGCAGTTGATACCTTCAACTCCAATGCTGTCTATCGAGCCTTGTACCTTACAATCGCCCCCCTGTTTGCCGAGCAACTCAGGTCGGATCTGCTTCTCTTCCACGGTGAGGACAAAAAGGCAAAGAAGAAGATCTCGCTCTGCGCCAAGTGGGCGCCGTCACAAGACCGCTTCCACGACAAGCACACCTTCATCGTCTCCAGTATTGCCGAGATGCTGCACCCTCTGGATGAAGTCACCGGTGGCTCCGGAGACATGGATCGAGAGCTGTACCTTCGCCATGCTCGGGAGCGATACCGCAAAGACATCTCGGCCCTGCGAGCCCATCTCGATGTCGTCGAGCGCAACCTCAGCGCCAAGACCCTAGACAAGATCAAGTACGAACGTGTCCCGTCTGTGGCCATGAGCAATTATGCCAAGATCTTCGCGGAGAAGGACACTGAGCGATTCGAGGAATACATCAACGCTGTAGCGGAAGGAAAGACCCGTATCAGTGGCGCCACCCTGTTGCCCTCGACTCTGATAAGCACCGTGAGACGGACATCTCGTCCTGTCATTAACACTGCCTCCTTAGCCAAGAATCCTGGAAAGGCTGCCATCGAGGCCAAGGTGAATGAGCTCGATGCCAAGGTCGCCGACGGCCAGTGGAAGACACTTGTACAGCGCATCAAAGACTCTGGAACACTCGAGTCTACCATTGCAGTCTGCGACGTGTCAGGCTCGATGTCTAGCCCAGTTTTTCCTGACGGCACATGTCCAATGGACAGTGCAATCGGGCTTTCGCTTCTCCTCGCCGAGGTAACAGCTCCACCCTTCGGAGGCCACTTCATCACCTTTTCCGCCCGTCCAGGAGTTCTGAGCATCGATCTATCGTCGTCACTACATGACAAGATATCTGCGATGGAAAGATCACACTGGGAAATGAACACCAACTTCGTTGCCGTCTTCGAGGAACTTATCCTGCCGGTGGCAATTCGCAACAACCTGAAGCAAGAGGACATGGTCAAACGCATCTTTGTCTTCAGTGACATGCAGTTCGACACTGCTCAGGCCCGCTACGCATATTCGGATGGCTCGTGGAGCCAGGACGAACATGAGGACATACCATGTTGGAGCACGTCGTTCGAGAAAATCAGAGGCAAGTATGCTGAAGCTGGCTACGAGATGCCAGATCTTGTCTTTTGGAACCTCGCTGGCGGACGGGCTGGTTACGGGGGTTGTGATTTCGGTGACCCAACAGCGCCGAAGCCGGTGACTGCCGAGGAGCCGGGCACAGCCCTCGTCAGTGGCTATTCGCAGGGCATGCTCAAAGTTTTCCTCGAGAATGGTTCCTTCGACGTCCCGGACGATGAGGATGATAAGCTCCAGGTTGCGGAGGATGGTGACGCCGTCGTCCTCGAGACGGAAAGCCGGGCCAAACGGCAGAAGATGGACCCAATGAACATCCTCAAGAAGGCTATCGGACACAAGGCGTACGACTCCCTGAAGGTTATGGATTGAGTAGGGTAATTGCTTGATTGTCAGCCATCTCAAGTTATGTTGATTGCATTGCTGGCTACGTTTGTAGCTGTACTCGTCAGGGAAGATTGATTTCTGATTTGACTAAATTGTACGATACCTCCATAGCGAACCACGGTAGGTATGCATCGGGAATCATTATTACTTGAATTGATGACTGGGTGCCAGATGATGCAAATTGATATCTTCCCATGTTGTTTGGTGTGCGAAGAGAGTGCCGTAGTTGCAAAATCAACCTACTGCTCGTGCGGATGATGCAAACATAACGCAAGCCATGGGTACAGTACCACCTCATAATGGTCGATGACATCTCACTTGTGAGTGCTCCAGACGAAGAATCTCGTTGTATCTACCGATCTTGGTGGGCAACTACTGGCTACTCAAATGCGTGCTATATTTTCGCTCGAGGAATAGACGTAGAGGAAACGAAGAAAATCAAAGAGTGAAAGCGAATTCAGACGAAGACCATGTTCATCACTCGAACAGTAGACCTCCACGTCTCCAGGATGAACGCAACAAAAACAACACCCAAAAAGCAAAGTCGGCTCAGATGAAGAACCCCACCACCATCTGAGCCAGGGACCTGGATTTCTTTGAGTTTACAGCTACTTTGCTGGCAATGGAGCGTGTTAATGGACTCTATATGCATGCGGGCAAACCCTCTGATGCGACCAGCTGGTAGATGATGCTGCTGGGCTCCGGTTGTCCGTTTGCTTTGGGTCATCTTGTTGGCCTTTGGTTGGACTTCGGGATGGGGATTACACTTCCGAGCGGAAGTTCCCAAGGTTTCATGTAGTTTCAGTAAGTTGGGGAGACCAGTATTATTAAGAGAAAGAAAAATGAGGTGATTCTGCTGCACTGCGTCGCCACGTCAAGCCTCTGTGCGTTGAAAGCCAAATTTGCGATATGTGACGAGAGAGGCGATGACAGAATTCCCCTGGCGGCAGGGGAGTGCGTGACGCCCAGGATGCCAGCTGTAACTGTACGGCTATTGGCAACCCTCGCACTGCTGACTTCAGAGATGAATGCGTGATACATCAAGGGGAAGATTCAGGAGAGGTCTTGGACAGGGGATGAAGTGCGTTACAGTAAGGAAGCTGCCCGCAGACCAAGCGTATGGCAGACCATACCAAATCCAACACCTGCAAAACACCATAGCAGCTCCAACTTCGTGTAGCTTGCTTAGATTCACCTGCTTGACGATCTTACGTAGTTTGTCCGACTCAAGGCAGCTGGACGTTGTCCGGTTCGGCCGGTTCAGCCGGAAACTCCACGGCCGAGTCCGAGCCCGACCCCCTTATCCCGACCCCGAGCTCGGCCTCGGTGAACTCCCTCCCTCGCCAAATAGGGGGACGAAGCAGCATGGGACATGGATGATCGGATGTGCGAGCTATGAGCTGAAGACAGGGGTACTGTTTAATCTTATCTGATCCGGTGTCAGCGAGATCGCCAGTCATCGAATCGTTTGTATCATTCACTACATGGCCGAGCCGAGAAAGTCGTCTTGCGTCCATTCTATTTGGTTTAAATAGCTTCAAGTCTTCTTACTTTCATACGCGGCTGCAATCGCATTCCTTTAGTCGATTTTTGTTCTATGCCTTCATCCAATCGCAGTGCTTGTGTCTTGTTTCCACGTCCAACGGCGTACCTAGCACACCATCGCCATGGCGTTCCCAAAGACACTCAAAAAAGCCCTCCTGGTCGCAAGAGCCTTCGGCATCGTCGCATCCTTCATCTCCGGCCTCCTCACCCGTTCTGTATCCCTACGCCTCAAGCGCGTGTCTCACCACCTCTCCCCCTCGTCCTCATCCTCGCCCAAGCCCGACCCCAGATCCCGCAACATAGTCGTCATCGGTGCCTCCATGGCGGGCCACCACGCCGCCCACACCATCGCCACGTCCCTGCCGCCCGACTCCCCCTACCGCGTCGTGGTCGTCGAGCCTCACGGTACGTACAGAAACATACCATCCCAAGACCCTGAGCCTTGGTTTCGAAAACAAGGTCCGTTATCCGGGTTCGGGATGTTAACGCACGCAGAGTATTTCCAGTTCACGTGGGTACTGCCGCGCTTCAGCGTCGTCGGCGGCCACGAGCACAAGGCCTTCATTCCCTACGGACCCTACCTGTCCGGGGCACCCGACGGGGCGGTGCGATGGGTCCGTGACCGCGTGGTGCGCGTCACGCGGGATAGTGTACAACTAAACAGCAGCGGCGAGGAGATCGCCTACGCGTACCTGGTCGTCGCGACGGGTGCGGGCGCTACGGATGCGCTGCCCAGCCGCGTGGGCGTCGACGGCAGGGCCGAGGGCATCGAGGCCTTGAGGCAAATGCAGGGGCGGATCCGCGATGCCCGGAATCTGGTCGTGATGGGAGGTGGTGCGGCGGGTGTAGAGCTGGCCGCTGATGCCAAGGCGAAATACCCGGAGAAGACGGTCACGCTGGTTCATTCGAGGGACAGGGTCATGCATCGCTTCGGACGGGAACTGCAGGATGCTGCGATGGAGGGGCTCTTGGGGTTGGGCGTTGAGGTCGTTACTGGAGATAGGGTGGTAGGGGAGGTTATAGAGGGAGGTATAGTGAGGTTGAAGACTGGTAGGGAGATCGAGTGCGATTTCTTGGTGAGAAGCTTCTCACTTATAAACTGTACTTACGCCGAGAACCTGTTGCTGACGTTACTAGGTAAACTGCGCAGGCCAGAGGCCCAACTCTCAGCTGATCGCCGAGCTGAGCCCGGAATCTATAGCCAGGACAGGCCATGTCCTCGTCAAGTCCACCTTGCAGATCCAGGACGAATCGCTACCTAACATATATGTATGCGGTGACGTGGCCGAGACGCAAACAGCGAACCCAAACTCCAGGTCTGCGATGCATCAGGCTATGGTCGTTGCGGACAACATACTCCTTGCTCTGGAAGGCCGAGATCCGACGTACCAGTATAAGCCGCTGTGGGTGGAAGGACTTATCAAGCTTACTCTGGGACTGGTATGTTCCTTTCAAATCGCATCTTGTCACACGCCGTCGTTGAGGGTACTTCTTTGCTGACATAACCTACTTCAGGATAAGAGCGTCACGCATCTGGGAGATGGGAGTACAGAGTTGCTGTTTCGGACCAAGGAGAAGGACTTGGCTCTCATGTCGGCGCAGGCGTGGAAACAGCTCGGGGCCAGACCTTTCGAGGACGACTATGATACCCTACACAAGATGTTGGCTGTACCATAGTCTCGAAGAGTGAAAGTAAGGTGGTCAGTCCAGAACCGTAGGCTACCCTCGCCCAAATGGGATATAAACGAATGAGATGACTGGCGTACGAGGTCTGGGTTGATCTAGGAGGGATATTGATCATAGAGGGCGGGCCGACACATCTCTGCATGTTGACTCCCGCCGACAGGATGGCTTGAATATAGGGTGGCGATGTGACCAAATGGGGCATGCACTCGGCCAGTCATCAATCCACGGATACCGAGCATCTTCGTAGTAACCGTGAGCCTCACACGCGAGGCCCGAAAAGTCGATCTCGAGGGAGAGCTGGAGCATGTGCCGAGCGATGGAGAATTGCTAAGCCGTTTGCTGCGTAACTGCCCCCCTCTTCCGTCCAACAAAGACGACGGCAGTCCCAAGATACGCAAGCTGCGGTATGGTCGTGCGGATAGGGGCACCTGTCCCCGATCGACATGCAAGGCTGATCCGTTGGGTCGAGCACAAACTTGAAGCGGCAACTTGGTATGTATGTATCGCTGCATTCACCCACTTCTGCGCAGAAAACGTCCGGATTTTGTGTGCGATCAAACATGCCCACAAATAGTCCGGCGCTACACGGGTGTGACGTCCCTTGCGGTCGAAGAGCTTAAAGATTATTTGTCAGGGCAAGTTTTCGATGGCGATGGCAATTTGAACATAGTCGTTGGGGCTGATATGTGCTGAGGCGGGAGCCTTTAGGGGGTGACAGATAATTAGCAGGCTTCGTATCCGCGAGATGCAAGCTCAGAAAGGCAAAGCGTTCGCGCAAATGATGCTGGAGGTGAGGAAAGGTTCAAAGCCTCCGTAGTGTGATATTTATACAAACTTGCACATGATTCGCATAGTTGTTGCTGATGGTGCCCGTCCCTCATCCTATATTTACCCTGGCGCAAGGTCCAGGGTTTCCATTGCCATTGCTGCTTCCACCCTGACTTCTGGGCGGCGAAGCGTTCACGGTATTCACATGTCCGCACCCTGACCAAGCCCTGCCCGTATCTCTTCTTCCGTATTACCATAATCAATGACATGCCCTCCTCCTCCTGTGTCGATGTTCATATCTCCCCACTACCTTGCGCTCCATCTGGTGGTGGTACATTCACATGCCCCCAATGGTGGCGTGTTCGTATGCCCTGGTGTAGCAGCGGGCGCCGCGTTCCCTCAACCTCCATTCCCGCGGCATCTGCTCCAGCGACTTTCACCCAGCAGGATGTTCACTGGTCCCGGACGAAAAGGGGTACGTTGACATGCGCCAAAGGCGGACAGGCTTCAGGAGGAGTTGGTGGTACTGATTATTGCGTCCTTGGTGAGTCTGCACTTGAATCCAAGATGTAGTCCGCTGATCCAGATTCCTCAGATGTCGCGCCCAGACGGGCTCTGAACCGTGCCACGTAGTAAGAAATGATGACGATGGCGATGATGTGGAGGGCCAAAATGATCGCGACTGTATCGTTAGGCTTGACCATTGCAGGGAGAGCATCAGAGCGGATCTGATGTCTAGGACCAGTGACGGGGCCTCGATGCCTCTCGAAGTGACGATATGGTTATGACTTCCCGTGGATCACGGCAGGTTTCGGAACGGAAGTGTCTAGCCTAGATGTCAGCTCGTGTTCCTGCGTCGGAGCTGGTGGTTTGATGCGCCTAATTACCGACACAACCGTGCCAGCGGCAGGAAAAATACCTACCAAGGCTCTATCACATCTAGATTCAAATGTTGCGATTAAACGAGTTTAGTTTGCTGGTGGGTGCGATATTGTTCAGATGGAGTCGTCTAAATCGAGCAAGAGGCTTCTGCTCCCTCTGGCCCTGCTCACCTCCTGGCTATTTACCTACTATCCAGGGGCTCGCACAAAATATTGCGAACGAATTGGTGGCGCTCGAAAGGTTGTTGATGGCGATGACAGCTGGTTCTGTGACACAGTAAACAAACAACCTCTTTGGGTTGTCGGCCAAGAAGAGGATGTAACCCCAGTTGCCCACTACTACATCATGCCATGCGAAGCAAGAGGACGGCATATTTCCCCACCTACTCGTCGTGTCAACGGGGACGGGATGCGGTGCGACGCTCTGTGAGTGGTGATGTAACCAATGAGAGGGTCTCGCTTGGGACCAACATGCATGATATTGGTATATCACAAGCGGCCACGGGGAGAGCCATAGTCAAGCTGTGCTACTATGTGAGTTGTTGCTCAAAGAACCCTCCTCGCGCAACGGAGCATAGCCAATCCAAGGGGAGGTCCCGTGGCAGAGAATTCCATCGACAACTGGACAAGAGGGAAAGAGGGCAAGAGCCACCCACTGCCGCCCGGCGTTGGACCTCCGTACCTGCCCCGTGTTATGAACTCGATTGATTGACGACCGCCGGAGTGCATCCGGAGCGGCTTTTGGCACGGCGCGCGGTGGGATAAATCACAAGTCGGTATCGCGGCCTATATACTTATCAAGGGGAACTTGCCTACTGGCCCAGGTGATCTCGAATACCTCAAAGTCAAAAACCGTCAACGAGGAGCGACACAGTCACCAGCTAGGCGCTCTGCTCCCAAGCATCAGCTTGGAGGGAAGAGGTCGTACAAAGGCGATATCATTGATAGAGAGATGCGGGAGTGAGTTACACGCACGCACTATGCCTCACTCTCCCGAAAGGTATCAGGGTGCTGCCCCTGCAAGAGAGGCGAATGGCCCGGAACATGACGTAGGGGAAGCGCCTGCACAGGCCGGTGAAGCTGACTCCCCATACCAACCTGTTTCGGGGTACCAATACTATGGTGTGCAAGGGGAGGTCGAACATGGAGGTGGTGGTTGAAGAATACATATCCCCGGCAAACCGTAGGATAACGTTACGTAGTCAAAGGGGCCCCAACCTATCCCGTATCATAGTCGCAATGGGTTCAAATGACAGGCTGTATCTGAGACAACGACGAGATGGACCTCAACCGAAATCATGAAGCGACGTACTTTGATAAAGAGCATGACACCGGCCGTCCCACACCCGACTGAACGCCGAGAGCCGAGTCAACCCCTACCCCACCCCAGCCCACTAGCAAACAATTGGATTCTTCAAGCGAGGCACTTCTCGTACCAGTAATACATACCGCCAGAAAAGCGGATTTCATCATCAAATCATGTGGTTTCGTGGTGTAGTGTAAGAAGATCCCCTTCATGTTAGTCTCCCACGCTTACTAACATCATAATTACAGTGGTTATCACGTCAGTCTAACACACTGAAGGTCTCCGGTTCGAACCCGGGCGAAATCAAAATTTTCTTTTTGCTTCTGCTTTGTCCAATTCTGCCTGTTGGGCTGTGGCGGGGTATGCCGAGGTTTTCATGAGCCTTTCATCACCCTGATGATACTACGTACATTGTCACTTTTTGGCCCGTGCTGGTAGATCATTCGGAAGAAATGTTGAATTATTCCCGTTGTGTATAAGACTTAACGCAGGACTTCAATCTCGGGCTGACTTTTACTCTGTATGATGATGACTTGTTTACTGGTAAGTTGAGCTTTACGAGAGTTCGCTCGCCGGAGCGCGCAGGGAGGGCACGGAAAGACCACTGATAAGCAAGCGCCCAGAGGTTGGAGGTATTCATGAGGATGAACAAGACAGAAGAGTGCAATGCAGCGGTAGATGTATTGACTATTCCAAAGCGACGCAGCGAGGTATGAAGTAATACTATATCAATAATGGCAAATGCCACCAACTTCATCGTCGATTTTCCAAGTGCCAGCCAGACCATGCTCGACAATCGGCTCGTCTGGCAAGGGGACGACCTCCTCCTCCGCTTTACCGAGGAAGAAGTCGCCCTGGCCAGAGGTCTTGGTCTGCCTGCTCATGAACCTCTTGGCCCACTCCCCCACGGCGGGCTCACCCGTTTCGTCCCGGGCCTGCTTGAGGAACGGGATCAGGGCCGTGCCGCCAGTGCCTTTGACTTTCTTGTGTTTCTCATTGCGGGAGGCAGTGGCGAGATTCTGTCGGTTACGAACAGCCTCGGGACTCCGAGAACGGCTACGCGCTCGGTTCTCTCGCGACGGAAGGATGATGTAACGAGTGACAATCGCGATGTGGATATCGCGGAAAGCACGCAACATGGCAAGACACGCATCATAGGCGATGCTGAGTGGCTGGTCGGTCGCGCGATGGCTCTCAACAAAGTCGCGGATGTTTGCAACATTCCCGACATCGTTGAGGAAACGGGCGTGGGGCCCTGGCATGTATCGTCGCATGTCGCGGATGAAGTTGTGCAGGGGAGGGGCGCTTCGTCCTTCGCGCTCTGACTCGGAGGCCGGATCGGCCTTTTCGCCAGTAGGGCGGTGTTCAATGCCGAGAATGATGTCAAAGAACTGGATGAGACTGCTCTGGGCATTGCTGGGACCGCTGTGCTGGACGTATTCCGATTTGCCTTCGCCCTCGTCGTACATCACACCCCGTGGCAGGCCGGCCTCGGCCATGTTCTTGCTTCCTGCCAGAAAGGTGCGGATGCGACGATAGAAGAAGCCTGGGTCACAGTTCTCATGCATGCGGCGAAGTAACTCGCCAAGGTCGTCGAGACGCTCAGCAAAGGCACGCAGACAACGTGTCACGGTTGCGCTGTCCCCTTGACGTGCAGCCTCGACGGCAGTAAGCATGAGGGTGATGATCGGACCGCCTCGGGCCTCGATGGCGACAGACACCAGGTAGAACCATGATTCGTCGAGTGACCCGGTGAAGGTGACCAAGGTGGCGAGGTTGTCGAGGTCATCGATGTCTTCGTCGATGAAGAGTGGCTTGAAGTTCCAGAGCACCGAGGCGGCGTAGGTCGAGACGGGCGGGATCTCAAGGTGCTCGCAGATCTTCAGAAGCGGGACCGAGATGCTCGGGGGCACACGATCACGAGGAGTGTCACCTCCCCAGATGTAGCCATGAGCGAAAAAGGTCAGGAGCATGTAGGCTCTCCTCCATTCTGCGTCATGTTCCAGACCGATGGTGGTGAGGACCGGGAGACGGTCGATGACACCTTGCAGCCGCTTGCTGAGGATCAAGTTCTGGAAGTTGGCGATGACGGACTCCCATTTGTTGTAGTATGGGTCCGGCAGTCTCGTCAACGGCAAGACGTCTGGCAAGAAGCCATGGGTTGGCGAGATTCCATAGTCGGCCAAGACGGGGACAGGAGGTCTCATGACGAGGTTGTCCGTGTTGTCCGGTAAGGTTGGTGGGATGGAGAGGAGTTGTGCTTATTCAATTCAAGTAACTAATAAGTCCTGACGCAAGGAGTATACAGATCTTGTCCTGCAATACTCCTCAGCCGTGCGAGAATCTGGGTATGTCGTATTCATGCGGTTGAGCGGAAAGGCTGTTACTGGTTGGTTGGGAAATGCCGGTAACGTTGTTGAAGAAGAAGAAAGAGAGAAAGTTTTCGGGTCCGTCTGGGTAGCGAGTGTTTTAAGCCGAAATCTAGTTTCGGAGAAGGCGGTTAGAAAGCAAAAAGCCCAATTATTAATGGGCACTGGTATGGATTGCAAACCCATGTTAAGGTGTTAAGGTATCACAAGTATATGCAAGTACTGTTCGGACCCTGGATTCGAGTCCGGTGGCAATTATTAATAGACTTTCCCGTCCGTCCATTCATCGTCAGCAGACAGCCTACCGGTAGTAGACGTGATTATTGCTTTGACGTTGGGTAGAGGCGAGGCGCGAAACAAAGAGCGAACGAACGATGTCGGCCTGGTCGGCTCCTAGCGTCGCGAGAGAAGACAAAGACAAAAAGACATCTGACAGCGAGCGCAAGGGTAAGCCGTTCGGATGTTCCGGGATGAAGGATGGCATGTCCATCGAATGATCGAAGATATTGATCACACGCCATTCACCACCCAATACCATGTACCCATTTGCACATGTAGAGCGAGAAGGCGAGACTTGCATGAAACCGAAATGAACAGCCTCATGTTCATCAGCTGCGGTATGACAACCCCGCCCAGCCTGGATAAGGTATGCAGACTGACGAGCTTTTGAGCTTTTGGTTTGACTTGGTGAAATTCTTCTTGTCGTATCCTTAGCGTACATTGAGTTGTGATGGAATTCATCCTTGATGTTATCGACTTGTTGAGTGAGAGTGATGGATTGATTTTGAATTTTGAAGTGGTAGACATAAACTTTAGTTTAGCGATGGCGTGGTTGGAGGTGATGATGATGACCTGGAGGGTCACGGTCCTCGGCTGTTCCCCCGCGCTGTGGCTAGGTAGGTAGAGCTAGGGCTAGCCACAGGTGTCAGGGAGGGGTGGGAGCAGGTAGTGCTGATTGGGTGCAGCCCAACCTTGGAGGCTTGGAGTGATGACTTCCAGCAGCCTTGGCGGGCCTCGGACCGTCACCACCACAAGCCACAAGGCTCAGGTAATAATCAAGAACCTTGAAGCATCACGATGCGACATCTGCAACCTAACGGTACATGTAGCTGGCTGGCTGGCACAACCACATGATGGCCGTCCAGCAGCATGTCCTCAACTGGCTATACAGCGTCCTGACTAGTGTAAGCTGCCCGACCCGTTCATACAAGTGCGAACGAGCTGATGCTGATGCTGATGCTTGCTAGGAATACCACGATGTCAACCGGACCTACAACGACGTCGCCCAGGCGTTGTCCAACTATCCCTCCTTGTCGCCCCGGACAGACGTTCACAGTACGTTCCTCCATACATGTCTCCGACTCTGAACTCCGTCGTCTAAACGTCGCTAGCTTTCGACAATGGCGTCTCCGCCCTCCTCCTACACCTCTCTGGCACAGTTCCCGTCGTCTTCCGAGGGACCACCTACCGCTTCCCCGTCTCGATATGGGTGCCCCATGCCTATCCGCGCGAGGCACCCATTGGCTATGTCACGCCGACCGAGAACATGATGGTACGGCCGGGCCAACATGTTGATCCTCAGGGGAAGATATACCACCCCTATCTTGTTGGATGGGCCGAGTACTGGGATGTAAGTGCATCACGATCGCGTACTGATGCGCGCTGGCTGTATTACTGATGCGTTCCCCCAGAAGTCCTCTATCTTGGACTTTCTAGCCATCCTACGAGATATCTTCGCGAAAGAACCTCCCGTCATCGCCCGGCAGCAAGCTCGACCGACCCAGCTGCAACCCACACCAACAGCGACACCACCACCTGTGCCCCCTCTGCCGCCCGATATGTCGAGACCAACTCCTCAGCAGACTCAGTCGCCCCATCCGAGAGATCCAAGGCCACCTCCGCCTCCACCGAAGGGCAGCGACCTGCCACAGGTCGTCTCCGGCCCGTCATCCCGGTCCGACGGACCTCCTTTACCTCCCCTACCGCACGAGATCCGCCGACAGTCGAGTCAGTACAGTGCACATTCATCTGCTGTCCAGCCGCCGCAGTCAAATCGTCTTTCGAGATACGATACGGCGCCACCCCTGCCGCCGCAGCACCCACAGGCGCAGGCACAAGTGCTACCTCAACCGCCGCAGTCATACCGGCAGTCTCCTCCCGACGTTCAATACTTTGCCCAGCAGCAGCAACAACAACAACAACAACAACAACAACAACAACAACAACAACAACAGCATGCATATCAGCAGGGCGGGCCGTCGGCCGTCATTTCACCACAGGATATCCGCCGAACCTCTACCATATCGCCCGTAACACCCTACAGCACCGCTGCTACCGGACCATCCTTATCCTACAGCGGACCACCACCTCCTAAGTGGCAAGCACAACCTCAACAACCACCAGTACAACCTCAGACAAAACCACCGCCTCCGCCCGACATCATGGACGAGCCCCTGACCCTCGCGCTGCCCTCGCCATCTTACCTCGCGCCACCACCGATCCCTCCCAACCCTGAGAAGGATGCTCTCCTGCACCAACTCGCCTCGACCCTCTACGCCCTCCGCCAACGCGCCAGGCAGCAGAACGAGTCCTCCCTATCAGGGCTTAGTGCCCAGCGCAACGCTATGCTAGCTGCGCTCCAGAATATGCAGAGTGACGCGGCGGCCCTGACACCGCTCTCGGGCATGCTCTCCCAAAATACTACAATCCTGCAGTCGTCGTTGCAGGAGGCCGACGCCGTCATCGGCAACAGCCAGACACATGAGCCGCCTGCAATTGATGACCTACTAGTTGCGCCGACGGTGGTGGGAAACCAACTGTATGATCTCGTGGCCGAGGAGAGGGCTCTGAGCGATGCCATATTCGTCCTGGGCCGCGCCGTCGAAAGGGGCCGCATATCACCTACCGTGTTCGCCAAGACCACGCGGTCCCTGGCGCGTGAGTGGTATCTCAAGAAGGCATTGGTGCGGAAGATTGGGTCTGGCATGGGGCTTGTTGGATAATCGCCCGTTGACATAGGCCTCCCTGCCATGATGAAGATGTCAGTCAGACAGGTACATACGCACAATGATGACGATCAAAAACGATGCTAGACTGGGGCAAGCGGAATGTAGATACCAACTCGATCATAATACTGCATTGAAGCAAGCTAGCATTGGAACAATCTAGAAAGCAAGCAGAGCATGAAAAGCCCCAGGAACTTTCTGAGGATACTATACTTGTATGTTAAAACGAACCAAACTGCAAAACCCAGTCACAGTACCTACTAAGTACGCTTCTGGTGTCAACTTGCTAGAGTAACCCTTTTCCGCACACCGCAACTAAGGTACAAACCTGACAACTAACATAGGTATCCAATACTCGATAGGCTGACTACCTCTGCTCTTCCCCTCTTTCTTCTGTCATGCTCTCCCCTTCGATAAGGCATAAGTGACCCATGCCCCTTAACCAATGGAACCATCCCACACCATCCATCTGTCCATCCCATTAGCTGAACATACGGCCAGCATCCACCCAATCTTGCCTCCCTTCGGGATCCACCCAAGCCAGAGATACAACAGCTTCAGGCAGCACTCCCGCCCCCGTTCCCCTTGCTGCCGAGCCGCAGCCCGCTGGTCGACTTATCCTTGAACATAGTACTGGCCGACTTGTCCTTGAACATGTTGACAATCCTCTTGACCTGGCCGGGTCGAGCGGGCTTCGGGGAGTTCATCTCGGCCTCGTTCAGGCGGACCACGAACCCCGACGTCGTCTTGGGCTCCCAGCTCTTCTCGCTCTTGCTCTTGGCCCTCTGGTTATGAGCTTCCACGGACCTTTGCTTTTCGTTTTCCTTTTTCAGTATGCCTGGTGGCCTGTTGATGGCTGAGGGGACGACGTAGGCATACTCTCGTGCTATCTCCTTGCCCTTGCCCTTTTCTTCCTTCTTGCGGGCCTTCTCGTCTCGACGCCGCTGCTTCTCTTCGCGCTTGCGGCGCTTGCGCTCGGCCACTGAGTGCTTCGAAAGCACATTCTGTAGGGCCTCGGGATCTTGTTGCGCCGCGCTGAAAGGCGACGGTTCTTGATGTGCCTGCGGAATGTCTTCGGAAGCGGCTTGCTTTCCGTCCTTTCTGGTCATTTTGGTCAGGATCGCACCGTCCAGCCCGAAGTCGAACCTCACCGAGCTGTCTATACCGCTCGACTCGCGCGTCATGAAGGGGAAGCTCTTGCGCATGGACACCCGTCGATGGGATGGGAAACGACGCACGTGGCTCATGGGCGGCGGGCGGTTCTCCAGTTTCGCGGTGAGCTCGTGGGGGATATCGATGCTGCTTGATTCGCCCCCAGACGAGTATGATGCCGCGGGGCGGTCTTCTTCCGAGGTGCGGTACAAGTGGTAGCCGAAGCGACTTGAACGACGGTACAGACGCTGTGGGGGCGACGGACTTGGCCTGGTAGTACCCTCGGCCTTGACGTCGTCGCTTGAGCTTGAGCCGGGTTCGTCGCTGTCCGTGCTGCTACTGTCGTCGCTGCAACTATCCACGGAATGCCTGAAGGAGTTTGATATCCGGCGCCAGATCGCTGTGCCACGCTGGCGGATGGGGTGCCAACCACTCGGAGACGGCTTCTTCTCGTCATTTCTCTCTCTTGCCTTGAAAGCGAAATGGAGAACGGTGTCATGGGACTTGGCACGATCGTGGGTAGGGGTCTTGACAGAGGGGGCGTTGCTGTCCAGACGCTCAAACTGTTGAACACGATCCTTGACGGGTGATTCATACTTACGAGAACCGTGGTTCTTTGACTGGGAGTTGTGCAGAGCGTCAAATTCACCGGGCTGCTTTGCGTCGCCAATGAAGTCGCAGGAGAAGTCGTTGATCGAGATCTCGGTGGTCAGGGCTGGGGATGGGACATGTGCTCGCCGCTGGACAGTAGTGTGTGTCGAGAACGTTGCCGTCGACTCGGCGGGGAAGTACGTCGAGAAGTGAGGGTGCGGTTCGCTCACAGGTGGTTCCATGTGGCCTCGATTGCGTCGTAGGTGCATGAATGCCATGGGAGACGAAGCCCTTAGCAACGGGCGATCGAAGAATTTCCGCAAAGTCGAGACCTTGCTAGGCTTCTGACTTTCTTGCAGATATATCCCGCTGGAGCCGTCTGTCCACGGTCCGAAGCCCTTGGGATGCTGGCTTCCTTCTTCAGCTCTACCCGCAACGGGCTTGGTGGCCCCGGTTTCCTTGGATTTCTGCTTGGACTGGCTACTCGTGAGCAAGGCCTTGGTTGGGCTATATACCCTTGACGAAACCATAGGCGGCGGTGGTGTTGGTGTGAACTGTTCCGATTGCTTGCTCTTCAGCTCTACGCGATGCGTCCGCCCAAGGGCGCTCGGTGGTGTCTGGGGGCGTAGCTTGGACTTCTCAGGAGTCTTTGCCCTTGTTGAAGCAGGCCGTGCACCTTGTTCAAAAGACTTCCGAAGGTCTGCAACACTGAGTTTCTGTGTCTTGATCTGCCGGGTCGCCTCCGCCGCCCTGATCGAGGCATGGTCTGAAAACTCTGCCTTTTCTGGTGTGTTCTTGGTGTCCCGCGGCGTCCTCCATACCTTGACCGAGGCAGGAGTTGAAGACTCAGCTTTTGCTGGTGAGTCCTGACGTGAGGATGCCGACATCGGCAAGCGAAGAGGCGAAGGCTCCGATTTGACAGCCTTGGAGAAGGGGGAGTGACCTAACAAGAGTTAGCATCTTTGCTCAATAACTAACTTACGGTCATTCAAGGACGTGGTGCACTCACTTCTCTCGTCTTCGAATAGTTTTCGACGATCTGCAACCAGCTCAGGATTCTATCCAGACTTCCTGGTTGTCATAGATGCATCATCACGAGGCTCATTGTGAGCCGATGCTGTGCCAATAGTAGTTTGCCCTCTGCAAGGTATCGTTTCCCCGTGCTCATCAAGTGTGGGAGGATTCGGACTGCTGGATTCGGCAGGCTTACCGGCCGTGGTCTCGTCGGCTTTTGCTATTGGAGTTCGAGTACTGACTGGGAGCATAGACCTTCTTCTCTCGGAAGCAGCTGGCGCCGGAACCTGACGGGGAGGCAATTCGACTGAGGATGGAGACTGCGGGATCAACTCTGGGAGCATGGCTTGTCTCAATCCACCAGAAGCCCGCGGTATACCACTTGGCCTGGCTTTCTGAGCGGTGTCCGAGTGCCGAGACGCACCCGCCGGCATGCTGTTTTCTGCATCAAGTACCTCGAACTTGGAGACCAATGAACCAAGCTTGTGGGAAATGGTGCGATGTTGGGACGGAGCTTCTGAAGAGACCGGCGTCGGATGACGGCTCATCGCCTTGCGGAGCAGGGTAGTGGAAAACTCTCTCACCTCGCTGACATGTTGCTTGTGAGACGAGCTCGAATCTTCAGATGTGATATCAGACTTGCGGGGACGGATACGGAGAGGCGCGGGTCGTAGTTCGTTCGCTGGTGTGGCGACAGGCCCAGAGGGGTCCGGCGAGCTCATGCCGGGGTTCTGAAATGGGGAAGCCATCGGGCCATTGGGAAACCTCTGGATCAGTTGGACAGTTTGTGTCTACTACCTATACCCCAGGTAGGATGTTTGCGAAGAGTCGGGAATCAACAAAGCAATGACTTCAAATGGGTGTTACCCAGGGCCGTCGACACCCATCCACTTTGGAAGGATACACAGAGAAGGTTGCCAAAACTTGATGAAACGGAATGCATGTAAACAAGAGGAAAACCCTCAAGCTGGCACTCCCCCGGTTGAATTGGAAGCCGTTCATGAATACATGCGCTATCAGTCCTGCCTTCCCACTCATCGTCACCCATCGCTCCTTCCTCTTCGCGTCAAGCCGTCGCCTGTCACCCCGAGGTGACTGCCTAGGAGGTACACTGAACCCTCATAAGTCTCCGTACACCCCTCGTCCAGCATATAACGGTGTATTCATCGAATTGGAATAAGCACACTGGAATAAGCAGCTATACTCTCATCAGTCGTACTGATTGCTTATCCCAGGGTGCTTATTCCAGTATGTTAGTTTTATACGGGTGATCTGGAATCCATCTTATCAACATGCACGTACGGAGACTTATGGGGGCTCAGTGTACATGACTTTTATTCAACGACCACCGACGTATTAACTGCCGAAACGAAGGTGCCCGGGTCCATTGACCACGATTTCAACCCGAACTGCAGGCCGACTGAGTCATCGCAAATGTTGTGGCAACATGAAAACATCGCAAGACGAAAGGAACTCTCTGCATCACGTTGAGATATTTATCCCTTAAAAAGGAGGGCTTGTGACCTGCCACACATTGCTACCTAAGATCAAGAAGTAACGCTGTCTAGTGGCACTTGTGGTACCGGTACCCCTATCTTCTGTTCGAGTCCAACCTCACCCTGGCAGAGTCTGGCCCAGAACACCGCCGTGGCATACCAAGAATAGCTAGGAGCATCATATCTCGCTCTTGATTTATCCAGCTGATGCTCAGTCGCAGCCGGGCGGGCGTCATCCTCCTTGTCCACGACTTCCATGCAACCGGTGACGTCGGCCATCAAGAGCTTCCAGTGGAAATACTGCCGTATCAGAACCGTCTCGAGAAGGGCGGCCTCGTGCGCGTATAGCTCGGGACCTTGCAAGCTGAGGCAGCGTGTTTGCGATTCGTTCCCTTGTTGGAGTGCTCGCGAGTTCGGACGCTCCCAGACCAGGTCGCCGATCACCAGGACCGGTCTGTTCGGGTCTCTGTCGTTTTCCGGAGCAGCGTCGTCAAGCCAGGAGTCCCACTGTGATGGATCAAGTCAGCCTCTCTTTTTTTGTCTTGGAGCAGGTTCTGTGTATGGTGCTGCTTTGGGAGCTCCAAGAGGACACACGCTCGCGAAATCGAGCTGGAGGACAGAGACACCTCATCATGTTACTACTTACGGTAGCATTGATTTGGTTGATCCGAGGCTGGTCCCAGGCGACTTCAATGTTGGCCATTTCGGGCGCGCCATTCAAGTCATTGCCGAGTAAACGCTTGAACATTTCCATGGCGACATCCCACCAATCCGGGTCGAAGTATGTCGCGAATATATGCCTGTTCAACTCGGTGTCTTCCACAGCAGCCTTCATGAGGTCGTTCGCGCCCGCCAGGGCATCGCGCAATTTGCCGTATCTTGTGCCTTCAGGGTAGATACCGTACCCGATGTTGGGGAGGTTCGTCGCGGTTTCTCTCCTTGTTATCTCACGGGCATTGCGCGCGTCGGTCCGAGGTCTGCCGGTGGTGGAAAGACACTCGCCGAGGCTGAGGAACCCGGCGGTCGTTAATATGTGTGTAAAATGCATCTTGAACAGGACAAGCGTCTCGACTTATACACGTCTAGGGATGAATGGAGAGGATGAGTGTGGTGGGTGTTGAGTCAGATAACACGATTAACGTTACATGCCGTCAGCCTCTTTACACACGTTTGTCGATGCGATATGATCTGATTTACAAATAGTGTAAAACAAACACTCCAAGTCAGGCACATACTGACCTATATGTTCTTTATGTTCTTCAATTCGGACACACGTGATCACGAGTGTCGTCGGTCTCCCTCTTCACCCGGGTAGTTGAGCATGGTCTAATTATAGGAATCCTGGCAGGCTGGCGCCTGGGCTCCACGATCTACAGGGCCCAAGCACGGAACCCACTTGCTCAAGAGAATCCCTGATCATACATAAAAGGGAACTTCAACAAAAGTCGACTAGAGTGTTGCGAGGTTGGCCATCCACGAGACCCGCAGCGGCGTGGCACTGCCTGCTTACCGACCAGTACCCACCGATAAGGAGCTGGCATGCCTGTATATATCAAGAATAGAATAGGAAGGTTGCCGGGGTTTGAGTCCTATGTAAGCTGCTACAAGCACCTCTTCCAAGTTCAGCGCCTCAATCCGCCCATAGACGTTGTTCCGTGCGATGGCGACCAGAGGTGGACAGCAAAGCACCATGTAGGTGCATCTTGGAAAGCAGGCATGCGCGATGGCTCAGCCGAGGAGGAACGATTCAGCCCTCCTGTGCCACAGACTGGCTTCGAGTCCCACCTCTATATCTGTCCTCGGGCTGGCAGCAAAGGCTGGACATGGTAGACGCATCACGTCATGACAGCCATGCCTACCATCCATCCGATATAGGGATGTGTTGGGCCAACTGTACCTACCTTGAAGCATGGTTATAGAAAGGGTATGTAGGATGAATTCCCACATCCCACTTACTTACCTAAGCATCTACGTGGCACACACATGGTACAGATGAATGGATGGATGGATGGATGTTGGCTAGCAATGCATTGAACAAACCAGAGAGAGCCACATTCCAGCCACCTTATTGCGAGCTTTAGTAAAGCCTCTCAGTAACTATTACCTGACAGAGTAACTGCTTGAACAGGGATGGTTTCCTTCTTCGTCCTGTTAACCTAGGGAGTCTAGTGGCAATGGTGACACAGCTAGAATTGACTGTCAAGGCCCTGACAGCCTAACCAGGTGTTGACAGGCTAGCTGACAGCCTGACGAAAACCCCCACTGGTCCCTTAAGGCAGCGAGTTACCACATCCTACATTATCCACAGTACCCAGTAATTAGCAGCGTACCACTGTAGTGCGTGACCTAATCAGAACACCACTCGGTGACATCCTTCCGGCGCTGTTGCCTGACCAGCTTCTAATTGTCGCTAGTCCGGGGCTGCATCGCAAGTTGGAAGCAGGCAGAAATATGCACCCGGACGCATGCAGATATCCCTTGCAACGCTGGATACCCAACAAGATACTGACAGTATATAGGTACCTAGGTAGGTATCAAATCCAGCACGGCTAGAAACGGCCCCTGTTTATCTCCGACTCCTACCCCTCTTACCCCGCATCCTCAGGTGTTGGCAAAGGGAGGGCTTCCCTGGAATGTGATCCCACTTTCAAATACCAAAGCATCACCCACTCACCACCCACTTACCAGTCGTCTCTGCTCCGAACAAAGAAAAGATAATTCACCGATCCATTTCACTTCTCATCATGCCTTCCACTGTCGATCCCTGCCAGCACTGCGGGACCCAGGTGTCCTCAACCCAAACTGAATGCCCCAGTTATGGAAAAGCCCCGCGCTAGGTATGGCACTGTTCTCCTTCTTCTAGCCAAATGTAGTAACACCTAGGTACTACTAGCCTTTATCCGCTTTCGACCGAAGGAACTGAAGTAAATCGATTGAGTCGTCAACCTCGTCGTTTATGGCGGATGAAGGGCCGGCTCTATGATAAAACGGGTACTCGAAGCGAGACGGGTAGAAGCCGGCATATTCCCAGTCTATGATTGCGTTTATCTTCAGGGTGGTGGGATCGACGATGATGTTGTGTTGCGACAGATCGTTATGACAAAAGACGTACTCCTCATGAATTGATGGTTGTAAGCACCAGGTGTTTTTTTCGGCACGTTCTGCATCAACGAGCCGTAGAATGCGATGTGGAGGAATCACGATTCCTGTTGGCCCTCCAAGCTGGTTGGACTTGAGGGTTCTCAGTGTCGCTAAATGGTTCTGAAGCTCTTCACGTACGATAGACTTCTGGTCCTCCGAAAGATCGGACATAGACACGCCCTGAATATACTCCATAATCAAGTAATAGGCGTCGTCATCTTCAAAATCACAGTATAACGTTGGGACAGGGATTTTCGTGTGTTGACGGATAAATCGCAATGATGCAGCTTCGTTCCTGAGGCTCTCGTTTCGCAGGCGAGGGACGTGAAGACCGCGATATCCAGTGCGGAACTCTCTAGGCCTTAGGCTCCTCTTGACGAAAGCGTCTCCACGGTGATAGTATTTTCGCTCAAAAGTCACAGCGAAGCATCCTTCTTCAGTGTTTTGTGCCATCCTATCCGGGATTGAACGGGGGAACTTACAGTCTTCGTAGCAAGCGTTTCATGGAACAGTCGGACTTGTTGATGACGAAGCTCTGGTATATGAGGGGGTGGTAAGAATGTTTCAAAGTCTGCTGGGTTATTAGCCTCTAGACTGGATGCGTAGACCGGCCTGCAAGTCACGTTGAGGTAGAGAAAGAACAGTGACCGTGTCCAGTTTGGAGATCGTTTGACCTGGGGCGTGCGGGGCTGTGCCTTTTGGTAGCTTTCCCAGATGCTGACAAATCACAAGTCTTGTTGTAATCTATCAGTGGTCTGGGGGGTGCTTGATTAAAAGGTCGGATGGAAAGGATTCCATCCGAGATGTATCTAAATACCTAATTACAGTGGTGAGGTACCTGGGGCAACAAAGGGTTGCCAGGCAGCCTTCATCAGGTAACCTCCAACATATCTGGTGGGGTTCCAGAATACTCCATATGGGTCCATGCACTGGATCCACAGGGTGCCTTGCAGAGAAACTGAAAGTCCTCCTTAGGTCCAAATACTCTTGTTAAGTGCATAGAATTGAAGCATCGAGTATCTGTACTCCTGGTCCAAGCGTCCACTATCTATCCAGGCTAGTCCTCGCAATGCCGCCTTATCAGCCAAGACAAGTTAGATGTAGCAGCTACCTTAGAGCGTCTACGCCGTCTTTTATCTCTCAACCCCAACTATCTGCCGAACACGCACCACAACTGGAACGAAAGGGACGATGACAGCGGTGGTGATTTCGAAATCTTACGTGCCGTCCGCACCATCCCCGCCGGCGCCGAGATCCTCATTGACTACAGCCACGGCGGGATTGCGACGGAACGTCGTGCGGCGCTGCGGGAGGCCTTCGGGTTAGACTGCAAGTGCGCCGTGTGCTCCCTCCGCGCCCATAAACTAAGAAAGAGCGATACACGCCGCAGCCGGATTAATAATAAGCAGCTGGACGAGGGGATTGGCAACCCGATGCGCATGATGCAACGGCCACTATAGCAGAAGGTGACAATTCGATGCGGTCCCCGACCTGATCACCATGCACACCATGGCAGGCTTCGTCGAGCTCCTACGACGGCTTCGGCTACTACAGACGCCCCGCCATTGCCACCAAGCAGCGGCTTGCATGAACCTTTGTAGGCCTGGTTGACCGGTTCTCCCTCCGCTCGTGGCTGGAAACGGGGCGCATCCGATTGCCATTAGCATATGCCCACCTGGTTGGGCGCATACGAGAGATTTATCGCGGAAGCCTGGTCAGCTGGTAATGTTCAATCGATTTATCCAACTAGGACTGCTGGATCGTCTCTGTTGAGTTTCCCGTCACGGAATATCGACCAGCGCGTTGATACCAATCATCAATCGAGGCGCCCTTCGGCATCACGCAGTTAGTCCTGCGTCGTGCAACTCGGACGCTGCGTCGCTGTTCCTGTGTCTCGTTCCCGGTGCTGGCGCGTCGGCGGGCGGGCAGGTGGTCCGTGTCGGACCTAGCCGCTCATGCGCTCGCTGCCAGAGCAGCAAAAATCTATGACCACCCTGGGGCTCGAACCCAGAATCTCCTGATTGACTATCATACCACATAGTGTATAGGGTCGTAGTCAGACGCCTTACCATTGGGCCAAGCGGCCAGTGTTTGCTTATGTGTGCCATATACAGCTCAGATGCGGCTTATAGAAATTTCTAGACGGTGAGATGCTGCGATGGGCAGGATGGGGAGTCTTAGGTAATGGGTAGGTAAGAGTTGATGGAGGGTGATTTTGGTATATTTTGCGTGGTTTTCGTGTGGGCGTTTACGTGATAGTTAGGGCGTGAGGCATGGATCATGGGAGTTCTGGTTGGTGGAGGCAGATCCGCTCGACAGCTCTTACTCGGTCTACGACTTCATGCACCTGATGGTGCCGTAGCGGCGGCTGGCTGGTGACGAACTTCTATCCGACGCGGGACCCGCGGTGGTCCCACCTGCACGGCGGGTTGGACTCGGATCGCAGCTTGTGGATGCTGGGGTTGCCGACGAGGCGGGATATCGGGGACTGGATGGAGGTCATTGAGCAGTCTCGGGACGGAGTCGGTGAGACAGTTTGACGGCCGAGTGGTTGTTTGGATGTCGAGACCAACGAGCACTGTAGGCAGGCCGGCGCAACCTGTCTCACGCTCCAGGGGTACCAGGAGCGAGCAGGGCAGGGCAGGGCCATCGCGGACGATGCGCTGTACCTGCTCGAAGAACTCACCAGCGAGAAGGTCCCGCCTGTGGCATGGCCAGCGGTGGAGACCGAGACATTCCGACCGCTGGAGGGCATCAATGTCGTCGACCTCACAAGGGCGATCGCGGGGCTTTGCGCGACTGTAGTCCGTGTGTCCAATGTGGAGTTCCCTGACCTCGGTATCGTTCTCTTCGAGAGCAATCCCGGGAAACGGGACGCGCACCTAGAACTGAAGACCGAACGGGATTGGACAGCGCTGTTGCGGCTGATCGGGGAAGCAGATGTCGTGCTCGACGGCTAACTACAGGGCGGTCTCCTTGTGCTGGATGATACCGACGATCATTGACAAAGTCATTACCGAAAGTGGCGCCGGAACTTTATGTATCACGGAACTTCAAGACAACGAAGGCAAATCTCGGAGTGCCGAACGAGGACATGGTATTCGTCGGACCACAAGTAGCGTAATATACTACTGAGCTAAAGTACGATATGGGAAGCTGTATGAGAGGAACCCACAAGGCAGAGTGGCTAATGCGAGATGGGAATGCTAGGTACTAGACAGGTAAGTAGGTGCTACGTGTTTTTGTCAGTGATGGGTACATATCGGCAGTTACAAGATTTTCAACAAAGTGTCGATGGGTATCAAACTACCTCAAGCCAACTGGCATGATATCGCGGTGTCCGAGTCAAGAAGCTCCTACTGCGGTGGCTTTATTATAGGACCCGTATCACCAAGTCCAACCCATGACGTGCCTTCGTACTCTTGCTCTTCGTCGCTCTCGGACACATCCTCATCCATAGGGTCTTGTGTTCCGTATTGGTCGTACTCGTCTCTTCCCATATGTGCGGAAGGATCCTGTGGTGCAGGCAGAGTGCCAGCCATTGGTGCTCTATATGCAGCACCAGGTTGAGGAGGGAGGTGGTTGATAGGGGGTAATTTGGAGGTCCCAGACATCGGTGTCTGAGACGATGCACCAGGGAATGTGCGAGTCTTTTCAGCCTCAACTGTGGCGATGGCGGCTTGCCATTGCATGACTTCGGCTTTCATTCGACGTCGCGAGCGGGGCGACCAACTCCTGGTCTGTCGAACCTTTTCGGCAAACGAGTCGGCGGATATGCTGTTGGCTGTAGGCTTCTGTACTATATGGCCAAAGTCCTGCTTGCTGGGTTTGGGGCGGAGATGGACCTTGGGTTTCCTGGGGGCCGGCGGTCGAGTGACGGGTGGCTTCTTCACGAGCACCCGGGCCATTTGACTTCTGGCGAGCTCATCTCGGGAGAGGGGTGCGTTGGTGCACTTCTTGTACTGATTTTGATATGTGCAATTTGAGCAGGCGTGCTTCAGGGCGCTCTGGGCCAGGACCGTGGGCGGCGCAACGATGCAGCGTGCGAACGGCCCGTTCTTCAGCAAGCAATTGCGGCACGGGTTTGGATTGACCTGGCCGGAGATGTAGATCATCAGAGAACTGTAATCGTGGGGCGTTCTCGGAATGAAGCCGCCTTGCTGTCGATACTGGTTCCACTCCACCGGTCGCAACGTCGGCTGCTCCGAGAGAGCCTGTGCCAGCGGGTGTAGCGGCAATGCGCTGTTCCTAAACTCTTCAGGTAGGTTCTGCAACGCGCTTTGCCAGGCAGAGATGTCGCTGCCAATGCTGGGTGCATCTGTGACTGTCGCGGCAGGCGTATCGCTCTGCTGCATCTGGCTGTGTGCTGGCTCGGGACCATTGGCTGCGGACGATGAGCAAGGTACGACACGGGATACTCGACACTTACGATTGACAGACGGAGAATGGTCTGTGTGGGGAGAAGCACTTCGCTGCGAATACCAACTAGCCGCGGCGGCATTCATGATGGACCGGATATCCGGGTCGGCATCGTTCTGTGCCATTGCTTTGCTTCGTAAGGGGGGAGCTTGAGGTCGGCGGATGATCGGAGGATGCGGGTACGTGGCTGAGCTTGGCGATGTTTTGCGAGACAAATCACACGCGGGACAGCAAGATGAACACCAGCCTTCAGCAACTCGTATCAATCCCAGTCATGTTGCCAACAAACGAATGATCTTCAGATGGGTTCCTTGATAGGAGTTGACGCGTCGATTTGCTCGAGGCACAACGGAATGTGAGACGATAATGGAAAGTCTCGCCCAATTTAATGTTTGTGGCTGAAGTTTAGAGTGGCTTGGCTCGGCCTGGCCCCTGGATGTGGCTCGTGCTTCAAAATATAACACCTATTTTTAGGCAATGCACCCCTTGTAGAGGATCCTCTAGGCTCCGGTGATGTAACTTTTCTAAGTATGTATCATTCAAGTGGCAAGTGGCCGTCGTATGAAATACATAAGTTGGACTTACCCGGAGCGAGCTTCTTCGAAGCTTGTTCATCACCTATGAGCGATGGTTTACCGGCTTTGCTTACTTGCCCTCCTACCACTACAAAACCAGCTCGTGACTACACCTCGACCAAATCATGAAAGCTATTCTCCTACAATTGCTGCTTCATTGTGCCGGTGCACTAGCTGTTGTCACACAGCAAAAGCCTCTAGTCGGCGTGGATGAGGTCCCAGGGCACAACAATGCCACGTACGGCCCCGTGCCGAAAAACGACCAGCTGTTCGCCGTCGAGTTCCTCGAAATTGCGCCGACGCCTATCATCGCGTACGTTGTTGCCTCGGTGGGCCATCTAAAGCAACTGTGCTGACGTTTCTGAGTGATCGCGTGTTCTTCGTCTATCTTCGCGGCTTCTTGCCCGAATCCAAAAAGAAAGAGCTGGGGCTAGTCGACGAAAGCCTCGCCGACGCAACGCTCACCGTTTGCACCTCCGTCGTCTACCCAAACGGTAGGCGCGAAGAGCCCACGTCCGTTGCAGCGCGGCTCAAGACGACGGCCTTTGCTGATACTGCGCATCTCGTTATCCGTAATGACCGGGGGGATCAGGTCGACTATCTTCCTAGTAGCGGACAAAGCGACTTGTTGCTCGATTTCCAGCTCCCCAAAGTGTTTCTACAGAGCGGTATGTGGACTTTCAGCGTCGACGCGAGGCTCGGAGACCAAAACAATACGTGTTTATTCGCTGTGGAGATAACGCAGTGGCTACACGGGTCACTTCAGGAGTAACTATGTAGCGTACCTTGAGGAGAAGCGTTCCGTTTTGAGAGACGGCGTCTTACCGTATCCAGCGCAGATACCCTTAAATACTGCCTAGGCTAGACGACCTGTGAGGGCTTCCCCTCCTTTGGAGATCACTAAAAAGTCGTCATTGTAGTCATAGCATATTGTACCGCCTTGAAGGAAGATTTGAAGAAAGCTCGTTTTCGTATGGAAGAAATACGGTTCCTTGATGACTTGTGATACTGCAGGCGGATGACCCTTTCACTAGGCAATTCGTACAAGATTGGGAGATTGATTCTTGGTGTACATTACTACTTGACTTCCGGAAGGGACAAGGAGCTAAGCAGCCCTTTGTGCGAAGTAGTCAGGTGGACAGAGCCGTTAGGTTGCTACCACAGCTAGAAAGAGAAGAATCCTTTGTGCTACCGACCAGCGCTTGCCACCCGCATCCGTCCCAGGGATTCCAAAACAAGGTATAAGTCGAGGGATGCTCATCCTTCGGCTGTCTGTACTGGGGCTGCACGAACATCAACCGATCCCAACACTTACACACCAAACACAATCTCTTGACAGCATCAACAACGAAGAACCAATACACCTTGATAGGGGCTCTCGTAGTCTCGATGATATCGACTGTTTCAGCAGTTGGTGGGCCCCCACCCGGCCCAGTTCAAGAAGGAGGGCTTGACGGCGGCATCTGCAGGGACTGGATTAGGGCAAAGCGCGGGATGACTTGCATCTCTATCACAGAGGAGATTAAGATGAGCATCGACACCTACAAACACATGAACCCGCAACTAAAGGGCAACTGCAAGGCCAACTTCTGGGCTGGCTATGCCTACTGCGTGGATAGGGCAGCAGGTAACTAGGTGCCTAACCTTTCCCAAATTGACCATTCGGAATCGCTGATTTTACTTGAACTCAGACGATAATTTCCCGCTGGGTCTCCTAGTCCCTGCTGCCACGAAGACAGCCGACTCGCCCCCCAAGACCGCCCCTGGTGATTCCAACAACGGTCAATTCATCACCGCAAATCCGGCGAAACACACCACCGACCCGCAGAAGCACGTCGACCCGAACTGCAAAGCAGCCCCGATGGACCAATGCATGCAGGTCTTTATGACCTTAACTGCCGCCCCAGCACCAGCCCTGGACTGGTGCAAGCGATATCTTGCGGGGCCAAAGTGCACCGAAACCGGCCTTCAACCAATCATGAAATCATACAGCAATTTCCCAGAACCGGCCCATGCATGGAAGCAGTGTATGTATCCCGACTCTCCGCCAGTGGCCCCGAAGTTCAGCACGGCTTGTAGTTGCTTTGTTAAAGCGTACGCGACACCTGCCTGAGGCTTGGGTGCATGGATTTGAATATGTCCCCTTTCTCCTAGAACAACGGTTCTTGGCCTGGTCCGCTTAAATCATCCTGGGCCCTCCCGCGTGTATATAATCCAGTAATACCACTCATATGATCTTTCTGTCGACCATTTCGAGTGATTCCTCATCCTGTGGCCAATGCGAGGTAGGTACATGCTCCCTGGGCATCTGTAGTGTTGTCACACGAAGACCTTTCTGCAGGCTCTTAGCACCAACTCAGAATCACCTTACTGATACCACTAGAAAGGGTGTCATATGCCACTCTCCAATAGTTGCCTACGGACTTAGTGGCCTTAAGTTGAACCTCGATATATCATCTCGCCACCATCTTCTTTCAGTCCCGCCATATCATTGACCGTATATGATCACGTGTTCTCATTGTGAAGCAGATTTATGAAAGTAAAAGGAGAAGCAAGATGCAAATGATCGGCTTGTATAGACCTAGCGAGTGCTCTCGTTTTTCAGCAGTAGGTACCGGGTATTGAATAGATCATATCTGGATGACTGAGTCGCGTACCGTATCAGTTCGTCACAAGACTTCTCGGATTCTTCAATATGCTTGATACACATCTAGCCTAAAAAGTGATTGCAACATACCTCTCTCAATACTACGTGGCATTCTACATCGCAGAGGCTCATCAGGTAGTTGCGTAGAACGGAGTAACCTCGGCTGTGCCAGACTATCCTCCCCCTTTTAAGTCACGGCCTGCCGGCAAATCCCCGGGTGATTGTGGAACATCGGTCTGTGAATGCCGGTGCGGCACCTCTAGCTCCAGGAACGATCTCGTCACCATTTGCCCGCATGCATCGCTCCCCAGCATCGTTGCAATGTTGACGATCTCAGCTGATAACTTCATGGGGTTGCCAAATGGTCGACGACAGGAAAAGGAGGGGACGGCACAAGTGAGCCAATCCCCTGGGACCATCCGACCAGGAGTCTGCAGGGCCAAGCGCCGACCGTGCATCTCCCATGGGCGCCGACTGTTCTTTGGCTGCCTAACATCGATTCCATGTCGACGATTTTGCATCGGTTCTCATGCACAGCAACACAGCGGGTCCCTCCTGGGACCCATCGCGGGTCCTCGCGGGTCTGCCTCAAACCATAAAAAGAGGTAGGCTGGAAACCTGGAAGTTTTCAAAGAAGTCTCGTTCTTGCCCCTTTCTCTCTTGATCAGAGTTTTTCCCATTCACAATTTACATTCTCTTGCTGCGAGAGTTACCAGAGCAGTGCGTCAGAGCTTCCCTTCACCGTGGGTTCTCACCCAACATTTGCAGTGAGCTTCACCACTCCAGATCACTCTCCTGCGCTGTGTGTCACTCAACAAAATCGTGGTACTTAGCAAGCAAAGCTTTCACTACAAATAACAGCCTGCTGGTCTGCTGACACTCCTTCCATTACTCTTCAACAAAAAGAAGACCAAAAATGGCGGATATCAACGTTGACGAGGTTCTGAAGAACCTCTCCATGGGAGAGAAGGTTGATCTCCTTGCAGGTAAATCCCACACATTGAACCCCAGCCGAGAATTAGAGGCAACCTGACCATTATTTTACCAATAGGCGTCGACTTCTGGCACACCAAGGGCCTTCCCCAGCATGGGATCCCTTCGCTGCGTCTCTCAGACGGCCCCAACGGTGTTCGAGGCACCAAATTCTTCAACGGCGCGAAGGCTGCTTGCTTCCCCTGCGGCACTGCTCTGGGTGCCACATTCAACCAGAGCCTGCTTCTAGAGGCAGGAAAGAAGATGGGAGAGGAGGCCAAGGTCAAGGGAGCCCACGTCATCTTGGGTCCGACTATCAACATGCAGCGAGGTCCCCTTGGCGGCAGAGGTTTCGAGTCTCTTGGAGAAGACCCTTTCCTCGCTGGCTTGGGAGCCGCTGCTCTGATCAATGGCATCCAATCGACTGGTGTTCAGGTCAGTCTCTAAATTTCTTTTACGGCCCTCTGATGCAATTGCGGCCCAAAATCTCCTCGAAAGAATGGTCCCGAACAGCCAATGCCATGTTCCAATTCGCTATGAGTCCCTGACGGTCGCTGAGTACCGTTTCTGGGGTTATTGCTGACGCGCGAATGTGACACAGGCCACCATCAAGCATTTCGTATGCAACGATCACGAGCACAAGCGAAATGCAGTACAGGCCATGATCTCTGAGCGGGCTCTCCGCGAGATTTATGCACTGCCGTTCCAGCTGACAGTCCGTGACTCCAACCCTGGATCGTTCATGACAGCTTATAATGGAGTAAACGGCACTTATTGCTCAGAGAACCCGAAGCTTCTCGAGCAGATGCTGCGAGGCGAATGGGGCTGGAAAGGCATGGTCATGAGCGACTGGTATGGAACCTACACTACTACTGAGGCGGCCATTGCTGGGCTGGATCTTGAGATGCCCGGTCCGCCTCGATACAGAGGTGATCCGCTCAAGTTCAGCGTCACTACCGACAAGGTTCGCACCCACATTCTGGATCAGCGGGTCAGAACTATGCTGGAGTTTATCAAGACCTGTGCCGCTAGTGGCGTCAAGGAGAACGCCCCCGAGGGCACAGCCGATACTCCTGAAACTGCAGAACTCCTTCGACGCATCGGAAACGAAGGCATCGTTCTCATGAAGAACGATAACAGTGTTCTGCCCTTGCTAAAGGATCAAAAGGTAAGCTGATCTTCCTAACAAGGATATCGAGCTTTCGCTAACACCCAGTCCCTACAGACCCTCGTCATTGGACCTAATGCCAAGATTGCGACCTACCACGGAGGAGGTTCTGCCTCGCTGGATGCGTACTACGCCATCACTCCCTTCGATGGCATCAGCAGCAAGCTATCCTCCCCTCCCGACTACACGATTGGCCAATACTCTCACAAGCTGCTCCCGCTACTAGGCCTCTCTACCACATCAACGAAGGGAAATCAGGGTATGACGATGAAGGTCTACCTCGAGAGTCCCGAGGCTTCAGACCGACAAGCGGTTGACGAATTGGAGTTGCCCAAGACCGAGATGCTCCTCGTTGATTACGAGAACCCGAAGATCAAGTCTGGCCTGTGGTATGCAACACTCGAAGGCTCTCTCGTGGCGGATGAGGACTGCACTTGGACGTTCGGTGTCGTTGTCTCTGGAACGGCAAACCTTTACATCGACGACAAGCTGGTTATCGACAACACCACGGAGCAGAAGCCAGGCGACGCCTTCTTTGGAAGTGCCACTGCCGAAGAGAAGGCATTCTACGAGTTCAAGAAAGGCAAGACATACAAGGTCAAGGTCACGTTCGGATCAGCACCGACATCCAAGCTGGGCGGTAGTTCCGTCCTGCTTGCTGGAGGTGCGCTGAGAGTAGGAGGATGCAAGGTGATCGATCCCAAGGCAGAGATCGCTCATGCTGTGGCTCTTGCGAAGGACGCGGAGCAGGTCATTATCTGTGCCGGACTCAACGCCGAATGGGAAACCGAAGGCAACGATCGCAACGACATGAAGCTCCCTCCCGGTCTGGATGACCTGATCGCTGCCGTTGCCAAGGCTAACCCCAATACTGTCGTCGTCATGCAGTCTGGCACCCCGGTCGAGATGCCCTGGATAGACGACGTCAACGCTCTCATCCACGCCTGGTATGGGGGCAACGAGACTGGAAACACGATCGCTGATATCTTGTTCGCCGACGCGTACCCATCTGGAAAGCTAAGCTTGAGCTTCCCAATTCGCAACCAGGACAACCCGGCCTTCCTGAACTACCGCACTGAAGGCGGACGCGTTGTCTATGGAGAGGATATCTACATTGGCTACAGATACTACGAATTCGCCGACCGCGAGGTTCTGTTCCCCTTCGGCCACGGCCTGAGCTACACGACCTTTTCCTTCTACGACTTGTCTGTCACAGACGCTGATGGCAAGTTGACCGTTTCCGTCACGGTCGAGAACACGGGTATCATGAAGGGTGCCGAGGTGGCGCAGGTCTACGTCGCTCCGAGGCAGAAGGCCAAGGTTAACCGACCTATTAAGGAGATGAAGGGTTTTGCTAAGGTAGAGCTCGCTCCGGGCGAGAGAAAGTTGATCACGGTCGACATCTCCACCAAGTACGCGGCCAGCTACTGGGACGAGATGCGTGACCAATGGTGTGCGGAGGAAGGCGAGTACGCGGTTATCGTCAGTAACAGCAGCGCGATCGACGAGAACAAGGCCCTTCAGGCCTCATTCAAGGTTCCCGAGACGTTTTGGTGGTCTGGCTTGTGATCCGATACGAGCCAATCGAGGTGACGCAGTTTTCTGGTATCAGAAGATACCTAAGAAGATGAGTAATGGATCAGTTGGCCCTCAGCAGTGACAACCGCCTGTGGTAGAGAGATGGCAGGTAGTACACTCAACTGCAAAGGTTTTGAGCAAAAGTTTGACGGCGTTTCTGCTGTGCTAGTAAAGGGTGCCCCTTAGATTCTGCGTTCACATTTTCTCCTTATACACAACGCGATCGATTATCCATGTAAACGCAGAATCTAAGGAGAAAATGGCCTTGGACATGAAGCGCGTTGAGCCAAAGACTCGGGGACTCTGGCTAGGAGTTTCAGTGTCATGCTGAATATTATAGCCACCGGTGGCCTTTATACATGTAGCTCCATGTTGCACTCAATCGACAGAGCCCATGTGTTGAACATAAAGGTGTCTTTATGCCGAACCTGAATTTGCAACAACCAAGGGGCTGGCTCCCGGGAGGTACCTAGGTACTTTTACCCCGCCAAACCAAAACGCGGGGCATTTCGCGACACCAGAAGTTGACGCGTTCTCCCATCCTCACATCCATACCTCTTCTTGTTGTATCAGCATCTGTACCAAACATCCTCGCAAAAACCTCTACCCTTATCCTCAGCAGCAACATCAGCATAGTCAGGAACTCCAAGATCCCCTCACCCACCCACTTATCCAACCCCAATGCGCCGCACCACCCCCTCACAGCCATAAGGCGTCTCAAACACGGCTATACCGCCAAGTACATCCAAGTCGAGTCCGACACCAGCGCAACTGTCCATCTACTTCACAAAGCACCATCCCTTCCAATATATAAAACCGACCATATCGCTTCCAGCATTCAGCAGCGGCCATGGCTCCGCCCACGATCCTCGCGCATAAATCGACCTTCATAACAGCACAGACGCTGCACCTATCGCAGAACCTCGCCCCCAGCGCCGCCTGGCGCAGCATCAACGACCGCGCGCAGCAGGGGGGGCTGTCGGGCAGGGTCGTCGACGAGGCGCTGTACCGGCTGAACCACGCGCTGCAGCAGCACGCGCGGCGCGTCTACGCCCCGCAGGCCTCGCGCCACGTCGCTGAGCAGATCGAGGGGCTTTTCCTGGCGGCTGGGGAGAGGGCTGCCCGCGGCGAGGAGGATGACGAGGAGGAGGATGGTGATGGCGATGGGGAGGGGGATGGGGAGGGGGGTGGGAATGGGGTTGGGGGCGTCGGACGGCGTGGCAGGTTGAGGCTTGGGGCTGATTTTGGTATGTTTCTTGTTTATCTATCTTATATCCCGATCCTCCACACCAGTCAACCAAACAACCCACTCTAACGACCCCTTAACAGCAACCGACGAAACCATATCCGCCCTCCCGCCCACCTGGGACATCCGCAACGCCTCCGAAGCCGAAGCCCGCCCAGTCGAAGTACGCCGCTACGCCGACCTCGCCGCGAGTCTGACGTCGCTCTCGGCGCGGCGCAAGGAGGCGCGCAAGCGCGTCGAACGACTGCGGAGGATGGACGCGCTGCTGGCGCCGTTTCGTGGCGACGGCGGCGACGGCGGTGGTGGCGGTGGCGGCGTGCAGGAGAACCTGGTGACGCGCAACGGCGAGGTAGAAAAAGAGCTCGAGCGCATGCGTACGCTGCTCGTGCGTGTCGCGGGCCGCGTGGCGCAGCTGCCGGATGCTGATGCTGGTACTGAAGACCAGACTGACGACGTGGTTATGGCGGACCTGGATATGGTGGAGCGGGAGAAGGTCGAGAGGCTGCTGGCTGGGTTCTGAGGCCTTGTGTTTTTGTGGTGTTGCATTTGCTTGGGTTTACGATGGCGTTCAGGATTTGTTCCAGGCATGGCTGGGCCGTGATGATACCCAAAACTGCATATTTGAATTGTACTTATTGATCGGTGCTAGGTCTTCACATGTCGTGATAGTACCAAAAGAACCGTTTTTCGAGAGGGGATTGATCATTCTGCCTAACACCATCCTAAACAGCAATCTTGTTTAATACAAAGGACTCCCCGGGTATTCGATCTGCTCAGAGCCTGCACAACCATAACCAATAATAACCAATACCTCATAAGTCATAATACCCGCCAAACCCTCACTCAGCGGGGAGCAGCGACAGGATGCTCTTCTTCCTCTGTTCCTGATCGCCCTCAAGCGTGGCATCCTTGGAGCTATCATCAACATCGAGCCCCTTCGAAGTCGAAGACTTGGGCACGCCATCATCATCACCCTCGCCCTCGCCACTATCCTTCTCATCCCCATGCCCATCAGCATCCTTGTCCTGCTCAGTGGTTTTCTTGGCGGCGGCATAGGGGTTCGGCCTGACGACGCGCAGCTTCACGATATCCCTGATCTTGTCCTCCTCCGGGACCCGGTAGTAGACGCGCAGGCCGACCGTCGCCACGGCGTTCCACGGGTTGCTCTCGAACTCGTCTTCCTCCTCGGGCGGCTCCTTGGGCACCGGAGGGGGCGGCGGGCACGGGGCGGCGGCGCGGCGCTCGAGTTCTAGGTCCAGGGCTCGGGAGCTGATTTCTGATATGGAGGAGATGTCGGATTCGGCGTCAGAGGTATCTTCGTCATCATCGTCATCATCTGTATCTTTATCCTCGCCGTCGGTATCGTCATCATCGTCATCGTCTTTATCTTTATCTTTATCCTCGTCTTCTGCACCACCTTGGCGTATCTGGGCCTTGCCACCCTTTGGACTCTCTGCACTGGGAACTACTACACTCGATCTGATGTCCGTGTAATCTTTGTTGTCGGACGTGCCAGCGGCGTCGCCGACAGTATCAGACTCTGAGCGCGCTTCTTCCAACTTCTTGGCGATGGCAGAGGCAGCGGACAAGAGGGCGGAAAGAGCAGCTGATGCACTACCAGTGGAACTCCCTGCGACAGCGTCCGTACTTGACATTCCATCCGACGCCGTCTCGCTGCTAGGAAGCTGCTGCTCCCTTGACGTGGGCGATGCTTCTTCGGCAGACTTCTCGGACTCCGTTGGGGGCGTCTTCACGCTCTGCTCGGTGCTCGACGAGTCTGATACCAGATCTTTCTTCGAGTCATCCGGCCCGGGAGTAGGACTCGGTGGAAGGATCTTGACATGCTTCTCCTTTGCAGCTTCCAGCAAGGGGGGCTCGTTCTGTGCTGCGGCGGCAACCGTGGATTTCTGCTTGGCCTCCTTTGCCGCCTTGGCCTTCCCAGCCTTTGCGGCTTTCTTGGCTTTTGCCTTAGCCTTGGCTTTCGCCCGCTTCTCTAATCTCTTGGTCTGGTCCTTGACGTCGAGATAGTGGGTTGTGCGTCGCCCATCCATGATTTTCTTCCTCAGGTCAGCGCGTTCCTTGTCCTTTCTGCGCTTCTCGGCATCCCTCTTGGCCTTCTTCTCCTCCGGCGACTCGATCACCACACCTTTGGAATGGGCCAGGTCGTACGACATCCCGACGGCTATTAGCTTGTCTCTGCGGTCTCGGGCGTGGTTGCGTATCACCTCTTCTATCGGCAAGATGTCCAGATCCCGTGTCGCGTTGACCTTGAGCAGGACCGTGTATTCGCCTTCTTCTAGTTCTAGTTCGACGTTGACGGAGCGGTTCTGGCAGTACGGGTTGATGCTGCGCACCACGTAGTCCTCCTGTCCGTTCCTGTGCAGGCGGAAGTTCAGCTCGAACCGGTACTGGCCCTCCAAACCGCGGTAGTACCGGTCGTCCAGCTGCGACAGGACCAGGACCACGGGCCCCGTCTTGGCCAGCGAGAACGTGAAGTAGGTGTCGTGGTAATCGAGCGTCCAGGGGACCGACAGCGTCGTCCATAAGGATGTGACCTTCCACTCCGGCCCGAAGAGGCGCGTGCGATCGAAGGCTTGGTATTTGCGCAGCAGGTCGTCGTACGAGATCCAGAAGTTGCCGTCGTCGCCGAAGCGGTGGTTCAGCTTGACCAGCCACTCTGCGGTCCATTCCTTGGAGCCGTCGGACCAGGCGCCCTTCCATTCTCCCTTGCCCCACGGGTTCTTCAGGAGGACGAGGCGCTGCCCGTCCATCTCAATCGCTCGCATGACGGAATAGGCGTGCAATTCGACAATGCCTTTGCGGTCGCCCCAGCCGATGCCCCACATGCCGGTCGAGCATCCAAAGAGGAATTCATCATTCACTTTCATGAGCTCCTCCTTCCAGAAATACTCCTTGTCCAGTATGTCCGTCGCGTAGAGCTCGGTCGTAACCCCGCCGGTAAGGTCCTCGATGCCCTCGCCGGTGAAGCCACCTTCAATGGCCGCGTAGTCGCCGTGGGCCTTGGCATACGCCTTCTCCAGCAACGGCAGCCACGTCTCGTTGGCATGCTCGCACTGCGCGAAGTACAGCGCCCCGGAGCCGCTCTGGTAGGCCTGCCGATACTGCTCCTCGGAGTTGATCCTCTCGCGGTCCTCCCAGAGCATGCGCTCGAGGTAGCTCTCGTCGAAGTCCGGCTTGGTCAGGAACAGCTTGTCGTCGATGATCTCGGAGATCCACTCGCCGTCGCGGTGGAAGACGAAGCCGTAGACGCCGACCTGCTCGTCGCGGGCTACGCACACCCTCTCAATCAGGCTAAGTTTGTTGCTCAGGGTGCACAGCGCGGCGAGCAGCCAGCAGTCGCCGTCGCGGCCCTGGCGCACGTCGTTCGCCGTCGGGCCATCGATGTAGAACTTGGGTGCGTCGAAGATGTCGATCACGCGCTTGACGCTCTTGGGCTTGAACTTGGCCGTGGACGCGGCCGGGGCTTTGGGGGAGCGCGCGTTGCAGAGCGTCTGCAGCGTGTCGCGCGACCCCCATTTCAGGTCGAACTCGAGGTCGAAGTGCGGGTCCCGGTACTTCTGGTTGACGCGCCGGCACTCCTTGACGATTTTTGCCACCTTGGCTGCGCAGACGGCGGCGGCCTCCTCGTATGACGCTTGCGTGGTCGTGCCGACGGCTTTGGTCGATCGTCTTGCGGCTTTTTCGGCGTATTCGTTTTGCGGGATGACGGTCGTAGCTATAGCACACACCGGATCATGTCAGCGCGGAGGTCTTCACCACAACTGCCACAGAGCAGGTTGTAGGTCAACGGGAGGGTGGAGGTCAAACTGGTACCAACCTTTGCCAGGGGCTTTGGTCGTGAACTTGCTCCAGAACTCGTCAATGGCCGCCTGCGGAGTTTGTTGCTTTCTCTTAGGGGGTCGAATAAGGGTTACTGGCATTTCGGCCATGACGGTGTGACCTCCCAGGTCGTCTGGTTCTAGGTATGATGATTCTGAGGGCGCTGGTGGTTGAAGTGACCTCGGCATCGTGGGCGATCCGCGCCAAGCGACAGGTCGAGCAATGGATCACAGGAGGAAGCCACAACGACTCTTGGGGTCCTGACTTTACGATGGGCAAGTGCCTTTCACGACTGGCACTGGCACAGGAGGCAGGCAGAATAGGTAGGCAGTTGCTGGCTCACCTGAGCAGCAAGGCTCGATCACTCTTTTCGAAGTCGAAACAGATCGTGTCTGGCAGCGACAGATTGACCGCAGAGGAGTAGTACAAGTACCTATGTTTAGGACAGTTCCGACACGAAGGATGCGAATGTCTTCAGCTCGGCGCTCTTTCTTCAGCTTCTGGTGAAGCCATGAGGCTCGCGTCCCGCAGCCAGGCTTACCGTGTGACCTACCGCTGAAGGCAGCAGGCCACTCCCGTGTTGGCGCATTTCCCGCGTGATACCTCACCATCCTGCAGTGTGGCGACAGGGAGCTGGAGAGAGGATAGACGAGAGTAATGGAGCGTTTGTGAGGGGATTTCAAGATGATAGGTCGGAACTTGGAAGCACACCGGCGCCTATGTCGGATCGCCAAGGTGACCGGGGGGAGACCCTTGCTGTCCCTCACTTGACCGCCCGTGGGGGCGAAAAAAGGAAAAGGGGCCGACTCCTGCGGACCCAGTTCGACTTCATCGTCCCGGAACGATTAATCTACTGAATGGTGACCATCTATCCAATGATCTCGCTGCCGAGTTGGTAGTCAGTGTATGCAAGTCAGCTGTCAGCATGTATGGTACACCGACTGCTCGACCACAACTCTGATAGTCGCACTCATCAATGGTACCGGGTCACCGGCATGCATCCGCAGTATGTAGTCATCATGGCTGCCTTGGACGCCTGCCAGCCTTAATATTACAGAGACGGCGTTCCCAGAAGCGCACAAACCGCCCTGCCCGACGGAAAAAGTGAGGCCAGACCGATAAATCCTCCACTATGCGTTCTGTGGATGACTGAAATGGTCGCACCATTCCGCAGGATTTCGAAGTCTGTACGAGGGAATACATAGAGCTCATCACCATACTAGGTAGGTGTTTCTACGCCATCGTATCGCGAAAGCACTTGGCGTCCGAGCGCAGTCATCTATCAAGTGGCACAGCGTGGTCGCGAACTCCAGAGTAGTGCCGCTATGTTCACGTAACTAGCACGACGCCCAGGTATCACCGCCGAGGTCTACTGGTGGTGGCTTCACGTTTGGGCTGTCGTGTCTTATAAGCGCCTGGGGGATACGACGTTGCTATCGTATATAAAGGGCTGCGCAGTGGTGCCTAAGCATGGGATGCTATAGCTGTGAAACGACTACGTCCTACCTGGAAAACATGCCGCTGCTATCTTTATCCCGTCCTACATGGCAAGCTGAAAGTGACGTGAAGCAAATATTCTCAGAACTCATGATACCATGTTCTCTCCACTCAATTGCCCCTTTTGAAGAGAATGAACTCTCGGCCTACCACGCTTCAGTTCGTGAAAATAGCCATAAAGACCTGGACCAACTGCTCAGGGACATCACGGTAAGGCTCCAGCTTTCCATCAACCAGCAGCTCTCGCAGGCTGGTCTTCTGGTATCCTTCCACCTCCCAGATGTCCTCCCCTACCCCTTGCATCAACAGTCCGGTGCCCCAGGCTTTGCGACAATACCAAGGCAGGGCAAGTGGGATGCCGGACTTTATACAATTCTCGATGTTCGCGTCGACCTTTTCTAGGCTGTGTATGATCTTTTCTGGGCTCTTCTCGTGCTTTTCTTCCAGCGCCGACGCGATCTCATTTCCAGTGGCTTTCAGTTCCGAAAGACCGATGGCACGGGCCTGTAGTTGAGATGGGGGCGTGCTGGTAAACATCGATGCATAGGCTTCCGCGACGTAGTTCCTGGTGCTGTTTCATGGTCGACGTTAGTTGGTGGCCTCATATTGGTAACATGCTCTCAATGCTGGCTACTGACCAGAGGTTCATATGTTGATTCCCGCTGTCCCCTGTAAGGACGAGGCGATTTCCGGGAGTATCAACTCCCATAATGCTACCATCGCCGCTTAGTCAGTGTCTGCATAGTTAAGTACGCGAATCCACGCAAGGCCTCTCTTACGGAAAAGCAAGCGACGACCCAGCAAAGCAGCCAACTAGTACAACAGTGGTAGAGATTCCCGCTTCCCTGGCCGCCTCCTCCACGTCGTGTTTAGTCTTATTCACGGGGACCCGCAGCCCTTGTTCATCGACGCGGAATCCAAGATCAGACGGCACGAACAGATTGACCTCGGTGCGCGGGATAGCCTTGACAAAAACATGCTGTCTTGTTACGCCCTCGTGGCCGACTAGGGATCTATAACTCCATCAGCAAAGCTCCCTACCAGGAAGACGTCGCAACCACAAACAGAAGCACTCACATGACGATATCGATGTTTTGTAGAGCGGCGATGAGGGTTTCCTGGTCTTCCAAGTCCACCTCGATTGCAGTCACGCCCAACGGGAGCCCCGTCGGATCGGATACGATGGCCGTATACAGCAATGCGGTTATAAGACATGATTCGTGATTGTAGATACCGCTACCATTTTCTAGTGAGCTGAGATGAACGAGCAGCAGCAAGGACCTCCCTTTTATAATCGCCCTTGTTTATTGTCGGGTATGGGGTTCGGATAGAAACTCTTCGATAAATCCGAGACGGTGCAGTGCGAGGTGACGGGCACCCAGTCGGATTTGGCGTGACATACCTAAAGCCGAGTCTCGATCCATGTACCAGCATCCGATGGAGTCCTCCGTCAGCACTACCGCAGCTACCTGGAGCACGCCCGGGATTAATTTATGAGACAGTATAATCCTATCAAGCTAGCTAGCTCATACATGATTACTCATTGGGCGCACTATCTTCGGTAGTCATGGCATGAATTTTCTTCGGTTATGTAAGTGTGAATTCTCCTGAGCGACGAAGTCAAGTTAGGGAGAAGCATCCATTTTGCCGCCGCTTGGTAAGCGCTCGGAATAATGAATTCGACCCAACGTACTTGATTATGATGCCTTAACATGCCTTAGATGATGGAGATCACCAATGCGGCGAGCTTCGGGCCAAGTAAAAACACCTGGTCAAGTTGGGAGGAAGGGGCAAACCGGGTGTTATTCAAGTCGAGGTCAGCAGTGGGATGTTCAACGTGAGTATGTTCACGATATGAGATACGCCCATTCGAGTGATGTACATCGCATGGTTAAGAAATGATATAATGATCTAGAACAATACAAGGCCATTAAAACTGAATTTTCTCGACTGGCTGTCTCAACAATACGAAGGCCACCCCCTAAGAACATCCCCATGGTCAATCAGCATGCCTCGCTGCACCACGCAGTGGACTTCCCGATCCGCTGGCCGTCCGGACGTATCTTGGTTGGCTCCGACACCGCTTCCGGGAAGATGTCTGTCAGCTCGGCCTCGTCCTTCTCAGTGTCACCCTCATAGCACCTGAAGCTCATGTTGCAGCCTTTGGAGAAGTTGACTGTCGCGTAGTTCGTGATGCACTCTGGTGTATCCTCCGTGGCAGTCGACTCGCCGCAGCCGATCTTGGCCTGCGGGACGGGCTGGTCGTCTGGATAAAACCCGTCAGGGGTCAAGGTAACGTAGAGGCCCGGTTTGGGCACCCATTGCATGCTGTCTCTCTCGGGCGGACCGGCGTGGCGTCTCTGGGATGGGAGGGGCTTGGTCTGATAGATCGGGTGTGACAATATGGCAGCAACAGCTGATGTGCGTTAGTGAAAGATAGTGGAAGTCTGTCGTTGTGAGACTCATCTAGAGCGCCAGGTTGCGTAAGCTTCATGGTGAGTCGTTCAAACTTGAGGGTCTTGGAAAGAAGACTGTACGATAACAAGACACGGAGGGCCTAGATGGTCGAGTTGATTTGCTTCAGGGACTATGTTGCCTACTACATAAACCTTTTATACCCAAGTGGAAAGGTCGCAGGTTGCGTTATACGAGGAGTGAACTCCCAACTATTTGGTCACTCTCAACCCCACTGCGACCTTCTCATGACGTGGCGGAGGACGTGATGTTGGATTAACGATGCCTACATCCACTTTCTTTAGGCTACGAGTTAGAGCTGCCGGGCATGGTAGAAGCTCTTCAAATGTCAAAGCCAAGATGCCTCCTATACTCGCAGGATCATCCTTGGGTGCGTTAGCTTGTGCCCAATAGAGTATTTCAAGATCCGGCCCTTGCTTCCATAAAATCCTGGAGGCATGAAATCAGCCAACGAACGGGTCACCATCAGGATTTGAACCTCACCCCGCACTTATAAGCCACGACATACAGCTTCTGAGCGCATGAGCGCCTGGTACTAATGGCTGACAGCCGCAGTTACACGACAACAACCTTCACGGGTATGTATTCCAGAAATAGTCTTCGAGATAAGCAAATGAGATCTTGATAATCAAGAAATTGATCTGCCGGCACGATTCTGCTCCCCATTTTCAGCGAGGTCAGCCAGAAAGCATTAGTGAATCTGTTGCAAGGTCGAGTCTGCAGTTCGCAGCTGTCAACGCAATATTTCATGACATCCGCCCTCCACACCTCCACACCTCCCGCCCCCTTATACTTCTTCTGTTTTTGATGGGAACTAACGGCGGGGGCATAGATGTGGGACAGTTTTCACACCCAACATCACAATGTTCACTTACACATATCTCTACCGGCAATGAAGCCATAGATATCGTAAACACTATATTGAAATAGTATTTTCTTGGTGTTTTTAGCAGTGCTGGTTTCATCAGGTGTACCGCTACGGGATGGGCCGCTGTGGGGGTCGGAAGTTACACTGACCCTCCAAAAGTCTCCGAGCATTCACCACGCTAGTTTCAAAACGCATCTACGCGCTCGCGACCCCCTTCCTTTTATTTACTCAACACCAAAACGATGGATTTATAAAAGATTGGTATAATTTTGACCGCAAATCGTGGGCCAAACCAGGAACTTACTTCCGGAGCTCGTGCAGCTATTATGGCTGCCAGGGCGGCAGGCGCAAGGCGCGACAATGTCACGAGCGCGTTCCATCTGGATCGGCCTCAAACCGTGACCGACATTATCAACACTGCTAGAGAGCATAACACCACAGTCTCTCGACCTCGAGAGAGAGCCACAAGGATTCTAAACAAACGCGAAGAAGCTCAGCTAATTGAAATAGCACGAAAGTACCCCAAAGTTACCTACAGAGAGCTCAAGAAGGAGAACAGGGTCCTTAGCTTCTATACCACTATCAAGCGCGTTTTTCACGCTCATAGGCTTCATAAGTAAAAGATAGCAAAGCAGATCGAGCTTATAGAAGATGACGCATGAGAGAGGCTCGCTTTTTGTAATAAATATGACTCCCTAGAGGCTCTGGAAGAGCTGATACGAACGCTTTTCTCAGACGAAGTCACGGTCCAGAATTCATCCGATAATCCGGGCGATTGGGTCATCCGCCTCTCTTCTAAACGTTACAGGCAGGATCTTGTGAACCCTCGGAGTTATGGGAGACCCCGTATCTCCATTATGTGTTGGGCCTTGATCTGGTTACGCGGCGGAGAAGGTGGCCTAGACAAATCATCTTCTGTAAGCCCGATGAGGATGCTCCTTGCGGAGGAGTATCTTCAGTTTCATATCAAGACGTCCTTAAAGAAGGGCCCCTTCCGTTCTACGAGGCTGGGGATCCTTTTATGTAAGATAAGGCTCGTATCCATCAATTTGGAGGCACTCCAGAGTGGCTAGAGGAGCACGGCATCTGGACAATCGACTGGCCTGCTCACAGCCCTGATTTGAACCCGATCGAGCATATTTGGGCACTTCTAAAGAAGCAGATACGGAGAATCGAGCCTGGTTTCGCTGATTTGAAGGCTAATATTGCCCACGAGGCATATACCAGACAGTTAATCAAAAGGGCGTGGTCAGAGATTGATCCTCAAGATGTACGCGTTCTCGTCGAATCTCTCGGCAACCAAATCGCCATAGTGAAAAGTGCAGGTGGTTGGTACACACACTATTGAATGGCTTATACAATGCAGTTTTTTTCATATTATTACAGTAAGAGATGGGTGCGTGGTGAATGCTGAAAGTTGGAAGGTGTAGGCGTGTAGGGCTGCTCGAAAAATGGGCTCGGAGACTTCTGGTCGGGGAGTGTAGCACTCCCAGCCCTAATCTGAGGGGTAATGGGACCCGTGCCCCCTATCCCCTTCACTGTAGCAGAAATTCTGCTGTTCTTTTTTTTCTTTTTTCCTGTAAGCATTATAGGCTTCAGTGCGTTAAAATGCCTCCTTTATACACTTCAGATGACCTCGCAAAGGCAATCGCCGCTGTGAACGATGGCATGTCCCTCCGCAAGGGGCATCATCGCTAGGGAGTACCAAAATCAACTCTCGCGCCGAAGGTAGACGGCATTACAATACGCCTAACGCTAACTAGCCGTGAGGGGGCTCTTAAGAGCCAAAAGTTAAGCCCTGCACAAGAAACTCGGGCTGTATCATAGATCCTCTATCAGGAGAAGGCTGGCCATGGGCTAACTCATGGCAATGTGAGGTACATCATCTGGAAGATCCTACAGTCTGAGGGCAGGGCAGATCATTTAAGGAGCAAATACATACAAAATTTATCCGTAGGCACCTAGAGATAAAAACCAAGATGGGCAAAAAGCTAGACTACAAGTGTATTAACGCCGCCATGCCTGAGAATATTAATAGCTTTCATGATCTTTATAAGGAGTTTGCCTTTCTTAAACCTGTAAACCGGGTAAATATCTATAAGTACGGCATTATGCAGGGCTAATAGTACGTAAACGTCCAATCCAAGTGCTTTTTGAACGGCTGACCGGGCAAATAACAGGTCTAATGGCCTTGTAATAGGTAGTTCTGGCTTAAAAGGGGCTAATGTCGAGTTTAACAACAACCCCACATAAACTATAGTGGTTAAATTGATTACTACTACTAGAAAAAAGCTTTGGCCGCTCATTATCTTTAAAGCGAAGTCAATATAAACTCAGTGGTTTAAGAAGCAGCTTATTATCAAGCATCTTAAAATAACAGAGTAAATAATAACGTATTTTATTAACAACTGGTTTTCAAACAAGATTGCGTTAAAGTGGCTTAAAAAGGCGAGTAAAATAACAAGTACTACTTGTTAATTACGTGCTAATAAGCCTTAAATATATTTCTATGAGAATTCGTCGTGCAGAATAATCGGTTCATACGTGCGTGTTCATTGGTTATTTTAAGTCTACCTAGTACGGACAGATTCACACCTAAATATGGGTGTAGCGCGTCTATCCGCGGTGGTAATGGTGCTGTGGGGCAACCATCTCACCCACAGCGCACAGACCACTTTGGGACACACCATGAGCCATCATCACATCCGATAATTTCTTTAATATAGCTTTTAAAGATCTTAATAATTTTCGTCTTTTAATATTAAATTGCTATAACAGCTACTATTTAAACGAGTTTATATATCTTTATTATATTAATAATATATATATATATACTTTTTTTCTACTTATAAATTAAGTTAGATAATCAGTTAGTAGTTATTTTACTAATAAAGATAGTTTTATATCTTTTAACCGTTGTATTTAACATTATTTTCTATTATTGAAGCCGCTTATTGCCGCTTAATCAATCACTTTTGCCAGCTTAACGATTTAGCCTTTATTAGCAAGATTAAGTTTCTTAGTTACTTAGCAAAATCTTGCAATAAAGCTACACCGGCTATTGTGCATTTAAGGTAGCATGCTGCTGGGCTTTACCCTGTAAATCGACAAAAAACGTTAATAAATAAGCATATAGTAAAGGCGGCGGAGATCTAAGCAGCAGCAGCTGCTATAATAGACCCCAAGACCATCTATTAGGCCCTAGAAGTGTGATGGTGCCTAGCCACCTAGCCACCACTATTGGCCCTGGTCCCTGTCACGTGCAAGTCATATGACCTGGTTAACATTGCTCCATAGCTGAATTGCGAGGCGGTCGCTTAGATCTATCCCATCAGCCAATTTGGCTGCGGGTCAAGATCTTCTTTTCTTTTCCACTAGATGATTTTCATAGGTATACAGCAATTAGATCCATTGCGCTCCTACTTCGTAATACGAATTGTGACAAGAAGCCCCTAAATTAGGGCAGGACATAGCGCTGATGCTATCACCAGTTACTAAGACCCTTAAGCAGCGAGCAGCAGTGCGCTCGGTTGCAAAGTCATACGATGAGATGGTGGTTAAGCTAGCCCTTGCAAAGGAGCTGCTAGAGGCAAAAGACGCTAAAAGCGAGCGTCTATAGCTAAAAAAAACGCCGTAAGGCACCCCAAAAAGAGCCTAAATTAACGGCTATAGAGAGTTAGGGACGTTGTTCAAAAATAAATCAAGCAAACGGAGGCTGCGCGAGTCTTGATCGAGCAGCGGGCTGAGAGACGACAAATTATGGCCGAGTCGCAAAACTTATTGTCACAAAGCCTGCAGCGGTGTGCTGGATACTGGTGTTGTAATCCAAAAATAACAAGGTGAGAGAGAAAAAGAACAGTTGTGCGTAAAGCCGAGGCTGCAGCACATATGGTCCAAATCTCCTTATCTAATCTACACGTGACCTGATGGCTCAGCATCCCACCAGGTGGATACAACTGTACACCGTCACACCTATACTTAGACAAATCAGAGAAACCACTCTCTGAAGACTCTCTCTCATTTGAATTGTTGAATACACAGATGTTGATTGATGCTATTGATTGTTCTGCTCTGCATGCAGAGATTGATCATCTGTCTTCTTGGTGGGTTAGATGCCTCGTGCGTCTCTGCCCCACTGGAGATCTTCCGGTGTCTATCTCCGGCTCCCAGTCAACATAAATCATCAGATTTCAAAAGAATTTAAGCCCTTAAAAGGTGTTAAGGATAAAGGGGTTGTTGTTAATAAAGGGGACAAAAGCGAGGATAAAGAGGATGAGGAGCCCATTATAATTTGATTGTCACGGCGAGCTTACTGAGGAGCCGGGGCAACATGCGCTGGTCGTCTCTTGATGCCTAAAAGTAGATCACTGAGAGACGCGAGAGGAGGGTTGAGAGGAAGATCGGGGCCGGAATTGAGCTGCAGACAGCACTGATGAGTTGCCTACCTATGTCACGTGACGATGGCTTCACCCCTTACAACCTTATAGCTGTACCTACCTTCACACACATAGAGAGGCGTAGATGGAAGGCGAAGTTGTAAGAGATTTCTCCCTTGTCATAGGGAGACCGTGACGCATGTTCAAACCTCTCGGTCCACCCGACATGCCTCACTGTAAGTTTTAGCCTGACCCGAGCACATGATCGCCTTCCCGGCCCTGGCCTACCCAGCTGAACTGGGTGCAAATGGTGGGAGCCAGATTGGGATTGCCGATGGTATATGACTTCAGCATTTGCATTACCTATTCTAGATGCCATTCAGACATAGAAAGACATCACCAGGCACAAGTCTATCTTGTACAGTTACATCTCATAAGTCTCCATCCGTCATGCTCCTGTCAACCCATCGAATTTAGTGCTACATTCGTATTAATGGAATAAGCCCCATGGAATAAGCGGGTATAATGCGACGAGCCATAGTTGATGCTTATTCCAGACTGCTTGTTCCATATTCAATAAATCAGCTTTCGCTTGGTGAATGAGGCGTATACGGAGACTTGTGGAGGTTCCGTGTATCTAGTCTGTCTTCTTTTCTATCAAGGTCTTGCTGAGAGTCGGACGACAGTGTCCAACGCGGTAGCTTATAGTACAAGTGCAAGAGGGTTTTCTCCTCTAGGTATACAGTTTGCATCTCCGTGTGTGACCACCAGATTGGCCCATCCAGCCTGTTCTATCGACATGACCAAATGCCAGAATTTCCGACCTCGAGTCGTGTACATCTAGTCTTCCAGTTCGCCTACTTGGAGATGCAGTCCGTGAGTACAACACAGTTGTACGTGTTAGAGGATCAGTCGGCGAGCTGAAACGTGTCTCCTTGCCATCCATACGCTCTGCTCAGGCGACGCCCGAAACGTCTTGCCTCGGTGTAGGTGATCTTACTGCCATGATCATGGGGCTCATGGAACTGGATGCTACGGTTTACGTCCAGTCCCAGGGGCTGGAAGTGCCATACCGAGCCGTAAAGCTTCACGGCTGTGAAGCCGGCCGAGACCATAGCGTGCAGGAACTCTTTCCACTCAATCTCTCCAGGCTCATCTGAGACAGAAGGCTGAAAGAACAGCTTACGGAAGACTTTCAGCGCCCTCTTGCTTACCTTGAGCACCGGTTGTAGGTTTTCGATCGGCTCGGGGGTTTCCTCAGTTGACTCCTGGATGCCGAAAGCCGGGTGGGGCTTCCCCTTTGTTTTGGCCTTGATCTTCTCGATGGCCTTGTTGACGCCCTTACTGTTGGTATCAAGCGTTTCGTATAGATGCAATCCACCAAATGGCTTCGAGAGTGCATAATCATGGTCTACTCTCTGCTTTCGCTGTGGCTTGGGGGTTTCGATCCATGGGGCTGTTCGTTGTCGTTCTCGCTCGAAGACCGCCTTCAGTCGTGGAGATAATAAGCAGCCCATGTCATTCAATGTCTCCCAGAGAGAGTCCCAGAAGTTGTCGAGGTGAAATTCGGCCAGGATCATGGCTTCCACATTCTCTTTAGTCCGTCTCTTGGCAGCTGGGTAGCTGAATCGACCCTCCGTTGGAACTCCACAAGACATCTTGTCTGGACAACCCATAGCTAACAATCGTACGTCACATCGTATGTCACGTATGTACTTGGTAGTATTCTTGAAATCAGCTTGGAGATCTTCGAAGGCTTGCTCCATCCCATATTTGAAGCTGCTTGCCCATGGCTGATAGAGACTGATTTGGTGAAGGCAGTCAGCCACAAGAGAGAATTCGGCAATTTGGTCTGCGACCCAGGAGGAAGTATAGGTTCTTGTCGCGACGTCTTTTTGAGTAAGGTTGTCCAGCTCGGTGAGAAGGGTTCTTCGACACGCCATGGGTCGCTGCCATTCCTGTATAAGCATCTCGAACAGCCAGCACAACTCGCGTTTTGCCCCTGCTTTGGGGGCGCGGTCATAGTCGATTCTGCTTTTGAAGGGGTCCTCCGGGTCGGGAAAGCGACAAAAGGTCTTTCGCATTGGGGGCGAAGCCATGAACCCTTGTTGAAGCATGGAAGGTGTGTTGTCAATAACGAGAACCTTTCGCTCGCTTACGTCGGGGTGTGTGGATTCCGTGGTTTTGCATGTGGGTTTACATGTACCCTTGTAACCGCAAACAACACAACAGCCGAAGCAGCAATCTTCCCAGCAGCACTTGATGATGTTCTCATGACTCTCAAGGAGATAGCACAGCTCGTGAAACGCGCGGGCTAGGTCGGCCGGCAGATCAGAGTCGGGGGAGACGTCGGCTTGATGTATTCGGTGGACTTTGCGCAGTTTGACTACCTTCTCCCAAACCACGTACCAATATTCAGCCATGTTGATAGCAGTAACAGCGATCTGTGCGACCAGTCCCTCCCGGTACCATTTGTCGTTCTTAGAGGTGAGAAACGAGGCGAAAATTGGGTATGCTTTCCCCCATTCCTCTTGAATTTGCACTTGCTCCAATTGATGTTCTTCCCATTCGAGGACCACACTTTCGTAGTAACCAGGATCTTCTCTCATCGACCAGAGATGATCCTCCGCAGCTTCAAGCTTGGCGTCGACAACTTGTTCCATTCGATCGAAGTCTATGGTTGCTGGCAGCTTATACTGGGACTCAAGTATAGCAACAGCCAGTGATTGAATGCCGCCGGTGCTCGTCGCTGTGGGCATTGGAGGTTGCGGTTGAATGGCGAGAGTAGAGTCCAGGAGTGATGTCTGTGGTATGTCGTGTAGGATTTTGCGACAACATTGTACCAGGAAAGTGTAGACCCGTTGCTGTATTTCCAGGATCCAGAGACCTTCGGCCACCGTGTTCACCTTGCGAGTTTCCAGCGCCTCAATCAGACAGTTGTCGCTGGCCGCGCAGAAGATCTGTCCATATTCATCTGCTGTCTTGCGGCCTCTGAAGTGCATGACGTACCCTACGAGTTTGTGAAACCTGATTGACCCAACAGAGGACCCGAAGCCTATCGAAGCAAGATCAGCAGAAGCGAACGAATCGGGCGGGTTGTGAGCTCGAGCGTTGATCATCAAGAGTAGTGGCTCCTTCGTGGCCAGGTCCTCAAGGTTCAGATGTGGCCACATAAATGGTGTGCGATTGATGGCTCGCCCATTTTCGTCTACCATGGTCTTTCTTATCTTCCAAGTGTTCAGGTCGTGAGTATTTCTCCATGCTGCAACGTCTGGGTTGTGAGTCTGTGGCATGTTGGAGGTGTCGCTAGAGCGGGCAGAAACCCGAAAACTGTCGATGAGTATCTCCTTCCGTTTGGGTACCGAGCTTTTGGTCCATCGCTTTTGGATATTCGGCTCGTGCCTCCGGGCAATGTCTTGTAGTTCCTTCCAATTCTTGAAGATGCTGGTTGCCATCAAGCTGGCTTCGGCGCGGGCTTGCTCGGCGGTAATGGTATGGAGCGGCGGCTCGAATTCGCAGCCTGGTGTGTCGACCTCGGGCGGATCCATCGCTGCGACTGATCTGATGAACAGGTTATGAGTGGAAAGTACAGTGTACCAAGACGTAGACAGGAAGGGTAAGAAGTGCAGGGCAAAGTGAATCTTCTCTGTGGAACTGACACGGTTGTTGGCTGTGGTGAAGGGAGGTGGAGGCGCATAGGTTTGTATCGCTGTGGGCAACAGCGTGGGCGACAGAGCTCCCTTCCAAGACGGGCACAGAGGGAGTTGCCGAGGCAGTAACAGAAAGAGATCAAAGGCTACAGCTCGTTAGAATCGCAAGGTGAAACGGGGTTGTATGGAAGTGGCTCTCCGTGGAAGTGGTTGCGTGACAATGGTTGTATGGAATTGGTTGGGTTAGACCACCAACCCAGGATATATTGGGAGATACGAAACAACTTCCAAGGCCTCGCCGCGGTACCAGGGTTGCAACAGGACAGGTTTAACAGGCTTGACAGATTTGACAATAAGCACGAGAGGACAACAACAAGCACCACCACGACGAGCACAACGACTAGGACGACTCGGACGACTCGGACGACTCGGACGAGGACAAGCACGAGTCCACGACGAGGTGTCACGGTTCTGACTAGCCGCCCATATAAGTGGATGCAGACGGTCAAGAGCTCGAGTTGACAACGTTCTACTTGTAGTGTAGCGGTATGGTGCTGCATTCCTGTGCCGTTACACGAGGACCACAACAAGCAGGACACCTTACGAAGGGGCTGAAGAAAGCTCGTCCAACCGACGAGACAGACTGCTGACACCCCGATTCGCAGACGGGAAAACACTGGGGTTTTGTTAAGACAAGTACCTGGCCTCCTACATAGATGCTTCACGTACTTGATGCTGTCCAGGGGTTTTCATTGACTGATAAGTTGCAAGAGTACACATGCACCATCTTCGTCTCGCATCCCTCCCCAGATTGGTACTAAGGAACGTGTGCGGTGGTTGGTGAGACGTGTCGGTATGACATCGCTCATGGCGTAGAAAAACCTGCCTGGATCACTTTGTTCATTGCTTGGTGCAAAGAATCGCTGTCAGATGTGTGTGGGCTGTTGACACATTTGGTGAATTGCTTGACCGCGAGTGATTCCAAGTGCATAAAGCCCTGACTGCCGTTCTCCTTTCATCCTTTGCCCGATTTATGGCTGGATCTGGTAACGGCGGAGGCATAGATGTGGGACAGCCCTAGATGTGGGACAGTTTTCACACCAAAAGGCCACACTTGCACCCACACATAACTCCATCTGGATTGAGGCTCTAGATAATATAAAAACAGCAAAAGAATCGCCTTTTCTTGGAGTTTTTAGCAATACTAATTATTGTCGCGGTACCGTGCAGGCTGGCGGATTGCGCAGCGCGAAGATCAATGTGACGGCCTGCACAGACCTTCCCACATGACAAGTGGATACTTCCCAATAGAGGAAGGATCTGACCAGAGGATCCCCTTAAAGGGGCAACCTCCCACTGTATCTATCTCTCTCTCTCTCTTCCTTTCCTCTCTAGTCTTGATATTCTCGTTAATAGAGTAATAGCTGCTTGCTGCCGGCCTTGTCCCAGCTCAATCACTCCCGGTCCAAGGTCGTTATCCCTCATTGACTCCTCAGCGCATAGGTCATAGCATATTTCTCTGCGTCATCTTCGGCGTAGCAAGCAGATCAATACAATGCCTCAAGCCACCATCGAAAGCAAAGCAACGGCTGGAAGCTGTATATTCCGCTTCTTCGACTTGCCGCCTGAGATCAGACTGAAAGTCCTTGAAAACACTGACTTAGTCACACCCACAGGCCGGGCCTGCTGCCACCCAAAAGTTGGGTACGGGGTGTCCATCGAATTGAGAAGAAACTCCTTCCGGGCCCCGAGCGCGCTATTCCTCGTCAGCAAGGCATTCTACGAGCAGGCGCGAGAGGTCTTCCTGCGAAGGAACCACTTCGAAATCCACCAGTGTACCACCTGGAGGCCACCATATGAGCCGCCTCGCTACGCCTCGAGCGAGTTCTTCGCTCAAGGCATTACCGCCGTCCGGCTATCTGCACATACGATCTTTGGAGTTCATCCTCTACTTTCCGGAGGAGCGAGCACGAGGAGACTGGCTCCGCACCCTCGACCGTATCAACGACGCAGGCGGACTCGACCTGCGGTTTGTGCGCATCTGTTTCTGCAATTACACGCCCAGCTGGGAGGCGTGGAAGGCCACCACAGTCCGGGACCGGTCGGGCGGTATGGCGATGCTGAGACGCTTTGTCGGGGAGCACCTATGGTCGTTCCCTTGACCCGAAGGACCACCGGTGTTCACCCAACGCCTACAGGTGGATATCCATAGCGGCGGCGCTCTATTTAGATATCAAGTCTACAGGGGAGCCGGCGGGGTCACCGAAACCGAGCTGGGAAATATTCACGACTGGAGCCTTGTGTCCCGCTCCTTCTGCTGGCCGAGGCTAAGCGACGCAGTCGAGTCATCTAGCAGCGACGCTCAAGGCGCTGACTGGACTGAGGAGCTTGCAGTGAAGGAACAGAGTGACTCGTTGTGAATCTTGTCCAGCAGGAACGGTAGGCCTGGGAAGGCCGAGAATGGCAACTCGACGACGTGGATTTCGAGGTATTTTACGGAGAAGGGCGGCCATACATTTGATCTCCCTGTAGTCATCCGAATATATAAATACACCGGGTAGCCGATGCCACAACACAATCCTCAACCCCGGGCCTTGAGTAAGAGCTTGCCCGTGTCGGGAGTGTGGCTACAGCGCAGCGCACTTTCCCAGAGACGACTATCGAAAATTCACGTTTTTGAGCTTCGGTCTTGACATACCTTATGTAGAAGACAGTTCAATCCGTGCCTACATGTAGCCCACAGAGAATGAGCTGCGGCCTCTCCTCGTGCTGTTCTCATTGACGGTACACGCCAAACTCCGGAATTGTATCATATTCTGGGAAAATGGAGATGACCCAATCCCATTTTGAAGCACATCCGGCCACTTCCCACGGATCCGCCCCCTGTTAGCCCCAGCCCAGGACCTTCGCTCGTACTGAGGTATGTGTCGACCAGCGCCCTATCCAGAAGAACAGAAGATCCAGCCAGAAGGCGGTGCCATCGCGGCGCTTTTCAGAACGGTGTGTGATGCCCAAGAGAGTCGCCCTGCCCACGGCATCGTCAGATTAGACGTCGCAAGAGGGCCTCATCAGAGCCACAGCGTCCCGCCAGAAGGGAACCATCACCCGTCGCGTGACCCTCCTCCAGGGCAAGTAATGCCGCTTCCTCCAAACGCCGCTTCCTGGACGTCGCCTCCTTTGCCCGCCCGTGTCGCTTTCTTTGAACGCCGTTTTCCTCGAACGCGTGTTTGGTATCGCTTAGGCGTCCCTTACCATGGCTGTTAGTTCACAAGAAGTGTCCAACACATGATCATAGTCCACAAAAGAGTGTCCCACGCATCATATATGCTTACGTGACCTACTAATGGTCGTACCGTGGCGTCATAAGGCCGAACGTTGTTCGAAGCCCTGTCATGTCATGGTCAAGGGGTAACCCTCCGCAAGCACACCTTCAATGGCTGTCGTAGGTACCGAGCTCAGCAGAGGTCAACAACGTCGCGCCCTGCCTACAGTAGTGACTGGTCCCCTGGCCAAAGACCGAATGTGAGTATCAGCGATGTGACGAGAACGTGTTGTTCCGTATTCCGACGTAGAGTCACCCTGGACAGTGACGGCATCGTCGACAACTCATACACCATCCACATTGATAGTTGACGTTCCCAGACGTGAGCGAGAACCGAGGTACAGATTGTCCAGTACTTGCGAGTGACAAGTAATCCGTGTACCACACCTATATAACTTACCTAGGTATAAATGCGCCGCAAAACCGGATTGCCATGAATGCAGGAACACGTCTCATTAACCATGTCATGCCGGGCGCCGTCATGACTTCATCTATTCTGCAAGGTACAGAAAACTTGGTATGGCACCCAATGTACGAGCAGTTTATCCCTGAGATTGGGCACCTATAATAGGGCATGAGTATTCGGTCGGCTCCCCTTGCATTCAGCTATGGTGCGCGAGATGGTTGGCCGACAAGCTCTTTGTTGTCTTCGGCCGAGTATAGCAGACGGCATATCGGTTCAGCAACAGAACGGCAAAAAATACCATTGGCATTCCAACGCAGACCGGCCTGCCTTGCGGCCATGCGCGTCGTTCATGTCAGCAGCCTGAATGATACTGGGTGATCGAACCGGTCGGCCGGGTGAGGTGGCACGATTGCCACGTCGACGACGTTGTAGAACGTCAACTGAGATCCTTGACAGGACCTTTTCGACAGTAACATGCCAGCCCTACTAAGGTAGGTACCAACAACAATTGAACGCTTAAAGCTAGAATATCGTCCCAGGTGTATCATCCCATCAAAGAATAGATGGGAGCAAACACATTGGATGGGAAAGAAGGCAGGTAGCCGCAGCGCGGAAATAGCGCATCGTCATGCAATGCCGCAAGGCGGCGGGCGTGAACTGCTGCACTTTGGGTGCCCAAGCATCACTTGAAGCATTCCCCTGTGCCCAAGCAGCCAAGCAACCATCGGTAGATTTTGAGACAGGGGTGAATGCTAAAATATTTCGGGCGCATGACGGTGAGATCCCCGAACCTGCTCAGCAAGCACAAATTATAGGGGGGAAGCGCGGAAGAATGGAAGGCCTCAGCCAGAAGGCTTTGAGGAAACATGGCCGACCGCTGTAGATCGGTGGCCTAAAGCAGCCTGGACCGAGTGGCTAGGGGACGTCCCGAGAGACTAAAATCCTCCCGCGTAAGATCTCACCAATATTGACTCCGTGGGGGTACCAAATGGCAAAAGGAGAATGCTGACTTCGAACTTGACAAACGAAGAGAGAGAAAGCCGCCGATGTGTATCGGTGTAGAGATTCTTATCAGACCGGCCAAGCTGCAATGCTGCGCCCAACAAGTGAAACGGCGGACAGAACAAGCTCCCGTTGACATGTGGTCGAGGCGCGGTGCCGAATACGGAAGCTGAGGCCGATTGCACATGAAACCTGACCCTGGAGACTTGATAGGTCCGTCCCCGTATCTTGTGAAGTTGTGAGCCCCTTGTCCATTTGACAGCGTCCAACTTCAAGAGAACTTGAGGCTTGAGTGAAGGAATCGTGATTCCCAGCTTGTCACTGTCGACGAGTCATGACCGGCCACCCAGCTGGAGGGAAATGCACATGCACCTAGCTGCAGCCTACAGGAAGATGTCTGATCTAATAGGCAGCCGGCGGCAGACTTGGTTGGTCTCACATCGAGCAGTAATCAAGGCACTTCGCAGCGATCATTGGCTCAGCCTCAGGGGCTCACAGTGGGGTCGAGCACTAGCATAAACTGCCAATTAGCGAGTGTCCAGCATCTCGGTGGTAGCTGGTCAAGCTCGCGGCCGCAGTATCGAGAACCCGGGACAGCGCTGAAGAAAATGGTGCCCGCATTGTTAAGCGCGGTCCACAGCATGCCGCGCGCCAAAACCCCCAACGAAGATGGCGCGAGCTGGAGAGCTTTTCCCCTACGGGCCTCGGTTCTGTCAGAGGCGCCCGCGCGCTTAATTAGCAGCAGCAGCAGCAGCAGCAGCAGCAGAATGTCTCCTCCGCGCTTCGCTCTAGAACCAGCGGGTGGTGTGCATTATCTTGCCTGACATCCAGTCATCATCATCTATGAATCATCATCTCGGGACCGCTTGAACGTTAGCAAATTGCATTCGTGGCTTGCAGGAAAGATGAGGGAGATTGAGATGATGAAGGGTCGCTGATTTCTCCCGGCCCCTGGTCCGACAGGCCAGCTCACCCCTGCATCAGATCGATTTGTCGTCGGCAGGTTTCACCATCCTTACCGTCGCCGCCGAGTCTGCTGATAGTGCCCAATGAGGCAACAGGATCTATCACACCAGCGTGGCTCGCAGCTAGGTAGCTCCGCGGCCCCTATGCCCTTGCCCCTTTTGCCCCTCGTCCCTGTCGACTCTCGAGTCTCCAAGTTCCCACCCCCACCACCCACAACTGCCACATGCCAATCGAACCAACCACTTTCAGTCAGCCTCCAACAACCACGCACATGGCTGCCCATTGCGGTCTGACATACCTCGTTGGGGCACGTTGCCAGCTCACATTCCTGCAAGCCTGCCTACATTGCCACTTTGCATACCTTATCTGGAAAGCTCTAACCCTCCACACCCGTGCGAGTGCGCTACTGTAGTTAGTGGGCAGTCCACTCCGGGTGTCCGGATCTCCAAGGTGGTATTCAGGGTCTGCTATTATCCACCACCATCTCCAACACGCCAGTCTGTGCCCAAGCACCCAAGCAAGTCCATTGGAATTAGACATCGAGCGTGTTCACGTCATCGACCACTCACGATGCGCAAGTGCTTCTCTCGTGGTGTAGCTTATCCCAAGTGCGGCGCGCACAGATAGCTAACGTGACGCTCAACAGTCAGGAACAGGCGCCCAATGTCACTTCGGCGTACCATCCACCACTCTATTCTCCTGCGCCAGGTGAGGGAAGAGGCACGGGAACGGGAGAGGGTAGTTTCATCCTTGCTCCCATAATTCGCCAAAATTACCTTTCCGCATTGGGACGATATCATGCCCGCCTTTCTTTGGTTCTCGAGTCCGCTCGCCTCTTCCACCCTGGTCCGCGTGAGTGGTAGTGGCAGGGTGGGCTGGGTGGCTAAGCACCATGCTCTCCCTGGTTGACTATCTCGGCAGTGGGCACTCGACTCCCTTGGTCCGTTGGTCTGGTCCGGCCTGTTAAATGGGGGTGGAGCTGCTCCTCGACCGGGGCGGAACTACATTGCCATGGGAGTCAAGGGCCCAATATATACCCCCAAGGTCTGCCATCCCTCTCGAAATCCTGTTGTTGGTCTTGCTACCTTCGCGTCCAACTATCGTGCCTCCCACTCTCTTTCTTCCGCCTTGCTAGCCAGGCCTATATCACATTCTTTTCTGCTTCACTATAGCCACAACTCTTGGCTCATATCACCTTACCTTCGTCTTTCTTTGGATATATATCTACCCACTTCCTGCAAGACAGGCATTGATTCACCCGTTTACCAAGAATAGCGCTGCACATACTCCTCCACTACCGGCCTTTGAGTGTACTTGGATCTAACACTTCTGTTTCATCGGAATCATACTGTTGTGGAAGCTAAACACCGTCTTCACTTACGCATCCTCACATCTTTCACGATGCTTTTCCAGAGCACACTTCTCCCTCTGCTTCCCGGCCTCGTGGCTGGGATTGCCGCCCCCGCCATGCCGGGCATGAAGATCGTCTGGTCTGACGACTTCGAGGGTAGCGCGGGCTCTTCTCCCAATGGCGATCTCTGGAACGTCATGGACGCCATCGACACCAACGGCGAAGTTCAAACGTACTCGACTGCCAACACCAACCTGCAGATTTCTGGTGGAGGAACCGTCCAGTTCGTTCCTCGGAGATCTCAGAGTGGCCACTGGACCTCGGGCCGTATCGAGACGAAGGCTTCCTTCACACCGGACGCCGGCAAGATCATGACTCTGAAGGCCAACATCCTTCTCGGCGACAATGCGGCCGCGAATAAGCAAGGGATGTGGCCTGCCTTCTGGGCGCTGGGCGATGCGGTCAGACACGGAACCGAATGGCCAGCCTGTGGAGAGGTCGACATTTTCGAGCAGGTCAACGGTGCTGCCACGGGCTACGGTACACTGCACTGCGGCAGCGACAGTGGCGGCCCTTGCAACGAGCCCACCGGGCGTGCCGGTTCCGTTGCGCTGCCCACCGAGGATTTTCACACATGGGGTGTCACTATCGACCTCACCAACCCCGACTGGACCGCGCAGACCATATCGTGGCAACTAGACGACGCGACCTACTCGACGGTCACCGGAGCGGAGATTGGCGACGCCCCTATCTGGTCGAGCCTCGCCCACAGCCCGTTATACATGATCCTGAACGTTGCCGTCGGCGGTGATTGGCCCGGCGCGCCTAATGCTGTAAGTTGACAGCCAGAAGTGTCTGACGCCTGATTAACAAGTACTAATCTCCTCTCTCACAGGCTACTCTCGATGGCTATGGCGCCATGATGGAGGTCCAGTGGGTCGCCGCCTACTCGTCGTAGAACAGCGACAGCGACGCATCTTCGCGCGAGTTACGGATTTACGACACTAGATCTCCAGCAGAGAACGTATATACGGGCACGGCGTTCGGATTTGGGGAATCATTCGATTTGATTCAAGATACCTCCTTTTGCTTTAGATTCTCCGGGGCCTCGTCTGTCTGAAAAGCATGACGAGTAGAGCAAAACCTTTTACATTCTAGATCGATGCCTTTGGTGCATGGAAGAGAGAGTTAGTTGCCAGATGGGCTATGTTGGGTTTTTTCTCGATAGCGCCCGGGAGCGAGCGGGCAAGATATGTAAGAGCTGGTCGCATGTCGAGTGCGCCGGTTGGGCAGCGAGTTATATTTAATATTGTTTAGTCGTCAATGTCGAAATGATTAACTCGATATACTTACCCATCTTCATCACCACCACCAGAACAAAGTGCATGGCGACTTCGCCGTCATAGGGGTCGCGGGTCCACCCCTTCTCGAAGATCCTCCAACCTAGTAGTGGAGGTGGGTGGGGATACAGATTTGATCTAGGGCTCCGATGAATGCGCATAAGAGCCTACTATGCCGGTATTTTCATTATACCGCGTATTATACCGTTATGCCGATACTTAAGCGGTATAACAGGCCGTATAACCGTGTATAATGAAATAAAGTATCCTTTTTTTCGACGTACAACGTTTTTATATTATATATAATTATTTATTTCGCATTTAAATAAGTTATAACTACGGTTGAAAATCGATAAGTCGATATTAACTTATTATAATAAAAATTATACTTATGTACGCTAGTATAAAGCTATAAAACTTTTACCTCAACCGGTAACCTTAGCTATTATGAAGCTTAAATATAGCTTCTAGTGCTGCGGTGCCTTATATCCGTAGTATTTAATAACGTACTTAATATAAACTTAACTTAAGGTATTATTTATTTATTTATTTATTTACCTAGTTTATTTTAACTGGTTAAGATATTTTAATAATAATTAAATAATATTTATATATACCTGGGAAAATAAATTATTTTATTTCGTCATACGTATAACTTAGCATTATACGTTATACGTATTATTAAAATCGAAGCTTTAATTTAATTATTTAATCCTTTATATTTTTAAGCTATGAGATCGAGCTTATTATTACCCGCGCCGCCTGTGCCGCCGAACTTGATAAGGTATAAAACAATAAACTCAACACAAACCTTACTTATCTTTTACTCTTAATTCTTATATTAAATGTCGCTTATAATACCTTTTTTTAATCGTTAATAAGGTTATTATTTTTAAGGTTATAAAATTATAGAATTAATAATATATATAATAAAAGTTTATAATAATAAATATAATATTTTCTTAAGTATTTTATGTACTTTTACGCTTATAATTTATTATATCGTAATATTACGATATATCATGTCATTTTTAAGTATAATGTGACGAGCCGTCTAACTACAAGGCTAAAGGGTTCTATAGGGTTTATGTTCTGAGGTAAGTCAACAGAAAAAACGATAGAGGCTTCTGTCAACTAGAAGACACTCATATGCTGGGGCTTGGTCTGATCCAGGGGATCACTGTATAGTCGAGTCGTCAAGAGATTTCTCTCACCTTAGGGTTGGCTAAGATGCTTAGATTGATCACTGAGGTAGAGACTATCTATCTATCTAGTTAGGAAATGTCTGTCCTTATATATCCAATCTCTCCCTCACTGATAGAGTAGGATCACCTTGTCCCAGAGTGATGCTCACTGGCTCACTTCGTGATCCAGTGATCCGTCATATGATCTTTTGTTATGTAATCCGTAATACCCATTGTTCCGTTCCTGGCTTCTGATTCCATTGGTTCTTGGTGTACTCCCCTTGGCCCTCCAACAGGCCGTGGTATTTGTTGGTTCGTAACATATAAGGTTTTTTATTTTAATAATTATATCTGTTATTATCATAGCGTTAAGCGTAATTAAAGCTATTAAATGTTATGCGCGTAAAGTAAAAAAAAACCTGTTTAAAGTTTAAAAACTAAAAGATTTACTGTTATAGTAATTTCAATATTAAAACGCGTTATAACGACTTTCTTGGTTAAAGATCCTTTTTAAAAGCGCATTTTTAATAGAAAATATACAAAGCTTATTATTATTTTTCACGGTAAAAATTAGTAAAACATTTACCTATTTAATTAAGAAAATCTTTTTTATAACGCTAGTATCGAATTTGAAAAACTTTTTCTTTACATGAAAACTATTTATAACAGCTTAATATAAAATACGGATAGTGCGTTTATAAAAAACAATTAAAGCGCTTTTTTTAAATACAAGTATAAACGCGTATTAATTATACGTAATAAACGATTGCTTTTAATAATAAAATAACCTTAATCGGCGCCTTTTTTTCCTTCCATAAAATCAAATTTATTTTCGGCTTTTTATTAAAAGGTTGAAAATACGTTATTTAACGCTTAAAAATCGTCATACTTATTAAGTTATAAAAGATTTAAATAAGTATATATATAAAAACGTTAAAAAGTGAAAAGAAAAAAACTTTTATAATTATAAAATTAAGCTTTATTAATATGAAATATTATTTAATAATATTAAAAAAATAACGGCAAACATATATAGTAACTTATATAAAAAGATTTTAAAAAATATTGAGAAGTACGTTAAAATAAATTACGTTTTTAAAAAATAACGACTTTAATTATAGCTTCAAAACCGTATAGTAATAATAAAGAAAAGCGGGTAATAAGCCGAATAAATTATAAGGCTTTTTTAATTTTTTGTTTGAGTCAAATTGTATATTTATAAGCTTAAAATATACGTAAAAAATAACCTTTGTTTCGATTAAGAAGACTTACGCTAGCTATTTAATTTTTTTTAATCTTTTGAACTCAAAAAAGCTTAACGGTAATTAAGATTTAATATAATAATAATAAAAAGATATTATTAAATTAAAACGTTAAAAGATCTCGTATCAAGTATATATATTGTGGGAACAGGCTTGAACGATCAATCATAATACTCGAGTATGTGGTCAAGGTCATGATGTTGCTGATAGTTGGATTGGGAACTCTAGCTGGACCTGCAGGTCTGGCTAAGTGACCTCACAATCCGGTATCTAATCTCTTATCTAATCATATATGTGGGTTCTGTATGGATGGTTTGACTGTGGAATTACATGATTCCAACATATATTGTATATAAATAAATAAATATAAATAAATAACTATTATAAGTAACTATATTCGATAAATCTATCGTTTTTAATAAAATACTTTAATTGAACGTTCTCTTATAATAAAAATTAACAGCATGCTATTAAGTGATGGTGGGGTGGCTGGGGGTGGCTGATATGTGGGACCTACTTGCCTGAGACATGGCGGGCATACCGATCCTTCGCGCGTCTCACCGTGGCGGACGCGGCAGTGGGCACAGTGCGGGGTTGGTTCGGTCAAGATTGAGGGATCGGTATCGCTTGCTGCATGAAGAATCCCATGAAGAATTCCATGGTTGTCTTACATCGCGACAGGCGCACGGCGCAACGCGAGGAAGGTAAAGCGCGTTGATGAGCGAGGGAAAAGCTCCAAGTTCAAGGATTTCGCAGCCACGCTCGAGGAACTTTCAATCCTATTGATTACCCTATCAAGGCGTAGGTATCAATTATGTCTGCAGCGAGTCGGGTCTCATAGTCAGTCCTATGAGTCGGCAAATCCTAAAAGTACTAATGCTGGCACTTGGAACACGCTCGGAAAGCCACACGGTAAGGCTCGGCTGGCAGCTGATCTCGATCTCCAAGACACGGTACTGGCACGATATTTGTATTATATTGTACTCTAGAAGTCCTGTGGCGACCTGGTTCACGACCAGGCGTCGGGTGCGCACCTCGGCCCCCTGAGTCTTGGTTGAAGACCGCTAACAATGTGTCGTGTGCCCCCAAGATTCAACTCTATGCCTCCGTCGGCTTTCCGTGATATTCTCATCACGCCGCTGATCACATCGTATACCGAAACTAGCCCACCGCGATCAGCTCAACCCATGGTCATCATCCGACGAGGGCGAGGGAGGGGTCGACTTACGTAAGGATTCTCGAAATCAGTATAATCTTGCTCCCCCAGCTGCTTGGCCCGCACGATCCTATCCTCCTCGGACAGCCCGTCGGAAGCCAGCTGCTTGTTGCGCCGCCGGTTCCGCAGGACGAGGATGAGCCGCCACACGATGAGAAGGATGAACTCGAGCCCGAAGCACGTGGCGCAGCCCACCGTGCCGGGGATGTATCGGGGCTGCGGTCAGTCAATCACTCTGTCAGCACGCACACGGTGTTTTGATGTGGATATATGGATGTGTGGATATAGGGAAGGGTCCGTTCCGATGGGCACGTACGGCATCTTTGGCATTGAAGATTTGCGAGCCCACCGTGTTCCCCACGCAGTAGCCGACGAAGGTGAAGGACGACGTCAGCGTGCGCTTGGTGCGGCCAGCCACGTTGGACGGGATAAGCGTCCACGCAAGGAAGAGAGCCACGACGTAGGTCACGGTCATCACGTAGCTGGCATCTTCCCATTAGCTGAAGCAAGATGTGGTTGGGAAGGCGGGATCAGGGCTCACCCTCCCCATTTCGTCCATTTGTACTGCGGCTCGTTTGGCAGAAGCGATATCATGATGAAGCCGATGAATGGTGGGACGACGGAGAACATCATGAAGTACCTAGGCACGATGAGCCGACAGCCCGACAGCCTGACAGCCTGACATGTCGTCTTGGCGGGTATGACTTACATGCGCAGGTTCTTCTTCCTGCTTGTGACGACACCGACCAAGATGAAGAACAAGACGGAGATGACGTTCCGAGGGATATCGAGAAGAATCACCTGCAAGTTGGCTGTTGGATCATCAGCACCCCCTATCCTCCATTACCTGCCTGGAACCTAGGTAGTTGTCACTTACTGAACCCAAAACCAGTGTTGATGATGGAACTGAAGGTCGTGAGACCGCCATTGGGGAGAGATGACAGGAAAGCATTGATTCCAGCAAACCAGAAGCAAGGATCGACCAAGCACTCTCGCGCCTGCTTCCACTTCCACGTCTTGACGCCCGTCCTATCGTGTCCGGTATTGTTGTTCGCGATCCGCGCATTCGCCATCTTCTTCTCCTCGGGCGAGAGCCAGCGGACCTCGGAGGGCGTCCCGAGCAGGAACAGACACGCACACCCCGTGAGCAGCGTCATTCCCCCGAGGAAGTACGACATGTACCTCCAGGCCTCGAAGTCCGGGCGACGGTACTGGACGGTGCCGATGCCGTACAGGATGAGGTTGGCGATGACGCCGAAGCCGGCGTTGGCGCTCTGGAAGACGAGGGAGCGCGAGGCGTGCTCGCGGGTCGTGTACCAGGATCCGATGACGAGGATGAATCCGGGTGAGATGCAGCACTCAAACATTCCCTGTAATGCCCGGAGAGTTATAAGCTGTGTGAAGTTCTGAGCAAACCCGATGCAAAGGACGACGACTCCCCAGCAGATCATATAGCACGACAGCGTACGGCCCATCAGTAGTCGTTGCAGGATGAAGTTCGATGGGAACTCGAAGATAACATAGGTTATGTAGAAGATGGTCGTTAACCACGAACCGCGGGTAGGTTAGCATGTCGTCCTGAAGCCCGAATAGCCCATTTGTAGAAGAGTGAAACGAACGGCCGAGGCCATTATGGATAGTAAGAATTGGGATCGTGGAATGAAATGTTCTTATACATACTACTGCTGTCCGACCAGGTGTGTATCCTCTCGAAGACCAAAATTTGCCTGGGTCCCGATTGCCGTCTTGTCGGCTTGCTGGATGCCATAACACAACCACATCAGAGGCAAGAGATATCGGTCCATCTTCCTCTTGATCTTCTTGTACTGCTCGTCCGTGTATTGCGGTACTGTATGTCCACGGTTCAGCATTTCAACAGCTTCATCGATTCGTCATGACCCACCAGCATCATCTTGCACATGGCCGACAGCAACACTGCTCTTGTCGCTCGCATCCGACTCGTGAACCTTCTCAGGGTCCTTCTGCAGATATCCAGAGATATCGAGGGTGGACCTCATCTCAGCCGGCAGGGCCGTGATCTCTTGAACCTGTGCCATAGTCGCGAATAGGTCCAGGGTCCTCGGAGAGTTTGCACAGGGGTTATTGGGGACTGGTCTATACCGTGATGCTCATTCATATAGCAGGAGCCCATGCCCGCCAAGGCGACAGCTCTGGTTCTCCCCCGCGTCACATCACCATATCAATTGGTGGAGGCATCACAGATAAGACCTCCGCGGACAGAGCCGGAAGCTTGATAAGTGATTCGATGCCGAACGACGGGCGAACTTGCAGCCCTCGCACGCCACGTTACGTCCGGAGCGCGAGGGGTTCGAGGTGTGTCGGCATGAATGCTTATCTTCAAGTCGACCACATCTGGAACTCATGGCTTTGGTTGGACAGCCCGTGCAGCTCATAGCTGACTACCTCAGGTGGCGAGATAGCACCATGAAAGCTCTTCAACTAATTTGCCTCGCGTAAGACAAGAACGCTGGACCTCTCTGGCAACTTCATCCCACTTAGATGGCCGAGACGGCTGCCCTAAAGACGTTTGCGTGGCCCCGGCACGCGTACGCGTGGATAACCGATGACACGGCTGGGGAATTGAGATCCAGCTAATAAGAGCTTAACGGGTGAGGCTTGACCCGAGTAATTTGCTCGATAGAAATCCCGGCTCGCTAGACGTTGTTGCTTCGACGCGTGTGGAGATGATTGACGCAGCGCCGGGTGGGTCGTTGGGAGGCTGGCCTCATCATCATCACCTTATCAGAGCCGCCGAAGCCATGAAAGAACTCACGGGTACCAGCTCGGCAACCTATGAGTGTGGCGAGGTCTGCGGTAAGAGGGTGTTGGTCGAGCAACCTTGGCTGAGGTGCATATTGAGCTGGCGGAACGTACCGACAATATAGCATTGTGGAGGCAGAAGCCAGATCCAACCTGCATAGAAAGGGGTATCGTCGGCCTAGCACCGAGGAGTTCCACGTACGACAGGCTAGGGTCATTTAGCCTACCAAAAGACCTGGTGCGATAAGCTGTATATTTATCTATACGCAATGAGCAGCCTGATGGCTGTGCACCTGGGAGCCAACTGACTGGCGCCGTTATGTCGGCTTCGAGATTCCGAGAAGGAACTCTACACATCACGCCTCGACCGACATATGTATCAAGGCACACATTTGCAGCCTGTAATATCAAGGAGGCCCATACCGAAGCCGACGATCCTCTCGCAAACGGAGGCGGCCAATGATAGATGTGCAGTGTCCGCGTCCCCCATAGCCTGAAGATATGTCAGATGGACGGATTCTTCCTAGTTGTCTAAACTAGCAGAACTACGATGTCATCCGGAGGTGCTTATTCCCAAAGGTGAGAACGTAGGCTCATGTTGGGAACCGCCTAGGGCGAATGACGATGCTTCTGGCGGATGGCTGTTTTGATGTTGTCCTACCACCCGGGCGTCGGAGATGGTCAAACCGTTCAGCCCGGCTTCGGCTGATACATGAGTCTGTATTGGACCAAAGCCGTCGACTGCTGCTCTGACGCCGTCCCAGGGTATTTATGTTCTTGTGTCGGTCCGAAATGTATCTGGCATTGCGAAGGGCAAGGTGTTTTCGGTCGCGGCAGGCTTGGTGGGCTCAGCAATCTGTTGCCTATTCTAGTCGGGCTAATGCTCGGTTCGGTGAGGGGTTGGGTCTCGAACTGATGGATTGGTCGGTCCATCGTATTCGCTCGTCGCAGCTCGATACCAGCACGGCTCCTCCATCGATTGACCTCGACAAGGAGTTCATCGCGTTCTGGTCAAGTTGTGTACTTGCTGGGCCGCAATGTCACTTTCTGACTGCTGTGTTCTGATGAAGGCAATGCTCTCATCGATAACAACATGTTTCGAGAGGCGTTGCGGATCGGTCTCGGAGACGGGGGGCAGGAGATGGGCAAGGTCCTACAGGCAGTGGTTGTCTCTTAGCCAGGGCTGATGGGAAAACGACGATCATTCCAAGGAGACACACGCAGTCAAGGCCTCTTTGAACGCCTCGCGCCGAGACTTCTCAAAGACTCGGTGGACCGCCCGATCATTAGCAGTGAAGGGTACTCGTTTCTCCTTTCGCAAACCGGTGGTGGCAGAAGCTGTACGGGCATCAGCGCTCGAAGGACCACCTTGAAGCATGGGCGCAGATAGCTTTCAAAACGTCAGAGAACTAGTTCAAACAGCTTGCTGCATTCCAAGCCTATCAGCCAGTATTTCGGTCGAGGATGCAATGGCCCTCAAGGGCATGTTTGGTCCAACGTTGGTTGTGATACTGGAGTAGCGAATAATCTTGATGGTTTCAGGGGCTGTCAGTGTTCACCTAAGATCCGGGGAAAGCCGCCATGATGCGGGGTAGTTGGATAGGAGCCTCCCAGCCTCTCGGCTATCTAAATAATATTGTATAGAGTAATAAAGATCCCACTTTTATACATACTTCTAGTGTCATTGCTTACTAAGTAACCAAACCCCCCTTTTCCAACCAAGCTTAGGCCTGCGATCTTGTGCCTTGTGGTAGCGGTATCCAGAATAAGGACCAGGGTCACGATAGGTGGCTGTTGGTCTGTATTCTGGAAGTTGCTTGATTGAAAGAAGGGATGGGTGGTGTCCCCATCCCAGAAGTAGCTATCATCCCAGTTGGGTACAAATCAGGTACAAACGGGTGCCCGTTGGCCTCCAAGGTACCTTGTATCCTGGTCCGTGACCCATCCGTCATTGTGGCTGGAAAATGGGTTGAGGAGCCACAATCATTCCCTCGGGCATGCGCTTTACAGAGCGAATTTCTCGAGCTGTTGAACCGATCAGGGTGTTAGATTACTTGGGCTGATAAAACACTTAAGCTGACCTATTTCTTGGGCTTACAAATGGCTCCGACTACAACTTCGGCCGAAGTTATATAGCTTTCGGTCCACCCCATGTGCCGGAACAGGAAATACTGCTCCTTTGGGCTTTGATGTGAGTGATTGTTCAGCATACTAGAGGGCCCACCTCTTCTCGATGATCCTTAGTAACCTGAAGCGTGTTGCGTTCTCCCATCGCATCAAAGATTGCCATGACGTGCTGTGGCATGATGAGGAATCAACTTGTAAGGTGTATGCCACTTCAAGTCAGGTTATACAAGGTTACATGTAGGACTGTGTCCAAGTACTCGGCTATATATAATGGTTAGATGGCTTTGTGTTGAACGGGACTCGTGCCTGGCTTCTTTCCTCTTCACAAGGTCCGATCAAGTACGAAACACTCCTAAGCAACTTATCCTTACTCGACTCAGCATCAAATCATGGCCGCCAAATCTCCCGTTGCCCTCATCATCGGCGCAGGTCCCAATATCGGCCAGTCCGTTGCCCGCATCTTTGCCTCCAAGGGTTACAAGGTCGGCCTTGCCGCCCGCTCACTGAAGGAGGCCGACAGCACCGACACACAGCTGAACATCCCGAGTGACTTCTCCAAGACCGACGATGTGGTCGACGCCTTTACCAAAGTGAAGAAGGCGTTCGGCATCCCCAGTGTCGTCATCTACAACGGTAAGCCTTCACCCCCCCCTTAACGGCGGCGTCGCCGGCCGACTGACGCGTCGCAGTCAGCGCCGTCCACTTCACCCCGGCCGACGACCCCTTCGCCATCTCCCTTGCCGACTTCAGTACGGACACGAACATCAACATCCACAGTGCCTTTGTGGCCGCGCAACAGGCCGTCTCGGGCTTCGCGCAGCTTCCGGCATCAGCCGCGCGCACCTTCATCTACACAGGCAACGTCCTAAACGTCGCAATCATCCCGCAGTTTCTCTCCGCGGGCGTGGGAAAGTCGGGCGCCGCTTACATGATCTGGCAGGCCTCGGCGGCGTACAAAGACCGTGGATACAAGTAAGCCCTCGCTCGATCCGCTTCCGGAATTCGCAGGTGGGGAGACTAACTACTTACGTGAAGATTCTATTACGCCGACGAACGCAAGCCGAATGGATCGCCCAAGTACAAAGTCGATGGCGACGCACATGCGGATCTGTACTGGGAGCTAACCCAAAGCGAGGCGCAAGGCCCTTGGATGCAGACATTCGTCAAGGGCGTGGGATACAAGAAGTTCGACACCCTGTACACGCCTCTCCCATGAGCGTCACTCGCGCCGACGGCCAATTCAATTCAGGTGTGCTATTGCTTGGTCTTTAATTAGCATACTGTGTCTGTGTCAGCGACAACATCTACTTCAAGCATACATGCGGAGATTTGTCGTGTTGGGTCGACGCAATATGAGGCTCCTTTGGACACAATGAACGAGTCAACTATTGCTTCCAGTATAGTAAACATATGAATCGACTCATGCTTTGTATTTGGTGCTCTAGCCAGATTTTTCCAAATGGATTTGTACTGCCCTGGCTACCATTGCCCTGACGTAGAATACCATACAGAACTAAGATGGCTATATCCAGATGTATAATCGAACTCTGTCGAATACCTGATAATTCGCGCAATGCATATACTCCTGACGGTGGGCAGCGCTCATAAAGCAGCAGCAGTTTTGGGTGAATTGATGATGTGTTAAAAAAAGAAGATGTAGCTACGCGTGAGGCTTCTTGTGAGATTTCAAACCGTTCTGGTATTGAAAAGAAAAGAGAAGAAGATCTCTGGGGGAGAAGCCCCCATATATATGTACAGGTGTGCCATCAGAGTGACCAGATCATCGTACGATAATGGTGCCAGAATCCTCTGACTGCCCTCAAACCAAACCCATTAGCGCATTCAGCCCCGAAGGCCTCGTCTGGACCTGCTATGATATCCAACACTTCTGGAGATCCATACGAGCCCCTATAGATGTGGCTGGTGGATGTGGTTTCCATCGCCGTGGCTCGCCAGGTGATATTGTTGAATGGACATTGGAATCAGCGTCCTTTCAAGCTCTTACGTCGAGACACATCACATCGAACGAAGGTAGCGGAGCTTGCTTACTTGTAGTCATTGCTGAGATACCCCGTCTCAGATGATGTAGCTCCTATGATGCCGACTGTCATGCACTGCATGTATTGGGAGCCGGCGGGACAGTTGCAGGGTGCTAGAGTGGTGTGGTGCCGAAGAAGACGATGAGCATGCTGGTAATTTTTCTCTATCTACAAGTTACACCCAGGGTCTGGGAATTAAAGTAGCAGGCCCCCAACACCTGACGGATATAGGCCGGGCCGGCTTTGCTAAAAAAGTGACTGCCAAAAAAAAAAAAAAAAAAAAAACCCCAATTGTTGCTTGAGGCTGACTTGAATTGCGGACTTGTCAGCAGACTCAATTTTGAACACTGAGAACGCCCTCAAGCAAAGAGCCTCGACGTGTGAGCAGGGCAAGGAAGTCGAAGTCCAGAAAGTCGATTGGCGCTCTCTCAATCAGCGACTCAAGTTGTTGCCACCAGACTACGTGATCTAGTTTACATACGAAGGGTGTTCATCGTCTAGACACGATAGAATAGTCATCTCAAAACATGTTGCAGCCGTCGTGTACCAAGTCAGCATGCCGTTAATATTCACCCAGGGTCCCGACCAACTCAATCAACGTTAATATAGGGGTCTTATAAAGTTAAGTTAACACTGTTAACCAACTGTTACGAACCAACAAACAGTGCGGCCTGATAACAGGCCCAGAGGAGACGATTGGAAACAGGTTGACCAGTGAGTGGGGTGCCGACCAGTGGAGAAATCGGAGCAACGGTACACAGATCACGTGACCAGCAGAACCTAGGTCACGTGACTAAGAATTTGGATCACTGGATCACCGGTGATCCAGGGTGAGCCAACTAATCAGTGAGGGAGAGATTGGATATATAAGGATAGATATTTCCTAGCTAGATAGATAGACAGTCTCTACCTCAGTGATTAATCTAAGCATCTTAGCCAACCTTAAGGTGGGAGAAATCTCCTTACGACTGGACTATTCAGTGATCCCCCGGATCAGACCAAGCCCAGCATCTGAGTGTCTTCTAGTTGACAGAAGCCACTATCGTCCTTTGTGTTGACTTACCTCAGAACATAAACCCTATAGAACCCTTTGGCCTTATAGGTTAGACGGCTCGTTACACCAACTAATGCCCATTAAGTAAATATATATTAATTAATAAAGGGTCTCCGTTAAGTTAATCAATAAAAGTAGGTTGACATAATATTATGGTAAATTTCTCGATCCCATAACAATTTCGATATGCTTCGAATTCTCTTGATATAGTCCCCGGGAATTTATATAGTTAATGTGAGATTCTAGAAGGGTCACAAGCCTTGGGGGTGTGAGCGATCGCTGCAAATGTTGTTGTCATTCTCAAGTATGCTCGGCAGGGCTAATCTACAGCTAAATACCATACTGCACCATGCCAGGGTGGATCCACTGTTCCCTTGACAGCCCCCTAGTGGGTATTGCACCTAAGGGCACCATATCTGGGATCCAACATCTGACAGTTAAAATGATTTTTAATATCAACCTATATATCAACGAGTTAATTAATATTAACCCACGAAGGCCTCGTTATTAAGTTCATTTTTAAGGTTATAAGGATCCCGTTAAGTTAAGTTGGTATAGATATTAATGTCAACTTCACTTAACCGTTGATATCCGTTGAGTTGTTCAGGACCTTGTGTTCACCTCAGCTAACCATGAGCTATCATCTCGTCCCCAGATTCCACGGAGCGGGAAAAGGCGGGCTGCCTCCGCATCGCTAAGGCGCTAGCTTCCGTCCCAAGGTGGGTATGAGTTGCCCGCTTCCGGGAAAGCCAAGTACGCGAAAGAGGAAAACGTCACCCGAAGAGAGATAGCCAAGGGCCCAATGCGCTGGATACGAAGGACGGTCCCAGGACACTATACAGCAGTAGTCTATCAAATGAGGTCGAGTCGCGCTGCCAAGTCAGACGGTCATATTAAATATACGTTTCGGTTACATCTCAACCCAGCTTGTTGGGGGGCTGTGCGAGCAAGAAGCGCTTCGCCCGGTGAGGCGCAAACCAGACGCTCGATCCAAGAGTCGTCGTGCATTGCAGTGCCACGCCTAAGAAGGTAAGATTGAGCTTGATGCCGCAGTTGCGTCACTTACATTCTATGTCGAAGTGCATGTTTTCCATGATGATCCAGACCCTGGCCAGCACCCGTTCCTATAATGCTGTCATACGGATAATATGCCCTCAAGAAGTGTGGCTATTAAAATCCTTATAATCATATATACTATTAAGGTATGTGGTTACAGAGTGAGTGAAGCAGTTAATTAAGTATTAAATAAAAAAGGGGGAGTAAAATACAGTTAGAACCTAAGGCCTTTTTAAATATAAGCATTTTATAAACCTTATATATACTTTTATAAATATCGTACAACCTTTTTTTCGGGCTAATATTGCCGATTAGCTTAAATGCCTTTAATAAAGCTATCATTTTTAAAAACAGGTTGTTTTTAACTTATTAAAAAGCTACCGTAAAGTATATAAACAAGTAACAATAAAATAATAGTAATAATATAACTATAAGTGGTTTATACATAATGATAATAAAAAATATGAGCGTTAATAATTATAAATAAGTAATAAGTCAAAATAGCTAGAAATTTACTTATGTGCTATATTTAAAAAATCTTTGTAAGTAAAAGTTAAGGCTTTTTCTTTATGTAATACTTTTAATCAATATTTCTTTATACCCTTTTTAAACTTGTTTAAATATGGGTTTTTTTTGCATATGGTGTTTTCTTCTTCGTATATTATATATCTTCCTACCCGATATATAAGTTTTATATTTGTAACTAACACTGTTTGTAAAAACTTTATAAAAACTATAATTGTAATTGTTATTTCTCATTTTCATATCATTTTTAAATTATATCCGGATATTTTCTATTTATTCTTATATCATACCCAGTATAATAGCGTTTTATAGTTATAACCTTTACATTTTTAAATAATAAAGCCGGTTTTTTAAGAAACTTTAAACCCCTATTATTATATAAGCTTATTTAAAATAAATTCCAGATTAAATTTATTTTATCAACCGTTAATAGTTAATATCGCAACTACCTTTATATATTATATATATATATATACATATATATATATTTATATAGATTACGACGTATAATATTAACATAATATAAGTACGTACTGGTTTTCTTTTGTATTTTTATATCATTCTTTTATAGCGTTAAAAGTTAAGCGGTAAAAGTGTTTAAACATAGTTATTGTTCAAGGCGTTGTTATCGAAATATATATATATATTAAATTTAATACAATCTCGTTGTAACGGAACAGCTGGCAGCTCAGGACGAAGATGCCCATCTATTACTCCAGATGAATAAGAATCTACTGGTGAGGAGGGAAGAAGGATCAGAACCACCAGCCAATTCTGGTGGGGGATTAGATCTTCAATCCCGCTCCACAATTATCTATAGTGAGTGCAGCGGGGCAACGCGTCCACCCCACCAGATCACCTGATGAGCGCACGTACCACCGTGAATGGATGGATGGATGTCAGATCCATCACACTCGTAATTAGCCTAAATAAGTTCCCGATTTTATCTACGTTAAAGCTATCAAACTTCGGTGTGCGGAATACTGTTCATTCGTTCGTGAATTATCTAAGTGTTCCACTGCTACCTGAGGTGATTGTATTTGTATACAAATAGACACCTAGCGCGTCCCACTCGCGTAGCGGCTGAGCAGTGAGGCAACGGTCGCTATTCGACCGTTCCTATAGAGCTCGGACCACCCTGATCCCTTACTCACAGACCACCTCCATCACACACCCTGAGCCATCATTTGACAAAAGCTAATAAACTTTAAAACGCTATTAAGCCCTTTTTAATTTAAATATAAAAAGTAAACTTTAATATAGTATCTTTTTTATTTGATCCATACTCGATTTATATATAGATTTAACCCGTATATAAATCGACGTTTAATATGCGTAATTAATTTTAACTTGATAAATTATATTATTTATAAACGGTTTATTAGTTTTCATACTGCAGTTAGTAATATTACAGAGGATATTAAATATTGTTTATTCATTATCTAGTTAATATTAAAGGGTTTAAAGGAGATTTTATTTTGATTAACTTAAAGTAACTTTATAAATAATAAAATAAGTGCGATTTTTATCCGTATTATATTTTTCAATAACACGTTTTATAATAAGGCCGATTTTGTATCGTAACTTTTCGTATTGTATTTTAAATAGTACCGTTATTTTATAACTATAACTAAAAGAACAATATTATTTCAACTATCTAACGAGTTATTGTCACGGCAAGCGTACTGAGGAGCTGGGACATGGCCGGCAGCAAGCAGCTATTACTCTATTAACGAGAATATCAAGACTAGAGATGAAAGGAAGAGAGAGAGAGATAGGTACAGTGGGAGGTTGCCCCTTTAAGGGGATCCTCTGGTCAGATCCTTTCCCTATTAGGAAGTATCCACTTGTCATGTGGGAAGGTCTGTGCAGGCCGTCACAGTTATTGACGGTAATAATTTATATTTAAAATTAGCTTATAAACGATATTAGCTGTAATTTAGCCTTTTACTTTTTAGATATTATTCGAACATTTTTATAATTCTTTAAATATAATTAATATTAGCTTTGTAATTTTAATAATTTCGGTTAACAAGTGTTTTTATAGTTCTTATATATTTCCTTTTAACGAAAATTCTTTTTATCAAATAAAGTATTAGCGCTAGTTACGCGTGTTTGAATAATTAACGATATAATTGATTATTTATAACTTTTTCGTTTTAATATCGAGCTGTAACCGCTTTAATAAATCTAGGTCTTTTTAATTGTGTTATTTTTGAAGAAGCGAAATAAAAATACATTATATATTTATAGTTATATAGCGGTAATAGGTCGATTTTGCATGTAGGTTCGAAGTTATGAATTTTTGTAATTTAAAAAAGCTTGGTTTATATATTTAATAACTTATGACTTAGCTATTAATTTAATATATTTCGTGCTTATTTTAATCTATTTAATTTATTTTATACTATGTTAAAAACTTACTTTTACTATAATACTTTTTTTATAATTTACGTATTTTTAATAACTAAGTTGTTATAGCTTATATTTCGTCATATTAGTTACGTGGTTTTTTATTACGATATTATTTCTTAACTATTTAATAAGTCGTATCAAAAATAACGCGTTATTAAAAGCTATTAATTTAAACCTTAATAGACTTTTTATCGGTATTATTTTAGTAATAAGTTGTTATAAATTGTTATATACGAATTCAATGAGTTATAGTTTTAAAGCTATATCGGATTATTATAAGTCGTAAAAAATATAAAGGTAATATTTTATAATTTGGTTTTATTTTCTGTTTCATTATCCGTTTATAAGTAGTTGTGACGTTCCGTATATATGAATAGGATATAGAAGCCCTTGTTTACTATGTACTGTTTTGGGGCAGGGTTGATGTCATGTACAGCTAGGTTTGTGGCATATAAAGGCCACCGTTCATTTTTTATTGTTTTCTTTTGTCTTCCTGGACAGTCACTCCTCTCTCATAACACATATAATTGAGCGATCAGTTCAGACACACGTCGTGTTATCTCTATGTGATACACCCTTCAAATTCACTGCGTGGCTTTGCCAATGGCTCTTCCTCCCCCTTCTTATATCCATTATACAAGCAGCCCTATTGTGGGTGTTGTTGCTGTCCCCGACTCAGTACGTATAACTATCTCTGGCTGAAAGGAAAAAGAAGATCAGGCGGCACAGCCAAATCTGGTGGGCAACTAGATAAGTGTGTCCGCCCCACAATTCATAGCCCTAGTGGGTCTAGGACAACCAGCCGTCCAGGAGGTCACGTGCTATCGCGTGATCCCAGGAACATCACCGATGGTAGCGACGTAGCAACCATCACAATATCAAGCATTTTACGTTGAATATTATTCAAAATATTTTATAAAGCGATAGAATTTTAATTAAATTAAACTTTACGTATTTAAAGATTTTAAGTCGTAATTGTGACGGCCTGCACAGACCTTCCCACATGACAAGCCGATACTTCCCAATAAGGGAAGGATCTGACCAGAGGATCCCCTTAAAGGGGCAACCTCCCGCTGTACCTATCTCTCTTTCTTCCTTTCCTTTCTAGTCTTTATATTCTCGTCAATAGAGTAATAGCTGCTTGCTGCAGGCCATGTCCCAGCTCCCCAGTATGCTCGCCGTGACAAATGTCGCCGATTAGCTCAAGGGCCCCTAACATATATATACAAAGTCTAGTTAAGGCGGTCATTACTAATTAGAAATACGAGGCAAGTCACCTGAATCCTATACGAGCGAGGATTGGTCTCTGATCTCAATTGGGAGATGAATATTCATCACGGCCCGCAGCGCATCACTGCATCAGGAGTCACTTATCTGCATCGGTTACAATTGGTTCTGGTATGTGGAATGTATAAACGTCTAAGTTCGATTGACTATTGAGAGACCGAAATGCATTGGTAAGGTCAGGCTGCCAGATGTGTCATCGGATTGTAGAAGACTGTAAGTAGCTGTGGTCGGTATCCGAGCCGTGTTGACTTGCGTGTTGCCGGGAATGACATTACATCACGGAGCAAGATCCCCAGTGAATGCGTCCACCGTCTCTTTGCAAGTCCCAATTGTCTGAGTTCATTATGAAGTTGTATAAAAAGTGTGAGAGTTGTATTTTCGTATGGTTGCGTAGGTTATAGAGGATGTGAAGCGTTCTCGATTCAAGGGAGCCGTTCTGTTTATAGCTTCAACGAACTTGAAAGACTCTTTATTCTGTGAGTTCCGGGTTTCTTTCTGACTTCGTAGGGTACTACGAAGTTACCTACAGAGCCATCGTGGATAGCCTTTGTTTGTTTTTTCAGGCATTCTTTTTGATATGCAAGAGCACAAGGGCGCATGGTCCTCCGTGACCTTGCCAAGAAAACAATGTGCTCCTAATGCCGAGCGTCTTGGGTTGAAAATCCCGATGCCGAGATCAATCAAAGAAGTCTCATGGGGCAGTCACCGACTTTATAGATTCAAGGTATTGTGGCTCAGCGACACTTACTGCCCGTGGACTGTGGCGCCCTTTTCAGCACTAGAGGACCCTAACCTTGCCCCTGGTTTTCCTCCACATGCTGCCCGCGTGGGGGTGCTAGCGCCTCTCTTTCCAAGTTGGGCGTTGGACGCGACATTCTACAATGCCATTTTTCAGGAATCCGGACGCAGACTGAACCTTATCGACAGAATCTGAGCGAAAGCTACATCCCTTGGGATATTGAGAGATAAGCTCCCCGATGATCCTAGATCACGGCTGACCGCAAACTGCAGCATATCTCATTCTTCGGGTCCCGACTCCGGTTCCAATGAGACCTCTTGCTTCCATCAAGATGTCAGGCACGTAGTCGTACTCGGCATTTGATGTGAAGTTCCAGCGAATGAATACCCCTGATTGGAGTCGTTTGATGCAGAGCTCGGCAGCGGTCAACGCCGAAGATCGGGAAGGTTTCCGACTCCCTGTCGGACAGGGTGGCCGGGAACTAGACCGAACCTCGCAGAACTCGACCTGCTTTCTTGGGTAAAACAGACTGGAGGGAAGGTTGAATCGCATACATTCATTCAATCGAGCCCATCTCAGAGAAAGTGAAGTAACTTGTTGTGAAGCTGTAGCTTCAAGACGTCGGGCGGCTAGGACGAAGACGAATCGCGTCAGCGACAAAGACCTACCGAGTAGGTTTGCAGGCGACTCGAGCGACATCGGATTTCCCCAGTAAGATGCGCAATACCAGCATCCACCAAAGTCATGACGCCAACACAGTCACTGGTCATCACGAAAGAACTGATGATGGTGAGGACGATTATGAGCAAACAGGGACCACAGCAGGTATGAGGGAAAAGAAGGACCAGCCTGATGCGCCGGCCTCTATACTCAACGAGGCCGAAGATCACCATCCGGCCCAACCTGTCATGAGCCAAGCCGCTGCCGAGACCGATGGCCAGGACGGACCTCAGCCTCTACCACCCACGGATACCGCCCAGCGGGATGCGAAAGAGCGCGGTATCTTGGCAAGGGCCTTGAGTGCTTTGAACTGGATGCCACCATGGTGTCGCTACGAGCCGCAGAATCCTCCTAAGTTCACGCTCGGAATGAACATTCTATTCGGTTTCGTATGGTCTGCATGACTCGTATCCCCTGGGGCCAGACACTGACTAAATATAGAGCGGCACATTCACCGTTGCGAATCTGTACTATCCTCAACCCATTCTCAATATCATAGCCGAGGACTTCAACGTCAGCTATGAGCGCTCCTCGAGTATCGCGGCTCTGTCTCAGGCCGGCTATGCTGTTGGACTCCTCCTTCTGTGCCCGCTTGCAGATATGGTCCCCAGGAGGCCCCTGATCTTGTTTCTCATTTGGGCCACTGCGACAATGGTAAGTCTCAGTACAATCAAGAAATCAGCAGTAGTCTAACATCTCCTAGTGGATTGGGCTATGCCTCACAAACAGTTTCGATGTCTTCATCAGCCTGTCGTTTTTGTGTGGTGTAGGGTAAGTGTTCATCTGCTTCCACATCCCGCTGACACTACTGCACTTTGCCTCCTCACTTGCAGCTGTACCGGGTACGTACCTACTGACTACTGAGCAGTACCGTTACTCCTCAGCTCATACTACCTCTCGTCGGCGATCTTGCTCCAACACACAGACGCGCAACATCGCTGTCCATTGTCGTCTCCGGGCTCACACTAGGCTTGCTCATCGCCAGGGTGCTGTCTGGCATAGTCGCCAATTACACGTCTTGGAGGAACATATACTGGGTAGCACTCGGCGCTCAATATGTCACATTCATCCTACTGCTGTTCAGCCTTCCCGATTACCCAACGAAGAACCAGGGTCTCAACTACTTCAAAGGCCTCTGGGAGATGGCAGTAATGGTTGTTGAAGAGCCCCTGCTCACACAAGCTTGCATCATGGGCTTCCTGCTGAGCGCGGCGTTCACGAACTTCTGGACTACGTTGACTTTCCTGCTGGCCTCGCCTCCCTACAACTATTCCTCCTTGGAGATCGGACTTTTCGCATTCATCGGCATCGCAGTCATCACGCTTGCGCCAGTATGGTCACGTTTGATCACCGACCGATTCGTGTTCCTGTTCTCTAGTGTGGTCGGCCTGGCGTTTGAACTCGTCGGCGACATCATCGGCACGTTCACTGGCACATTCACTGTGGCAGGGCCTGTGATCGAAGCCATCATGATGGATACTGGGTCAAACTTCACGCACACAGCTAACCGGAGTAACATCTACAACCTCGATGCGAAAGCGCGGAACCGAGTGAATACGGCCTACATGGTCTTCAGCTTCGCTGGACAGTTGACGGGCACAGCGGTCGGAAACCGTCTGTATGCTGAAGGTGGATGGGTATGGAGTGGAGGCTGCAGAATTGCATTCATTGGCGCCGCGATCCTTGTTGGGCTGGCCAGAGGTCCCAGAGAGACGGGATGGGTTGGCTGGCGAGGTGGGTGGAACATCAGGAAGGATGCCAGTCAAAGCAAAGAGACTACCTCAACGGAACGGACTGTTGAGGAAGCGTCGCCTCCGTCAGAGAAGCCGAATGAGACTGCGCCAAGCAGTGAGACCATAATAGACGTGCGAGGCGAGCCTCGTTGATCACCTGATAGATTTGTGGTTCCCAACCTGGTGGCCTGAGAACTTGAGAAGTGGCATCGATATAGTTATTAATTCAGTCTCTGCCTCAACCTTGAACCAAGTGATCAAGTTTCTTGCGAGAAAAGAAATGTTCTTGGCTAAACCATTTAAACCTTCCACTTCCTCAACTTTAACGCCACTAATCACCTAGCAGATATGACCTCCTCTCACAGGCTCTCATCCTGTACCATCTAGATTTCAGACTCCCAACCCAGAAAGGTGAGAGTTAGCACCAGAGTCTTTATTGATTGGGGCTTTGCCGCGACCGTATATAGACGAATGATCTATTTTTCGTGGTTGAATGCTGCCTGTTTTCCCTCAACCTCAACCTTGATGGCCACTACAACTCGGTTCGTGTGAGCTGCGCCAATGAGTCTCAATTTCTGTGGAATCTCAAAGTGTTCTGTGTTGTAAAATGAAAAGGAAAGCCGAAGGGGTACATTTCTACTTAATAACCGTGAAAGTGACCTCTGACGGCTATATAAGCCAGGTGATCCCACAGGATGACCAATATACCTGCTCAGGCTAGATACGCCACTGAGCACGTATTCTGACAGTTTCGTGCAATCGTCTACCCTTGTGTATGCCCAGAAGAAACAGAAACCTACTTCCTGCGAGGCGCAGTGTCATAACCCAAGACCGGACGCAACGGAACGCCGCTGGCCGTCCCCAAGCCACGCAGTCTTGGTGTAGTATATTTCGAAAATCTTGAACCACGAGGTTGCTAGCTGTGTCTTCCCTCTAGGTTTGTGCTGGACTACTGCTGTCCACCTTCGGTCCGCCGCCTGAGCTCCATCACTGGGTATGGGTCTAATGGTGTGCGGTACGTGGCGTTATATTCCCGAATAGCAAACTTCAACTGAATAAGGTTGCCTCGAAACTAACACTCTCACAATGTGCCACCTTTTCCCGAAAGCCCACGTGCGCGATATGTTTCTGAGTGCAATTTGATCCTTTGCCCACCTTCCTAGGTATACAAAACTTCCCCTCTTCCTTTCAATATCTGGATGATCACAACTGCTCTCACTACCACCCAACACCAGCACCAACATCACCAACGCCACCGCGACCGTGACAAAGCGCACAAACCAACCCCTCCCAGTGCCGGAGCAGCCGACCGAATGCGGAGCCAAGCACTTCCTCGCATCCACCGGCTCGTGTTCTCCCATCCCCGCCGAGAAACCAAGTCACGCTTGGCGGCCGGAGACCGACGTCTACAGAAGACTGCAACGCCGGGGAAAGCCCAGCTCGATATGGCGGAAAGTCACGCGTCAATTCAACTACTGGATTCTCGACAGCGGCAACAGGAGTCTGCGCAGTCTTAAACTCGACCAAACAGACGTCCGGCACCTGCACCAGATGTTTCTTCTGATCGGTCAGGACCGGCTTATGACCGTGCGGCAAAGAGTTCCGGTTCACGCGGGGACAGCTCTGCGATTAGCCGTCGACATGTACGTTGACACCGATAACGAGCAGCTGATGCTGGACGCGATGGAGTCGCTGAGGCTACATCTAGAATGTATTCTGTGCGAAGACTATTTCCTACCACGCGCGCCACCGCACGTCTCCCTAGGCATCGGCAGCATCGTGCTGCAGATGATACGCTTTATGGAAACCCGCAGGATGGACGTTCACGGCGGCTCCAATAGCGTGAGAACCCCCGACATCGAGCAGTTGCAGGCGACGGCTGCTGGTTCTGAGAGACCAGGAACCACATGCCGCAGACTCGGATTGCAAGTGTCCGACGTCTCTCTGATGCTCTACCGATACTGACCGAGCATCACGGCGGTATCTGCGGAAATCGGAGAGGAGTCCGTGCGAGCCACCCCGGGGTACGCGAGCTCCCTGGTAGAGCTCATCAGCGAGATACCAGTCCATGGAGTTGAGAGGCTGCAACGCAAGTTGTCGGTCGATATCATGGACATCATTACGGCTGTCGCGTCGTCCGAGGACCAAAAGTCTCATCTGATTCGGACCGCGATGAGGTTCGCCGAGGTATACGGGATAGACGTGTATTGCCCCGAGGCATACACGCCTTCATCCTCGGTTGTCGCTGTCCGCGACCCGCCCAAATTGGAGGATTTTCGAAATATTGTCCTCCCAGACGACTATGATTCAGGTTGGTTTCTCCGTCTGTCGGCCATCATAGGCTTAGCTGTCTTCCTGGTGTTAGTGGTAGTGGAAGACGTGATGAAGTCTGGAGCCTAATCTACTGTACGGGGGACGGAAAGTAAGCCTGGCTGATGATATCCCTCAGCTGTGGTATCTTCCGGCTCGGGGGAAAGTAGAGAAGGAGAAGAATACAAAGGGGGCAGCAGTCTAGTAATTTATTGCCTCGATCTCTCTGACGCTCAAGACTTTGAGCCTGCATATCACCCCACGCGAGGTCTGCGTACGGCATGTTTATTGACAAATGTCTTGACCGCTTGACCTTCCTGATCGGGACAACTCCTGCTGCCATTTTTCCAAAGTGAACAAGGAGATAAGTGACAACGCGATCGTGACTGCCGTCGACGGTGTTAAACAATATCATAGGGGCGGGATGCGCGCGATAGGCACGTCAAAAATCATGCAGCATGCAGGTGTTTGTGTCACAGCTTCCGAAAATGTATGACGCTGAACCAAGAGATGCGGCATTGCGACCTGTCCCTGCCAAGCTATTAAGCATGATGATCGTCCTATACTAGCCATTTCCCTTATCGCAACCTGCCGCCGACTTGCCGCATCGGGGAGGTGGTCCCCTTCTAGAAGCATTTCTTAACGAGATCCGGGACCCGGACACGAGAGCAAGTATTATATTGATATACTATTTATATACTATGTATATACTATGGATAAGTAGAGCTCCGCCGCCCTTCTTACGAGGGTGCCTTGGTTCACTACTCTTCGGAGCGATCCCCTCTCGCCTTCCTGGACTCAGTCACGCATCGGTATCACTGCAGACGCGTCAGTGAAGATGTGGTCGCTGAACTACAGAGTCCTTGCCAGCGCCCTCTGGCTCGCAGCCACGACAAAGGCAACCTCCGGCGGCCTGAGCGTCCACATCACCGTCGCGGAAGGTCTCCTGCAGAACAGAACAGATGGGCACGTCTTGGTCCTGTTCGCTCCCGCCGAAGTAGACCCCCTCGACGACACCGACGTCGAGTCCTCACCCGACCAATTTCTCGGCAAGAACGTCTACCAGTTCGGCGGCGGCGACACGGTCACGGTACGGGACAGCGACAACGTCCAACCGAGGACGGGCGTCTCGGGTTTCCCCGACGCGAGCATTACGGGGGTGACGGCGGGTTCGTACCGGGTGCAGGCGTTCCTCAATGTGTACGAGACCGTCACGCGAAGCGACGGCTCGACGGTCAGCGTCCGGTTCCCGTGCGGTGACGGCATGGAGCCGGTGAATGGACCCGGCAGCCTGACGACACAAGCAATCGATGTCGAAGTCAGCCAGGGTTCCGAGACGATTGAGCTCACCTTCGACAGCGTGACGACTGTTGACGACTTCGAGGGATCCGAGATCGGCGGCTGCTCCCAGGGCAACTATGCCGACACGGAGATGCTCAAGTATGTCAAGATCCGAAGCGACGTCTTGAGCGAGTTTTGGAACCGCGATATGTACGTGGGCGCAACCGTCCTGCTACCCTCTGGATACGATGCGAGCGACGCGATAACCCGCTACCCGGTCATATACCATCAGGACCACTGGTCGGGAGGCTCCGGCGCATATGGGTACTCTAGAGACGAGGAGTTCAAGGCCGCTTGGGACAGTGGTATCCTCCCAAACACGACTGACCAGCCAACGCCCAAGCTCATTCTCGTCACGTTTAGACACGAGTCGCCGTTCTACGATGACTCGTATGCTGTCAACACGGCAAATATCGGTCCCTACGGCGACGCCATCAACGACGAGTTGATCCCGTATATTGACGGGAGATTCAACACCATAGCGCAGGCGTACGCCCGCATCCAAGACGGAGGGTCGACAGGGGGCTGGGAGTCGGCGGCTAACCTCGTCTTCAGACCCGATCTCTTCGGCGCGTGCTTCTCCTCGTACCCGGACTCGCTAGACTTCCACCACCACCAGGACATCCCGCTGTACACCGCAAAAAACGCGTACACGCGCGACGACGGCAGCAAGATCACGTCGATCCGCGAGGTCGTCAACGGCACCCTGACCGACGTGGTCTCGGTCGAGCAGGAGAACCACTGGGAGCTGACGTTCGGCACGTCGTCGCGCTCTGCGCTGCAGTGGGACGTCTGGAACGCCGTCTTCGGCGTGCAGGGCCTGAACAACTACCCGCTGGAGCCGTGGGACAAGGTCACCGGCGAGATCTTCCCCGACGCCGTCGAGTACTGGAAGGCCTTCGACCTAACCGACTACATCATCAGTAACTGGGACAGCGGGCAGCGCAACCTGGGCGAGGCGCTCCGCGGGCGCATGTTCGTCTATGTCGGTTCCTGGGACAACTATTTCTTGAACGAGGGCGTCGAGGCGTTCCGGGACAGGGTCTCCGCGAGGGGCGGGCCGGACTGGGCGAACGTCACGGTCTTGGAGGGCGAGCAGCACGGCGGGAATTACCGTCGCTTGGATACGTGGGATTATTTCCAGCTTGTTGCTGGGTGGATCGAGGACCATTCGCCCAAAGGCAAGATGCCGCTGTCGAAGGAGGCGACGGCGCCATCGACTCGCGGCAATACATGGAAAGAGGTCATCGCTCGGGGTGGACACGGGGCTGCGCTGGCGCGCCAGGCGCACCCGGTCATCAAGAAGAACGGGCACGGCAGGACGGTCGAGGCGAGTGTCGGCCGGTGGGATCCGGGGCTTGCTCTGGAGGCTCAGTGGCTAGTGGACGGCCGGCCGAGTGGCAAGCCGTTCAAGGTGCAGCAGGGCACGAGCCTGGACTACATGCCGTGTAGGAAGCGCCCCGTCGAGCTGGAGGTTACGGGACGCAAGCGTGGCTATGTCGATGAGACGAGGAAGAGTAATGCAGTGAGGTTGTAATGAGGTAGGATATGTATTAAAGAATTCGAACATTGTTGACTTGTTCTGTTACACCTGGTTTGTGACTTTCCGATGACTGCTGCTGCTGTAAGAAAGACAATAGATTGTGGCTAGATGACTAGCATTCTCCTGAATGCCATCATTGGACCTTGCCGAAACAGATGAATGCATATACGAAGTGCGCTACGTTCCTGTTGCCCGCTGCCGGTCAGAGGGCTCCCATGGTATCTGCGGGTTCGATTAAGTCAAGACAACGCCAGACTTTGGTCCTCGACCAAGGAGCAGTAGTGAAGCTTGCTCACATCCAGAGGTCGGTGCCCCTTTGAGAGGCGGCGGTGCCTCTCTGTCAGGGATTCTAAATCAAAAGACTCGAGTTCAAATACTCAAAATGCCGTCAGGGTGTCAGTAGGGCCAGACACCCGAAATCGTTGCTCACATACACCATCCATCTTTTTGGCCATCGGTATCTAGTAGTGCGTTCTATCAATCTATCCCTGCACTTGAAGATCAGATTCCTCTAACTCTACTCGATCATCATGAGTTACTCCCTTTCTTCTTCACTAGCTGTCTGTTCCAGCAACGAGGGCGTCTCCGTCTCCGTGTCGGAATCCTCAGCATCGATTCGCTTGCTGTTGGTTGGTGGTAAACGTGCCAGAAACAGAACGACAAACCCCACGACAGCAAAGGCCTTTAAAATGTCAGGGGGAACCCCTCTCAGTCTGATGTGAGGTAGGTGTCTGCTTACCGCGTTGCAGAAAAACGTCAACCGTGGTTGACCAGCTTCGGAGAATGCCGCAAAGATCAGGCCAAAGAGGCCTTGCGTCAACAACGTAGCCATGCTTTCGACGAGTGTGATGGCGCTGATTGCGTCTGTTCTTTGCTTCGGCGGACACATCTCCGTCATAACTCCTTTAGCTGCAGGCGCTGACCCAGATGCGAATGGCAGTACAAAGCCGGCTATGACATGTCAGTACTGTGTAACGGAAACATTGAAAACAGAGATCTTACCCATATACACTTGCCATCCACTCGAAGAGAACCCGGCGAAGAATGTGACGAGCGAATCGATGACAAGACTCCACCTCACAAAGAAGAGATCAAAGCCAGTTCCAGAGTCCTCTTCATCTGCGTCCGGGACGAGCTCTGGCTCTTGAGGTACTTCTCCGCCCTCAGCAGCCGCGAAGTCTTCTGGGTTTGTCGGCACGCGGCCCTCGTGCGTGTTTGTCGATGCATCCTCCGATGTCGCTGCTCGATTGAACCAGTTCCGTCCGACGGTGATGATATTGGGGAACATGAATAACAGGAACAGGCCACGAATCAATGAGATCCCGAACATGAGGTATCCGTTCTCCGTGGTCCCAAAGTTGAACTTTGAAGTAGCATACATCTGAAGAAGGATGGGTGCGTAGCCGGTAGCAAACTGGTCCTGATGTTAGCCGAGTTCAGGGGGTTGTTGAGTGGGCCAGTGACTTACCACTCCAAGGAAGAGACCCAGAGCAAGGAAGATTAAGCCGTAGTTCTTTATGACGTTACCGGATTCCAGCCGGTACCTGTGAGGCACGATCACCTTGAGCGGCGCGAAGAAACCACTGATGCCTCGACTGCCCTGCTTCTGATCTTTCGCATCGTCTGCTGTCTTGTTTGGCATGAACAGCGCTCCGTAAATAGTAGAGGCCACGTAAAGGAAGAAGGCCGCCTCGAAGGGACGTCGTATACCGTAAATATCGCCAAGAATACCGCCAACTATATAGCGTGAGTCAGATCCTTCGATTACATACTTGCTGGAGCACTTACGAAGGAACCCAAAGGCTGTACCGAGCATGATGGAGCCCTGCAGTCGACCAAACACGGCGGTACGATCCTTGGCAGCGACGACTTCACTGACTGCCGTGTTCAATACCAATCTATTCCGTGTCAACCCTCTACTTCGGATTTGGCGGAGATGGCGATAAGAACATACTGATAACCGCGAGGACCTCCAATCATGCCAATGCACTGACACGCCTGGAAGATGATTTCACCCGACCTGCCCCCGACGGTGACGCCCAAGACCTGGGTTGAAACTCTCACACCCAACAATGCGGTCTGCGACACGAACGCCCATCTCGGACCCCAGACCTTGATGAAGTAGCCGCAGATGAACAGGTTAATAATTCCGCTGAAAGACGTCGTCATGCTCAAAATTGACACCTGAGTAGCAGTCCCGGCATTAATCTCCCGGCGATGACAGCGGTCGCCCGAGCCTTCGAATGGGGGGTTGTGGCTGTAGAACACGTCACATTCCATGAGTCGGAAGACGTAGATGATACTGGGTTCGTCGTCAGCCGCAAAGAACGTTTCACTCGTGCTGCATGTAACTCAGTGGGCGCTTACGGAACTTGAGTTACCCCCAAAGTGAACGCCATCAAGAAGCCGGCGAGCAATATCCGGTTCGCGGGGCCGAATATCGTCTTTGCGGCCTTGGTGGCTTTGGCGTCCTTCGGGGCCCCATCGCCGATCAACGGCGTCGTCTCGTCTGCGGCCATTGTCGTTTGTTAGGGCGGCCTTAATGAGGTTGAAGTTGAACGGGGGACTGTCGACTGTGATGAGATCTCGGAAAGGTCCCAGCAAAGAATACGCAAACGCTGATATGAGACCGAATGTATGTCTCGGCAAATAATACTTAGTCGCTAATATGAGACCTTCTCTATCGATGGAAAGTTGACCGATCTTAGGAGCACGAGCACGTCGGCAACACTCCGACAGTTCCCGATCACCGATGGTCCTCCGGGTGGAGAGCTCCATACTTATCCCACGGCACTGCCCCTGTCAGTGTCAGTCTTGCGTCACAGCGAACAGAAGTAGTTCACTGATCTCAATGTCGGACAATTCAGCATAAGAGCATTGGAAACCGCACTGCTAATGACTCCAGGCGTAGGTGTTTCCGCATTGAACGGCTAACTCTATGTACACCTCAAGGACGATGACTGGCCGGCTTCGGTACCCGAGAGGTCGGCAGCAGCATTCAGTCACTTACAGCAGTGCTTCTCCAGACACGGTGTGCAACCAAAGCCGGAGGAAGGAAGGTTCCCTGGCTTCTTGATGGCCAAAATGAACTGGCTCCCTCCTAAGTGGTAGACGTCTCTTATAGCTAGCGTCACGTCACCGAGTCGGATTGAGCCGAGGAGCGTGCATCGGACTTGCCACGTTCAAGGAACATCTCGCAAGAACCGCCCTGGACTCTCACCCTGACGAATCGATCCTCCATGTCCTGTTGTCTGAGCTTTTTGAGAGCATCCTCGAAACATGCAAGGCGAGGGACGATACTCCGATTCAGTGTGAGCTCCGTGGCAAGCACGGAACCCAAGCCACTGTCCATGTACTGGTGGTAAACACCAGCTATGAGCTGCATGTTGTTGAGGTATATCTCGGGACAATCCGCACACTGAGTGAATAAGGAAACGGCAGACACCATACCTTCTGCGGCTCGAAGGATTCCTCAAGGGCTGAGCTTAGAATCAACTTCTCGGTCGCATTCGTTGATCGTTGGAGCAGGGTGCGACAGGACAGGTGGAAGTCGAAGTAGGAGAAGCTCATCTCCCACGTCTCCGCGTTCAAGACCCCCAACAGTTTCTGGAGGCACTTGGCTCTTCTGCTGAGCGAAAGACCATCCTCAGCGCATGGAGCTTGTGGGCTTGTCGGGGCCGCACTCGAGGGCTCGTCGTCGGGCGGCAATTCTACGTTCCATTTCCCAGATCGAAGTATGTTCTCGATGCCCCCGAGGTGCCATTCTCGCCCTGGATTCAACTCGTCGGGAACCAAGCCACTCAGGATCAATCGTCCATAGCGTGCTTCGAATTGCGATGATACCGGCCCCAAACGCGTCAAAGACTTCCCCCTGTTGGGAAGAATGCGCGGTTGTCTCCGATTATCGGAGCATACGCCATGGCCGAAGCATCTGCTTAAACCGATCTCGTCGATCCGGAGGCTGGCCACCGTGGAAGACCTTGTCCTTGCCCTGTTGCAGGAGCATGAGTTCCATGTCTTTCCACGAGGTGTGCAGAAGCTTCTCTGTTCGGAGTGCATTATAGAGGTGGGCGGCTGGGACGACGATGCTGGAAAGGTCGATCAAGAGGATTCCCTGGCGGTGTTGTTCATGTCGCAGACACCAGAGCCAAGTCCCGCAGAGTATTGGGTTTGATCTGAATAGCTCAAACCTGCCCCCCGTACTGCTAATATTCTCTGGCTTCCTCGCTTCCTTTGTGAGCCTGTCTTCGATTAGCATGTCGAGTCTGTCTTTCAACTGGACCAGGTCGGGTAGCAGCCGGAAAAGGAGCCGTGAGCCCTCAGATCGTCTAGTGTCTGCACAGCACTTTTGCTCAGGTACTTTGCATACGCCACCAGGTCGTTCCATGGCCGTTCAATCTCCTCGTCGGACCACTTGTGCAATCTGTGAAGGACAGTGGCAGCGAAGATCGACCACATAGGGATTTGTCGCGATACTAGCACATGGTGAACAGCAAACTCGTCGAGGGGTGAAAGGACAGACTCGGTTTCGCCAATCTGTGGCCGGACCATAGAGCTGTCCCTATTGCAGAGGAACATCCTGAACAACGAGCAGTCCACGTCTCTTTCCTGCGTCATTGCCTTCATGTCGAACTCCTCCAGGACCTCCCTCCGCCTCTCGGCCGACGCATAGGCCTTCTTTTTCTCAGCTTTACCGATCGGGGTGTCGAACAATGTGATGCCTACCTCGAGCAAGCAGGAAATCAGTTCACAATTGGATTCGAAAAAATGGGGTTCGCCAGCAGTGTATTGATCTGCCTTGTCGACATATCCATGCTGAGATTTGACGAGTCTGCCGTAAGCACTGACCATGGTCATGGGCCCCCCGTGCTGCTCTATCAATTCCGCAGACCTGGCTTCCAAGGTTCGAATAAGATCGATTGCGGTGTTAGTCGTCAACGAGACTGCTGCCAAATCCAGAACTCGATCCTGGTATCCTGCCCAGGCTCGCATGATGATATCCCACGAGACCTTGAGCTCTTCGATGAGCTCGATGAAGGCAGCGAAAGCGTCATAGAGGTCAAGCTCCACAATCTCTGCCTTCATCGAACCCTCAGCTGAATCTTTATCGTTTTGCGGCTGGAATACCTCGTGATCGTCCTCGAGTTCTCGACAATCACAGAATTGCAGGGATTCGAAGGTGTTCCGGGTCAGTTTGGCAAAAGATGGTCGTCCCGGCGGTATAGTAGACACGTCCTCCTTCGCCGAGACGAGCAGAGGCGAAAGAATCCGTCTCAGACTCTCCAGTGTTGAAATGAAACGGCGGTGCTTGGTGTCTGATATGAGAGAATCCGGCAGTCCTAGCGCTTGAATCAGGCTGCCGACTGATTCACGAAGCCTGATTGACTGTTCGAGGGCACGCATGACCGAGCTTGGAAGTTGTTTCGCCACATTAGACAGGAACTTCGCTCTCCGTACGAGTTGTTTGCAAGTTATGATGCCACATGCTGATGCTGGCGCGGGTGTTGTTGCTGTCCTTGGTTGCTCTTGGGGACTTGTGCTACCTATATGGGTGTAGAATAGTTAGCATTATATTTACGGCTGAAGCATGTCTTACACTGCTTGGGACGAAATCACTCCTATTCTGGGGATCACCTCCTCCAAGCCACTGGGACCACTGACCTTCGTCTTTTCTGACTGTTTTACACCTTGGTGGAAGTAAGCTTGCCGCCAGACGACTCGATGCAAGATGTGACCTACCTCCTCTCGAACCCATACGCTCGGGAAGTCGACACGACCCATTTGACGACATACCCCGTTTCTTCCTTGTAGGTGCGCACATCCCTCGCGAGTGCTGTCGGTTTGGCGGCCATGGCGAGCACCTGTCGCGGGGGCGAATCAGGAGAATGGTACCAGTGGGCAGCTCGACTGTACAGTGTAGGGGAGGCAGTAATTATCTGAGAAGTTGGTCCTCATTAGATTGAGCCAAGCGGGCCCATGGCAGACAGGAATATATACCATCCGCTCTTATGTTCAGTTCGGGGCCCATTTGTAGATGGTCTCTTTAACCCTGCGTCTTAGTCCAGGTGCGACGGCCTGTAGGACTGGGGCATTAGATTCCGCATGAAGGAAGTATCTCATGTAGGAAACAAGGAATTTTCCTTCCCATGCACATCATGACATTGTATGACAGCGTAAGGTAGATCTTTGAGGCACACCCCAAACATTCTACACACATCCACGGGTTGTAAAGGAGCAATCAGCCAGATTCCTTCACACTCTATTGACCAGCATTGAACTGAGGGCCTTTGAAGTAAACACTTGTTTGCTCCATTACGCGATCGCGGCAATTCCACGAGCTTTGACAGATGCCCCATGCTACATCTCTCTGCCTATTAAACAGCAATTAACGAATATCCATTTCAAAGAATTATAAGCCTAAAACACCTGATTGAAGCCATTGATACCACAGACGGGGCGTCTCTATTGAATTTCGCCATCAGGACAATGTGATTGCTGGCTTAGAAAAGGGGTAAGTTACGTGCAACAGTTTGTGCCCCCTCGAGAAACGGCATCAAGCAACTATATAAGGCCGGTCTCAGCTTGCCATCTCTTAGATAAGCAGGGGAGAGATCTTACAGCGATAATGATATCACAATCGAGGGATGTCAATGAATAGCCAATCATACTATTACAACTCCTCAAAACTCGCGTTGATACTGCTTGTTAGCACACAAGCCGGCTAAGTATGTCAAATCGCCAAAGCAGCGCCTGCGGACTACAAACGCGACCAAGTCCAGGATATCACGAGACATCAGACCTCAGTAGAGCGGCTTGATAGGTATCTAACCACCATTAAGCGACATGAAATACAAAGCTCTCGTATTGTCACGTACACGGATAGGGGACTGGTGGTGAATGAAAAGTGCAATTGCAGTACGGTAGTCTAGCTACAGGTTGGTGGAAGCATAGAAGGAAGGAACAACTAGTCGGGGGACCCAATGATACCCTTCTTTTGGTGTGGATTCCAGCCATCTGGAAGTACTCGCAGAGAGGTCTGATGTTCACTAGTAAAGGTGTATGTAATGGATGCAACACATTCAGCTGTCCAGGATGGTATTGCTAGCGGTTCCACGTGACTGTGACCTTTTGAAGACACGCAAAGCTCTGATCCATAATCATCTGCAATGGTGATAGACAGGGCTTTACAAGATGGGATATGGAGTCTTCTCCTTATGTATTAGCATGGCAATTGCGGGCATCATATACGCATACGGTAGCCATACCCCCCAGCATGTGGAACATGAATGGATAGATAGCAAGGCATCAAATGGTCTGCGATTGGTCATATAACACGGGTACAGTACCCCTCCCGGACCCGGCACATACATCTGACTGGGGTCTGTGAAGTGTGTGAGTGGGATGAGTAACCCAGAGCCTCAGAGGCGATGGGGTTTGAGGTAACAATCTTTTCTAACGACTCTGAGTTTTCTTGTGTCATTATACATCTTCTCATCGAAGTATATTTCAATCCTTGCCAGCCTGTCTTTGAACTGGCAATGCGAACTGAGAATGGACATACTCTCGTGCGCTGCCTTGGCAGTGATTGAGTCCGTAGCTCTTCGCGCATTGGTCTCGGACATCGATGTCGGGCCCCAAAGGATCGCTTTCATTGCGTTCGGTTTACAATATCTCGTCCTGAAATGGTATCGCCTATTTCTGTATCCGAAGTACTTCTCACCATGGCGACATCTTCCAACCCCTCCCGTAAGTCTCATGAACCGGCTTTGCTGTATCGTCGAGAGTGACTGACTGGGTATCAGGGAAACCAATTCATGTTAGGCCATGCTGGAAGAATATTCAAGGCCGATACTCCCGTGTCTCTGTTCGTCGAGTGGATGGAGAGCAACCCCGATGCTCCATTCATCCGCTATCTGTCGCTCGGCCACAGCGAGGTGCTCCTCGTGAACAGTCCCTCTGCGCACCGGGAGGTACTGCAGTCCAACTGCTACTCCTTCACCAAGACGGACCGTCTGCGAAAGATGATCAAGCAGTTCGCCGGCGAAAAGAGCCTGGCGCTGCTCGAGTTCGACGAGCATCGCCAACACCGTAAGATGCTCGCTGGTATCCTCTCACCAGCCAGCATCAAACAGCTCGCTCCAATCTTTACCGCAACAGTGAAAGAATTGCAGAATATGTTTGACGCAGCGATCGAATCCAACGATGGCAAGACGGGCGTCATCGACTGCACGTACACCTACTCCAAAGCCACGCTTGATGCAGTTGGCATCAGCATCTTTGGCGTGGATCTCGCCCAGACCCGGAATGCAGGTCTAGTCCGGCACGACAACGACAACTACAGCTTTACCGACGCCTACGAAGACATATTTGCTCCCAGTACTCTGGGCAAAGTCCTCTTTGCGCTGAACGCGTTCATTCCGATCCGCTGGTTGCCGCTCGAAGCGAACCAAAAGTTCATGTTTGCCAGCAGATGGCTGAACGAAACACTGGCCGGACTCGTACGCGAGAGACGGCAGAAGATTACCGGGGCTATCGCCGCTGGCAAGTACGACAAGCAATCTCGCGACTTGCTGTCGTTCCTGATCGAGGAGAGCCTGCCTGGCGGCACGGCCGCTGGCATTTCAGACAGGCACATCGCAGACCATGTAAATTTCCCTCCCGGTCGCCAAGGTATTTTCACAAGGTAGTTAGTTACTGACGATCCCATGAAGCTCCTCGTATTTTTGGGCGCTGGCCACGACTCCTCAGCCGACATGGCTTCTTGGAGCACTCATATCATGGCAACCCGCCATGACATCCAAGATCGCCTACGCGCTGAAGTTCTCGACCTAGTCTCACGCAATCCCGAGCCGAGTTCCGCAGACATCGAAGCTCTCCCGTACCTGAATAACTTCTACCGGGAATCACTCCGCGTGTACCCACCAGGTAAAGTCTTATGCGTCAACATCGACTTGGCTCCAAGAAACTGACGATTGTACGCTACAGGAATGACCATGCACCGCCAAGCAGCCACCGATCTGACAATCCAGGGGGTGTTCATCCCCAAGGGGTCCATCTTCGACCTCGCGCCGGCGGTCACGTCGATGAACCCACTGATCTGGGGCGACGACGCGCGCGAGGTCAACCCGGACCGCTGGGACGCGGCGACTATTACCAGCGAGCAGCTCGCCACGTGGTCGAACAACGTCTTCTCCAACGGCCCGCGCATCTGCCCCGGCAAGGGCTTTGCCCAGCTCGAGCTCAAGCTCATGCTGTTCCACATGGTGCTGCACTATCGCTTCTTGAGCGTGGAGGGGGAGTTCACGGTGGAGAATCCGGCTCTGACTTTGAGGCCGCATGGCTTGAGGGTTCGTATCGAGAAGATTTCCGGATAGAGAATCATCATGGACTGCGTCTTCCGCCCTGTGGATCCTCTAGCAGAGGGCCCCAGAGAGCCATCTATGCTCTGTATCTGGACCACAACCGACAGGGCTTTGGCTCGGCTGCAAAGTAATCTGTTCCTGGACGGGAAGGACCCCGTGATGTATAGCTTGCATCCCTGGTGTTTTTTGGGAGCGCCTGTTCTTAATAAAACCCGATCTCTTGATATATGACTTGAACACCTTTACACCATGTATTCTCGTCAGAATAAGGAGTTCGCAGAGCGTAATAAGTTGTCTTCGGCGTCCCTGACTTGAAAGCATCGCTCTTGCATGATTTGTCTTGTCTCCGGGATGCCATGAAGTGCTCAATCTCATGTTTCCGTTCTTCCCAGCGAGCCAAGGTCTTATAGACCAGGCCCACCCAGGGTTTCATTTTTCCACACTGTGAATGTTCTTTGCAGTTGATCAAACCCATCTTCGTTGCCTCACCCACCGGCCACCGCCAAGCGCTTCAACATCCTCATCGCCGGTGCGGGTCCCGCCGGCCTAGACGCCGCCATCGCACTCGACGAAAATGGCCCACGGTGACGGTGCTCGAGTCGGACTGGATCACCGTCTTTCATTGATACCGCTTTTCAGCAGTTGTAATTATGTCAGCAAGCAGCAAACTAATCATATCTTGATTGGTCTAGTGGTAAGGATACCCGCTTGTCATAGACAAGTTCAAAGCGCGGGTGGCCGGGGTTCGATTCCCCGATCGAGAGATATAGCTACGAATTAACTTTTTGCATGTTGGGTATATTTCTTCCTATTGCTTGCTTTTGGTAGCCGTGGTGGAAGAACTTTTTAGTTCCATTTTTGGTACACGATCCGTAATGCTGTTGATCGCACAGCCGCCCGCATCCAGCTATTGCCGACCTACACGGCGGATCATAAGCGCGTACCCGCGGTCTGGACGCCGAGCGGGCGCTGAGACTGGAGCCATGCATCTCTCTCGACGCCATCAAGCCCCAGCGCTATGCCACCGCACCAAGCGCTCGCTGAATCCATGGTCGACAAAGGTGCTCTCGCCGCGTCTGGTTGGCCCTAGGTTGCCAATACAAGCACATCGTCGTGGTCAACGTCGGTGGTCAATCATCTATTATGGATTCTCCTAACGATTTACCTAGTTGCACCAAGGTCTTCTCGTACACCCTCGCGACGTTCAGATGCAGTTCCTCCTCCTCCTCATCTACCTCGCTACGCTGATCATCATTATCATCGTCAGCGGCTACTGTCTGCTCCTCATCTTCCTGTCTAGTCGCGCCAGTGGTATTCGGAAGTGCCTCGTCGTCTGAATCGTCATCCAAAGCCCAATGGAACTGTCCGCCGTCCCCGCTGTTTAAGCCGCTGGCACTTGATCCGTTGACGGGCTCCGTGCTCTCGTCAGCGTGCGCCGCATCACCGAAGACCGGACCGGCGTCCTCGCCCTCCTCGACTTTGATCCGTTTCCTCTCTGCGTGCTCGTCCGGCAGGTCAGCAGCATCGGGCTTCCGTTTTGTAGAAGGTCGTGCGCCTCCCTTATCAATGCCTGAATCCGAGTCAATGTTGTAATCATCTTCGTCTTCCTCCATATCCTCCGTCTTGACCGTCTCGATCTCATTATTATGTGTCTGCGGCGGACCCATTCTCGCCTCAGTCCTCGGCTTCGCAGGCGGCGCATTCGCCGTCATGTTGTCCTCGTCTTCCTCCTCGTAGTCCTCAACGTCCGCCTCGCCACTCATAACCACCGCGACCAGCATGCGCGTCTCGTCGGCGAGGCTCTTGCACCGGACCATCTCGGTCTTTGAGAGCCCGGCGCTGAGACCGCGCTGCTGGAAGCCGGGCAGCGGAGTCCATGTCTTGACGTCGTGGCCGACCAGCAGGCTAGCGAAGCAGTGGTCCAGCTTCTTAAGGAGGGCGAACGTGGGACGCGGCGAGGGCGTGAAGGACGGGAGGTAGGTGTTGAATGCGAGCGCGACGTTGAGGAGGTACGGGATCTGGAGGCTGGCTTTGAAGTTGCGTGTTGTGGTTAGACTCGTGGTGTGTGAGCATTGCAGGACGGAGAGAGGTAACAACTCACGCGTTCCTGAGAACCACAGGACGTCAATGACCTCCTCTAGATCGCGACACACCTCGTCCATGCCCTTGTATCCGCTGACCAGATCCGCCGGGTCCGGTATACCATGCTTCTTGACATACCGTCGCGAGATGTGCAAGAGCCTCTGGGCGACATAGTCCCGCGCGTAGTCTTCCTTGCGGGAACCCGGGATCAGTGGCTTCGACCGCTGGTGCGGCAGACGAGCGGCCACGCGGCTGGATGCCGAGCTGGGCGCGGGCGAGGGGAGTGTCTGCGAGGGCGGGATGAAGCCGCCGGCATGGGCGTATGTTGTGCTTGTACTGGGCGTCTCAGCCATTTTCGATGGGGATTGTCAAGTGCGAAGCTAGAGCCCGGATTGATGGGTGCGCATACATTAGGCGTTAGGATGCTCTGAATACAGATGCAGGGCAGGAACAAGGGCTGGGACTGGATTCCTTCCATTGTCATCATGATGGCTCAGCCTTGTGACGCCATTGAAAGAGTCCAGCCACAGCAGCCACTCGACTCCGATAGCTGACAGGCACGCCATGTGTAGGTAGTGCCCCACCCGGTGTGGCACTAGCTCCCGCATATCCTTCAGCCTTCTTCCCGAACTTTTCCACCCCATTGATTCCATCATCAACGAGCTGCGTCCTCTAACCTCCCAACGAAATAAGAACTACACTACGCAGTACACACCACACACCACACAACACACGTCACAACAGATCGCCCAAATGCCGCCAAGGAGAGTCATGGTCGAGTCCTCCTCGTCGCGCTCGCGCGCTCCCAAGAGCTTCTTCTGGAACACCTACGAGACCCTCACATCGCCCGACAACGCCTCCGTCGTGCGCAGCGTCGCAGTCTTCGGTGTATGTTCTTCTTCTTCGTCGCCTCGGCGTATGCGCAATTACCCGTATCGAGATATATACTGACCGCATTGACAGGCTTCGGTGGCTTTCCTGGCCAGCCCCTGGGGCGATGTCCTCCTGCCGCCGTAAGATAACCAGCCCTCTACTTCGAACCCTGCTTGCTAGAGCATCCCTTAACATGTCGCATCAGGCTATAAACGTGCGATTAGAAATACGGAAGCGGCAACGAGCAAGCGAGTCGCGAGTGAGTATGGAATGTGACGAAAGAGTTGTATGATACGGTCATAGAACGTGTATCATAGACGCGAGGGTTCGCCTTGGATGGGACAACACACGGACAGGACTGCTGCAGTCTGGTCGCATCGGACCCATGATGGCGCATCACGAGAACCAAACCTACTTTTGCGCATTGTAATACGAATCACAAATACCCCAACCGCGCTCTTCCCACTGCGTCCCGTTCCACACTATCTATGTGTGTCTCTTCTGGGATTATGTGTTACCCGCTTGCCCAGCCGAGTCCTTAGATAGGCTACATCTGCGGTGAGATGAATCATCGCAAGAATGATCCTGGGTGCTAAACACACATATCAACTTGGCCTGCGAGGTTCTTTCAGAGTCTATTCGCTCCATGGGTTAATGTCAGAGGCCGTATTTGACTGTCCACAAAAATTAACCTAGAACGTACCTAACAACATCCGCACGACCCCTTATCCACACGACAAGAGAGCAGACCCCATTCGTCCGTGACATACATTTGGAGCGGCGCCGTTGTGTCCCAAGCCAGATTCCGTGTCTCTGGCAAGAACCATATGCAGGGAGTTCACCCAGCGACGACGATGTGCTTGTGTTGGCAATGGGACATGTGACGCAGATCAAGGGATCTGGGAGATGTTTGAAACAAAGCAGAGGGTGGTCGCGAGCTCCCAAGACCTCGACATAACACTGACTGAGCGTCGCATACAGTGTTCCTCGTGAATCTACCTCGACATGGTACTCGGTTAAGCGTCGCATACGATTTCCTTGTGACTTCACCAGACATGGATTCTAGCAAGCCAGACGTTGCGACATTTGCTCAAGTTCGTCCAATTCAACTACTCCTCTGGGCTGCTCACTGAACTTCTCCCTCCAACGCGCAAAGAAAAGTCTCCATCTCCAATTCATCTTTTTTATACTTTGCCTATTCCTCCAACACAAACCACCCCGCCGTCCGTCGCGTCATTCCACTCGCTCACTCGCGTTTCGATTGCCAGCTCTCACTGTTGGTCGATCCTTCTTTTATCTTCCTCTCTTTCTCGCAGCGCGCGTCCAATAGTCTGCTGCAGCATAACTGTGCCAGTCGATTCAGCAGGTTCGTTTCGTTCGTGGTTGCGTCCCTTGGTTCTGCAGTAGTCTACTCCTCTCACGTGCCACCCGCATGCAGGCATGTGGCAGTACTGGAGAGAAGACAACTTTGCTCTCGAGATTAGATCCCAAAGGGCGTTCGTCGTGCGTAAATGGGAGTTGTAGCCATGTGTATCATATGCGCCGTGAGTCGTGCTGAAGGAGTAAAAAAGATGGAAACCAGAAAAGAAGGCGTATGGTCGAGTCAAGTCGTCGAAGAACAAAGGTCGTCGTATCCATCTCCTCCTTTTCCAGAGAAACGTGAGGGTGTTGAGATGCTGGCACGTGGCCGAACGCCTTAAGTCGAAATAAAGTAGAATACGACAATAGCCTCGGGGTTCTAGAGGTGGGATCGGGGAACGTAATAATGACATGAAAATACTTGAGATGCTAAGATTCAGATGTCGGAAATGCAAGGAAATGTAATGTAGGAGTATCCAAGAAGAATTTTATGTTGTGAAGTATCAGGCGGTAGTGTGCGTTGAAGAGGACAGGGCTGGCTTCCCAAGCGAAAAAGTCGATCGCAGACATCCTACAGCAACACGCGTAAGATGCCAACCGGATTGACGGCAGGAGTCACAGCAGCCTCGTACCGGGTTTGAAGTCAGAGCGAGCCTCCGCCTTGGGGCAGTCCCACACTCTTATGCGACAGGGGGGATAGAGGCGATAGGGGCGATAGGGGCGATAGCTGCGGCAGCTGGCAGCTCGACCTCAGCAGGGATCTCGACGCTGGGAGCCGCCTTCTGGGGGCAATCCCGGGAGATGTGACCAGCCTCACCGCACTGGTAGCAGGTCTTGCCAGCAGTATTGAGAGGGCCGCCGTTGGGAGCGGTGCAGTCTCGCGATATGTGACCGAGCTTTCCGCAAGCGTAACACTTCATAGCCTGGGCCTGGCAGTCTCGAGCAAAGTGGTTCGGGCCACCGCACTTGTAGCAAGTAGCAGGCCGAGGGCCTCCAGCGAAGCCACCTCTTCCGAAGCCGCCGCCTCCGTATCCACCACGGCCGACAGGTGCTCCACGGCCCATACCAGCAGCAGCCGGGTTAGGGCAAGATCGGGCAAGGTGGCCGGGCTGTCCACAGTTATAGCACCGTCCGTTACCACCGCCGCCGCTCAGACGAAGGGTAGGGCAGTCAGCTTGGACGTGTCCCAGTCCCTGGCAGTGGTAGCACTGCTTAGCCTCAGTGGTACGAGGAAGAGGGCACTGGTTGGACTCGTGGCCTTTCCAGGATCGTATGTTAGTCAGGTCTGTATATTCTTTCAAGAGGAGTCTCCTTGGGAGAGTAGCAAGAGTATCGCACGCACCTGGCTGCTTGCAGTTGTAGCAGAGACGCTCAGCAGAGGAGCAGACCTCAGCATAGTGGCCAACGTTGCCACACTTGTAGCATGCTCGACGAGAAAGGGACGACATGGCGACAAGTCTGTGAGTCTGTGTAGTTCCATCATCAGCGCGACACTTCACATAAGCCTCATCACCGTCTCGCCATTCCTTGATGACCCGTTTGCAGCGGTGTGGTGGTACGTTAGTCTGATCCAGGTCCAGCCAGTCTTCAATCGCAGTTGCGGCCATGTTTAGTGCATGGCTTGCTGAGCTGGAGACGGTGTGAAGGTCCAATGGGTCACACCACTCCTTCTAGCTCCAAAGAGTGCCTTGGTCAAGAGATGGACTGTAACAAGTTGCCATTCAGGACCCTCGCTGACTTTGCACTGCGTCAAGCCCTTGCTACGACGCACTTGTCCAAACCGGAGCATGCCGAAAGCAGTAACAAGGTGTGCCACGTGGGCGATGTTTGTCGGGTAAACTGCCCCACGAGGATAATGAGAGCATCTTGCAGCGGCAGGAGGCTGCTGATCGATTGCTGAAGGTTGGATAGTTGACGTGGTGCGTGATGCTTGATGCTTGATGCTTGATGCTTGATGCTTGATGCTTGATGCTTGATGCAGGTTGCTGCATACAGTCCTGCGACCCTCCGAATGCAAAGAGTAGCAAACCCGGGTCAACGGATGCTTTCTATCGCAACCGTGGCACGCGGTTTTCCGTCTCTTTTGTCATTCTCCTCGGCATTGCGCATGCAACAAAGTGTTTGTTCTGCGATTGTAGTCCGGTATTGGCAAGAACCTGCATCGCTTCGCAGTAGCGCCGTGTCGTTGCAATTGGGGATTGAAGCGGTGAGCGATGTCGGACAATCCATTCCGATCGGGTTCCTCCATCACAACTCATGTGAGAGTTTCCCTCGGCATTGGAAACCAGCGCATACCCAGCTGTGATGTCTTCTGCTCGGGTATGTACGCCGCGCAACCGTCGACCGTTGACCGTTGAGGGAAGTATACCGATCCGTCGGGATGTCTGTGGTTGGTCACAGTCTTCGAGACCAAGGACCATGCGATACGTTGGGCTCGACTCGTGTCGATAAAGTCGACATAATGATCGCGCTCTGTTGGTGTCTGCCGTCGCCGTCGCGCAATGATGTGAAGGGACTCCATCGAGCCGAGCCGAGGTTGTGTCCTGTCTCCAACTGGTGTGTCGCACAGAGTGAAAGAATCCATGGCAAGTGCTGGGCAGGTTGCGTTGTTCGCTGTATTCATGCTGTGTTGTACCACGCGCAACCGCTGCGCTGGGACACGTGTGCAAGCAAAGTAAAAAGGGCGAAAAAAAAGAGAGGTGTCGAAACTCACTCTTCAAAGTTTGCGCCTCCGGGCTGTTCCTTCCAACTTTCCTGCGGCTACTTCCTTGAACGTCACAACAACACCCTTCGCTTCTTCGACTTCTTCCTAACGTCTCGTCTTCTCCAAACTCGGCGACCACAAGGACAGTGGGATGATTGCAATGCGAAAGCTGTGATCGGGAAACAAAAAGAGGAAAGGGAAAAGAGGAAGAGAAGAGGGAAGGGCTTTCAGTAGTAGTCTGGGTCTAGTACCCGTGGGCCGTCCAGTATCCACGCATCCCACGTCTACAGGGAAAACGGGGGAGGGCAAGTGCTGTGGATCCGCACCCTAGAGCATGCCCTCAAGAGTCAAGTCCTCCAGCTCATTCCTTCCGCAGATCGTCAAAGTGACAGGTGGCTACTGCTGTTACCACCAGGGGTACATGCCCGTCAGCATGTGTACTCCTTTCCTTCCCTCCCGCGCCTGGTGTTCCTGGAAACCTGGAAAAGGGTTGGGCGCATGTGAGCATTGGAATGCGCGGGAAAGTACCTCACTTGAGTCACTCGTACCTTATCAAGACATCACATCCTACCAGACAGGGGTGCTCATTCATGACTCTCGCTGTCTATTCTGGGTCCCGTATCTCGAAGCGGAATGGCCCCGTGTCAGGCACCGCTACTGTGTATGCCCAGGTGAAGCACAATGAGTTATTAGACGCTGACTGGCTGGAGCCATGAAAGTTGGCTCGACGCCTTGCCGGCCGAACATCACAACGGCACATCCCGATATCCGCCCACTTTCCAGAAACGCTAGGCGAGCATGCTGATGTAATCTATTACCTGTCAGCGCTGGAGTGTCCTGGAACAAGTGTTCAATGATAAAAGAGCGAGTGGCACGTATGCATGTCGACCTGAGTCGACATCCAAGGGGAGCCGGTCCAAAATATCCGATAATGCATGAGACAACCTCCCATGGAACGCCTCCCTCCTGGGACCTGCAGACTGGAGGTCATCAATCTTGCATCTGCAGAGTGTTGCCCAACCACGGCTCGAAAGGCAGACCCAACCAGCGCAGCGGTTTCTTTCCTGCCAGCTTGAGCCCAGATATGCAAAGACATGCCAGAAAGTGACGAGCGGGACGTTGCTCGCTCGGCCCTCCCTCCAGCCTGGCAGTGACCAAATATGGCAAAATCCCACGCCCACTTGCGCTCCCAGCTTATTGCACACGGACGGGGGGTGTAACCTGTCCAATCACAGCGCCGTCGCAAGAGACAAGCGTGCCGTCTGGCGAGCGCCGGAAGCCTCGAAACGTGTTCCCGCCTTATCGACTCTGCTTACACCGACACCGCGGCTACAATACAGTAGGTAGTCGTGGCAGAAGACCCTGACTACCCTGTCCGACGAGAGAATCGCACTCTCACTTGAGCGGTCACTGTAAGCGCAAGTCCTAGACTGACAACTTGAACACAGTCACGGTTATGAATTGATCCCAAAGGCTGTCAGGCGAACCTGCAGGAAACTTGAGGAGATGTGTGATTGTGACTGCAACCATCCATAGCGGGAAACATGCTTCGGGACATCAGGTCACGTTGTCACGTTGGGCATGCTCGGCTCCACTTCCTTGCAGGGAGGGCTATGATTTATTATCAGGATGCCCGGCTTCTTGGCAAAGCTGGGAACTAAGGTAATTACCTCAAGCTCTGAGTTCATCGGACGATATTGCTGTTACAAGCGAGCTTCTGGGGGACAGCACACGCCGACGGTCTATCCGTTGCAGTAGAGTGCCCCGGATCCCCACTAGCAGGGTGGCTGGCAGCCTTGCCGTAGATAGTAAAGGGATTTATTAGAGAATAGACCGATCCAACCGTGACATGACGGATATCTAGAGCGGCACCGGACGACTCCCATGCTCAAATTCGAGTAGACAGATTGATTGCCCATCATAAACGATGAAACACAGTATTTATTGTAGAACCCATGCAATAATTCAATCCAACTCCCCAGCGCCTATGCTAGACAAAAACAACACAACCAAAAGCAAAAGAGCAAAAGCCAAGCTAAACCAAGACTCAAGTCCTTCGAAGAGCGGGCTGACATGGGCATTATCGCACATCACGAGATCCCATCCCGTCCTTCCCATCCGCAATCAGTTCACCACATATCACACAGCGACAGCATATGCAAATTCCCAAGGCCCACAAACACGGCCGGCACAAAGCCCCAGTACCCGCCTCGGTGCCATGCCATACCTAGAAAGCACCCGGCCGTCCCGGCACAACCTCAGAGGGATGCGGCGGCAACGGCACATCAGTCAGCGGCGCCATAGACCTCGGGCGGGCCTCGACGACATAATCAACGCCATCATCCGAGGCGTACGACGGCGGCCGCGGCTGACCGGTGTGAGGCCGGTCCTCATCCTCATCCACCACACCATCGGGTTCGCCGCGCCCACTCTCGCCCGAGGAGGAGCGTTGGCGTTGGCGCTGTCGCTGTTGGTGTTCTTGCTCCTCGTTGCGCTGCCAGTAGATGCGGTCTGGGTCGACTCGCTATACGTTTGTAAGTAAGTAACCGCAAAAGGGCTGAGAAAAAGATGAGGATATGGGATAAGGAACAAGACATACCACACTCTCCCGCCAGAGCCCATAAGCCGGCGGCTGCAGCTTAGTAGCCTCGCTCTCGATGCCCGCGGCCTCCTCGTCGCGCGCGAGCACGACGCGGATCGGCCGGCGCGGGATCGCATACCCGCCCGGCGCGCACAGCTGCGCGGCGCGGACTGCCTCGGCCTCGGCCTCCTCCGCGTTGTCCCCGTCACCCTTCGGTCGCACGACGAGCAGGCAGATGCGCACCAGGCCGTGGCAGAAGAAGATGGTCGTGAAGAGGATGATGAGGATCAGCAGGATCGTGAACTCGCTCGAGTTGATGTTCTTGCTTATCGAGAGGGAGAGGTCTGGTGGATGGGTAGGTTTGTCAGTTACATACATGGATTTGGTGTGGTAAAGGAAGGGTTTGGTTGGGCTGAAACGGGTGAACTGTTGTGCAGGTAGGTATGAGGGAAGGGACGGAAGGGCAGACACGTACAGACGGTCAGCATCAGCGTCAAGAAGATGCCAGACACGAAACAACGCAGGATCTGGCTCCGCATGCGTCTTGACTCAACCCACGGGAAGCAGAACAAGAACTTCGTGGGTGGTTCTCGATTCCTGCGTCTTTCTCTGCGCGAAGCATCGGAGCCGCCTCGTCGATGTTGATGTCGTCGTCGCCTGCCTCTGCTCGCCAGATTAGCCAGGTGCAGATCGGCCGGGCCAGTCCCTCGAAATCGGGTGCGGCCCATGTGTCCCTCCACGTCGTCGTCGTCGTCTGCGTGCGCAGCCTCTGGCTCGGCCACGACGGGGAATCGCTCCGTTCGTGTACGGTTGGGTGACTGTCGTGGAGTGCCTTCGTTCGATCGGGCAGCCGGTGAGTCGGCGCGTGAGGACGTGTCCGATGACCCTCGTGTCCTTGTCCGTGCCAGGCTGGGCATACGGAACCGGGGCGAAGGCATCGTAGGCATTCCCAATGTAAAGCGTGGGGCTGGGCTCTTGGGGCCGTCGTCCGCATCTTCAGCTCCGTCATGATCGTCAGCCCTCCGACCTCGTGTGCCCCTAGCAGGCCGCCCCGAGAATATCCTGGGCATAGTGTGATGGCGAACCGAGAAGAGTCTAGGGTTATTTTGTAGCTGCTCCTCCATGTGTGTCGGTCGTTGCTGTTCCAAGTCTGTCGCTTGCCCCTCCGAGGCCTCTCCCCTCCGCAGGACATTTACCCTAATGAATTCCATCTCCGAGGTTGGTAGAGCCTGAGTGTCAAGGTTGGTGTTATCGATCGCCGGCACAGTTCATGCTTTTGTTCTCCGGCCCTGGTTGTTGACTACAAAACCCAACCCGACGTATGAGGCAAGTCGTCTGCGTGGTTGGAGGAACGTAGCAAAACCTCGTCGCCCGGTGATACAGACGCTTCGCGTTGATGTTGGATCGATTGGTAGTTGAGGTTCGCGTGTTTGTGTTGTAAAGGTCGTGTCTTGCAGGTTTCGTAACACAATGCCTCCCGACAAATCGACCCTGTCCGAAAATCCAGGAGCAATCGGGTGCCTGCAGCACCTACTTCGTATCGATGTCCCAGACCCTAATTCGAATAACAGGGTGAGGTCCAGCCAGGTCCAACGAATAGATCGACGAGCGAACGTGTGAGCGAATTAGAGGGTTTCGAATAGCCGAATGGCAGAATAGAATACTCGATGCTCACAGAGCTCGACGTCAATCAGTGTAGGAAAGTACTGGTCGAACGAGGGAGAACAGAAGAAACAACAGGCAGACCCACGATACCTCCAGCTGCTGTAAGGAACGCCAATGGAAGGCTAGGAAAGAGGGCGGAAATTGAGACAAAAGGACATCATCACCACGGAAGAGTAGCAAAAAGAATCGCCAAGGAGGCAGCCATCACGGGAAAAGGGAGCGTGAGTTCGGGACGTCACAGGTGTTTGAACACGGCGACGGCTCGAGAACCTACAGAGACGAACAAACCTGGGGTCGTCGCGAGTTATCCGACCTGTGGTTGGTCAAGGCCCATGACCGCATCGTTTCGGCCCCTTCAGAGGGAGATTCGATCCTATCAAGTCCAACGGACTGTCTGACTGCGTGGTTGAGCCGCCAGGAACACGAACGGAGTCGCGAATGCATTGACTTCAAGATGCGGCCAGGGATCCGGTCTGGCGGATCGACCAATGGATTGGTTTGGGCTGCAGGAAGCGGCGCTTCTCAGACAAGAGTGGATTGCGTTTGAGATTCGGGACAGGGATCCTGACTGGAGACCAATGTTTCGGAATAAGAAGAGCGCGGCACTGGCCGCTGCGCCCCATCTAACAGGGGGGGCGTAGGCTCATAGTTGACGTTGCAACGATGGCATTGGATCAAAACATAGTCCATGAGCATACAATAAACAATTGAGGTGTGCAGTCGAGTTTCTTTTGACGAGCGCGACCTTTTGAACCCAACAGCATCCAGCCATATATTGTGCCCTGTCTCTGCAGGGCACAGGCACGGGCACACGAACAACCGCGGAAAGGGGCAACTTCGGCTGAACCAAGCTGACAACCTGAGGCAAGTGGCTGACACCTCAACCCGTATAACCAGGTATCACATCTCACACCGGACAAGGATTGATATAAATCCTCTTTGGAGCACACCGTTCCTCTCGTGTCAAAAACCTAACCTTAGTACTGGTATCATCCGATGCGTCCAAGTGTATGGCCGTGCGGTGTTTTTCATATTGCACTACGGATGCAAATCTGTGAGTCTCGCTCGCGATCGTTTTCCGCTCGTAGCCCTCAAGAGACCACATTGATGTGAGAGGCAGGTGTCTGGCTATCAAATAGCCCCTCTCGAAGCTAAGTTGACCCAAACTTCTCCAGTGATTACATCACGTACGATGCTCTCCGGAGCCATCAACGGTGCAAGCCTGGCTCTCGGTACCCATCGTCCTGCGCCTTTTGCTGTTAACAAATAGCTTTCGTGAATTGGCCACGGGCAGGTTCATGGTCTTTGGTTGATTCTGGTTCAGAGAATCGACACGAAGGAGCCGATGATTTTTCAAGTGGCTGTCAGATGAATGAGCTAACCGTGGATGGCGCTTCAGAGGTTCAGCCCGTTCGGCTACTGTTCGTTCGTTGATCTACTTCTTGGCCTATATGTGAAGATCATCGCAGCTCACCAAGCAACATCTCGCGATCAGAGGAGGCAGACAAGACTGTAAAAGAATTAGCACGATGGTTGCGACCACGGCCGAGCATTCCAAACTTACTGGTTGGCTCGTTACCAGGCGCAAATTCTGCGCAGTTGACGGTACCCTTGTGACCAGGCAGTTTATAGAGAAGCTTGCCGTTGTCATTCGACCAGATGACGACAGTGCCGTCACCGGCGCCGACGGCAATTTTCTTGCCCATACTATCCCAGCTTGCGCGGATCAGGTTCTTCTCTATGCCCATCTGTGCTCCGTCGAAGGTACGAATGTGTCGCTCGGTCGGCGCAAAAGGTCGAATGTCCCATGTCTTGGCGGTTGAGTCGTGGGAGTAGGAAAGGAGAGATTGCGAGTCGGGTGATATGCGCAAACTGGTGACCGTGTCATTGTGACCCAGCATCGAATAGACCACCGCTTTCTTCCGCATGTCCCAGACTTTGATGTCGTTGTCAATTCCACCAGAGTATATCTCATTGCCCGCTTCAGCTACTGCGACCGCGGTGATTGGAAACTCCGTCTCGATGTAGTCGGCGGCGTGCTTCGTCCGAGGGTCCCAGATGCCAATAGTCCCATCGTCACTGCCACTGATCAACAGTTCTTCGCCTCGTTTGCTGATATCCATCGAGTTGATTATTTCTTCGTGCCCAACATATCGTCGAATCCTAGTTCCGGCGCTTAGGTCCCAACTGGCAAGATGCATATCGGCCGAGGCCGAATATAGTATTTCGGAGTCGCGTGACCATTGTAGATCCAACACTGCACCACGATGGCCGTTCAATACGCCGTAGTTTTCGCATACACCCGAGGAATACCAGAGCACTACCACCCACAAAATATTAGTTAAGCGCACATGTGTGACGTATGTCCGAAGGTAATACTTACATATACTCCTATCCATAGATCCCGAGGCGATCAAGTTGCCTAGAGGGTTGAACTTGGCAGAGAACACTTCACCCGAGTGACCAGTAAGCTTCATCACCGGAGCTTCGAGATTGCTCGTTCGTGGAGCCTGAAGAATAGATGAGTTCAGTTATTCACATTTGCAATCGGCGACTTGAACGAGGCAACATACAGACTGGACCAACGCGCCACTATTGGTACCATCTCGCCTTGAAAGCGCAGTGCTGGTGCCGGGTTTCTGCCTCTTGACGATCATCTGGCTAGCACCTGGGTCGTCAGACGCGGGTCTCTTTTCGGAAGACATGGTGGCTTTGTTGACCGCGAAGAAAGGAGATTGCGAGTTTTCGAGTCTCCAAATCAGAGTTGAAGCTATTCCAAACCGGCTGTAAGATAGTCACTCGTTGTCGCGTTGAGATGTGGGAGGCAGCGCGTTCCAATAGGCCGGTGCATGCTTGAATTGAAGCTCCGGCCCAAAAGTAAACTGAATTAGAGGTTAACGGATGAAGGATATTCCGCAACTCGGAGTTCTCGATTACCTAGTGCTCCGATTCACCCGGGCGCCCCCCCCCCCCCCTCACCTCCACCAAAAAGCTTATCGCAGTCATCTTATCATAATCGGCTCACCGCCCACTGTTACTGCCATCATCGCGACCTGTCTGCCTGTATGCTGTGTGGTAACACTTCCATCCCCAATTATACCTGGTGCTTCAAACATCTCATGGCAAAGTACCTAACCATCTTTGAGGCATCGTTACGAAACCAGTCAATGACCTGAATCGGATCAGCCGATAGCTCGCCATACGAGAATGGCTGCTAACAAAGCCGCCCGTGTGGGCGAAGAGTGAGTGGCCGATCGGTCGAAGCCGCCTGCCGTTAACCCTGGTGTGCTAATACAACTTAGGATCTGGAAGTAAGTTCAATCCTCCCGACGACAGCAACAATCGCTCTGACACGGCATACAAAGGGGTCGTATCGACAAAGTTAATGCCGAGCTGGTGACCTTGACCTATGGTACAATAGTCGCACAACTATGCAAGGACTTTGAGAGCGACTACGTCCAGGTCAACAAACACTTGGATAAGATGGGCTACAACATTGGTCTACGGCTTATCGAGGACTACCTGGCCAAGTCCAACACTATGCGACGTTGTGCCAACTTCAGAGAGACAGCAGACATGATTGCCAAGGTATGCACATAATGTCATTCTGTTGATTCCCCACGGCGCATTCTGGCTGACACCCCCATCTACGTTCGCAGATTGGTTTCAAGATATTTCTCAACATCTCACCTACAGTCACGAACTGGACCAGCGACAGCAAGCAATTTTCCTTGGTCTTCGACGAGAACCCTCTGGCGGATTTTGTCGAGCTTCCCGACGACGGACGATCACAGGACGAGCTATGGTACTCCAACATATTCTGCGGTGTGTTGAGAGGAGCGTTAGAGATGGTGCAGATGCAGGTCGAGGCACATTTCATCAGCGATGTTTTAAGGGGCAATGATACCACAGAGATGAGGGTTTCTCTGATCAGATATATCGACGACGAGCTGCCCCCGGAAGATGACTGAAATGACCGACGAGAATCGGTGGACTAAGTTCCAAGGAGTGTGCGATGAAGAATCGAGGCTGCTGTCCTGCGACGTTGAGTGGCATTGCCGCCCATTACGTCTGCTGCAACTCCAACAAGCGTGTCACATGAAATGCGCAGCATGATAATCCATCTTCTGGAGGCATCGGAATGTCACCGTGGTTCCTCAGGGTGCCAAAACTGCATGCATATGTGCTCGTGTCTAATCCGGACCGCGTGGAAATACACTACCGGAAGTACCAAGCGTCGATCGGCCTCAGCCCCGTAGGTATACCACATCGTCCAACAGCTGCACGGTCAGGGCAGCTGAACCTCGCCGACATGGGACATATAGACGAACATCTGTTGTTTGCTTGTCTCGGCTACGGAAGCGGCCCAACAGCGGCAGGTTCCAGAATGCGCTCCCGTATTGTTAGATACCCGGCCGTCGTGCTGCCACCTGGGACTCTTGATGGGGTCTGCCCGAGGGGCGGGACGCGCCGTTACGATCTGTCTGTCTCTGATGTGGCCTGCTAGTCCCCGCCAACGACTCCATATCCGTCCCACTCCGCAACCCCGTTGCAGCACAACGATCTCCCGGCACACTGCATGCGCTTATCAAAATGTGTTGCTAATATTGTTTATCTGCTGTATAAGGTAGCTTGTTGAAGGTCTTTATGATGCTTCTCAGGCTCCGGAGACTCTCGTCGACACATTGCATTTTGTAATGCATCAGTCGGTTTTTGGATTGGGAGCGTAAAGTGTATGCGCGGTACGTGTGCCCACTTCGCATGGAGATCTCCTTCGCATGCCTGTTCGTCGCATGCATGCCGGCATGGCAGCTGTGATAAATTGATCAGCACCGGGAATTGATGTGATTGTCACAAATGCACTGTTCCTGCGTCCACTTTTACGCCATTACTATTAGCGTCCCGAATTGATAGTAACAGCATTGCCGGTCCATCACAATGCTTGCTCCCCCCCCATGTCTTGTTTTTGATATGTGACGCTTTGATCACCTAGGGTTTTCTAAGTCGCGATGAAGCTAAGTGTTGATGGCTGCGACTTTTTCTAAACGCTCTTAGTTGTGTTTCTACATGATTTCCTCGAAGGGACTGATTCCGAGCCTGTATCGAAACTGGAGGACATGGAAGCCCTTGAACAGGCGTTTTGTGAATAGACCAACATCCCCCTCTAAATTTCTCAATTTCGCGATGAACCTATTGCCTGTACCTACCTATCCCCGTCCATCTCGAGGGACATACATGGAGTCCAAGGTCATTGAGGCTTGCACGTCTATTTCGTACATGGACTGTCACCATGAGCACCCAGTTAATAAGCTTAAATACTTTGCCACTCACTACCCAGCAGCTGCCTAGTTTGAGCTGATACTGGAGGTTCCCACATGCAAGTGCAGCTTGTATCAGTTGTCAGACTCCTTATCGGTATCGCATGCGACTCATAGTCATGGCCGAGGCAACAATGCTGTCGATTCTGATTACGAATGGGCTACATACATACTCAATACAGGGCGTGACGTACAGTCATCGGGAGGGTCACAGGCCAGCTTTGGAGAGGGCCGCCTTGCCACAGCCTTACTGACAGCCGTAGCTGCTGCTGACCAATATGTTCGTGATCCAAACGCTTTGATCACGGACGATTGAGCAAGGGTTTTGAACTCTGGCATATTCGGTGGGCCGCAGTGTTGACACAGGCGAGATGGTTCATCTGATGTCTAGTCGTAGACCGACTCTGGTTTCTGACATCCCAGAACTGCCTTGCCAGACGGGAGTAACCTTGGAACCCGGTATAGAATTCGCCGCCCTTTTAGGGCCTTATGCTCAGCCCCTGACTCCATGACTCACCGACGCCAGCACTACTGAAGCAAGACACAGTACAGTATGCCTGTATCACAGCATCTCCAGAGAGGCCGCCGACTATACGATCCGAATTGTAATCGTTGCACCAAGCATTCACCAATTACCCCAGTCGTGATGGGAAAAGGGACGGACCTACGTTCTTCCCAGCTCCGTCCAAAGTCAGAATGATGGATTCTATGGGATGGCGAGGGTGCCAGATGATTGGCAGAAGGGTTATCTTGATGGTTGCAACGTGGGAGAACCTGGAAAGTATTCATTATCACCCAGTTCAACCACTTACACGGCGCTCACCTGTGCACGAAATGTCATCAACCAGCTCGGATCAGGAGTAGATATCGATATACAGACGTTTGAAGCCACCGAAATCACTCTCATATAGGACGCCGTATTGCCATCTTGATAACAAGTCCAAAATCAAGCATTGCAACGATTCAATTTCATATCTCAAATCATGACGATGGGGAGATCTGTCGGGCAGTACCTTGTGGGAATTGTTAGCGGCTGTTAGAGCATGAAATTGACGTGCGCTGTGCCAAGACAGAAGTGTGGAGGCCAGACTGGTAAATACGCCGGGCGGGGCGCGGCAAACCAGGTCAAAACAGCTCACCTCTTCGTACCCTCCCCTCAAATCCTGATGAGACACTACCAGCCGGTCGGCGAGAATATACGGCTGGCCCCGTGCTCAGATATGCGCCCACATCAGACGTCTGACCCATGCGGTTTTCCACGGCCTGTGTCTCATCCCAGACTCTTCGAATCCCCCCAGTCCCCGTCCTGGAGCTTTTCCACGCAGCCCACGCCTTTTCCAATTAATAATTCCCACTCCCGTCCCGTCACCCACGCATTGGCACCGCACTCATTGCTACCGTCCACCGTCCACCGTCCACCCCGTCAGCCCATCTACTGCTTTGCGCTGCGCCATTTCTACTACCGGCACCAGCACCAACGGCCAGCTACAGCACACGCTACAGCTGTTGCTCCTTCTGCTACTGCCACTGCTAGGTGCCTGTAGGTATTGCCTGCTGCTGCTGCCGCCACTGACTGCCCTAAACCACACCCCGGAGCGTTCACTGTACCGTTGGATTTACGGGGCCTGAAGGTGCCCACAGCCGCTAAGCTACAGGAGCTACAGGTCCTACAGAAGCTACCTACAGAAGCTACAGGCAAGGCGGGCAAGACACACACCACCGCCCGACCACAATTGAGTTGTTCCAGGTCTCGGCCCAGAGCAGAACATTGACTTCTCTATTCTTCCTCCCTCCTCCACCTCCACGACCACCTCAGCACTCAGCTCCCATACCTACGACCTACGTCGACTCCGCGACCACGACCACGACGGACCACCAACTCGACCACAAACCTCTCAACCTGGATACCCACTGCCATTTGAATGTCTGCAACGTCGCTCCCACCGAACGCGTTTTCGAACTCGCCTAATTGGCTTCCCGGTTGTGGGAGAGGAAGAAACGCGCGCTATTACCGAACAGTAACGGCGCTGCTGTAGTTCTCGCATCACTTGCGCATTACCTACTCTTACGCCGGACGACAAGACAAGACAAACGACGGACGACACTGAACAACAGCAACAGCAGCTTGCTTGCTCGCTTGCTTGTTCGCTTGACTGCAGACTTGGTCCACGCCGTCCAGCTAATCTATCCGTTGTGAGAACCGGATACAGCGACCATTTCAGTTCACTTCTCACCGTCTGTCGAACAACCGTTGCGACTGACTGGACTGGATTACCGGTGCCCTTCAACCAGCTCCCGACTTCCTGGAAGGGGGGGTTTTGCCAGAAGGCGTCAGTTGGCTGCACTGTCACCATCCCACATCCCACCACTGACCAGGCGCGCCAGCGCTATCCGCCGTGACAGCGGACCTGCCCAGGTGCCCAGCCCCCATCGATCAATCACTCGCTACTCGCCCGCTTTACCGTTACCGCACACCACACCACCACCACCTGGACCACCCAACCTGTCGACGGTCGACTGACTGACCAGGCTGCCTGCACCTAACCATCCTCGCCTTCGTCGCCGTTGCAGCAAATTCGACTGCACGCCCACCCACTCTCTTTTCTTTGCTGTCGATACCGCTGCCTTCCCACCGGCTCGCGTTTTATAGCACTGAATTTCCTTCCTCATTTTTCTGTCCGGCCGCCATATACCATTTCATCTGGTCGTTGTATATCAGGGTGCATACGGGGATATCTTGCATTTCTGCCGCCTCTTTTCCGTCATCTCCTTTCACAACGGCCGAAGGCCCGGCTTCAGCCTTTCTTCCCGCCCAGACTCCTCCACTGCTTTGAGGGACGAGCAGAGTTGTCTCCCACCGAAACTCCCCACGTCGCAATAGCGGTCTTCACGGTCGACTCTCTTCGTACGCGCCGCGCCACCTGGTCGCCACGAGTTCAAAGATACCTACACCTTGATACGCCGGACCCGACCAGCTCCCGTCGCGAACCAAGTCTGCAATAGACATCGCCACCACCCCGCGGTCGCAAATTGTCAGAATTGGCTTTCAACCGACTGTCATTTCGATCCCGTACCTTTTGCCGATCGTCGAACGAGACGAATGCATATCGGCCTATAATACCTCTTCGCCGTGACTGTAACCCCCGTTCCCGACAGGCTCGGTCTGTCACCACCTTGGATTATGAACAACGTAAACGCGATCAATATGCCAACAATGGTTGGCGGGCCCGTCGGTGGAGGTCCGATGCCCATGATGAACAACGTCCTAGCTGCGCAAGTTCAAAGGCCGGATGGAAACAACCGTACGAACCTCAACACATACATCTACGACTACTTCCTACGCGAACGCATGTATGAGTGCGCGCGCGCCTTGCTTAACAGCTCTGGGACACTCAACGTGATCAAGGACAGCCCTGGCCGGCGTAGCGATGAGAATGGGAACGGTCTCGGCAATGGCCTTGGTGACGATACCATGGACACCGACAGTAAGGATGATTCAGATTCAAAAACACGGCCCGATAATCTTCCCGCGCCGGATCTACCCAACGGATCGGACAGTTGTTTCCTCTACGAATGGTTCTGCCTATTCTGGGATATGATGTCGGCTCAGCGCAATAAGTCTGGCATCCCTCCTCAAGTAGGCCAATATGTCAACCACACTCAGGTAACTACCCAATGGCCCCAGCAACCTGACGCGATCCCTGACTCTAACAGCATCTTCAGCAACAGTCACGGTTGCGACAAAGCCAACAGCAGGAGATGCTGCGCAATATGCGACAGGACATGTACGGCGGCAATCCCATGATGAGGAGCATGCAGAACGGCATGCAGATGAATGCGAAGCCAACGAACCTAGCAAGGACAGCTATGGCCAACAACCAGAACAAGTATGCCTCATAAAGCGTTGCCTTTGGAATTGCTCGTTGGATACTAATCTTCACGTGCAACAGTCCACAAGCCATGCAAATGCTTCAAGCCGCAAAGCAGAATCAGATTCAGATGCAGCGCGACGGATCGAACATGGATGGCAATCCGAACCGCCCAGTTTCCCCCGGCTCGGCCGACAATGCGCCATCGCCAAGCAAGCGGCCACGTCTGGACGGATCGGGGCCCTTCAATCCTCAACAGCCGAACATGATGAATGGACAACGACCACAGCAAGGAATGCCGGGGCAACAAGTAGGCAACACCAGAGCTGCTGCCATAGCTCAGCATATGCTCACAACCAACGGCATCGACCCCGCTAATCTCTCCCCTCAGCAGTTTCAACATTTCCAGACGCAGCCGCCCCAAGCCCAGGCCAGCTCGATCAATGCGTATTCCCAAACCCTAAAACAACACCATGGCCAGCAAATGCCCAACAAGCAAGTGCCTAATCCTGGTGTTCCACAACAAGGGTCTCCGATGATGGCGACAGGCCCAGACGGCGCCGCCGCGCTCGGTGCCTTCTATAACGCGAATGACATGGCCCAAGGCGGTATGAGGGCCGCAGGACCCGGTGCCGTTGCTCAAGGTGGCGGCAGCAATCATGCGCTGCAAGACTATCAGATGCAGTTGATGCTTCTCGAGCAACAGAATAAGAAGCGACTAATGATGGCGAGACAAGAGCAAGACAGCATGGGTGGCATCCGGGAAGGCGGCGGGCCCGGACCTGGAGGTCCTCCTGGGCCTCCAGGCCCTAACGGACAACCATTCCAGGATACTTCACCTCAGGCGAGACCGGGCGCATCGCCCAACCCATCAGAACAGATGAAGCGCACTCCCCAGATGAATCCCGCGGGCATCCCATCGCCTCTACCGGAAGGTGGCCAATCGAGAGGCTCACCTAACGCAATGAACTTCATGCAAAACGGCATGGATCCCAACATGCAGCATCAGTTTTTCAAGGGCATGAACGGCATGGATGGTAATATGGTTCCCGCTCCGCAGATGAATGGAATGCGGCCCCCGAATTCGCATCCCAACCAACCTTTTAATGGCCAGATGAACCCTCAAATGATGGCAAGACAGCAGCAAGGGCCCCAGGGTGTTCCACAGCAGATGCAGTGGCAAGGTCCGAACGGCAATGGCATGGCGCCTCAGGGTCCTCAGGGTCCTCAGGGACCGGTGCAAAATACACCGCAGCAGAGATCGATGCCGCCGCCCTCGGCCCCAGCTCCCGCCGGCAACACAAACGGCCGCACAACACAGTCGCCCCAGCAGACCAATGCTGCCCCGCCTACACCGCAGCAGTCTAACAAGGCAGCACCCAAAAAGAAGGACACGAGCAAAGCCAAGAGCAAGGTATGTACCCATCCACGTTGCTTTCTTTCTGCTCAGCGATGCTAACATGTTATGCAGGCTGCCGCTCAGAAGAAGACCCAGAATGCCGGCGCAACACCGGTAGCCGAAGCTACACAGGAAACAGAGCCTCCTGCGCCTGCCACACCTATTACTCCTGTCATCCCCGGCGGTTTCAAGCAAGGGCAGAATCCAGGTGGTGCGCAGCCCCCAGCTAATGCTGCAACATCGGCACCACCTCCTGCGCCTGCTCCAGTGGCTGTCCCACAGCCTGATCCGTCCCAAATGAACTTCTCCAGCATGAACGATGGCGGTGCAATTGTAAGTCCATATTCATATAACCTCAAGATTCAACCTAACGTTATCCAGGATTTCGGGATGGATTTCGCCAACCCGCTCACCACGGACAATGTGCTTCAGGACTTCGATTTCGACTCGTTTCTGCACGACGGTGATGGAGATCCAACCGCGTTCGACTTCACGTCCACAAATTTCGGAATGGAAGGGGCCGGCGAAATCGGAGCCGAGTAGTATTTGCCTTCTTTTGCATCACCCTAAGATCATTTCCCGAAAATCTATTACGGATTTCGAATTTCACTACCACTTCAGGGCATGTCAGGGCGTTCATTGGCTGCTTTCCCGCATCTGGAATATGGACATGGAACTCTGTCAGGTGTAACGTGCTCAACAGACAGAAACGAAACACGACTACCCGAAAAGCTTATTGTTACCGAGAAAAACACCCTCCAATTAGACTGGCGTCACCTCTGCCCTGTTTTCATCATCTCATTATCATACCACTCTACAACCCCGTCCTTGTATTTCGCGCGTCGACCATGTCGGGGTTACGCGAATGGCGTTAGGATTATTTTTCGTGTCTTTGGAGGAACCATGTTACGATGTGGTTTCTCCCGGGGTTTACCTTCGTGTTTTTACATTGATCGGTCCCACTGGTTTCGATGGATTCACGTGGTTCTTCATACCTTTTCAGGGGCAACTGGATCCGTGGTTCAATATCCAGGCCTTCCGACGCTGCCGGCTTCTGGCTCGGTTGCAGTCAGGAACCCCTAATAAGTACATTTGAGTTGACGGGCGGCAATATCATACCTCTCGATGGTGGCCTTGTGCTGTCCTCTTGTGTCAAACACCATATGTCGCGGAACATCTGCGTATAGAAGGTGAAGCAGGAGGCTCGCCGTGTCTCGTCACTGGCAGTACTACTCACTACATGATTACCGGAATAAAATGGCAGGCGTGTTGGGGGAGAGGCGAAGATGGAATCAATCTTATCGCGTTGGGCTTCATGCAGTGGTATCCGTGTCTTGTGTATCCAATAGAGCAAAGTTCTACGTCGATGTCTATCTTGAACGACCTTTTCTGGGTTGTGATACTCCAAAGCTTCAGGCTTTCAATGAAATACCTCTTTCTGATGTTCAAAATATTGACTGCCCACGACCCTGTGGCCAGATGTTGCGAGTCCATCCCCTTCTAGTTGGGTGAATGCGAACAGTAGGTACATAATCGGGATTGGAGGGCGTTCGAATGCCAACTATGCAAAGTGCTGCAGAGTTTGGCCCTTTATGTTCCGCTGCAGTGCATAGTTCCTAGCATGCCTATTTCGCACGAATCTATAATTCATACCGGCCTGATTTGCTGTTGTATGTCTGGTCCCAGCAGGGTCCATTCTTGCCATTCTGTCTCATGGCACTGAAGATGCGTGCTTCTGACGGCGCAATTGGGTTACCAGTCATGGGTTCTCGTTTCTGTGATTCCAGCATCACGGGATCACGTATCAGTGAATCCAACTTATGACACTTTACGTATGGGCATACATAGCTGGTGCTAGTCACGGGTCTATCACGTCAGAGATGCGCTGTGGATTCTCAGTATACCCCTTTTCGAGGGACTGCCAGTAAAGTCACAACACCTCAGTGGTGAAGAGCTCGATGAAATGCAGACTGGCATTGGCTATGCCTCGGATATCTGTGAATTAGTCACGGGTCTATTATATCAGAGATGTGCGATGCACATTCAGTATACTCCCTTAAACCTTTCCAGGGATTGCCAGCATAGTCACCACTCCTCAGTGGTGAACGACTTGAGGAAATGCACTGACTTTGGCCATGCCTCGAATACCTATGAATTAGTCACAGGTCTATCATATCAGAGATGTGCGATGCACATTCAGTATACCCCCTTAAACCTGTCGAGGGATTGCCAGCATAGTCACTACACCTCAGTGGTGAATGACTTGAGGAAATGCAGACTGACTTTGGCTACGCCTCGAAAATCTATAAATATGGCCAAGTCTAGCAGTCTTCCTCTCCTTTTCTTCTTGCTCTACACAACAAAACACCAGTATTCTCGCTCCCAAGACAGCAAACCCAGCAATAAATACATCGCCAACTACACAAGCTCTAACACATAACACATCACAAAACACCACCAACTACTCCTACCAACCTACCAACCACCACCATGTCCCAAGCACCCCAGCAGCCCAACATGCCCGCCACGGGCGGCGCCGGAGGCAAGCCTCTCCGCAAGGGACGAGACCCCACGGTGCCGCGCAACTTCAACAACCCCAACAACGCGCGCGGCGTCAAGGAGGAGGACCTGCCGCCGTCGGCCGAGGCCAACGACGCGGCCGACACGCGCGACTATGTCAACTCGACCGACACCACGGGCCCGGAGGACGACGATCGTCAGACCGGCACGGACTGGTCTGACGGGTACTATACTAACTCTAACTACACTACGAGCAAGAAGTAGGGGGTTAAGGGGGTTAGGGGGATGAGGTGAAGGGGTGAATAGGGGGAAGGATATAGGCGGATTTTTTTGGAGCTTTTTGGAGCGGTAACTTATTGCCTCGTGTGCTCATGGCCATTGATATCCAGGGATCGGAGTTGATAGCAAGCATGAACTCAGGAGTACCCGGAGCTTACCCATATTTTTCCTTGTGCCCTTGCGCCTATGTGATGCCCATCGTGCTTAAGGAGATGTCATGTTTTTTGTTCGTCATATGAGACTCTTCGCAGTTTCCTTGAGTAGGTGGGTTAAATGTGGTTTCTTGCTACGTTAACGCCGGATCGATCACAACACAGTGTTGCTTTATTTTGAATATTTGAACTTAGGCAATATTACTTGGAGTTCCTACGTGTGAGATGGCGTCTTTCGAACGGGAATAAGCCCTTAATGAGAAATCATTTCAGCCCTTTGACAGACGTCAAGAATCTGGCACAAATTTTGGCAAATCCCACGTACTCGCAAACAAACAATTTTACAAAAAGCCTGCATGGGGAAGACAAGTGGCTAAGGATCTTGGGCTATTGTATGAGAACAAAGGATTGTTCTATTGTGTGAAATCTAGAAATGGCTGTTCTGGAAGAGAAATAAGGATAGCTGATGGGGGTACCATCCTACTTGAATAGGAGGGAAAGGGACCTCTGGAAGCTATCACATGTGATCCCACAGGATGATTACAGCTATCACAACAATGCTAAATACGCCACTGTTATCATATCTGACATACTGACATTGACCAGATTGGTCCACTGGAGCTTAATGACGAGCACCCATTGTAAGAAATTTCGACCTAATATATACCTTAGCAAGGTCCTTTTGCGGCTTCACATCAACTAACTCTCTCCCTTTCGACACTATAGTTCCTGGTGGCGTCTGGCGTCGACGAGAGGGTGCGACTGGATATGGTGATCGTGGTGGATTGTTGGTATAGTTACAAGGCTTGATTGATTGATTGATTGTATTTAACGTGTGGGGTAGCTCCTCAGTAGTGCAAACCATGCCTCCCAGAGCCTCTGTATTGCAGGGTTGTGGAGGTCTCAAAATAATAAGTACAGTCAGTCCCGCTCACGGGCCCATCCCCGTTGTTGCGGCGGTATGACCTTGGGGTCATCCATCTGGTCCTTCAAGAAAAGCTATCTATTGGGGGCAAATTGTTAAAAAAAATTTGCTCTTCTCCACGAATTTTGCCCATTTTGTGTTCCTCTCCCCTAAGTATTATAAACAAGCTGCCCTAGGCGAGTACCTAGGTAAACTGGGTGGACAAAAGTCTCCGCCCGACCCACCACAATCTCCTTCAGATCAAAACAACGCGTCAATCACCCTTCGACTTCACCACTCTCTCAACACCGCAATTGATAATGGATTTACGATCTTTTGGGGACGAATTAAGCGGTAATCGCGTTGCTAATAGCGAATTCACTTCAGAAGCTCGCTCGGCAATCGTGGCGGCGCGAATCAACGGCAGAACGCGTAGGGATGTTACAACCGCGTTTAAAACGAAGCGCCTGAAAACCATCTCCGATATTACCACCAACTTTGAGGCCACTTCTACACCGAAATCTGCCCCAAGGAGCGGTCGCCTACCCGTTTTGAATACTCGCGAACGCGCTCATGTGATCAAAAAGGCGAAAGAGCTCCCCAGGGCGACGTGGCAGAAGATTCGAAACGAAGCCTGCGTTTTGTGCTCTCCCAAGACTATCAAGAGGATATGTCACGCACACGGCCTCCAGAAGTGGCGCGCAGCAAAGCGAATCAAGCTCACAAATAAGGACGCTCAGAAGAGGCTCGCTTTTGCCAATTATTATAGCACACCAGAGCGCCTGGAGGAGTTGTTGCGAGCTATGTTCTCAGACGAATATACGGTTCAAAACTCATCCGATAATCCAGGCGATTGGGCCATCCGATTCTCTTCAGAGCGGTACTGTTATGATTTTGTGAACGAGACGGATCACGGCAAATCTCGTATTTTGATAATGGTGTGGTCTATGATCTGGCTACGCGGCAGAGAAGGAGGACTAGGCAAGTTAGTCTTCTGCCCACTCGATCCGGATGCTCCGCGCGGAGGAGTATCCGCAGAGTCATACAAATGGGTTCTTGAGGAAGGCCTGCTTCCGTCCTACGAGGCTGGAGATCCTTTTGTTCAAGATAACGCGAAAATTCACCTCACTGGCGGTGTTCCGGAGTGGATGGAGGAGCACGGCATCCACTGTATTGACTGGCCTCCTCACAGCCCCGATATGAACCCAATCGAGCACATTTGGCGACTTCTGAAGAAGAACATATATGAAATCGAGCCTGAATTTTCTGAATTGAAGGATAATATCCCTCATTATCGCTACGCACACGAGTTAATTGAGCAGGCGTGGTCAGAGATCGATCCGGAGCAGGTTCGGGCCTTGATGGAGTCACTGGAGGACCGAATAGCTGCAGTGAGGCGCGCCGGTGGTTGGTATACACACTATTGACTTAGTTATTAAATACAATTTATTTAAGAATTTTATCACCAGAATTAGATGCGTTATGGTTCAATTGAGTTGGAGGGTATAGTAGATGGAAGGGGTAAAATTGGGGATCGGGCGGAGACTTTTGTCCACGCATTGTAGCAGCCGGTTTTTCCCCAGTCTTTTACAAAAAAAAATGTGTTGTGGTGTTTTCTTTTCACCATAGCTGCAGTGATCATTCGAGTCTGTATGCCCAAAGCGTTTATGGTATCTGGCAAAGTCGCCATGTCCAGATCTGGCCGCTAGAAGTCTGTATAAAGTACTCCTCTTAAAAGATATAAGGTCTTTTTTAGTTATTGTATGTGAGTATACTTCTTGATATCTAGGTTCTGATTGGTCTTTCTACCATTGGTTGAACTCTTTCTTGCCCTTTTTTTTGAGATCTCTCTTGACCTAAGAGATTATAGGAAGGTTTGTTGTGTCTGTTTCTAGCATGGTATCCTCTTTTGTTAGTGTATCGGCAGCTTCGTTACCATCAATATCTCTGTGTCCAGGAATCCACTTAATGGTCACTCCAGGAGTGTGTGCTGTGGCAAGTTCTTGAAATTGTAGAAAAATGTTCTGTGATGTCTCGGGTGGAGTCCCATTGAGCCCATCTACCACTGACGTGTTGTCCAGGCAGACATATAGCTGTTTTCCGTGTCTAATTACCCTGGCTGCTGCAAGACCTTAGAGAGCACCATGGACTTCAGCATCTATTACTTCTGTTTGAAGAAGTCTGCCCTTTCCCTGGTATACTTCTATGTAGTGCCGCCTTTCCTGATGGTATAACCCCATCCAGTACGGGTTATGCCTTGGTTGTCCAACTGTGATCCATCTGAATAGATGACAAGGTCAGTGTTCACGTTTTTCTCTTGTAGTCATTGCTTGAAGAGCTTTATTTTTTTGTCTTTGTCTTTGCGGATTAGGGGCTTCTTTTATGATGGCCTGGTAAGTGTTGGTCTCTGGAAGTCAGGGACTAGCTGGAAACTCCTTTGTAGCCTTGTTGGATTCTTGTGAGCCTGTATTTGGAGCCTGCCAATAAGAGGGTGTCTCTGGTCTATTCGTCCTAATCGGAGGCCGTGACGTCGTCTTATTGACTCTGCAAGAACTCTTGCTGGGGGAATCTGCGATTCAAAGTATAGGATATGTCCAGGGTGTGTTTTCCAGACTGGCAAGATAGCCCTGATCGCTGTTCGTAGTACAGCATCTATTGTTCTAAGAAGCCCCTTAATGCGACATGCTGATGTCCCACCTAAGCTCCCTACTTTCATAATTCCTGGGTACCAGGCCTCCAGGCCGTGTGTAAGAATAAGAATAATACAAGCTTTCACAGCCCTCTTGATTGGCTTTATTGGAAGTCCTTTGACTGTGTTGTATAGTCCTCGAAGGTGATTTGCTACCTTATTAGCTTTCTTGGCCCAGTAGGAAACGTGATCTTTGAAGTTTAGTTTTCTATCCAGGAAGACACCCAGCCATCGCATGGAGTCCTTTGCTATTTTGTTCATTGTCCTGTGGCGGACTGGAGGGTTGTCTGAGTTCTTTTTCTTTGAGAAGTGTATGATCTCAGTTTTGTCAGGGTCAAATTCAATAGTGTTGTTATGTCCCCATTGACTGAGTAAGTAAAGATTTTTAGAAGCCTTTTTAGTTGTTTCCTTAAGGTTCTTTCTAATGCAGAGAGTCGCTAGGTCGTCTGTATATCCAAAGCGTCTCTTTTTTATACCAAGTCGGGCACAGATTGGCTCTGTATATAGCATGTAAAGGATTGAAGAGGCTGGTGAGCCTTGTGGTAGCCCACAAGTGAGAGCTTTAATATTGGTCACAATACCTTCAAACCAAACCCTTACAGACCGCTCGGACATGAATGACTAGACCCATCTTATGAGAAAGCCCGGCCAGCCCTGTTCTCTCATGCGAATCACTAGCCGTCCCATTAAGGCAGCATCAAAGGCCCCTTTCACATCTGACGTGACTACTGTTGCAACGAGGCCTTGGTCGAGGGCCTGCTCAATATCGTGTATGAGTGCAGCTACCAGGTCAGTGGCAGAGCGCTTTGGTAAAGCTCCAAAATGTTGTGGAACTAGAATTCCAAGTTTGATAACAAACCAGGTAATTCTTTTTGCAATGAGTCGTTCTAGGCCTTTGCCAAGACACGACAATAGCGATATTGGTCTGTAGGCTCTGGGATTGGAGTAGTCTTTCTTTCCTGGTTTTGGGATCATTACCACCTCAGCTACTTTGAATAGTTTAGGGTGGTGTCCAATTTGTAGACAGGTCTGGAAAAGGGCTCTGATATGTTCCCTAATGAATGGCCAGCAAACTTTCAGAATCCGTACTGTGCGGGTATCTATTCCTGGGGAGTTGCTCTTGGTCCCTAAAGTGCACCCTTCAGCCTCTTCTAGTCTGATATGGTATTCAAGGGGGATATATGGCTTGGGTTGTGTGATCTGAGCGGACCAGGGGTCGATGATATCGTTGTCTGAGGTACTTTGTTCAAGCGTGGCTGAGCGTAATGCATTTGCTTTGCTCTCTTATGACTCGAATATTTGGTCTCATATAATGATTAGAGGGGAACGCAATCCTGCTGATAGCTTGTGCCAAGAGACGATTCTGTATAGGTCCTTTGGCTCAGTTGTTGAATCAATTAGAGTCTGCCAGTACTCTCTTCTAGCTTTCTGAACCACGCGACAAAATTCCTGTCGGGCTGAATTCCGCCCTTCTTGGCTTGTAGTCTATTCAGAAAGGGCCCTGTATGTCTGAATAGCTGCTTTGTAGTCATCATTCTACCAAGCAGTGGGCCTAGATTGACGGGGCTTCTTGTCCACTGTCCTGATACAGCCTTGGATCATGTTGATCAAGCTTTGTGTAAAGGCATCTACCTGGCCAGGGGATACACCCAGCTGGGGGAGTTCATGAATCCTGGTTTGGACATTGTCTGCCAGCTCTTGTAGTTTATCGTCCGGTACTATCCAATGATTGGCCTTGGGGACTCGGTCTAGATCTCCCTGAATTGGGACAACTATTTGTAATGTCTCATGATCTAAAGTGCACTGGAGTGCATCATTCACTGAGGCTTCGGCCATGGGGACATCTGAGAACACCAGATCTAGTATATTTCCGTCATCATGTGTTGGGATATCTGGTTCAGAAATCAGATCCAGTCTGTGGTCTGCCATAGTCTGTGCAAGTATGACACCACCATGATATCCTGGATTGCTCGAGTCCCAGGATGTGTCGCCAGCATTGAAATCTCCAGCTATAACGCAGCCAAAAGGTGGAGTCCATACTTCCAGAATATCATCCACTTCCTGTGGGTTGTCACATGGCCGGTAGACACTGGCAAATATAATGCCTTGTACCTTGACCCAGGTGATGTCTCGTGTAGCATAGGGCCGAAATTGATCCGCTTAAAGGTGTTTTCTCACATAGATGAGAGATCTGGGCCGTGTACTGTCGCTGTCCCAGGAATCCACTGGGGAGTATATATTGTAATTGGGGTGTGTCTTTACTCCCATTCTTCTGCCTGGTGGTATGCCAACCCAGGGCTCTTGTATCAGAATGATGTCTGCTTGTTCTCCTTTGTAGTCAGCCAGGTTGATGGCTAACTCTGTAGGGCCAGCACTCTTTTGTCCTCCTGCTGTATTTACAGAATGGATGACTAGATGCCCGTGTCGATATGTTTCGTTTGATATACCTAACATTGACTGACAACAATGGTATCGGCATCTCTGGGATGAGTTGTATCTGTTGTGCCGATTTGTATTGTGATGTCTTTGTTATTGTTGCTGGGTGTTGACCCAGCTTGGTTTCTGCCTGTTTCATTGAAGGCCTTGGATCTGGCTCTTTCTCTAGCCAGCCTTATTTCCTGGATTTGCTCCCATGTGTGCTTATGGATGATGCCTTTCACAACCTTGGGGCGTGCAGGGCATTTGTCGAAGTTGGCAGCATGAGGTCCTTTGCAGTTGACACACTTTGGGATTGGTTTTTCGCACTCCCCCTGGTGTACTGTACTGGCACAACGTGCACATACTTGCTTTTCACATCTGTAGTTCCTACCATGGTATCTGAAGCAGCTCGCACACTGGTGAACCTTGGGGGAGTATTGAATGTGCCTTGAGGTCCTTGAGTGAGCAAAAATCGTGAATGGTTTCTTTGCTGCACGGGGCAGAGAGATCATCCATGTGGTCTCTGGATCAGAATCAACTGTGTTCCTTGAGAGTATGCACCTTAAAGGTCTGTCACCTGTTTGGGCTTCAACTTCATCAGTAACAGCAATGTCGGTAATGTCGATTGTTAATCCTTCCGCATTGATGACCTTTCTTGGGCATCTATTGACCTTATAGTAATGCCAGACCGTATGGGTCTCGATCTTTTCTGCCTTGAGAATATCGGTGATTTCTTCTTGGAAGGCCAGGAGCTTAGCCTGAGTTGGCTTGTCCCTTGGGTGTAAGGTAAATCTGGAGGGGCACCGGGTCACTTCTCTAAGCTCTTAAGGGTGGAACTTAAGTCTTCTGTTCAGTATGGACTTTATTCCGTAAGGCTCTAGGTAGCTATTATCCATGCGGACAAAGACCCGGAGCTCATCCTGTTTTTTCTTCAGTTGGTTGGTAGTGATGCGGGCGCCAGGCTGTGTTTTCTCTATGGTAGTGTTGACTGTCCGTGGATGCTGTCGTTGGCTAGAGGAGACAGCTTGGGCAAAGGTCATGGTGGGCTTTACCATCCCTATCCCCCCAGGGATGGTCTTCCTTTTGGGCAGATCTCGGATTTCTAGCCACTCGTTCAGACATTTAGAGAAGAAAGCGCTGAACTCTTTGGCATAAGAGTATAGTTCGGTTCCAGCTTTTTCAAGTGTCTTATCAACCGCTGCAGCACACTTTTGAAACATTATTATCCTGGCTTCATAAAGGTGCTTGTCTTTAGCCAGTATTCTAGCAACTTGGTCCTGGCACTCTGAAGAGGAGGTTTTATTCTCTATATCGTGTGTAATGACTTGCTCTGTCGAGATTTTGTTTAATTAAGGTCGTTTCATTCCAGTGGTGCTGCTGTCATTAATATTTCAGGATTTTCCTTTCAGAGGGGAAATAACGGTAAAGTCAGCCTCAGAGACCTGTGACGGGCTGCTGCTGATGTCGTCAAGCAGTGCCTGGCGGAGCCTGCTCGGAGTTACCAGGCCGTATGTCTTTCTAGGGGCCGGGGATTTGAGCACGCCGCCGGTGGTCGTCTTTAGGACGGCCATGGGCGTGTTTGGGGGCCCATCGTGAAAAGGTGCCATCCGGCTTGTGAGAAAAATTCTCTTGTGCCTTGGCAGAGATAGTCAGTTACTGAGAGAAGTGCCTGCTTTAGTGCAAATATCAAGATTGCGCCCTAACAGCGGGGCGCCAAGAAAAATAGTTGTTTTTGTGAGGCTCGTTGTTGTTTTGGTATAGTTACAAGGCGATCGTGACTCGTTCCTATCCGATGTTGAGGGTTAAAGCTGATCTTGTGGCGAGGAGGCGGATTGCGGACGGGGAGGGGTGAGGGTAAGTTGGTCTGGGTTCGGTGGAAAAGGGGCAGTATCCACGTCTGGGTCCGGACCAGACACGGGAGGGAAGCCTACTGTTTCTGCTTAAACCAGTAGTTGGTCCACATCAAGTAGCAGCTTGCCAGTGGCGAAGGAGAAAGCCCTAGAGTGACAATACAGTAATGGATAACGGACAATTTCTCCGGCTGTGCTGCTGGCGTAGCGTCCTAAGGCCAATCTGTTTTAAAGGAGGTCTTGACATTGGTTTATGCAAGAAGAAACAAGCAAAAAGCAAACCATCGTTCTAATCATCGGTGTGATTGAGGTTTATAGCAAGCAATAGTACGTCAGAGTCCGATGAGGTATGCTTAAGTAGAGATATTTTCAGGAATTCCACGCTGTTTGGACGCAATATAATCAAGGTGTGTTCTTGCATCATACTCTTTAGAGCTTGGAGGACTCTGTGGTCGGACCGGAGGTATACATATCAGGTGAACAGTTGGGTGATTCGGACCAGAGTTTTATTTTCTTTGTAACTAAGCTGTTCTTCGGCAAGGGAAGAGCCAACCCCAAATGCCCTAAAATACAACAAAAATCAGGGCCCCCCGTCCTGTACGCTGGAAAATGATCCACCAAGGTCACTGACACCATCTGAATTGAACGAAACTATGAGCCAATCAGATCAGGATGATACCGCCTATTGTCTCGCGTAGTGAATGGGGACTGATTTGGGCCTGGCGTGGGTGCCTGAGAAATATAAATATCTGTTATTCAATATCTGATCTTCCGTCCTTTGCCTTCTTTACCTCCCTAAAGCAAGCACATCTCGGATCTCTAACGACCAACCGACCTTGAACAGTACGACCACTTGCTTCCACATCGGATATCACCAGCCATGCCTGCACAGACCGAGTGTAAGTACTTCTACATTGTTCACTCATGACTTACCATGATTTGCTGACATTACTTCAGCTTCCACGACGCTCAAGCAAGCTGAGGTCGAGGCAATCATCCAGCACGCTTCTAATGGCGAGCTGGAAGCTATGCAGAGAAAGATCAGAGATGCGGCCGAGAACCTCAACACGTCCGTCTTTTCCATGATCACCAACCACGTCGTTGACGCTGGTGGCCAGACCGTCATGCACCACGCCGCCGCCAACGGCCGCACCAGTAAGCTTCACATGACGTGACTTTTTTGAAAGTATACTGATGAGATACTCAAACAGACATCCTCAACTTTGTCCGCAGAAACGGCGCCTCGCGTGAGGAAAAGGACAAGCGTGGATGGACTGCGGTCCATACCGCGTTCGCGGAGGAGAGACTAGGTGCAGCTATGTGGCTGATCCAGCAGGGTGCCGACGTCGATGCGACCACGAATCAGGGCAACACTGCGTTGCACTTGGTCGCGAAGCGTGACTGGTTCCAAGGCTGCGAGGCGCTTCTCAAAGCCAACTGCAACGCCACCGTCCACAACATGAACGGCGTTCAGGCTTGGCATGTGGCCGACCTCAATGGGAACGATGCAGTCAGTGCGGCGCTTATGGAGAAGGGCTTGGGATTTATGGTACCCTACCCCGACTACGACTGGCATGCAATCGAAGATGAGACGAATGAGTACTACGAGTAGCTAGGAAGCAGACTTGCTTCTCCAGAGAATCATGGGGAGGGGAAGATCGGGTGTGAGGAAAATGAATAGATGACTATCATGAGCCAATTGCGAGCAAACGCCCAACGAATTTCTTGCAAAAATTAGCACCAACCTCCAACAGTGACCTGTCCTCCATGGTACGATGCTACGACGTTGGCGATTCTCAACCCAGAAAGTTGACGCTTCCGGCTTGTCTCTTCATGGAGAGGTGGCACCGGGAAAGCCTACCAAAACCCTGACCCTATCCTGATGCAGCAACATATTCATCACTGTGAAGGAAACTATAGAGATTGCACCTCAGCCACGGCTTCTACCCATAAAGACTGCCTGACTGTCACTTAATGAGCAAGATACTCGACACACCCGTAGATCTAATGAGCAATGCAATCTGATTATCACCCGTTCTTCAACCATGCTATGTGTCCCTCATACATGCTCGGCGACGCTGACGTCCCATGAGGGAAAGTCATCGCGCATAAGGTCTATCTCGTGCGGCCTGGGCCCATCAGAAGCTTTCTTCATGGCATGGGTCGCATGACGCGCAGCCTGTCCAGTGCTCTCGTCCTATGATATATTACCCGCGAAGGTTGAAAACATACTACCCCAAAGGAGCCAATCAGCCCGAGAATGATACAGCTCTGTGTCACATACTGAGGCTGAGTCCGCTTGGCCTTCCTTCCCATCCTCAAGGCTTCGAAATAGTGATGGTCCGCAGCAGATGGCTATATCTGCCGCAGCTTTGAGACGCGCCGAAAAGATTTTCGCGTCTGCGCGAGGCCCAAGAACTGGCCCGGGAAACGCGCCCCTTCGGATGATTGCGACGGGGATCCGGGCATCTAAGAGTATGACCTAATTGTAGAGCTCGCGCGTGAAGACAGTATAATTTAGCCATCGCTGGGCACTTGACGCAGCCAAATCTGCTGACATGATTAGCTCTGATGCCCAAAGGAGGTCGATCCTGAATAGGAGCTGGGTGCATACCGTATTCCATTCCCAAAGCCGTGTTGAAGTTGAGCGACTCGAGCGACCTCCTTCCCATTTGCTTGATGCTTTGGTTGAGGAAACTGATGGCCTTCGGAATATGACTGGTGTCTGGAAGGCCGAGGACAAACCCTAATACTGGATATCTGATAATTGCCGTGGCAAACATAGAGCGACGAACTGAGATATCTTCATCGTAGGACCCTTCTCCTAGTAGTACCTGGTCGCTGAAAATGAGACTCATCTCCAATGAATCACGTGTTTCATCAAGGGATCCATGAGTACTGCAAATACCACCGAGGAGCTCGTCCACTCGTGTCATCAAAAGTTTATTCAAGATCGAACACGACATATTGAACTAGTCTGGGACGTTATAAAATTCTGTTGATGAAGATTGGGGAAGGGCAGAGGTGGGACGTGGAGTGATGATGAGTTGTGCATTTGAACGTTCGGGAAAAGGGAGCCCAATGAATATGGCGGATCTGTCGAGCATTTTGAGCGTTGTGCTCCTGGTCGAGTTGGTGCTGCTCGTGGGTTGTTGTTGGCAGTTGAGGAGTTCATTCGTACCAACAGCACGCTGTTTTCGGCGAGTTTTTGCGGTAGCGAGGGGGTACGCAATAGCATACTGTCAATTCTTTGAGTGAAGCAGCCAACAGGTCGCACGATGGTTACGAAACGGCAACACGAGTAGGAGAACAAAGAACGGAATTTCCCGCTCGTACCATTCAGACTTCGTTGGCTAACACCATCCTGCCTTCTGGTGGCCTTCAGTATTTGACATGACTGGCCGACTGATCATGCCCAGACGAAGATATCCAGCCATGACTTCGTTGGTGTTGGTGATGTGTTGAATGGCACCCAAGCCACCGTGGCGCCAGGGAGGTGGCAGTGCACTGTGCAGGGACCATTGGCGCACTTTGGCCAATTGAGCAGAACAACAGATTTTCAGAACAACACAACAGCACCAAATACACGAATATTCATCATATAAACCATCTACGCACTGTTTGACAGTTGGCTGAAAGCGCCTTCATCTCTTGAACTCTGCTTGCGAAGCCTGATATCTTCCTAGTGTAGTAAGTACTTACTTCAAACTTCGGAGGCCGTCGCGGTAGGTACACTGACCCGCCATAAGTCTCCGAGCATCCCCGCATTTACACCAAAATGCTCTACCTTTACGCTTTTATAACTAAAGACTTAAAGCTTTTTAAAATGAGATATTATAAGAAACTAATATTTGAAAATGCTGAAGTTTTCGTAAATAATTTCTAAATACTTATTTTTTTAGCGACTAAAATATTAAGAAATAGATATATAAAAGTAAAGTTTAAAATCTAAATCTTAAATCTTAATAAAGCTATAAAAAATGTTTAAAAAATCGTATAAGTCGTAATAAAGTTATATAATATTAAATAACATGTAATACACGTATAAGACGAAAAACCTTATATGATAGATTTTAAAAAAAATAGATATGTTAGAAAGTTATTATTATCGAGAATTCAACCTTTAATAAAGTAACATTTACGACCTTTATCTTTAAGATGTCAAGGTTTTTAAATAAACCATTTTAATATTCCAGTAAACTTAACTATATGTACTATAAGTACTTAAGTTGTATCTATTTTACTCGATTTATCACGATCGCGTAAAGTTGGGGTGTTTTGGTGTAAAACAGGGATGCTCGGAGACTTATGGCCGGGGAGTGTGTACCTATGTCGATCCGTCGCGAGCGAATCATACCATTCTTACGGGGTTGTTCGACGCAGCCCTTCGATCGCCCTAGTCATGGAGTAGTAAGGAGTTTGATGATGCATACTAAAGGACATAAAGTCGAGGCGTGACACAGGAGGTAGTATTTCAAAGCCCAGTCCGGCATCAGCGGATTGCGGCTGGATGGATTGCGACTGGATCTCCCCTTTATCTCAAGCCCAGCTAGGGCTGCATAGGAGGTCTGGGGTCTGCAGTATAGGCATGGTCGGGTAGTTCGTTCGGTGAAGCGTGCTACCGCCTCGTCACTTGAGTGACAAACAAGTATTCTCAAGGTGACGCACGAACTCAGAGCAAACAATGCCAGGCGGAACGAATGGTGATCGCGGCAAGTGTCCTTGGACGACATCTTACCACCCCCCACGCAGCAATTAGCCGCTGAAGGATTCCCGTAAGGATGAGCGGGGGAAAGAAGCACAGGCTCACCTCGGCTGAGGCTGCGCCTCTGGTCGACATGAACCCTTGCGGCCTATAACGGCGGGGGCATGCAGATGGGACAGCCCCCCAGATGGGACAGTTCCCCCACCAAAACACAATATTTGCACCCACATATAACCCCATTGGTATTGAGGCTATAGATAATGTATATATATCAAAAGAATCGCCTTTTCTTGGTGTTTTTAGCAATACCAGTGCTTTTAGTGGTAACGCGCGGGTTGACGGATTTCTCGGCGCCGAGATCGCATCATAATGGGCTCTTCCTCTTCATCATCTGGCTCGTCAGACACCCCCTCGCCCTTTTCGTCAACAACCACCCCTTCGTCTAGATCTTCTAAATCTGTTGAATCAGAGGAGAGGGAGTCCTCAGAGGGCGATTCCTCTAATTCTTCGGTCTCTAGGTTCTGCATTTCGCGTAAAAGTCGTTGTCTCTCCGCCTGCTGGTCAATCAGCACTCGTGCGGCCTCCGTATGCTCGATCTGCTCCTAGATAACGTCTCCTATCCTCCATAGCCGTTGATCAGGCTCTTCTTGGGGGGCCCTATGGCGCTTTTTAGGCTATAGATGCTTGATCTCGTCGTCTTTTGCCTTATTTTGTAGCTTCAGAGTGGCTAACTCAACCACCATCTCATCATATGACTTCGCGACCGCGCGCACTGCTGCTCGTTGCTCAGGGGTCTCCGCGATTGTTGACAACATTAGGGCTATATCCTGTCCTGATGTAGGGGCTTCCAGGGCATCGAGGGTGGTTTCAAGATTCATTATAGCAGCAGCTGTTGCTTGTATCTCTGCTGCCTTTACCACATGCTCGTTAGTCAGTGTCTTGTTCCTATTTACGGGCCAAAGGCCAGCAGCACGTCATTCTGAATGCACGATAGCAGGAGTAGCTTCGTCACGGGCTTTCGCCAGGCAAGAAAGGAACTTAATCTTGCCGATAGGGGCCAAATCGTTCAACTAACCGAGCTGGTTGATGAGGCGGCGATAGGCGGCCTTCACCACAGAAAAAACGGTCAGATCCAGGGGCTGGAAGATGTGAGACTATCCCTATTAACGGAATAACTACTAATTAAGGATATAACCTACCGTATGGGCAGGAAAAAAGCTTAGATAGACGTTGTTTATATAGCACAGATACATAAAATCATCTGAGCAGTGGCTGCCATGGCCGTCAAGCACCAACAGGCGGAATTCATCCGGGTCTTTATGGGCAGTATCTGGCAGATAGACCTAGGGGGTTATTTAGTATATAGTTAAGGTTAAAAAATAAGAAAAAAATAACCTTTTCAAGCCATTCGAGCGCGATCGCATTTGAGGACCAGCCGTTGGCAGAGTAAGTCACTATCCAGTCTGCCACCCCGGGATGCTTGAGAATAAGCTGCTCTTTGAACCACTATGTCTGTATCGACTTCGACTTGAAGATAACCAGCGGCCGGAGCTTTTCCCTAGTGGTAGTGATCGATTCTACCACAGTAGTCCATATGCGGTCATCGTTGGACTTGACGTTGGCCCCTTTTGAGCCAGAACTGCCTATTACAAGGCCATCAGACCTATAACCTCCCGGTCAGCCGTTTGAAAAACACTTGGATTGGAAGTACGTACTGCCAGCCCTGCATGATGCCGTACTTATCAATATTTGCGCGGTTCTCGGGCTTAATGAAGTCCAAATTTGTGTAGCGGTCACGATAGCCATGGATGTTGTCGGGAGTGGCAGCATTGATACGCTTGTAGTCAAGTTTTCTGCCCATTTTGGTCTTTATCTCTAGGTTTCGGCGGATGAAATTTCGCATGTAATGGCCCCCAAGATGAGGCGGTTTTCCCTGGGATTGTAGGATCTTCTGGATGATGTACCTCACATTGGCATGAGTAGGGGCATGGCCGGCCTTTTCTTGGTACAGAATCCATGAAATCACCTTCTTTTCTTAAACAGGGCTTATCTTCTGCCTGTGAGCATGTCTTTTATGCTGGGTGCCAGTTGTAGGCATTGTGGAGTCTTTAACTTTGTGAGAAAGGGTGGTTTTTGGTATTCCATAGCGCTGGACAGCCTTCCGGAGGGACAGATCGTCACCGTTCACGGCGGCTATCGCCTCAGCAAGGTCTTTTTTGGTGTATAAAGGCGCCATTTCGACGTACTGAAGCCTATAGTGCTTACAAAAAAAAAAGGGAAAAAAGAACCGCAGAACTTCTGCCTGGTTGGAGGGGATAGGGGGCACGGGTCCCATTACCCCTCAGATTAGGCCGGACGTGCTAACTTCCGACCCCCGCCACGGGATATCCCGCTGTATGACACCTAATAAATTCCACATTGGAAGAAACACCAAGAGAAGACAATTCAGACGATATATTTATGATATCTACAGCTTCAACCCCGATAGAGATGTGGGTGGGTGAAAATGTTGTGTTTTGGTGGGGGAACTGTCCCATCTGGGGGGCTGTCCCATCTGCATGCCCCCGCCGTTATATAAGGTAGCCCGGCTACCACTGCCTCACAGGAGCTCGCTTCGAGCAAGCCTTTCTTGTCTTCTTATCGTCAAGCTGGTACGACGGTCAGCGCCAGAGCCTCGCGACGCGGTCAATCGAGTCTAGTCATCCACTCACGCACTCGCAACGACAGACACGGAGAACAAACACAGCTACATATAGCCAGAAAGCCAGACAGACGACACCATGGCCCCAAATGTCCACGTCATCAACGATTATTACCCCCAGGGTCTGCCGCCGCGGCCCCGGCCCACCGCCAGCTGGAAGGACAGGAACTGCCCAGGCTACTCCCCTTTCTACAAGGTCAACTGGGCGGCCTACAGCCTCAAGACGCGCAACAAGGAGGTGCTGGCCCGTCGGGGCTGCATGTGGACGGCGCTCGCAGCGCGCACCGTCATCGACGCGTCCTTCGTCGTGCGAGGCGCGTACGGCAGGAACGTCGCCGGCTGGGCCGTCGGCGCTCTCATCGTCTTCATCATCTTCTTCTTCCTCGCGTGGTGTCTGGCGCAGATCGGAGAGGTGCAAGGGGAGCGGAGGGTGCTCGGGACGTTGCTGGTGAGTTGCTGTGGTAGCTTTGAGGGGGACGTGAACTAACTTAACATCTTCATCAGGGACGCCGGCATTTCGACTTCTTCCTGTTCGGCGCTGCGCTGGTCCCTATCGCCTCGCTCATCGGCTTCTTCACTGGCTTGGGGTGGCGCCCGATGTTCATTACCTGGCATGGAATGTGGCTGTTGATATTTGCAGCCGCTTGGATCACGACTTGGGCTCCGGAGCGGGCAGACACGTACGTCTGAGTCTTCTATTCCTATGCGGAGTATTAAGGGGTAGCAGCAGGGGGGAACGCCAGGAACGTGAAGACGTATGACCAGCCGAACCGCTGGACCGATTATGGGTGCGAATTACGTTGGTGAATTGTGGACGAAGTACAGTCAACGGCCGATGGTTTCTCACGCTGAAGAGGGGAATACTTGGAAGTGTTTTGGCAATATTCATTTCAAGCTCGCGAGCTACCAGCCGTTGAACCCTTCAAGAGATCTGGTGCTGTATTCCGAGAAAGCATCTGATCTAGCACATCCAAGACCTGGTCAAGGCCGAATCTATGAGTGTTGCGGAAACTCTATGGTCCCTCCGGGCTGTTGGTTGAAGATTACGTCGAAACGCATTTCGATCCGCCTTGATACCATCTCCGGCAGCTGACCACCCCCTGTTCGGATCTTCATCAGCCACCTTCTGGGCATGCCTGAAATTCTCAATCCAGCACCTGCCATCTTTCACCAGGAAATCGTCCGCGTCCAGCCCCCCGTGAGCCCACCCCTTCCTGTGCAGAGCAAGCAGATTGCTCCTGCAGGTCTCTGTGTCGCTGATCGTTGGTGCCTCCGTGACCTCGATGAACTCGGTAACGATGCCGACGGTACTGCCTGTCGCGTTGGTCGCGATGGCTTTGAACACAGACGCGGTCTCCCCGGGCTTGTCCGACAGCGCCTTGTAGACTAATATCTCGTTCGCGAAGCTGGGCTCGTCTGGCCCGATCTTCAACTGTACTGTCTCGTTTGTGGCTACCACAGTGGCTTCGTAGACGAACGCAGTCAGCTCGTCCTTGGTGTCGTCCGCTGGTTTGTGGAGATTGTTTATGAGTCTCGTGCTGCGCAACTCGCCCAGCGGGATCTTGGCCATGCCGTCCTCTTCGGCTCTGGGGAATAGGACGTTCCTGGTTTTTGTGTGCACGGGAATCTCCGTGCCTGATAGTATTCGGCCCTGAGTTGACGAGTTAGCTTGTGATGTTTGGCTTTCATCGCCATGAGGAATAAGCTATGCCATCGTCACTTGCTGTAAGTTGATCATGCCCAAGGCCACTGACCGAGCAGAGCTGGCCTAACAGGCCAACGAGAATCCAAGTTGATAACTGCATTAGGGGGAAGACGCTTCTCGGCGGTCGATGCTTCTTTGATGTATATAGGTGTTGCGCATAGAACACCGCCTCGGCTGCACCCTTTCTCATATATCAGACAGCAATTGCTAATTGCTCCCTACCTAGGCAACCGCAACACGCGAAAGAGTATGAAAGAACGTCAGCTTATCATCCAAGATTGGAAAAGTACGATACACACTTTTCTAAGATAAGTCGGCAGGATTATACGCATAGCTGTGGCCTAGTCTAGGATTCTCCTGGACCCGTTCCGAGGATCGATCCTGCAGCTTCGGTACTGTAAATGTGTAAATAATTGGAGATCTTGGGCCGGCAGATGGGCTAGTGGGCAAGACTTGTCGATTGATAATCTTATATTCGAAGTGCCAAAAGATAGTGGTAGAGGTGGCAGATCACGACGAGGTGTGGATAGGTCTACACCCAAGAGCAAGGGGAGCATGATCTGTCTTCCGAGATCAGCCCTTCAACAGGGGTATGCTAATCTTCTCTGGTGGATTTGTCACAGAACCTGCCGCCTTGTCATGTTACACACACCCCTCTAAAAAGGCGGCTCAATCCATGCCAACTCACTCTCTTTCTCAACAATCAGCATTTATCAAGCGTCCAAGACTAGTCATTTGCATCAGTGCACTGTATACCTGTACTTTCACTTAGGAAACCCCAAAGCTAAGGGTGCTATTCCTTGTTTCGACTGCCAGCCGGACTCCTTTACTCCACAAGCGGGACGCCGGGCTCTACTCCATTCCCAACGGACGCTCAAGACAGCCTTTTCACCTGCGCTACCTGCCCATCATGGCCTTGGATGCTTCCATTAGTTACGCAGTATCTGCTGGATATATCCTCCTGGCCTATGTGAGATGACAGACTTGCTCGTTGCGGAGCCAGCCTTTGACTCTCCAAACAGGTCATCATCGTAACCTCATATCGGCTCCCCATGCACCCGCTTAGAGACTACCCCGGCCCAATCCTTGCCAATTTGACCGACCTGTATGGCACTTTCTACGCCTTTGGGTACCGACTTCATCTGAAGACATGGGAAGGCCATGGACGATATGGCAAGACAACCCATTGCCTCTCACTGCTCTGACAACTGACTGTATTGAACAGGACCCATTATTAGACATGGGCAAATAAGCTCGTGTTCAGTTCTCTCACGGCCTTGCGAGGTGTGAATCATGTATCGGAGTCAGTGACTTGGAAGCTGAACCGCTAACTGTGTTCAAAGACATCTACCAGAATGAGATGGTCACGAAGTCCCATGCTTACCTAGCGACGCTCTATACGCCTACCTCCTTCTTCGCGTTCAATCCCATTGACAAGAACATGCATCGCTCCAAGAGACGGATTGTCATACAGGCTCTGACGGACCGTGCAATGCGGGAATTTGAGCCTATAATGACACAAGAGGTGCAGACATTCCTCCGACAGCTTCTCAAGTCTGGACCTATTGACATGACCGAGAAGTGCAAGCGACTTGCTCTAGATATCGCTGGACTACTTGCCTACGGCCATCCCTTGAAACTACAGACTGAAGAGACGAACCGATTCATGACATCGCCCCTTCAGGCTCGCGACTTTCGCGTGAACCTTTATTTGCAATTCCAACTCATCACACAGCTAGGCATTCAGTTACTAGTTGAGCTCCCCTTTTTCAGGACTCAACGGAGATGGCTGAATCTGGTGAGGCCTCTGATATACGCACGGATTGCAGAGGATAGACGAGCGAAGGTCGACTTGTACTCCTTTGCCTACGACACTCTCAATGAAGAGGGAAGAAAGTCGAATGAGCTCTGGGGGGAGGCTTTTTTCTTCCTCATGGCAGGATTGTGTTGACCTCCTCCTTTGAACCGTTTTTCACGTTCTGCTCTGATCACTCGAACAGGAGGCGACACAGTAGCCACGGCGGAATGCGCGACATTCTTTTACTTGTCAGGGAATAACGACTGCTACACAATGCTCGCCGACGAGATCAGATCCACCTTTAGTAGTGGCACCGACGTACAAGGTGGCTCGAAGCTTGCAAGGTGCAAGTATCTTCGTGCCTGCATCGACGAAGCTCTACGCATGTCACCACCGGTGTCGGGCACCCTCTGGCGACAGCAGTACCCGGCAGAGGAAGGTAGCAAGCCTCTCATAATTGATGGGCATTTGATTCACCCGGCACACAGGTTGGCGTGAATATGTATCAGATTCACCACAACGAGGAATACTTTCCAGACCCTTTCGTCTTTTCGCCAAGCCGCTGTCTGGATGCCTCCATACCAGAGCCTCAGAGAAAGCTCATGCACGACGCCTTCTCCCTTCTCAAGTGGAACCCGTTCTTGTGCGGGCAAGCCAATGGCGTACCTCGAAGCCAGCCTTGTCATAGCAAAGAAGATCTGGTACTTTGATTTCGAGAGGGCCCCTGGAGAGGTTGGCAGAAGAGGCGGCGGTAGAAAGGGTGTAAGTGGCAAGGAACGGGCCACCGAGTTCTAGCTGTACGACCATTTGGCTGCTCATCATGAGGGCCCGTTCTTGTTATTTCGACCTCGAGACGGCTGCTATGAAGAGCTGGTCAAGAACAGCACAGCTTGAAGTGGGGCCGCGCCGCGGCATGGGGATCGAGGTGTGGATAGATCTACGCCTAAGAGCAAGGGAAACATGATCTGTCTTCCGGGATCCTTTCAACAGGGGTAGGTTGAATCTCGATCGCAAATTCATCGCAGTCTCAATCTAGGCAGACTCGTAGGTCAGCTTGATGTTCGGGGGAAGACGGTCCATGCCATCAAGACTCAAGTACAAGCTCGGAGGTCATGTTCCCTTCATCGAAGAAGAGATTGCTGCCGACTGGCCTTCTTTCCACATGAATCTCACGCGCATTGCCTCATTGCCGGTCCACTGTACCGACAAGCAGCAGCAGGTATTGCACGGATCGAATATCGTGCAGTCGCAGGACATCGTCCGTGGACTCGAGCGCCCGGTCGTAATGTTTCTCAGAATTAAAGTCGCCGGCCTCGCTTGTGGTCTCGGGCAACCTGCCTCCAATGGCATATATGAGATGTAGAACACTTATACTACGGGTTAGGGTTAGGGTTGGGGTTAGAGTTAATCCATCACGACATCCCCTTCGACAAAGGCAAGGAACATTTCAGGCCCCTTTTCGGAACCATGTAACGACGACGTCGAGCAACTCCCTCGTTGTTATTGTATCCCCATTTGTAGCAAATGTGGCATTCCTCCTGGCAAGGTCTTCGAGGGCAAGCTGTATCGGTTCGATGAGCGTTTCCTCATATCCCACTTCCCCTCTGGTCGTAATGCTGTATGCAGGACTGGCCATATTGAGTTACGACATCCAGTTCCCGACGAAGACGTCGATGAGCTCATCCGAAGCAACATGCGCCCAGGTGCATTTCGTCGATGAACCGCCGAAATTCACGAGTCCGGACAGTACGGTCGGTGCTAACGCAGCCCATCGTGAATATACTGAATGGCTACCGACTGAGTAGATGCCCCTCCTCATCTATGAAGCTATGAGCATTGACGCTGGGCGTGTCTCCCGTCGACTCTTACATCCATAATCACTTGGACCTACCTTATCTTCAATGACACCCGACCCGAGGCCCTTTTTCAGCTGGTGCTACTTCGGCAATGCCTCGACAATGCTACCCCACCAGGAACCGGGCTCGGAGGCATGGTCGAGGTTGCGGTTGACGTGAGTGGTGAAGTGGGTCAGGGGGTGTGCTCCCCAATCGTCGGAACAACCCCGAAGAGCCGTGTTCGGAAAGCTGATGCCATTCCGACGGCATCATACGCCATTCCTACGTCGCAACAATACGCCATCGTCGTGCAGATGGCGAGCAGCCATCACTCAAGTGACGTGCCTGCAACATCTAGCCATACGGATTTGTAATGGAGTTATGTCCGACCCTAGGCTCTGGAAATGTTGCACCCGATCTGTACTCCCGGTGATTGATTGCCACCTGGAGCCGCAGTTTATAGTATTTCGCTTGATCACTGATGTGAGGATTCAGATACGAGTAGGATCAAGTACAGTTTATTATCTGAAGACAGATGTCGAAACAGCATCATTGAACATATTTCCTCTTTTCAGTTGCCAAGTCGATCCCATTATGACGGAAACGAGACCAAGGCGCACGCTTACAAACAGAAACTCGTGGAAAACGATCCGTACGCTACTGCGGAGGATTAAATCACAGTCAGGCACAAGCGAAAAGTCACACCCGGAAGTTGTCTGGACGACATGCAAAGAGTCGTCGACGACGACAGAAACATCGACAGCCGTCTCGATCGCAGAGATCCAGGCCCCTCAAGTTCAGAAGGCCCTCGTCGTCGCTCGGAAGGGCGAGTACGAGCTTCGCGATGACTTCCCCATACCAGTCGTAGGAGACGACGAGGTCATGATCCGAAGCTACTATGTCGGTCTGAACCCGATCGACTGGAAGTCGGTCGACTACAACTTCTGCTTACCAGAGTTCCCATGGGTATGTTTCACAGGTGCTCCCCCTCATGGTGCATGCCAAGGCTTACCAGAGAGATAGGTGACTGGCCGAGAAATGTCCGGCGTGGTTGCTCAAGTTGGGTCCGCCGTCACGACTTTCAAAGAGGGCGACTCGGTATGGACGAGCACGTACTACAAAGACGTGCGGGCGGGCTGCTTCCAGGAATATGTCATCGTGCCGTCGCATACCGTCCTCCCCATCCCCTCGACGGTATCATTTGAAGCCGCCGCATGTCTCGGCGTCGCCGCTCTGACAGCCGCCATGACGCTGTGGAAATGGCTAGGCGTGCCGATTCCATCGACGACCACGGACGACTCCGAGGAGCAGTGGCTATTGATCTGGGGCGGCTCGACCGTCACGGGCCAGTTCGCCACGCAGATCGCGAGTCTGAGTGGTATCAAGGTCATCACTGTCAACTCGGCAGAGACGAAGGCGTTGTCGGAGAAGCTGGGAGCGAGCCATGTTGTTGTTCGTGATGAGAAGACGGACGAAGAGCTGGTCGACGAGATCCGACAAGTGACAGGCGGCCGCATCACGCGCGCCATCGACTTGGTCGGCACGAAGACAGCCTCTCTGGCATTAGATGCCGTGTCGAAAGACGCACCCGTGGCATTCGCGCCCTTGGCCATGATGTCGAGCTCCCATGTCATCCCGGAGAACGTCATTGTCCACACGGTTGAGATGAAGCAGTTTGTCTTGGATAAGGGCAACGTGTGCTACACAGAAGAGCTGGGGAAGCTGCTGGAAGCCGGCAAGCTGATCCTTCCTGAGCTACACCTTGTCGAGGGCGGGCTTGACGTGGTCCAGGAGGGACTTGAGATGCTGAAGAAGGGGAATATGAAGGGGAAGAAGCTCGTGGTTCGCATGTAATTCGTCGCAGCATCATGGCTTTGGCCACCGTGGCGGAGTGGATGCTGGTGGGGAAGCGTATTAGAGGCATCTGCACGGCGGCGAGGATAGAATACGTCAGAAAATGCCAACCTTTCGCCTCTTCGTTGAGCGCGATGCGGATGTTGCCGTTCGCCAGTCCCGATACATCACACAGCACTTGATCCTGGTGTGTCTAGCCTCCATCTGTCTTCAAGTCCGCTAACCGTTGCCATCTTTGAGACCTGTATATCTTTCTGCCACTTGGCACGACCCTCCACCTTTATCAAGGGATTGGGCCGTAGCTTATTGGTAACAAGGCACCTTTTCTTACAGAAAAGAAATCAAGGTCCCGACCAACTTAATCCACATTAACAAATGTCACGGCGAGCGTACTAAGGAGCTGGGACATGGCCGGCAGCAAGCAGCTATTACTCTATTGACGAGAATATCAAGACTAGAGAGGAAAGGAAGAGAGAGAGAGAGATAGGTACAGTGGGAGGTTGCCCCTTTAACGGGATCCTCTGGTCAGATCCTTCCCCTATTGGGAAGTATCCGCTTGTCATGTGGGAAGGTCTGTGCAGGCCGTCACAACAAAACCCTTTCGTAAAGTTAAATTACCAGTATTTATAACCTCGTCGTCGCTTAATTAATACGAATATATTAATAAAAGGTCCTATTTTAAAAATTAACATTATCGTAAGTTAACATAAAATAAAGATACTTTTTTAAGGTTATCCTTTTTAACGAAAATAGATTAAATAAATTAACTATAAGTAAAACTTAAACGTTTAAACGTTTAAAAAAGCTATATCTAACCTGGTATAATATTATATATAAGTAAATGTTTTTTTAAACATCTTATATAGTTAAACGAAACTCTTGCCTTTTTATAACGCATCGTTTCAAAAAATTCCGGCTACTTAAAAATCTTCGAAAAAGTTAATAATAAAACTTATACCTATTACCATTTAAAAAAGCCGTCTTTAGCCTTATATAATACTATTTATTAGTAAATTTTTTGTATAAAAATATAAAAATAATACCGTCATTAAGATTCAAACATGAATCTTAATTTTTATTATTATTAAATTAAAACTAGATATTTAACTTATGAAAACTTAGCTTTTAAATAATCAAACAACATCGCCGTTAATATAAATTATTATTATTATTATGTATATAATGTTTGAAGCGATCATGTGTTTATAAATAAATCGAAAAACGTATAAAATTAATAAAAAGTACGCTTTAACGTAGCTAATAAATGAGTTAATGTTACAAGTAAGTTAACACTCATTATAAACTTTTTAAATAATATCATTTAAACTAGTATATTTTTATTAATAATAATAACACCGTGTTATAACGAATTAAACTTAGAGCTAGCTATTTGAACCAAATGATGTAACCTTTGTATTTTAATATTTTAGCTTATAATGTTTTTTTAAAATCCTTTCTCTTATTTTAAGTAATAAAATTAAAAGAGTTTTATTCTGACATAATAATATATTTAATACTTTAAAACTTACAGATTTTTTAAAATTGGTTTTCATTTCTTTTTTCTTAACTTAAATACGTAAGTATTTCTATCTTGGCAGATTATATTGAAATTTAGTAAATTAATTATTAATAAGGTATAAAACTAAATATATTGAAAAGAACTAGACAGAGAACTTTATTAAACATATATTAAGCCTTTAGATATATCTCTATTAAAAACAAATTATTAAAAGGTTTTAAACAAACATTTAAACGCGTATTATGTGTATTTTTATTAAGTTATGACGGCAGTTATAAAACATGGTATTTAAAACGCGGAGATTTATAACTTTAACGAGACTAGGTTCATAATAAGCATTATTAAATCCGGTATAATCGTTATAAGCGCTACAAGACGTAACAGGCCTTAATAAGCTTAGAAAATCGAGTCAGACATCACCAAAGAAGCTCACCTACATCAATAATTGATGTATTGAACTTGTTTTCAAAGGCTACATATAGTCTTATTCACAAGGTTATTTTGGTTGATTCCCGGGTCTGCCGCTAGAGGAGGCCAATCACTTACTAAGTACACACCAGAAAACAAAAAATAAATATCTGATAAAAGGAGGAGTACTTTCTACTAAAAATACAATAGGTCTTTAGGCTATAAAAGATGGTACTGAGCTGGCAAGACAGGAAATGAGTGAAGGTAATCGTGGTACAAGGAGGACGGCAGCTCGTGAACGACGGTGTGACATTTGCGGCAACACTGGCCATAATGCGCGAACTTGTAAAATAGAGAAAGAAAACTCTGAAGAAGAGGAATCCAATTGATTGAATTGAATTGAATGTGTTGTGGTGAAGTTATTTCACATAGCAGTTAGAGTGTTCATGATGAGTGCCAACTCGCTTATAATGCCAACTCGCTTGTCAGCTACATTATACTTATTTAAAAACGGAATAAAAAACGTTTAAAACTAAATATATTTAATAGAGTATAAAATACAGCAACATTTTATTATAATAATGTGGAAATCCAGGGGTTAGAATGGGATGGATGATGGTCTGTGTCTTGACTATAGATCTATGGGGGAGATTCCCACCTAAATACAGGTGTGACAGCCCTTTGATACCCTGCTGCCTAACAGCGAACAACAAACCTGCCACTGGTCACCATAATGGACCTTTCACCCCCTTTGGGCCCCTTTCATCCCTTTCACCTGGCGGACAGCTGCAGCCCATACCTGACAGCACCACAATGCTCACAAATGATAATAAAATTATTACATTCTCAAGATTTGCAATGAGTTTTTTTAGATTTCTTTTATACACAGTATTTACATTAATTAAATAAAGAGTTAAAAAACTATGTAATACGATTATGTTATTATATATTAACATGTTAAATATAAATAATGATAACTTTATTATGAGAAAGAATTAGCCTTTTTAAACCTGATACCAGTAGTTAAACAGCTATAAAAAACTATTATTATATCGGCCGAAGGATACTTAATCTTAGCACGATAAAAGCGTAAAAATCCGGCAATATTTTAAAAGCTGACGATATTTTAAACTAGATCTACAACTAAAAACTAACAACATAATAATTTTATTTATTTTATATTGATATCCATACGGTTTTTTATTAATGGTTTTTATTTATTTATCTCGGTTTTGTTATAATATAATTACTATTAATTACATACGTTTTTAATATTATTTATTGACGTACTTTTCTGCATTTAAAAATTAAGCTTTTAATTTTTTAGTTTATTAAGTTATATTGTACAAAACGATTCTTTTGAATTATAATATATATTGCCAAATGGTAGTGAAATTATTTTTATTAAGTTTGATTTTATTTATTTATTTATAATATTATAATTGATGTTTTATTACAAAACGTATTCAGTATATAAAGGCTTATAAATATTTTAATTATCGTTATTAACATTAAACAATCTTATAAATTATTGAATTATTGATTTTGTCTGATCTTTTGTGTCATTAAATTATTTTGTTTACTTAGATAGAAGAGATTATCATTAAAGAAATTCATGCATACCTTTTTAAGACAATTCTTAGCCTTAAATTAGCCTTGTTTTATAAAGCCGTTTAGTAATCTGAACAACTTTTAAGAATATTCACGCTTTTATAACGATATTTATATTATATTAAAAACATTTTAATAACCCTTTATTTCTTTTTCCTCTAGTCAAAACGGCGAGCCTTTTCTACTAAATATAAATAACTATAAGAGACATTTTTATTAACTCAAGTTCTATAAATCTGACGATATTTTAATATAATAAAAATAATTAGGATTATAAACGTGTAATAATAAAATAAAAATTTTTGAAGAGTAGATTAATAAATCACGTTTATTTATGGCTGTAACTAAGCGTGGCTTAGCTACATATTAACTATATAGATATTTATCTAATAAACCATTCTTAGCGGTTAAAAAGATAGACTTAAATATAATAATAATAATAATAATAAATTATTAATACTGTGAAGTTCAGGGGTTCAGATGGAGTCAGGATGGGATGGATCTGGTTCGGTGTCTTGGTTATGGATCCATAGGGGATATTCCCACCTAAATACTGAGTCGGGGACAACAACAACAACACCCACAATAGGGCTGCTTGTATAATGGATATAAGAAGAAGGAGGGAGAGCCATTGGCAAAGCCACGCAGTGAATCTGAATGGTGTGTCACATAGAGATAATACAATGTATGTCTGAACTGATCGCTCAATTATATGTGTTATGAGAGAGGAGTGGCTTTAGAGGAAGACGAAAGAAAGTAACGAAAAATGAACGGTGGCCTTTATATGCCACAGACCTGGCTGTACATAACATCAACCCTGCACCAAAACAATACAGCTGTGGGAGCCCTTTGATAGCCGTCTGCTTGACACCAGATAACAGACCTGCCAGATAACGCCCAAAAGCTCCTCCTTTCACCCCTTTGAGGTCCTTATTCACCCCTTTCACCTCCTATACAGCCTGCTGTAAGCTGTAGCACACTGATAGGTACCAATATTCTCACAAATACAATTAAAACTAGATTACGATTTAAAAACTTAAAAATAATGTATTAAAAACAGTGTTCAATTCTTATATTATAATTAAAGGCCCAGTTATAAGTCGCGTATTAAATTAATATTCAACCTTTATAAGTAATGTTAGCTTATTAATACCTGGTTTTAAAGACTTCAAATCTTTAATAATTTATTTTATTTCTTTAAATATTTAAAGTATTTAGCCCAATATTATTTTTATATTTTTATATATGATAACGATAAAAGAACGTATTTTGACAACTATGCTTTTAAATTAACGGTTATATATATTAACGTATAGTTTTAAATAGCTTTAATTCTTACTTATTTAAGATTATGTATTCAATATATACGATCATTACTTTAAAACCCTCATTGTATTTTTATCGTCGTTGTTTTTAAGTTAATCGTATAAAAGGTAACAAACTTCGGTATCTTTTATTAATT